GTATTTGGTTACTAGATGGTTAGATGGCATAGAAGGCAAGTACAAGACTTGTAGTATGATTCTCTTTAAAATAACACTAATAATTCATTTTTAACAAGTTTTTTTTACCATTATTTGAATTAACCATATGAATGGTTTGTTCCATGTCTAACAACTTTCTATATTAAATAAGTGTCCATAGCTTGATACTTAATTCATCCATTAATCACTACTCCCATAAGATAAGTTTTGGAATTGAGTTGTCACCCCTCTCATCAGGAGTTAATTGGTGAAACTAGAAGTCTTTCTTATTTTTATTATTATCCTTTTTATAACTCTAGAACCGTGGTGAACTAGGAATATGATTTGTGGAAGTATTTGATTACTCGATGATTAGTTGGTATCGAAGGTAAGTACAAGACTTGTAGTACAATTCCCTTAACAAAATACTAATAATTTCTTTTATCAAAATTTTTTACCATTATCCGAGTTAACGGTATGAATGACTTGTCCTATGTCTAACAACTTTCTATATTAAATGTGTTTAACGAATCATGAAAATGAGACGTGACAAAAAATAATTATACTTTTATGAAAATAATCACATAAATGAGATGAAAGACTATATTCAACCAACTATTGCTAATGCCACAAAAATCATTATACTTTTAAAATATATAGAAAAGATTCAAACATCACAAATGTCATTAATAAACTAATTATTACAAGTTATTTCAACGTAAAAAGCAAAGTTTTATACTTCTAGACAAATGTTTTTGCCATTTAGAATATGTATCTTCAAATTTTTTAATACTTTTTATGAACTTCATTTTTTTTTCTTTGTCGGATTGGTTGGATGTTAATTTTGATATATTACTACTTTTTACTATCTGCGTTTTTTGCTTAGCTAGATTGTTGGAAGATAATTTTTATACATTACTACTTTTTATGAACTTCTTTTTTGCTTTGTCGGGATGGTTGGATAATCTATCTTTGACGAAGTTAAGATAATCCATAATTGTCAGAAGGTTCACGACAACATAACTCTTGAGAATGTGATCCTCAACATGGAGATTGGCAAGAGGGGTCAAAATTCAATCATTGTCGGTGTCAGGATTGAGGGAGTAGAATATCATACTCAAACTACCGCCACGATGCAAAATGACATGTTGTGTCTTCTGAATATCTCCAATGCCGTGCTCGCATGTTTCCAATCCAAGTGTCACTCTATTTCACAACCCTTGTTGTGGGCAACTACTCTTGCTAGTTCTTCGGCTATCTCTACCAATACTTCATCGGGCTGCTCTCGATGAAAAGCAGGAGAAGACATAGACTTGATAGCCTCCGTCTTTTCTATTCTTTGGACGGAACAAATCTTGTTTCGAGGATTAGAAGATGATTCTGCTACTGAGAAGGAGTTGTCTCAGCCTTTTATGACAAGTAGAAAATACGATACATATGAGGTTCTAGTGGATGAGTTGCTCCACCTCCATGAGTATTCCTATTGAGTTGATGAAGATAACAGTCGAGTGGCCAGATATGCGCTCTTTGTGGATGAAGACATAAGTTGTTCCACAGAGAAACTTCTAATCAATAAGCAATACTCTAGTAATTTATTTTTACCAAGTTTTTTTTACCATTATCCGTGTTAAGGGTATTTATGGTTTGTCCCATGTCTAAAAACACTCTATATTAAACATGCGTTTAACGAAACACAAAAATGAGATGTGACAGACTACCTAATGAAAGACAACATTCAACCAACTATTGTTAGTGCCACAAAAATAATTATACTTCTAAACTATATACAAAAGATTCAAAAATCACAAATATTATAAATAAACTAATTATTACAAGTTATTTCAATGTAAAAAGCAAATTTTTATATTTCTAAACAAATATTTTTGCCGTTTTAGAAGATATATCTTCAAATTGTTTACGACTTTTTAAGAAATTCATTTTTTTTCTTTGTTAGATTGGTTGGATGATAATTTTGGTGCATTACTACTTTTTACGATCTTCATTTTTTTCTTAGTCAGATTGGTTGGATTATAATTTTTTCATATTACTACTTTTGATGAACTTCTTTTTTCTTTGTCGGATGATAATTTTGATACTTGCGTTTTTAGAATATGTATTTCATTAAGTAATAAAATTTCAATTCAAAAGTTTCAAAATTATCATCCAATCAATCCGATAAAGCAAAATATGAAGTTTGTAAAAATAATATCCAATTTGAAATTTTATATTTTAAAAATTTACTGTAAAAGCTTGTATTTGACGAGGGGCTAATCCAAATTTGAAGTTGGTCATTGTGTGTATAGGGGGGGGGGGAATTATATGAAGTAAGATAATAATTTTTATTACCATACCGACACAATGTGATTTGAAAAGAAAAAAAAGGAAACTCAATCAAAATAGAACTAGTTTTTAGCCGCCCGTTGGGCGGTGTGTTTTGTTTGATTGTTCTTTGTTGTTGTATTCTTATTTGTTTATTGTTCATGTAAATTATAATAATATGCATGTAATTTTTAATCTTAATTACCTTATTTCAGCTACGTTTTGCACGTTTTTATCTATTGTTTATTTATTAATAAAGTTAATTTTTCTAAATTAACTATTTGTAGACCTTTTGTTTATTAATTTATATTTTGGTATTGAAACTGCTGCATAAGCCATACTGTCAGAATTACAAAAATATAAATAATTGTATCACACGTTGATTTTTTATTGGACTCATAAAAATATTACTATCTAAATTATTTTGTATATCATGCAACAGTTGTCTTTATTCTTTTGAAAGAGAGAGGAACCACATTTTCATCCACATCGTCGATCTTCAGTCTACTAATTTAATTTGCCTTGAAACTATTTAACAAAACCAACAACAAAACTATCTATCAGTTGCCAAAAAAAAAACATAAAAGAATATATTCAGCAAACCAAACCGCTTATACACACAATTTATATTTAGTAGAGAACTACAAATTCCTTGCGCTGCATATTGGTGCTTTTTTATCTAATATATTCGCAGAGATGAATCATGAAAGTCGCGAACTTCAATACAACTCATATCATTCTATCTTTCATAGTATTCATTCATGAACCGGGTTTGATGCATCAATCAACTTCAAAAATAGTAGATAAAAAAATAGTTAGGCCAAAATCAAAGTTTTAATTAGGGATTCAATTAGGCCAAAATCAACACTAAGAAAATAAACAATTGTCATTGGAAATGTGTAGAAATTTAACATCGACACAAACAACCTAGAGATCACCACCACCATTTTTTCTTCATCACCGTTAAAAATCCCACATATATTTCCTTCTATTTATAACCCCACTGCTACATACTACTCACTTATCGTATCATCATTATATGGCTATGTAGTAGCATGTTGCTCTTGAACATAACAAACATAAACAAACATCCTCTAATGGAGTTTGGCAAGATGACAACCCTCATAACTCTGTTTTCCATTTAGCATTCAAGGAATCATGTTGCGATAGGCCTCCAAGGAAAATGATCAATTATTTAACCCAAAGAGAGATTCTCTAAGTCCCATAAATTAACCCTTCCAAATATCTATTACCTATATTTATAAAAGTATAAGGCAAGAGAGAAAATCATATCAAACTACTTGGAAACCACCAACAGATGGTGGAGGTGGTAAAGACGCATGATTGTGTCTAGGAGGTCCTTGATCGATCCTTGACAGTCGCCACTTTTGTGTTACCCCTTGGTGGCCACCGCCAAAGGTGTAAGCTCGTATTAAACTTTCCCAGAGTTTTTGGGTATCTATGGTGTTTGAGGTTTGCTATCGCAAGATGGATTTCTTCTCATATAGAATAAACTACTTGAAAAATGAAGAAGAAATACATTTGCAAAATCTAGTGGAAAACTTACGACCCCACCTTCACAATCCAAAATAAATTAAGAAAAGAATGGGAAGAAATACATGATGGGCAAAATAGTAGAACTAGGCTAGTTAATCGCCAGTAACCACAGATTGTTGTGGAAGAGAGATCAATAACCTGTTGTGCATCAAGGGGAAAAGAAAACAGTCGACAATGCTTTGTGGTCACAAATATATGATGAACTTTTTCCCCGTCAACAACTAAAAAATATGTTACAACTACTCAATCATTTTCCATCTAACCATTGCTTCATGTAACTCCCTCCCTATTATCCACAAACAAACAAAACCACATATGCAGTATTATTTCCTTCCTTTATCATTGTGTAAAAGTGATCCAATTTTTTCCCTTTTCAATGTTGGATTTTCTTTTGAGGGAGAGAAGCTTTCAACAAAGAGATAGAAGAAAACCAAAGATTGCATTGATTGAAAATTTAACATTGTTATTAACTCAATTTATGTTTTATTTTTAAAAATGATGCATTAAAGTGCAAGAAAAAAATATTTCAATTATTATTAGAAGTTATCCAATGAATGAGAGCTAGCCATGTGCTTATGTGGCACTAATTTAGTTTTGAATTCCTATAGTATTAAGTAAGGATAAGGATAAGGATATAAGCTAAGTGTATTAACAGGCCAATTTTTTTCTGATCCGGTATAGTAATTGTCATTAGTTTAGATGCTTAAATATGGTCAATCGTTGTCTATATCTCATTTGACGAGATTAGCAGGATTATCCACAATTCTAAGAGGGTTCACGACAACGTGAGCCTTGAGAATGTGATTATCAACATGGATTTGAGCAATGGCGATAGCGTTTCGTCATTGTCGACGTGCAAATAATAGAGTGGCCAGATAATAGGGGGATTTGAGCAAGGTTGTCAGCCGCGGGTTGACCCAGACTGTGTGAGAAAATGTGTGCCAACACCCGTAGGTCGATGTGTAGTAAGGTTTTCGAGTTGGAGGTCACACTATATCGTTTTTCAACTTGTGATACAATATAATCACGTTTAACATATATCCAGGCTAAATCAGATATAATTTATAAATTTTATATGTTTCCCCAATCCCTTAGTATAAAGTATTTTCGTTTCCAAGTGAAATCCCATAGTACTTTCGTTGTTCTAGAATAAGAACTATACAATATGGTAATGAGATTTTATATAATTTATATATATGAACTATACAATTTTTTTATATATACAAGCTAAACCGGACTAAAGCGATCAGACCATTGACTCTCAACCTACTTGCTCGATCTGGCCAACAAGCTAAATCGGGTTCACAACCTTGGGTTTGAGCCGCCAATGCTAGTGTTATAATTTTCATGAGAGTGAATGGTTTTCTTAATGTTGATGAATGGGAAGAAGAAATTTAAATTTTATATTTTGTTACACATATGATAAATGAGATTTAATATAATTAGGTTGACAACCTTGGGTTCGAGTCACCAATGCTATTGACTATTGTTATAATTTTTGGGAGAGTGAAAGGCTTTTTTTGTATGTTGATGAATGGGCGGAAAATTTATATATTTTGTTACATATATGGTAGATGAACTTTAGTATAATTTATAAATATATTAACAATATGATAATTTTTCATATAGACAGACTAAATCAAACTAAAGCGATCGGACTATAGCAGGTTTTTTGATTGACAATAGGAAAGGACATTGAAGTGGGGGGAAAGAAGTAAAGAACTCAATATTGCTAGAAATCTATATATATACTCTAGGTGTAGCGGCTAAACCCATGCCGGACTGCCGGTGTTGTTTCCTCTACAACTGTGTTGTCTTGTTGAATGGTGCCATGGAGTTCGACGCAGTAAAACAAACCTGGAGCATGGAGTTCGAAATTTGAGCAAAAATGGAAATCCTCCGTTCGCATTGTCGCTCGCGCGGTAACTTGTTGTGCAAGAGAAAGCTAAAACGTCACCGTTCGGGGCCTAACAAACAGAGTGCCCCACCAGTTCGTTTCGTTTTGTCTGTCTTCGTCGCTTTGCCCCGCACAGAAAAGCAGAGAGCAAAGAGCAGAGGCCACAAAGAAGAAAAAGAACGGAAGCTTGCGTTAGATCCAATATACAGAGACCGGCAAGCAGCAAACGGAGGGAGGCAGATCGATCCTACAACACGCCATTGACGTTCTTTGGAAACGAAGCAACTTCGCACGGAACGGCCCCCTTTAACACCCGGCGGCGTCCGCGAGAACGGCAGTTGAAAACTCTTTAGATCGGACTAACGTACGCTTTTCTTCATCACGAAGCGTCTCGTTTCTCTCTTATCTTGTTTCCCTTTGTTACCGTTTTCTCTCTGATACAATCCCGGGTGTTTCATTGTTGAATATGTGGATTCCTGTCGTGGTTTGAGTTCTGAGTGTTTCGGTTTGTGGTAAGGACTTCAGATTCGGCCGCTTTTGTTCGTTAATTTGCTGTTTGATTGGCTGCCGAAGAAATGTGGAAAGGATATAGTGATGAGCATATCGGTGAGGGTGTGTAGCGTGAGGAAACCAGGAATGTATATTCGAGTTTTTGCCTGTGTTTAGCTGTTTGGTGTCCATATGCTAGCTATTTGTGTGGAGTTATTGAGATTTGAGATTGTCTTGTTGCCACTTTGCTCCCGAGTTCCTGCAGTGTGCTGAATTTTGTTTTGTTCGGGATGGTACAGCAGTGAGAGGAGCTAATGGTGAGTGAGAGTTGCAAGAGGAGGTGGTGATTGATTATCCCGGGAGGCCTGAAACCAGAGGGTGCGGATGGAAAAGAACAAGAACCGCACCGATCTGCTTGCAGCTGGGCGTAAAAGGGTATTGATTCATTTTCTCGGCACCTTGATTCCTTGCACTTAGTTAACTGTCTTCATTTATGCTGGGACTAGTTCATAGAAAGCTATAGCAACTAGGTATGGACTCATTAAGAACTTCAAAATCATTCAGATAGGAGTAGTTTTGGCCGTATGTTGGCGTGCATCTAGTGGCTAGCTTCATTTTTCCTAGATCCAAAGGAAGCCATTTGTGGACGGATTTGTTGCTCATCTCAATGTGTGATCTAGCTTCACATAATTGTTGTCCCAATTTCTGGTTTGGCATTATGCTTTATTAATTGGATGATAGATCTGCTTAAACGAAGGGAAGTGAAATATAACACCCTTAGTTTTATACCCTTTTACTTGAAGGAAAACTATGTGTCTGATGACCTAACTTAGGTGAAAAGTTTCAGAAAACTGACAGGATTTTCATACGATCAGTAGTTCGTTAGATGATGGTTTTGTTGCTTTTGTTTCTTTTAGTTGGTTGATACTTGCTAGCTAGATTATAGTAACTAAGATCAGTTTGAAGCTGAACTTTCTCCTTTTCCCCATCATTAGCTTCAGCAATTTCGGCAGAAGAAGGATGTTAAAGGCAGCAGTAGTAATGCAAAATCTGGGAAAAAATCTGGCAAATCTGAACCCCGGGAAGCTGATGCTGATATGACATCTAAGGAGCCTGAATCCGCAGGACTGCGGCAGGTTCTCGAAGAAGAAAATATGACTCATCTGGATTCAAATTCAGGAAGTTTGGACTCTTTGCAGAATTCAGTTGCTACTACTGATCATGTTACAGATGTCAGTCAGTCAGCGATTTCTCCTGAACTTGAATTTGTAGAAGATTGGATGATGCCTGCTCATATATCTGAGTTGTCTGCTCAGGATGTGAGATCTCTTGATAATGCTAATGATCATGCCGAGTCCAACAAGAGCACCATTATGGCTATTGAGGAAAGTTCTATGCCTGTAGTGATATCAGAAACTCAGGATCCTAACATTGTAAGTGGCAGTACAGCTAGTACTGATGTTACAAATGAAAAAAATATGGCTGACAAGGAAGAGAAGAAGGACTCAGTGCACGAAGGTGCATCCACTGTGCCTTTGTTGCCTGAAGGTGAACTTCAGGCAACCAATGTAGATGCTGTTATAACTGAAAAAAATATGACTCTTAGGGAGGAGAATGAGGAGTCAGTGCAATCAGAAGAAGGTGCTTCCACTGTGCTTACGGGCACGGAAGGTGAACTTCAGGTTACCAATGTAGATGCTGTTATAACTGAAAAAAATATGACTCTCAGGGAAGAGAATAAGGAATCAGTGCAATCAGAAGGAGGTGGTTCCATTTTGCCTTTCGTGCTTGAAGGGGAACCTCAGATAACCAATCTGGGTGTCTCCACAGCTGAAGAAAATATGATGCACATGGAAGAGAATGTGCAATCAGAACAAGGTGGTTATGTCCCTTTGGTGCTTGAAGGGGAACCTGAGGTAACTGATTTAAGTGCCTCCACAACTGAAGAAAATATGATGCACAGGGAAGATAATAAGGAATCAGCGGAATCAGAAGACGGTGCTTCCACTGCGCCTTTGGTCCTTGAAGGGGAACTTCAGGTAACCGATGTAGGTTGTGCTCTTGCATTCCTTTTTCTTAATAATAATAATAACAATAATTTTGTCCATTTTTATAACAATGTTTTGGCGGTTTTCTTTCCTTAGCACCTTTTTGTGAAATGGGAATGCATGGTCTGATGTTTGTTAAATTCTCACTTGTTTCTGGGTAGGGGCAATGCAGGAAGCTCATGGTTTGGTCTCAAGACAACTTGATAGTAGTTATAGGACAATCCCTAAAAGTGACGGGCAACCTAGTGCATCTGAAAGCAGTGTACCTGCTGGAACTGTAAAAGGGGAAGCTGGGATAGATGTTGGTGTAGAGCAAGCAGCGACCCTGTCAGAAAAGATTCATGCTGATGCATCTGCACTAACTTTAAGAATGGAAAGGTCAGATGGACTCATGCAGTCTGTTTTACCTGTCTCTGAAGAATATTGTACCTCCAGTGCTTCATCTGTCGTGGACATAACAGGAATGCAGTCTCAATCCGATCATTGCAGCAAAGAACATGACGGATCTGAAAGAGAAAAAGAAAAGTCCATGGGGTTTGTCAACAAAAGGTCTGACAAGCCTCCACCTGATGGAACTATAAGGCTATCTGAATCGGGCCCGACCCCGACCCCGACCCCGATCACATTGGTGCAACTTATTGAGGCGATAAAGGGGCTTAATGAAGATGATTTTGGGCTACTAATAAAGTCAAGAGCTTCAGTATCTGAAGTGGAGTTAGATACTGATGATTTGACAGGACCACAACCTGGCTATCATGCTTATCTGGAGAAACTCAGTGAGGAGTTGTTTGTTGCCAGTTGTAGAAGTGATATCTTTCACCTGCAACTTTCTGAGCAGCTTGATTTGCAAAATGAAAACGATCGCCAATTTTTGCAATTGAATGAAGAAATATCAAGAATGAGAGCCTCAGTCAAGGAAGCTCATGCTAAGAATGATAACCTTTTTCAGGAGCTCTCAGCTTGTAGGTCTGACCTCAATGATGCTGTTGGCAGCAAGGAAGAGCTTCAAAGTCAATTAGAAGCATCCAAGGCAGAGGTTGATGAAGTTTCTGCAAGGGCAACTAAATTGCAGAATAGTCTGGAATGCTCAGAATCAGATTTATTAACCGTTTCCAAGGAGTTGGCTCATTTGAAGGACTTGGCAGAATCACTGAAAGTTGAAAGCAGCGAGTTAAATGAATCTCTTGCTTTAGCTACAGATGAGAGGAGGAGTCTAAGTGACGAAAAAGAATTCCTTCTTCAGGAAAATGCTAAGCTGTTGAGGGAGTTAGACATGTCCAAGAACGTGATTGCTGCTTTGAATATTGAAATTTCTGAATTGAGTGGTAATCTTGTTTCTGTGGCAGACGAGAAAAAGAAGCTTGAAGAAGAGAAGGTGCGCTTAGTTGCCTTAAGGACGGAAAACCCCGACTTGAATGAGAACCTTGTGCTGTTAAAAGAGCAGCACAAGAAATTAGAAGATGACAACATGAATATGATCCACGAAAATGAGGGACTTCGATCTGAGGTTCTTGGGCTCCATGCGACGTTGTCAAATCATCAGGTGGAACACATGCAATTAGAAGCTGAAATGCAAGAAATGGCTTTGCGCCTTGAACAACTAGCAACAGAAAACACGAGTCTTCTTAGTAGCTTGGATGTGTATAAAGCAAAGGTAGCAGAAGTTAGTGACACTCAAGTTCAAAATCCCCCCCTAGATGGGGTTGCTGTTTTTCAAGATGGATCTGTGATGGTTGAGCGCACTGATTCTAATGATGCTGCTCAGGATGAGCATCCTCATTCTTCTTATGGTAAGCAAGACAGAAGGAAGCCTATTTCTGATGTCCTTGAAGAAATCTCATCGGTAGACCTGCTTGAACTTGCGGCCCCTGATAATTATCAAGGGTTAGTATCCTTCAATGCACACTTGGAAGAGGCAGAGAGAACGTTGCAACAACTTGAAAAGGAAATTGAACTGACTCACTACCATTTAGCATCCTCAAGTAAATCTGGTGGTAAAGCGGCTACTCCAGCAGTTTCAAAACTGATCCAAGCTTTTGAGTCGAAGTCACAACATGAGGAACAAGAGATGGAGGACAACAATGTTATTCCGGGTCAGTCAACAGCAGGAGACCCTTTATTATCAAGCAAAAAGTTTGCTGGAACTTTAAAGGCGGTGTTGAGGCAATTGTCCCTGGATGCTGAACGTGCCACCTTAGCTTACAAGCGAGAGCAAGATGATTTGACTGCTGCTAATGCCACAATGAGGGACCTCAAGCTTCAAGTTGAGGCCTTGGCTGAACAATATGACAATTTGGAAATGACCAACATTGAGCATGAGGTTCTTCATGAAGCTTTTAAGCAACATATGAGTTCGATTGAGGAGAAGAATATTGAACTTCAAGTTGTATGTGAAAAATTGAGGGGGGAGGACAGCAGTCTCAAAACACACAACTCCGAGCTCCACCGAAAACTGAATATTTACCATAAGAGAATTGAAGAACTTCAGATTCAGTTGCATGAGTTACAGAAGATATCAAATGAGGTGGTCTCTGGTCTACCTAACCAATTAGAAAGCTTCCAGAAGGATATAGCTGAGTGGGCTTTGAAAGTTGAGCAAGAATGGAAATTCACCTTTTCCCAGATCGTTGAAGCAGTAGAGAGACTTGATAACTCTGTTGGAGTCGAGCAAAGATCCGGAGTGTCAGCTGACAGGCATGGGTCCGTGGATATAATTGGTTGGCTTGTTTCTTCTGTTGATGCTACTGTGAAAATGACCCGGCGGTTGAAGAAAGAAACAGAGGCTGCCACTGCTGACAGGGAAGCCACATTCAAAATGTTCTCTGAAGCAAACAATAAGAATGATGAACTACTTGGGAAAAGCAAATGGGCGAATGATATGCTGTGCAAGTTCTATTCTGAACTAAAGAAACTTGTTTCAGATTCAGTGCTCACTGTACCAGAAACAGAGGCGAATATACATAATGAGGAATTGCTTGACCACATACATAGTAATAGCTATCAAACCCTTCTGGAGGAACTGCAAAACTGTTTGGATGAGAGGCAGCGACTTCTTGCTGTCAACGAAGAACTTAGTTTGGAGTTGTTGAATAAAACAAAAGATATTGAGGACCTCAGCAGGCAATGTGGTGATTTAAGTTCCATCGAGAAACTTATTGGAGATCTTGAAGGTGTAGTGAGACAGAAAGATGCTAACATTGACTCAGATATTGGTGCTGTTTCTCGTCTTCAGTCACTAATTCATGTCCTTGCTCATAAAAAAGATGCTGATGAGCTGGGCTGCATATCAAGAGAACAGCAGTTGACGGAGTTGGCAGAACTTCAGGATAATATATCTCAGTTAGGTACTTTGAAACTTGAGCATGAAAATGAGATCCTCAGTCTGAAAGAGCAACTAAGCCAATCCAGGGAAGCTCTTAATGCTGCCCATTGCAACTTGCACGAAAAGGCAAAGGAACTTGAACAGTCAGAGCAGAGGGTGTCCTCTGTTAGAGAGAAGCTTAGCATGGCTGTCGCCAAGGGTAAAGGATTGGTTGTCCAGCGTGATGGCCTCAAGCAGTCACTGGCAGAGACATCTAGTGAATTGGAAAGGTGCTCGCAGGAGTTAGAGTTGAAAAATGTTAGACTTCAGGAGTTGGAAACGAAACTAAAGGCTTATTCAGAGGCTGGTGAGCGTGCAGAAGCTCTAGAATCAGAGCTTTCATACATCCGCAACTCAGCCACTGCAATTAGAGAATCCTTCCTGCTCAAGGACTCTGTGCTGCACAGGATAGAAGAAATACTGGAAGATTTGGATCTGCCTGAGCATTTTCACTCAAGGGACATAATTGACAAGGTTGAATGGTTAGCTCGATCTGTGAGTGAAAATTCTGTTCCTCTGCCAGATTGGGACCAGAAGAGTTCTGTGGGCGCTTCCCCTTCTGATACAGGACGCTTTGTTGCTACAGAAGCCTGGAAGGAAGAGGTTCAGATGAGCTCAAGCTCTGTGGATGACTTGAGAAGAAAATGTGAGGACCTTCAAGGGAAGTTTTATGGGTTGGCTGAACAGAATGAAATGCTGGAGCAATCATTAATGGAAAGGAACCAGATGGTGCAGAGATGGGAGGAACTGTTGGACAGGATTGACTTGCCGTCGTCCTTGAGATCATTTGAACCCGAGAATAAAATTGAGTGGATGTGGAATGCATTTTTGGAAGCTAACCAGGATAGGAATTCTTTGCGCCAGAATGTCGATGCTCTTGAGAGCAGTTGTGGTTCTCTTACTGCAGATTTGGAAGATTCAAACAAGCAGATAACGTACCTTGCTGCTGATTTGGAGGAGTTGCAGAAGAAAATATCATTTCTGGGAACAGATCTCCAAGCATCTATTCAAGAGAGGGATAATCTCTCTAAAGAATTGGCAGTATTGACTCATGATAATGAGAACCTTTCGGAAAAGGCAGCCAGGTTTGAACTCGATAGTGAAAAATGGCAAGATGAAGTAACTGTTTTGCGGGAGAAATTGGTTGAGAAAGAAGGTCAGGAGTATCAAATTCAGCATATTAATGACGAGATTGTTAGACTTCAAGATATTGTCTGCAACACATTGCAGGATCCTGGTGCAAAAGATTTGGTTGGTGGAGGTAGTGGTACAGAGTGCTTGGAGGGGCTACTGATGAAGCTTATCTCGAACTATGGGACACATTCAATATTGAGCTCGTCCACTGGGATTGTAGCTGAAGAAGAACAGGGTACAGAAAGAGATGATTCAAGCTTTGTTGAAGGGAGAAGTAGGGTTGCGGAAGCTACTGAGCAGTTGGATGTTGCTCGTCTCGAGCCAGGTACTGTGGATGATCCTGATGGCTCAAGCTGGGATGCGCTAAAGAAAGAGCTGGAGGAGACTTCTAACGAACTTGGTCAGGTGAAGGAAGAAAGAGATGAGTATATAAGTAAGCAAGAATCATTGATTTCTGAACTTGAAGCTCTTGAGAGAAAGAGGATGGAGTTGCAAGACCTACTTACTCAGGAAGAGCAGAAATGCGCATCTGCAAAAGAAAAGTTAAACATTGCAGTGAGGAAGGGGAAGTCCTTAGTGCAACAGCGGGATTCTCTGAAACAAACCATAGAGGAGTTGAATATTGAGTTGGAGCGCTTAAAATCTGAGATTAGACAGCAAGAGAGCACTCTTGTGAACTATGAACAGAAGATAACAGACTTATCATCTACTTATTCTGAGCGGATAGAGGCCCTTGAATCGGAGACTTTGTTCTTCCAGAATCGTTCGGCTGAAGCTGAGCAACTTTTGCATGAACGGGAGCAAAGCTTAGCTAGGGTTGTGGATATTCTGGGCAACATTGATCTTGGTGATGAAGTGGCTAACACTAGTAGTCCATTTGAGAAATTGGAACACATAAGGAAACTGTATCAAGATATGCATGCAGCTCTTGCTTCCTCACAGCAGGAGTCTGCAAAATCTAGAAGAGCATCAGAGCTTCTGCTTGCAGAGCTGAATGAGGTCCAAGAGAGGAACGATGTCCTTCAAGAAGAGCTATCAAGGGCTAACTTTGAGCTTTCGGAGCTGTCTAGGGCCAGAGATCTAGCCGAGACTGCCAAATCTGAGGCTGTATCACGTATCCAAGAGTTATCCATAATACAGTCTGATAAGAAAAAGAAACAAAATGCTGAGCTCATGGTTTTGATATCTTCCATTGATCAACTAAGGAAGATCTTTTCTGATGTCAATAATATAATTGTTGGTCATCTCTCCAAGGATTTAAAGTTTATTCAAAATCTTGATGCTGGTGTGGAGTCATTTCTACAAAAAACAGAAGTCAATGATTTGCCTCAGGCGCCTTTCTTCAGTAATCCTGACAGCAAGGTACTGCTATTTTTCTGTGCAGCTGATATGTCATTTCCCGTTCAGTTGATTATGTTTATTGTAATTGATCTCTGCTGCAGTTACAAAAGCTTGTAAAGTGTATATTTATTTCAAATGGTGGCTTATAGTTATTGATATAAATCACTTCTCTTTTGCAGGACATGTCTCTAGCCGTGGAGCCTTTTTCAGAAGCCATCATGCAAGACAATTTTGATGATAGCATTTCTTTTCATGGAGTTTGTAGTTCGGTACAAGATTGCATGAATGAAATTGTAGCTCTCAAAAAGTTCATTCAGGACCACTCTCTTGCAGCACTGGAGGAAGCCGACAAATTGTGCAAACGGATCCATACTGTTCACAGGGAAATAAGTCATGATAGAGAGTCTTCTCAAACTTTGAAGAGAGATGTTGAATACCTAGAGTCAATTGTAAAACAGAAGGAAAGTGAAGCTGCTGCATTGCACAACAATCTTCTTTTCCTTTATGAAACATGTCTCAGTTCACTGAAGGAAATAGGAACTAGGAAAGCTGAAAGCACTTTGGCTCCTGGAAATTTCTTTGGTCAAGAACTTCTGGATGTTGGACTTCCTGTAAGTGGGAAGATTAATTCTTTGTCAGAGGAGCATATCAGGAGTATCTCAGAAAGAATGATGAACGCCGTGAAGGACTTCATCAGTCTAAACAGTGAGACTGTTGAGGGTGATAGAAAGGAAATGAGGATGACCATAACAAGCTTGCAGAGGGAGCTTCAAGAGAAGGATATTCAGAGAGAGAGGATATGCATGGAACTTGCTGGCCAAATTAAGGAAGCAGAAGCTGTTGCAACCAGACACTCTCTTGATCTTCAAGCGTCCAAAGCTCGTCTAATAGATCTGGAGAAACAGGTAGAGCTTGCAATGGAAGAGAGGAATTCGTTGGAACAGCAGCGAGCAAATGAAATTGAAGATGAACGAAAAATTTCGACCGACTTGAATGAGAAGATCAGCTTACTATCTGATACAATTGCCGCTAAAGACCAAGGTTAGCTCTTTTTATTTGAAAGGCTATGTTTTTTTCATCTGAATTGTTTTGAGCTCTTTAAATTTGAGTTGAAGAAATAGCTCAAACATTTCATTTTTAAAATCTAAATCTAAAATTTTAAAGAACACAACTTTTCATGAACATATATAAATGGTGCCTCGCTCATTATTGGAACTTTGTTTCTAACTCCGTATTTTTATTTTAAAATGAAAGTCTACTCTACCAAATACTGATAAAATAATTTGACAAAACTTGCTCATTTCCTTATTCGTAAAAAAGAACACATCCTAATGCCTATCAACCATTTTCAGTAGTAAAAAGGGTCTATCACGTCTTACTAACTCTGCCTTTTATAAATCTTATCAGACACTAAGTTTTAGCCCCTAAATGTTTAGACTTTAGATAAGGCAAAAAAACACAGCCTTTATCTATTTTATTTCCTGTTTTGTTGTCGAATATTCTGACTCCTTATGATCATATTGTGCCACATACAGAAATAGAAGCATTAACCCAAGCTCTTGATGAAGAAGAGGCTCAGATGGAGGTTTTAACGCGCAAGTGTGAGGAACAAGAAAAAGCTTTGCAGCAGAAGAATTTGGAGTTTGAGAATCTTGAATCCTCTCGTGGGAAGGTTTTGAAGAAGCTTTCAATAACCATGGGCAAGTTTGACGAGCTTCATCGTTTCTCTGAAGGTCTACTTGCCGAGATAGAAAAGCTTCAGTCCCAGTTGCAAGATCGTGATGGTGAGGTCTCGTTCTTAAGGCAAGAGGTCACTAGATGTACCAACGACGTTCTTGTTGCATCTCATTCAAGCGACAAAAGAAATGTGGATGATGAGATTCATCAGTTCTTCCTTTGGCTGGACAATCTGGTTCCTCAAAGTAGGAAGGAAGATGTGAATGTTGGCGACAATGCTGGGTTTCACGAGTACAAAGAAGCAATTCAGAAGAAGATTGCTTCTTTTGTGTCTGAACTGGAGGATCAACGGGTAGCTGCTCAGACAACGGATACTTTACTGCGATTAGAGCGGAATAAAGTTGAGGATTTACTGCAGCGGGAAGAAGTTCTGGAAAAATCATTACATGAGAAAGAATCCCAGTTAAATATGCTTGAAGGTGGTGGAGAAGTTAGAGGGTCAACTGCTTCTGCCACTGAGATTCTTGAATCTGAACCCTTGGTGAGTGGTTTTAATTTTATGTATGTGCCAAAATGCTATTAGCCTACTACCATGTCCCAAGTACACTTTATGTCAGTTGCTGCAGTTTTAAGGTGATTGACTATAAGTTTAAACCATTTTTCATTCATAAAAACAATGCGTAAAGTAACAAGAAGCAGTCTGTGCCCTGCTCAACTCACAGCTTAAGTAAAAATGATCGCTATCTGCCATTTAACTCTCAGTGAGCTCTATTTCGTGGTTAATCTCTGAGGTTCATCTTCTTTTCATTACCAGTAGGCTGTTACCTTTTGAGGTCAGGAAAAGTTTATGTTGTTATAAAATGTCCTAATCTTTACTTATCTTTGGTGTATAGATAAACAAATGGACGGTGGCCGGGCCATCTACTACATCTCAAGTTCGAAGCTTGCGGAAAGCAAACAACGATCAAGTCGCCATTGCTATCGATATGGACCAAGGAGGCAGTGGTCGATTAGAAGATGAAGATGACGATAAAGGTAATTTTTCTTTTGGATTTTGCATGCTTTTTCCTCCATAGAATTGTCATGAGGAGCACTCCTTTTCCTTTCTCGCCGCCTGCTGATTTTGTTGTTTCCTCTCGCTGCAGTTCATGGTTTCAAGTCGCTTACCACGTCTAGGATCGTCCCCAGATTCACAAGGCCCGTCTCTGACGTGATTGATGGTCTATGGTATGCTATACGATTCCCATTCTTCTTTCTTTCTTTCAATCCACAGATTGCCAGGGACGCTGTAACAATAACATTCCATGTTTGATTGACGTTGTCAGGGTTTCCTGTGACCGAGCTCTCATGCGGCAACCTGCCTTCCGGCTTGGGATCATGATGTACTGGGCTGTAATGCATCTACTACTCGTAGCTTTCGTTTTCTGATGAGGGCTCAAAATCAGGTTAGTGTTTCTTCCGTTCATTTCCCCTTCAACTAGCTCAGCAACCGTTGTAAGAGCGACGCCACCTTACGTGTTGCAGAATGCATGCTGCAGATTCAAGCTCTGTTGTGAAAATGGCTTGGAATATTTTGGCGTTGTTTCCCCCCTTTCTTTTTTTTGTTGCGGCGGGGATGAGGTCCGAGCACGCCTTAATACTTAGATCAGTAGAAGACAGTAAACTTAGAACACAAATACTGCTCTCATTGCCATTGATTCATTCCTCCACGGCACGGCTTCTTTCACCTCGCCGTCGACCGCAAGATCGGTCATTTGGAAACAAATCTCTGTATCCAAGACCGCTGATTTTTCGACGATTTGGAAATCTGTAGGAAGGGAGAAACTAGAAATGAAACTACTCTGTTCAACAAGGGGGGAAGTTACTGAAAAATGATTGACAGATTGTTCACTTGTTCTTACTCAATTTTTCTGTGCATATACAAGCTGTATATCGACATTTATCCTTTGCTTATAGAGTCAGAACAAAATGGCAATTTCTGCAAAAATCTCTTTAAGCAGAGCTATTGTATACTTATTGGGTCGACCAAAATGGACAAATTCAATTATTTCTCTTGGATGGAAACAATGGTGTGATTAACTTAACAGAGAAAACATACATAGAAATAAGCAAAAGGCTAGCAATCCACATATGCTGTCGCCTGTCGCAGCCCCACAGAATGTGTTTCAAGGCCATTCTTATTCATTCGCAAAACAGAGGATATAGTAAGTGAGCTAGCTGCCCAGCCAAAGTTAAATTCCTATTAGTGAGTTTAACTTTATTTTATATATTTTAATTATTGATTTATTTAGCATAATAAGAACATTAAATATTAAGAAAAAAGAAAGATGAGTCCACAAATAACAATCTGACACGTGGCTGGTTGGAGCTAAGAATTTTCCTTACATGTGTAATGCATGTAACTAAATCTGAACCCTTCATAGTTCATTTAGATACTCCAGATCTAAGTATGGAGAATTAAATGTTATTTTTATTTTTCCTTATTTTCTTAATCGGTTTATATCCTTCGTTTTAACTCGGATTTCCATGTTTTTGCACAAATGGAACGAGTTCGTTGTGCTCTACAAAACAAGATCAATTTTCAAATTTTTTTGAGGAAATTTTTTTTCTTGTCTCTCGGTACCAACTGCATAACATATGGTATCTGCTTCGTTTTTAATTCATTTTTGAAATTTTTTGTATAGAAGGAACAAGTTCATCATGATCTATTGGATCTACAAATTTCTGGGTGAACAAAATACATGACCAAAAAATACCACACAATAAGAGCATACCACCCGGGTACACTCTTATTTCAATGCTACTATACTAGTTAATACCATATGGTATAGAGTGGTAAAAAATGGCTCAATTTTTTTTTTGTTCCAAAAATATATCAAAGTGGATATCATTTTGCAGAGCACAATTAATCTGATCTAACTGTGCAAAAAAGTTTAAATTTAAACTTAAAACGAGTGAGAAATCGTTCGTTAAAGATTAATGGGGAAAATTAAAGGCTTTTCAAGAGAGAGAAGAGACGTTGATGTGGCGGATGATAATTGGGTTATGCATGGTTATTGACCAGAAGGTTGTGTACAAATAAGTGTTTGTAAGAAAACATATCGTATCAGCGGTTTGACATGAAAATTTTCATATTCGAGTCTAAATTGGTTGGGGCTTTTTAATGATATTTGTAGTTGAACCCTAATTTCAACACTAATTATCACACCGCTAACTTTTTTGGTACAATCTCCTGTACGATTTTACAATATTTGGTATAAGAACTAGATAAAATCAGTGGTCGAACTATGAGAACCGTCCAATCGATTACTATACCGGTTCGGTCCATTTTTTGGACGGTCCAGGATGAATGAAATGGTTTTTCACCACTGCTGGTGGAACCGGACAAACCACTTCGGTTTGACTACTCCACTATTTTAACCACATACAAATGTTTAAGAGAAACGACTTTGTCAAAATGTATGCAAGTTGGTGATTAGATGGAACACGGAGTATCTTGATCATTTAGGCTTGAAGTTTCTCTCTCACTAGATAACAATCAAGTTCGATGTGTTTTGTAAGATTATGAAAAGTACGATTTTCTGCCATGTAAGTAGCAGGTTGCGATTATCACAGTAAAAAAGTAACCGATTAAGAATGAAGACCTAGAAATCTTAAATAAGATAGAGAAGCTATTAAACTTCACATGTAATCAGTGGGGAGCCACTTAAGATCAACGTAGGTAGGGCTGGAAGTTTGGTACCAGTATTTGGGATATACCGAATATCATACCGAATTTGTCTATATTTGGTATTACCGAATACACGTATTATTTTTTGAGATTGGGATTGAGATTGAATTTCAATTGTTATTCGGTATTAGAGATTATGGGATTGGGATCAGTATTATACCGAAATACCGATCAATACCGAAATATAAGCTAGTGTATATTTATCCTCTCAACTAGACTCTCTCATTCACTATTACGTGACCCTCAACCATCAAAATTGTCATTTAATTATAAATAGATCATTACATCACTATTTCATACTAATATTAGTCGTCTCTCAACCTCAAATTCGTCAAATTAAAGATTACCAATTACAAGAACTTGAGATGTTAGCTCTAGGCAACTCAAGACTATTTGCTTAGTCTCTTTGCCCTAAATTAAACAATAAAATCTAATTTATATATTTAATTGCAAAGGTAATTAATTACGTATTCGATAATACCGATTGGGATACCGAGGTACCGATTGGGATACCGAAATTATTTTGAGATTGAGATTGGGATACCAAAATTATTTAGGGATTGAGATTGATTTTAGGGTATAATTCGATATTTTGATATTTGATATTGGGATACGAGATACCGATACCGTACCGATTTCCACCCCTAAACGTAGGTCACTAAATTTATTAAACTTTTGCCGCCTGACAAATTTATTATTCTTAGTAATTGCCTGACTTCAAATCAATATTTCATCATTGGTCAATAACCGTCTACTTTCATTAACATTGTTCTACACGACAGCCAATAATAAGGTTTGTATGTTAAATTGCTGATGTGTCAATTAAAAGTTAATAAACAGAAAATGATTTATTTTAAAACTAAATAGTAAGATTAGAGTAAATTCCATCACATTCACCTATATAGACATTTGTGCTGTCGTCCTTTGCTCGCAATTTCTGCGAAAATCCCTTTACACACACACAAGGATCAGTGGATCGCACTTATAAAGTCAGTCAGCTAAATCGACAAATTTATTAATAATATCTCTTAGATGGAAACAAATCAATGGTTCCTAACTTAACAGACAAAACATACATAGAAGCAAAAAACAGGCTACCAAGTACCAATCGCAAGTGAGCTGTCTAACTGGACGGCGCGCAGTAATCACGCAGACAAACTCGAGAGGGCATATAATTAATTACCGTTACCGGAAATCTCGTCGGAATGTCAAGACCATAAAAATCGTTGAAATTTCCGGTCTCTGGACGAATGGTTACAAGAAACTCATCCTGGTTTAAGTAACTGTAACGATAGTCACAAAACGATAAAAACAACCACTTTAAATTTCTCGAAATTCCGGAGAAGCCCCAAATCCTCTTTTCGGGTGGTGGGTTCGCAATAACTAACAGTTTGGTCCAAGACTCAGGTACCCAATACTTCAAGAGCACCCATATCTCCATAGAAGCTGAGGCATAGCTTCTCACCTCAGCAGCTTCTTTATCTTCAAGGGGAAAGAGAGCTACCATGTACTCCTCGTTCAACAGATATTCCAGTTTACCATACACCTCAATCCCAGAAGGCAAACGCAAATCAATTGTTCTGAACTCGTGGCTGCTAATGGCGAATGACTCAAACTCTAAACACTTCGGGTTCCACTTCTGGCGCCACCAATACAATTTTCCCTTGTTACATTGCAGCAGCATCTGGTCGTAGCAGACGCGCAGGTGATAGCGATTATCATCATCGGTGAGCTTTGTCCAGGAATCAGTCCTTAGACAGTAAACTTCTAAGAAATAACTGCATCCCCAAGAGCCATCGTCCAACTCAAATTGCCTAATGATTTTGTAGTCCTCTGTTTCTGGATCGAAACCAAACCCAACCGTATGAAGATGCCAGTTGGGGCGGAAAGGGGAAGGCGGCACAAGCTTGGTCTCGGAGGTGGCCGGATTCCAAAGAATCAGATCGTAATCACCGTCAGCTATGCAAATCAGGCCGTTACAGGAACCTGCAATTCTTGTAAACCGGGGAATCCAACAATGGTCATTATCTTCGACGACTTTGAGGGGCTTCTCTTCGTTGAAGGGTAGCTGGAGAGGACAAGGAAGGAGGGGCTCGAGTGTGTCGGCAGAGTGCAAACTGTAAACTGACCTCTTGTCGTCGTTGAAGGAGTTGATCAAGATTCGAAGACCAGAATCCACGGGTTTCTCTCGCAGGATGAAGGAGGGATCGGAGAAGAGAGTGCGCCATGATTTGCAGACGCAGCAGAATCGGCCAGTCCACGGGCCGATCGGAAGCCTCCACAGGATGTCAGTGATGAGATCTTGTGGGAAATCTTGGTTCATCGCCGCCGCAGACGCACTCTGAGTTGGGTTTATTTCTCCTCTCCAAGGGTTACGGTGAGTTTAGTTGGTATTTATGCTCAAAGGCCAGAGGTCATGACTCTAGAGTACGATTGAACTCTGCCGTTTGGGATAGAAGCTATACCTAGGGTTAATCTTACACCAGTTGGCAGTTGTCAAACCGGTTTATGTTGTTGTGCAGGTTTTGCAAATAGAATGGTCTGACCGTAGACCTGGCAAATTATAACCTGACTCGTTGACCGGATCCGAACGCGTCCGAAAAGTAGAAGTTTTAATAACATGAAATCCGAATGACCCGAATCTGATAACCCGTGATTTTTGGGTCGGGTTGGGTGGGTTAGCGGGTCGGACCGTTAGACCCGCTCCATTTTATATATCACTCCCAAAATAATTAAATCACTCATAAATTGATGAGATGTTTGAAGAAAATCGCATGGATTTGAATGACACGTTTGAAGTTTAAGGATAATAAAATATCATGTGTTTCTTGTAGTAGCATTACTCTTGTGATTGTTTTTTGACAATTTGTGCAATTTGTATTTCATTTAATTAGTATGGGAGGATTTGAGAATATGTTAATGGACATGTGTTAGGTAAACTATTATCATGCATGTGTGAAAATTTGTGTTCTTTAAGAAAATATGAAGCATGCTTGATATTGTTTCTGAGAGCGCCCACAACCCGAAACGACATGTAACTTGACCTGACCCATAACTGAAGGCCTTGACCCGAAATTATCCAACCCGACTCGATTGCCAGGTACTGTGATACAACCTGTGTTTGTACTGGTCATGAGAAAAATGAACTACGACTAATTAGGGTTAATTTTACACCCGTTGTCAATCAATTCATTTTTGTTTTGAATGAATTGCACGTTTGGTCACTGGATTTTTTAATATCAGGCTGCCATCTCCTCTCTCGATGGTTACAAATTCCTTGAAGGATTCCAATAAATGGCTAAGTCAAGGACTCATCTCAGCCAACGGGTCCTCGAACCAACCTTTCCTTTCCGCATTTTGGAATCAATGTATGCTTACGAATTTATTCTTGCTGCTTAGGCTGAGACGGAACAAAGCCTTTCAGAAGTCTCTGTGCCTGGAATAAGAATTATTCAATTGGGGGACACCCTCTCATTGACTTTTTGTTTTGTACTTTTGTCGTCCATTGCATCCACCAACAGAGGGTCCATCCTCCACCAACTGCTATCATAAATCGCCTCTCTTTGGTTTTACCTACTTTCTCCTAGTGATGGAAATGGGTCGGGGCGGGGCGGGTACCTCAATATCCATGCTCTGCCCCACGCTAGTACGGGTCGGAGTGGGTAATACCCGCGCGGGAACGGGTCGGGTCTGGTCGACCCACTCTTACATTCTATTTGAGAAAAATACATGTACAAATTTACTTTTTATGATAAAACGAAGGGGAAAATACTTGATGAATGAATAATAGTGATAATATAATAAGTAATTGAGTCTATTTAGTTGAAAGATCAAATCTAAATAGTTGAATAAAAGTCAAAATATGAGATATATGAATGGATGGGGTAAAAAATTGACATAGAACGGGGGTAAGAATGGGGTGGGGCGGGGCAGGGCGGGTCGGAAGTTGATACCCATGCCCCTCCCCACGCTAATGCGGATCGGGTAATACCGGCCCCATCGCGGGTCAGGTCGGGTATTACCCGGCGGGGCGGGTTCAAATTCCCATCACTATTTCTCCCAATGTGGGGGAAGAAAACCAGAGGGGTTGAACCACAACCTTGAGCAACTCCCTCTCAAACAGACAAACACTCCAAGATCGGGATTCTCGTTCAAAATCGATGAGGATGGTGAGTCTTCATCTTAGCGTGCCCGATTTTCTCAACGGAGGCCTAGTCTGGTGGGGGAGGGTGTTGAAGGCCGGACTCGTTTCAAAATATTATTGTTAAGGTGGAATGTGGTGCGGGAGGCTAGACGTGTTTAATTATACTTAAACAACTTTTCAAAATGGCCTTTTCAAAATAATTTTACTTCTTTCTTAATTTTAAATTAAATGATTTTAGTTTTTATTATATTTTTAAATTGACACATCAACAATTTAACAGTTAAACATTATCGTTGATTGCCACATAGAACGAAGTTATACATAGATTGTAAAAATTGATCAACAACTCTATGTTTTTCGATTTTTCTTTCATGAGCAATAACCAACTCATTCCACTAAAATAATATGCAATGGTAACGAAATATCTAAAACCATCATAAGAAAAACGTGGATTGGTACCCCATATATCTACGTGAACTAAATAAAAAGGTTGAGTAGCGACAGACTTGCTTTGAGAAAAAGGAATCGTTTTTGTCTTGAAAAATGATAAACATCACAACTGTTAGGTATGGAACCCTAGAATAATAAACATGACCTAGCTTATATTGCCATAAATCAAATGAAGTGGTTGTACTAGAAGTCATGACTTTGAAAGGACGAGTAACAGGTATTCTGTGTATCTTGTAGAGACCATGATAGAGCTCAGCATAACCAGTCACTTTCATCTTTGTCATATCCTAAATGAGACAAAAATCAATGAAGAAAGTCGTACATAGATTGTTGTGCTGAGTAAATTTACTTACTGGCAAGAGATTGAATGCAAATTATGGAACTAACAATACTCCATCAAAAATTATGTCAACCGAGAATCTTACTGGTCCTAAATGTGTTGCCATAAGTTCCTTACCCGTAGACAGAGTATTACGAATGCTCTGAATCTCCACACAAAAAAGAAATAACTTCGGATTACAAATTATGTGATATGAGGCACTTATGAGGATTTAGGAAGAATATATATAATAGTATATTTATCTTTGTTGTCAATATTCTTATTGGTAAAAGTTTTGAGAGAAATGTGATGGATCTTTGTTGATAGAGGAAGAAGTGTCACCACTCAATGATGCATTGACCTTTAAGAAACTCACTATACCTTCATACTAGCGTGGGCCCCGACCATTTGGCCGGAGGAAGACGAGGTATAAAATTTGATAATGTAATGGGGTGTATAGCTTATTGTTGTATAGTTTTTTTGGGAAACACGTGATAAAAATAGTGAATATTAGTAGGAAAGAGACATGAATAATGCAATGAATCAAAAATCAGCCTTATGAACCAAAATCAAGTACATGTTACCTTGTGAAACAATATTGTTTCTGGTAATATGATGAGGTGGAGTAAGTTATATAAAAACCGAATTCCGCCTATCTCGCCGGTTTTCGGGAAGAGCATCTCACAATCGTTGCTAGCTTTTACTCGGCCCGTTGGCCGATTAATTTGCTTTATAAAACTTTCATCTTGTCATCATTGTGCTTTATGGTTTTTTGCCAAGCCATGATAAAATCTAAAGAAATCAAGAATGAACAACACGATTTGGGATATGAACCAACGTTCCTGTACCCTAGAAAATGGTGGTAAACACGGACTCTCCTGCCAAACTGGTTGGATTGAGATTTTTATCGGGTATCAGAGAACCATGTGATTATAAATTAGACTTGATCAAAACGGGCCAAAACTTGAAATTCAGCCTGTTTGACCGACCCATGCCAAACTCTAATTATTCTTTACTTTTAAACTTTCTATTTGAAAATAAAAAATAATGAAAGAAAAGAGATGACTGCAATTCGCCAATTGCACATCACTGATTCGGGAATAAAACTATAGAATTTCGAAAGGAAACTGAAAATGTTTAGGATCGTTTTAATGTTAAAAATAACCAAATAAATCTTTCTATTTAGTTTTTTACTAACAAATACCAAACGATTCCCTATAATATACACTATAATTTAATCATTATGATATCAAATAATTACATAATATATATTTGAAATGATAAAAATTGGACTAATTGGGTTGGTCGAGGTTGAACAATTGAATAACTTTAAAATACATTATATTTTAGCCACTAAGATATAGAATAATAGCATAATATATATTATGCTAGAGAAAATAGCTTGTTTTAGAATGGCAAACCCATGATGTTCATTTGTTTTACTTGATGGGCAAATCCCGTGTAGGTCAGGCCCATTCAACTCTTTTATTTTATGAATAGCGGTTAGCCCATTAGAATCCATGCATTAGTTTATTGTTAATTTTTTTTTCTTTTTAGCAATAAAAAGGAGTATTGTTTTTGTCTTTTCATATATATTTTACCACCACGGAGAAATAAAAGGACTTAAAGAAAAAAATTGACACTCCCGGACCCGTTTAAATCCGCATGTGTACGGTAAGTTGGCTCGTTCCACAGAGAAAAAGAAAAAAATTGTCACTCCCTATTCTACCCTTCCGACAAACGCTCATGGATCAGGGATTTTGAAATGAGGGAAGGGTTTTTTCCTCTCTGCGATTATATGTTTTTAATTTAAAAAGATACAATAAATGTACTTAGTGTGGTTGGTTATGCTCTTTGCTTTTCTTTAAAGTGGTCATGGTTCGAATATTAATAAGTGTCTTTTTAATGAATAAAAAAAAAGTAATTGTGAAGACCAAAATGTCTTTCTTACTTTCACTCTGGATGCTGAAAATTTGAAATGGGGCTTCAAATTTTCTTATTTGGTTTTTATTTATTGTGTAGATTGTTGCTTGCTCATGCTTACATTATGAGGCTCTTGTACGAGAATCTCTTTACCCATACAAACTTGCATAGTCAACTAAATCCACAAATTCAATTATTTCTCTTGGATGGAAACGGTGGTTCGTTACTTAACAGAGAAAACATGTAGTAGAAAAAAGCAAAAAAAAGGATACCAATACATTATATGATGGCACAGCCCAAGAGAATGTGTTTCAAGGCCATTCTTATTCAATCGCAAAACAGAGGACATGAGCCACCGAACAACCCAGAGTCTAACTCGAAACCGCGTAGCAATCACGTATACAAACTTGAGAGGGCACGTAATTAATCACGGTCACCGGAAATTTCTTTGTCGGAATGTCGAGATCACGAAAATCTCTCGAATCTCCAGTCTCCGGACGAATGGCAATGAGGAACTCATCCTTGTCGTAGTAGCCGTTGTCATGATACGTCAAAATCAGCCACTTCAAATTCCTCGAAATTCCGAAGGTAAAAATCCCTATTTCAATTGACGGGCTCGTAACGACGAACAATTTGGTCCAAGACTCTGATACCCAATATTTTAAGAGCACCCATATCTCACAAGACTTGGTGACACATATCCTCGCATCGTCTCTAAGGGGAAAGAGAGCTACCATGTACTCCTCGTTCAACAGATATTCCAGATCAACATACCCATCATCAACCTCGGAAGGCAAACGTAAATCCACTGTTCGGAACTCGTGGCTGCTAATGGCAAATGACTGAAACTCTAAACTCCACGGTTCCCCGCCTGGGTTCCACTTCCAGCGCCACCAATACAACTTTCCCTTGTTACATTGTGGCATCTGGTAATCGTAGGTGTGCAGATAATATCCATTCTTATCGTCGGCTAACTTGGTCCAAGAATCATTCCTCAAACAGTAAACCTCCGCGAAATAACTGCATCCCCAGGAACCATCGTCGTACATGAATTGCCTAATGATTCTGTAGTCCTCTGTTTCAGGATCGAAACCAAACCCAACAGTTTGAAGACACCAGTGGCGACGGAGAGGGGAAGGCGGGACAAGCTTGGTCTCGGAGGTGGCAGGGTTCCAAAGAATCAGATCGTAATTACCGTCGGATATGCAAATCAGGCCGTTACAGGATCCTGCAATTTTTATAGCCCGATCCCAGAAACGGTAATTATCTTGGAGGGGATTCTCTGCGTTGAAGGGTAGCTGGACAGGGGAAGGAAGGAGGGGCTCGAGTGTGTCGGCAGAGTACAAACTGTAAACTGACCTCTGGTTGTCGTTGTTGACGGAATTGATCAAGATTTGAGGACGAGGATCTAGGGGTTTCTCTCGCTGGATGAATGAGGGATCGGAGAAGAGAGTGCGCCATGATTTGCAGACGCAGCAGAATCGGCCAATCCACTGGCCGATCGGAAGCCTCCATAGGATGTCATTGATCAGATCTTCTGGGAATTCTTGATTCATCGCCGCCGTAGACGCACTCTGAGTTGGGTTTTTTTTCTTTCTCTCCAAGGTTACGCTTAGTTGTGTTTGTATTTATATTCAAAGGCGATTGAACTCTACGGTCCAAGGTGAACTATGCCTAGTTAGCAATTAGGGTTAATTTTACCCACGTTGTCAATCAATTTATTTTTGTTTTGGGTCAATTGTATGTTTGGTCATTAGATTGATAATTTTTTTTGGTCACTAGAAAATTTATCCTTGTTAGTAGTAACTAATTTTAAGCCAATGTTTCATTATTGTTAGTAGTAACTAATTTATAATAAGATTGGGTGTAACATTGTAACTAGAAAAATGATTCAGATTGACATATTCAAATCATTCCTATAAATTTAGTCTAGAAATTCTAGCTCCACAGATTATTCTTCTAAAAAACAATGAAATCTAAAAGTCTAAAATGTAAAACGACTATAAGAAATATGAGTTTTGTTCTCTTGAAAATTTACTAAAGCAGCTAGTGCATATAGGTATGAACACACAATGCACGAGTGATTTGTGTGTTCACGAATAGCGGGGATCTCCTTGCCGGAATGTCAAGATCATGAAAATCGGTGAAATTGCCCGTCTTCGGGCGAATGGCAACGAGGGATACATCAGCATCGTCCCGGATGTCATCATTACGAAACGTTAAAAACAACCACTTCAAATTCTTCGAAATCCCAAAGCTCGTAATTGTCTTTTCAGGCGGCGGCCTCGCAATAACGAACAATTTTGTCTAAGACTCTGGCACCCAATACTTCAAGAGCACCCATATCTCCCACGACGTGGTGAGACGTCTGATCATCTCTTAAATAGTAAACCTCTAAGAAATAACGATCAACTACTGAATCATACCATACTAACTTTTTTGGTTCAACGACCGATCCGGTTCTAATAAGAGTAAACTACAAAGTAATATAATTCTCGACCAAAAAATAAAAAAAATGGTGCGTTACATGCTTCTTTATAGAAAGCATGATTTTGCGGTCTTCAGGACTGGAGGGGAAAAAAAACACAATATATGGTCCCAATCAATCGATCAATCTCAACAAGCACTGCGGATCTCTGAGCATAGAACCTCCAATTACATCTAGAAAAAGTCCGCGCATTGCCATAACAGCAACGTGGGAATCAACCCATTGACGAATCTCTAAAGACAAACTACAATTCACTGCCGAAAACTAAAGTTTCCCGAGCCACAAGCTTGGCCTAATCCACCATTGCTACTGATGCTGCTTGTCTCATTTCTTGTGATGCCCTGTTTCTTGGTCCCTGAACTCCCACGTTCTGTTCTTTTTTGCGATTACTACTTACTTAGCAGGAGAAAACACACTTGGAAAGAAGTAAGAGGCTACCTGTCGACATATGATTGTCGCATCCCAAGAGAATGTGTGTTCTAGGCCATTCTCATTCGATCGCCAAACATAGAAGGTAGCAATCGAGCCGAGGAGCAACCCACAGTCTAGCTCGATGCGTAGTAGTCACGTATACTAATTTGAGAAGGCATATAATTAACCACGATGACCTCCCAGTTCCTTGTCGAAACGTCGAGAACATGAAGATCGGTGAGATTTCCAGTCTCTGGGCTACTGGCATGGAGGGGCATCTCACCGACGACACTACAGTCATGAAAGCGAAATGATAAAAACAACCACTTCAAATTCCTCGATATTCCGTCGAACTTCCAAATCATCTTTACAGGGTGCGGGTTCGGAATAACGAACAATTTGGTCCAGGACTCTGGCACCCAGTACTTCAAGAGCACCCATACCTCCCAAGACTTGGTGACAAATCTCCTCACATCATCTCTAATGGGAAAGAGAGCTACCATGTACTCCTCGTTCAACAGATATTCCAGATCACCATACACATCAATCTCAGAAGGCAAGCGCAAGTCCAATGTTCTGAACTCGTGGCTGCTCATGGCAAATGACTTAAAAATTAAACTCTTGTGTTCCCCGACCGAATCCCAGTTCAACCAATACAGTTTCCCCTTGTTACATTGCGCCATCTGCCTATAATAGTCGCGCCGGTAATAGCCATTGTCATCATCGGGTAACTTCGTCCAGGAATCAGTCCTTAAACAGTAAACCTCTGATGAATACAACCCCGGAGGACCTTCGTCGGACACAAATTGCCTAACGATTTTGTAGTCATCCGATTCCGGATCGAAACCGAACCCAACAGCCTCAAGAATCCCGCCGAGATGGAAAGGGGAATTCGGGACAAGCTTGGTCTCGGAGGTGGCCGGATTCCAGAGGATCAGATCGTAAGCACAGTCAGCTATGAAAACCAGGCCGTTACAGGATCCTGCAATTCTTATAGGCCGATTCCAATAACGGTAATTATCTTCGATGGGCTTTTCTGGGTTGAAGGGTAGCTGGACAGGGGAAGGAAGGAGGGGCTCGAGTGTGTCGGCAGAGTACAAATGGTAAACTGACCTGTCGTCGTTATTGTTGATGGAGTTGATCAAGATTTGAAGGCCAGAATCCGCGGATTTCTCTCGCAGGATGAAGGAGGGATCCGAGATGAGAGCGCGCCATGATTTGCAGACGCAGCGGAACCGGCCAGTCCACTGACCGATCGGAACCCTCGACAAGATTTCATTGATCAGATCTTCTGGGAGTTCTTTGTTCATCGCCGCCGCGAAGACGCACTCTGAATTCTGATCTGTGGCTGTTTTCCCAAGTTCGGACTTATATTCAAAGGCGATTGAACTCTACGGTGTCGTTCCGAAGTAAGGGTTCTTTTTCTAAGGGCAAGCTGCGGGATACAAGTTTCATACCCAAGTTTTGACATAAGAGAAGTGAAGGGTGTTGGAGACAACGACTTTGTTGGTGATCAAATGGAACATGGAGTATCTTGATCGCCTAGGCTCGAAGTTCCTCTCTCACTCGATGAAAATCAAGCTCGATCTGTTTTGTAAGTTCATGGCAAGTAGGATTTTATGCGATGTAAGTTGCAGGTCGATTGTCACAGTAAAAATGTAAGTAGGCGGTGCAGCTGCCCATAATTCCGGCCCCGATCACTATGGCATGAAATTGCTCGCGGAAAAGGTCCACCGTGATCAATAAATTCCCCGGAGAAAAGGGTCACTGATATTTTTGACGATTTGGGAATCTAGAGGGGAGGCAGAAAATGAAACTACTCTGTTTAAGATGGAAGCCAGTTCTGAAATGACACAGTTGTTCACTTGTTCTTACTCAATTTCGTCTGCATTTGCAGTCTGAATATGGACCTTTGTTCTCCTAAATGGAACCGGTGGTTGCTAACTTGACATACAAAACATGCATAGAAAGAAACAAAAGGATACCGATACATTATATAATGTAACAGCCCAAGAGAATGTGTTTCAAGGCCATTCTTATTCAATCGCAAAACAGAGGACACGAGCCATCGAACAACCCAGAGTCTAATTCGACGACCCGTAGCAATCACGTATACAAACTTGAGAGGGCATATAATTAATCACGGTCACCGGAAATCTCCTTGTCGAAATGTCGAGATCACGAAAATCTCTCAAATCTCCAGTTTCCGGACGAATGGCACTGAGGAACTCATCATCCTTGTTGTAGTGGCAGTTGTCACGATACGTTAAAATCAGCCACTTCAAATTCCTCGAAATTCCGAAGGTAAGAATCCCCATTTCAGCTGACGGGCTCGCAATGACGAACAATTTGGTCCAAGACTCTGGTACCCAATACTTCAAGAGCACCCATATCTCACAAGACGTGATGACACATCTGAGATCAGAAGGTTTATGGGGAAAGAGAGCTACCATGTACTCCTCGTTCAACAGATATTCCAGTTTACCACGCACATCATCAACCCCAGAGGGCAAACGCAAATCCACTGTTCGGAACTCGTGGCTGCTAATGGCGAATGACACGAACCCTAAACTCCACGGTTCCCCGCCTGGGTTCCACTTCCAGCGCCACCAATACAACTTTCCCTTGTTACATTGTGGCATCTTGTAATCGCAGGTGGGCAGATAATAGCCATTCTCATCGTCGGCTAACTTGGTCCAAGAATCATTCCTCAAACAGTAAACCTCTGAGAAATAACTGCATCCCCAGGAACCATCGTCGTACATAAATTGCCTAATGATTCTGTAGTCCTCTGTTTCAGGATCGAAACCAAACCCAACAGTTTCAAAAAACCAGCGGGGACGGAGAGGGGAAGGCGGGACAAGCTTGGTCTCGGAGGTGGCCGGATTCCAAAGAATCAGATCGGAATTACCGTCAGCTATGCAAATCAGGCCGTTACAGGATCCTGCAATTTCTATAACCCGATTCCTATAATTATAATTATCTCCGAGCGGCTTCTCTTCGTTGAAGGGTAGCCGGACAGGGGAAGGAAGGATGGGCTCGAGGGTGTCGGCAGAGTACAAACTGTAAACTGACCTCTCGTCGTCGTTGTTGACGGAATTGATCAAGATTTGAGGACGAGGATCCACGGATTTCTCTCGCAGGATGAAGGAGGGATCTGAGAAGAGAGCGCGCCACGATTTGCAGACGCAGCGGAATCGGCCAGTCCACTGCCCGATTGGAAGCCTCCACAGGATGTCAGTGATGAGATCTTCTGGGAATTCTTTGTCCATCGCCGCCGAAGACGCAATCTGAGTTACGGTTCTTTTTCTTTTTTCTTTCCATGAAGGGTTACGGTCAGCTTACATCGGGCTTATAGTCAAAGGCGATTGAACTCCGGTGTCGTTTAGGGAAGAACTACGCCAAATTGGCACTTTTTATGATATGAGCACTTGACCCGATTTCAACACAAATTATCTCACCGCTAACTTTATTCGTACAATTTGTTGTACGGTTTTACAGTGATCATCGCGGTATAAGAACCATTATCAAATCAACGGTCGAACTACGAGAACTGTCCAATCAATTACAATACCGGTTCGGTCCATTTTCTTGGATGAATAAAACGGGTTTTCACCATTGCTCGTGGAAATGGATGAACCACTTCGGTCTGACTCCTCCACTATTTTAACCACAGAAAAATGTTTAAGAGAGAAAACGACTTCATCAAAATGTCTGCAAGTTGGTGATTAGATGGAACATGGAATATCTTGATCACCTAGGCTTGAAATTTCTCTCCCACTAGATGACAATCAAGTTCGAAGTGTTTCGTAAGTTCATGAAAAGTACAATTTTCTGCTATGTAAGTAGTAGTTGCGATTATCACAGTAAAAAGGTAACTGGTTGAGGATGAAGAACCTGGAAAAATAACGAGCTTGCCTGCAAAAATAACATGTGATAATCAGTAATCACCATCAATGATCAACGAAGACTAAAAAAAACCAGTGAAGACAAATTAGAATTCAGTGGGAACGGGCGAACGGCTACGGTGCTAATTGTACAATAGTTAGCACCGTTCTAACCAAGGAAAAAACTACTACTAGTTTGAATTAGTAGTGATTTAGCTTAGATGTTGTATTGATTTTATAATAATCCGTAGTGATTTCGTTATTTTTAGTAGCGTTATTTGCTAGTTATCACGGTGCTAACCCCTATAGGGGTTAGCACCTAATCCCATCCCGAATTCAGTTCCGGAAAGGCACACAAGGTTCCATGACTTGGACACATTCTTAATGCCAACAAACTTTCCCCCATTAAAACGACTTCCTCTGCCAAAATGCAGTATCTTACTTGCGTCGCCAATGGAAACTACGCCACAAAGAATTCCCATTAGGGCACGAATTAACCTAACCATCTACCTTATAAAAACCCTAACCCATCCCCCCTTGCTAGCTCTCCAATCAAAACCAGTTCAGAAAGCACATCTGGCATTAAAACGAACAACTGTATACGTAAAATACACATTCGCGGAGGAAATGGCAGGAACTACTAGTATGTTCAGCAACAACATCTCTTTCGTGGCCCTTCTGGCCTTCTGCCTCGCCTGTTCTACGATCTTCACTTCTCCGACGGAAGCTACAGGAAATGATACGGCTGCGTTTTACGACTCTCGCGATGCTTGTAAGCCATTTCCCTTCTATTAGAATTCGACACGAACGGTACGGGATGCACGGGGTGTCTTATTTTTTTTTCTATCCTTTTGATGAACTTTTGTAGCTTCTGCCTGCCCTAACGGTACGGTGACCGGAGGGCGATTCCCGGCTATGGTTCCGACCAAAGTATTCGCTAATGGAGCGGCCTGTGGACGGGTGTACGAAATCCGTTGTGTTGGCGCGGTGAACGCTTTCCCGCGTCCTTGCAAAGGGACGCGTTCGGTGACCGTCACCGTTGCGAATCAGTGCGGCGGAGACTGTGACACTTTCACCGTCTCCGCCGACGCTTTCGATGTAATAGCCAAACGCGAGGCCGGCCGTGTTCGGATCGCTTACAAACGGTAAGCAGAAGAAATTACTAGTGAATTCGTTAAATTTTTCAATGATATTTTACAAAATAACCTACAAAAATATGTACTACTTTTTTTTATTTTACAGAGTATATAATTTATCATATTTGAACTTTGGCGGTAAACTAACGTATTATCGCTGCACTCTGAATGTGCAGATTGGGCTAGAGAGTAGAGAGCCATTCATCAGTGGTTGCGACATGTGGATTTTTATTTTATCGGCTGGAGCTTTGAGTGAGTGACGAATTTTCGTATATGTTGTTTTTGACCTTATAAGTTGTTCTGTGATACTCGTGTATTAGTAACGGGTTTAATATGATTTTATCTTGATTTCGTGACTAATATCGATACTATAAGTCTCTGAAAGATTCGCAGTACTATGACCAAATCGGTCTCTTGCCACGGCGGAAACGGTCACAAAATGTCAAGTTCCGGTTCCAACAGGTTATAGCGATCATTATGTGTGGTTGCAACAGTAGTCACATTTGCCTTGTTGGCAAAACATTTGCTGACCAGTACATTGTGATTGGAGACCAAAACTGAGAATGGTCATTAAATATATCTTATTGCGACCAAACTATAAGCTTCGAACAAGATTTTTTTTGACAAAAGTTAATCATATATTTGATCAAAGAAGAGATAGTTACATCCTGGAATTCAGATAGACCAAAAAATAAAAAAAGCGACACGCAGTCGGGTACAAAAGAAGCGCCTTTCTAGCCACCAAATGGGCTACCCTATTACTACACCGACCTACAAACCGCACACTGGACCCAGGAGAGCCTAACAAGCACACTGTAGAACCTCCACAAGAAGGGCCCCAACCTTAGTATCCCTGGCATCAGACTGGCGAAGCTTATCAATAATCACCTTAGCATCCCTTCGAATCGCACCCCAGTAAAGCCCACTCTTCGGCACACTAGAATAGCCTCACGAAGGGACAGAGCTTCCGCCGCCATTGGGTCAACCACCCCTTCAAACTGAAAACCGTGAGCAAGAAGAATTGCCACAGCCTGGTTCCTAACCACCATTCCCCCAACCGCATGGGACCCATACTTTACAGCCCCATCCCACTGACAAACAAGAAGCGGGGTAGAGACCTCCTCACCCACCGGAAGCGCAACCGGGGCAGGGAATCGCTGGACCCTATCAACTGGCAAATCAAGAAGCGTAGTTTTGTGAAAACAGAACTTGACCAATCTTATACAAGTTTTCTCCTTTGAGTTTCTCTGCAAAACGGTTGATGCTCATCCGTTCTCTGCGTGCGACTCTTTGGAAGGAGCTGCGTCGAGCCCTTCTATCAAGATCATAAAATTTTGAAGCTATGGTGACGAAAAATGGTCCGATTTGATGTAGCATATTATTGCTCAATTTGGTTCGAAAGAGAAGATCCATGCATTAAGTGACTCCTTCCGGCCGATTAACGATTCAATTGTTGAGGCTTTAGTCCCCCAATCTAATTACCTAAGGGTTAAAATCGTTCAAGTACTCTCCTAACCTTCATATTTCTGCCTCACAATCTTGAATGGAAGTGTTTCTGGTGCATATATCGAGGTTTCTTCCATCTTCTCGTACAGAAGTAGACGTCCAATATGTCTTTTGCTTGCTTGCAGGAACCCACTTTTTTACAAGTTTCCCCTTGATTCCAAGCAGCTCTACTGCAACGTCACTGATGCTCATCCGCTGCTCGGGCGATTCTGCCGAAGCAACTACTCCGAGTCTAAGTATTGAGAGAACACATTCTTGAACTATAGTGTTTCTGGCGGCGTATATCATTGTTTCTTCAATCTCATCGAGCAAAAATACGTCCAATATCTCATTTGCTTCCTCCCAGGAATCCACTTTAGCATGCAAGTTCAGGTTCAGACCGTCCTCGAACATCTCATCCGTTGGTCTCCTCCCTGTGAACAACTCCAACAACAACATCCCGTAGCTATACACATCTCCGCTCGTAGATACTTCGTTTCCCATCCCATATTCTGCAAATTCAATTGAAGCAACAAAAAAAAAATATTCATGTTATTTCTGAATCACTACAAATAAATTACCTATGTTAGTAAAGGTTGGGTTGGAAAGCTGCAACAAGTACTAGCTCTCACCTGGAGCTGTGTAGCCTATGGTTCCCCTGACTCCAAAGCTGCAGGACAGGCTGCGACTGATAACTATGGCTTTGGCTTCGGGGAAAAGTCTGGCAAGCCCGAAATCCCCAACCACCCCTGTCATTTCATGATTGAGAAGAACATTGCTCGGCTTCAAATCACAATGAACTATTGGAGTCTTTAGGCCGTGATGAAGATACTCCAACGCGTTCGCCACATCAATTGCCACATTCAATCTATCAAGCAAATTCATCGGCTTCTTCCTCGGAGGGGAAGCAAAGTCCGAGTCTGCTTCGATTTCAAATGCAGGGTCATGATGCAGCCATTCTTCCAGGCTCCCGTTGGGCATGTATTCATAAACCAAGGCCTTGAATTCGTTCCCTTCAGTGTCGATGCTCGAGCACGATGTTAGTAGCTTGAGGAGATTGCGGTGTCTGACGGTTCTCAAAACCTCGCATTCGGCTCTGAAGCTCTTGGAAGCTGCAGGGTGAAGAAGGTTCAGAACTTTCACGGCGATAACTTTCCCATCTTTCGGGTCGATGCCTTTGTAGACGCAACCGAAACTTCCCGTTCCGACCAAATTCCGGGGAGAGAATTCTTCAGTCGCCTTCCTCAGGCTGTGGTAAGAAACTTGGGGAAAAGGACTTGCCGAAGATTCTGCATCTAGGTCCACTCTGTTCTTTCTCTTGATGCAGAGCAGAAACAGGACAGATGAAAACAGAGCCAGGGAAACAAAGACGGAAGCTACGATGATTGCCAAGGAAAGCCTCTTTGCTTTCTTATTGTTGTTGTTGCAGAGAGGCAGTGTGAATTCAGGTATACCACCGCACAGTCGACCGTTTCCTGTAACGGTAGCCGCACTCGAGTTTCTGAACACGCCTTCGTTCGGCACTCTGCCATGGAATTTGTTGTAGGACAGATTCAAGCTTGTCAGTGATTGGAAGCTCCCCAGGAACTGCGGGATTTCTCCGGTCAAATTGTTGTTAGCAAAGTCCAAGACTTGAATTCCCTTCAATGAATTCAGAGACATAGGAATCACTCCCTGAAAAGAATTGTTCTGCAACAGCAGCCCCTCCAAACTACTGCAGCTTCCAAGGCTCGCCGGAATTTCGCCGGATAATAAGTTGTGAGAAACGTTAAGTATCCCCAGATTTTTCAAGGTTCCGACTTGTCTCGGCAGGGAGCCTGTAAATCTGTTTTCAGCCAAACCCAAGTAGATAGTTAGAGACTCAATGCTGAGAATTTCTCCAGGGATTTCTCCGGTGAGATTGTTTCCGTCGAGATTCAGGGATAGCAAATTCCGGCAATTCCCCAAGCTTGATGGAATTCCCCCCTGAATCGAACTCTGCTGCATGCCGAGATGTGTCAGCTGGCTTAAATTCCCAAAAGAAGACGGAATTCTACCCTCGGAGAATTTGTTGCCATGGAGATACAATTTCTTCAGATTCCCCAACTTTCCAAGCTCTTCTGGAACAATACCTGTAAACTGATTGTTACCCAAATGCAGCCATTCCAATTTCTTCAATTTCGCCATCCCTTCAGGTATTTTCCCTGTCATCTTGTTATTATTCACCACCAGACTCGAAAGCTCTGTAAAATTAACGACTGATTGCGGCAATGATCCCCCGAAATTGTTGTTATTCAGAGCAACCAACTGCAGACTCGACAGATTGCTGACGGTGGAAAGGAATTCGAGATCACCCGATTCACCGGTTCCAAGCGAATTCGTCGAAACGCTCAGCCACCAGAGCTTATGCAACTTCTCCAATGACGGCAGAGCTCCAGAGATACGGTTGGCGGTGATTGTAAGCCTCTCCAAGTTTGTAGCATTGGACAGCGAAGCAGGGAAGGTCCCGGTGAACTGATTATCGCCGATGTTGAGCTCGGCGAGATTCGGAAGGAGGTTGCCCAATTCAGCGGGGAGCGTCCCCTGAAGCCTATTCACCGGTAAGAAGAGATAGACGATGGAAGAAATGTTGTAGACTGGAAGCGGGATGGCTCCCGTCAAAGAGTTGCCTCCCATTGAGAGCGCGGATAGCCTCTCGAGGCGGCCGAGCGATTCGGGGATCGTTCCTCCCAGGTTGTTGAACCCCATTCCGATCGCTTCCAGAGAGGAAATGTTCCCGAGCGACGACGGGACGCCGCCGGTGAGATTGTTGAGTTCGAGATTCAGATACCGGAGCTTCGCGGTAGCTAGCCTATCGGGAATCCTTCCGACCAGCTTGTTTTTGCCGAGGCTTAGGAAAATGAGGCTGGACCAGCCGGAGGTGTTCCGCGGGATTTCGCCGGTGAGGAAATTGGTGTGGAGATGGAGCCTCTGGAGGCTCGCCAATCTGCCGATTCCGGCGGGGATTTCGCCCGATAAGCTGTTGTTTTGGAGCAGGAGTTCCCGGAGAGATGTGAGATTGGCGATGGATGGAGAAATCGTGCCCTCGAGGAGTCGAGCGCTGAGGTCGAGCCGGGTGACTCTTTCGCCGCCGCCGTCGTTGTCGCAGGTGACCCCTGCCCATTTGCAGAAATGGAATGAAGAAGAAGAAGAGTTGGCGTAGCTGGTCCAGGAGTTGAAGATTCCAAGTGGGTCTGAAGTAATCTTGGATTTGAAATCGAGCAGAGCTTGTTCGTCAGTCTGGTTACTGATTCCACCAGCTAGCGACGACCCAAATGAGCACACGAGCAAAAACAGAGTTGGGAGTATGAAATATGCCATCTCTGAAAACAGAGCGATCACGGTCAAGGAAGGAAGATGCCTCGCGGACGCGGGGTTATCCTGAAGCTGAAGGTTGCTGCTAATTAATATTAGTTTCGAAACTCCAAATCGTAATAGGAATATTTGAATGGAGTTTGTTTTGGTGCATTTTGGCTGAAAGTATCGTCGACTGCAATGTCTGGTATCCTGCAAACTAGCAAAGGGAGATCAAATGCTCAATTGCCGGCAATGTCTTGTTACAGTTGGTTGCCGTCCACTGTGAGCAATGCCGGTCTTAGATTCCCTCTTGTTGATTTGGATTCACTCTCCTGTTAAGATTCTCTACACTCATAAATAATAAAAAAATCTGGTTGTTGTCACTCCCCACCATTTTTAAACTGTCAAAATCTTAATCATCACACTTCCCTTTCAAAGAGAAAGAAACTCCGGCAGTCTCCAAAATGTCTCCTACCTACACCGAAGTCCGGCAGTCTTAATATACTCCGGCCGGCTAGCTTGCTACTAACATGTGGCCGGCAGTCTTAATATTCCTCCTCCTCCTGTTCCCCATTTACCTCCCCACAATAAAAAACCTCGAGCTTCCTTCAAAATTTCTCGCAGACCTCTTTCTCCACTCTGTCTTCCATAGGTAGACTAGATGAACACCAACGTAAAACCCCATTAAGCAAGCAAGAGACCGCTGCGTGAAAATGCATGATTAATGAAGGCAACAACGGTGGTTAATAGGCACATTGCAGTGGTTAATACTTTTAGCCACGTTAACAAATACGGTGGGTAATATTTTCGTGGTTAAAAGTCAAAACGGTTGTTAACCACTATGGTGTAGATATTATTGGCTACGGTAAACCCAACGGAGTTTCATAGGGATAATTGATCATGGGTTAAGAAAGATGGTTTGGTCTAGCATATGATTGCTCAATTTGATTCAAAAGAGAAGATCCATGGATTAAGCAACTCTTTCCGACCGATTAACGATTCAAATTGGTCCCCAATCTAATATCAATGGTAAAAATTGCTCAACTTCTGTTCTCCTAACCCTCATGTTTCTTACTCACAATATTTAATTGAAGTGTTTTTGGTGCATGTATCGAGGTTACTTCCATTTCCGCGAAGAGAAGTAGTAGTCCAATATTGCTTTCGCTTGCTCGCAGGAACCCAATTTTTTACAAGTTTCTCCTTGGTTCCAAGCAACTCCACTGCAACGTCAATGGTGCTCATCCGTTGTTGGGGTGACTCTGCCGAAGCAACCACCGCAAGTCTAAGTATCGAGAGAACACATTCCTGAATTATAGTGTTTCTGGCGGCATATATCATTGTTTCTTCAATCTCATCGACCAAAATTACGTCCAATATCTCTTTCGCTTCTTCCCAGGAATCCACCTTACCATGCAAATTCAGGTTCAAGCCGTCCTCGAACATCTCATCCGTTGGTCTCCTCCCTGTGAACAGCTCCAACAACAACATACCATAGCTATACACATCTCCGCTCATGGATACTTCGTTTCCCATCCCATATTCTGCAAATTCAATTGAAGCAACAATAAAATTTTCTTGCTATTTATGAATCCCTACAAATTAATCACCAATGTTAGTAATGGTTGGGTTGGAAAGCTGCAACAAGTAATGGCTCTCACCTGGAGCTGTGTAGCCTATGGTTCCCCTAACTCCGAAGCTTTTAGACATGCTCCGACTAATGACGGCTTTGGCTTTTGGGAAAAGTCTGGCAAGCCCGAAATCGCCGACCACTCCTGTCATTTCATGGTTGAGAAGAACATTGTTGGGCTTCAAATCGCAATGAACTACTGGAGTCTCCAGACCATGATGAAGATACTCCAAAGCGCTCGCCACATCGATTGCCACGTTCAATCTCTCAATCAAATTCAATTGCTTCTTCTTCGGAGGAGGGGACACGTCGTCCGAGTCTGCTTCAATTTCAGATGCTTGGTCATGATGCAGCCATTCGTCCAAGCTCCCGTTGGGCATGAATTCATAAACCAAGGCCTTGAATTCATTCCCTTCGGTGTCGATGCTCGAGCATGAAGTTAGTAGCTTGAGAAGATTGCGGTGTCTGACGGTTCTCAAAACCTCGCATTCGGCTCTGAAGCTCTTGGAAGCTGCCGGGTGAAGAAGGTTCAGAACTTTCACGGCGATGATTTTCCCATCTTTCGGGTCAATGCCTTTGTAGACAGAACCGAAACTTCCTGTTCCGACCAAATTCCGGGGAGAGAATTCTTCAGTCGCCTTCCGCAAGCTGTGGTAAGACACTTGGGGAAAAGGACTTGCCAAAGATTCTGCATCTGGGTCTACTCTGTTTTTTCTCTTGATACAGAGCAGAAACAGAACAGATGAAAACAGAGTAAGGGAAACAAAGATGGAAGCTACGATGATTTCCATGGAAAGTCTCTTTGCTTTTTTATTTCTCATGCAGGGAGGCAGATGGAATTCAGAAATACCGCCGCATAGTTCGCCGTTTCCTGCAACGGAAGCCGCCGTTGAGTTTCTGAACACGCCTTCGTCCGGCACTCTGCCATGGAATCTGTTGATGGACAAATTCAAGGTTGTGAGTGACCGGAAGCTCCCGAGGAACTGCGGGATTTCTCCGGTAAAATTGTTGTTGGCCAAATCCATGAGTTGAATCCCCTTCAACGAACTCAAAGACGAAGGAATGACACCCTGAAAAGAATTGTTCTGCAACACAAGTGCTTCCAGCAGAACGCAGCTTCCGAGACTCGCCGGAATTTCGCCGGACAACAAGTTGTGTGAAACGTTGAGTACTCCTAGATTCTTCAAGGTTCCGACTTGTCTCGGCAGAGATCCCGTGAGTCTGTTTTCGGCCAAGCCCAAGTAGATGGTTAGAGATTCAATGCTGAGAATTTCACCAGGGATTTCACCGGTGAGATTGTTTCCGTTGAGATTAAGCCATAGCAAACTCCGGCAGTTCCCCAAGCTTGATGGAATTCCCCCCTGAATCAAGCTCTGCTCCATATCCAGATGCGTCAGCTGAGTTAAATTCCCAAAAGAAGAAGGAATTCTCCCTTCGGAGAATCTGTTCCCCTGAAGATACAATCTTTTCAATTCCCCCAATTCCCCAATCTCTTCTGGAACAGAGCCCGAAAACTGATTGTTGCTCAACTCCAACCATTCCAATTTCTTCAAATTCGACATCCCTCGCGGTATTCTCCCTGTTATCTTGTTACCCTTCATCCGCAGACTCGAAACCTCTGTAAAATTAACGACCGATTCCGGCAGCGATCCGCCGAAATTGTTGAAACCCAGAGAAACCAACTGTAAACTCGACAGATTGCTGACACTGGAAATGAAATCGAGATCACCCGCTTCACCGGTTCCAAGCAAGTTATACGAAATGCTCAGCCACCAAAGCTTTTGCAGCTTCTCAAAGGACGGCAGAGTTCCAGAGATTCCGTTATCAGTAATAGTTAACCTCTCCAAGTTGGAAGCATTGGCCAACGAAGCAGGGATCGTCCCGGTGAACTGATTTTGTCCGATGTTGAGCTCTGCGAGATTTGGCCAAACGTTCCCCAATTCAGCGGGGAGCGTCCCCTGAAGCTGATTCAGGGGAACAGAGAGATAGACGATCGAAGAAATGTTGTAGATGGAAAGCGGGAAGATTCCCGTCAAAGAGTTGCCTCCCATTGAGAGTACAGATAGCCTCTCGAGGCGGCCGAGCGATTCGGGGATCGTTCCTCCGAGGCTGTTGAAACCCATTCCGATTGTTTCCAGAGAGGAAATGTTGCCGAGCGACGGCGGGATGCCGCCGGTGAGATTGTTCGATTCGAGGTTCAGATACCGGAGCTTCGTAGTATCGAGCCGGTCGGGAATCTTCCCGACCAGCTTGTTGATTCCGAGGTCAAGGTAGATGAGGTCAGACCAGGCGGAGACATTCCGCGGGATTTCGCCTGTGAGGAAATTGGTGTTCAGATGGAGCACCTGGAGGCTTGCCAAGCTGCCGATTCCGGGCGGGATTTCGCCGGTGAAGCTGTTGTGGTGGAGCAGGAGTTGCCGGAGAGAAGTGAGATTGGCGATGGATGGGGAAATTGTGCCCTGGAGGAGACGATTGCCGAGGTCGAGCCGGGTGACTCTTTCGTCGTTGTCGCAGGTGACCCCTGCCCATTTGCAGAAATGGAGTGAAGAAGAAGAGGAAGAGTTGTTGTGGTTGGTCCAGGAGCTGAAGATTCCAAGTGGGTCTGAAGTAATCTTGGATTTGAAATCGAGCAGAGCTTGTTCGTCGGTCTGGTTGCTGATTCCACCAGCTGGGGATGACCCAAATGAGCAAACAAGCAAAAACAGAGTTGGGATTTTGAAATATGACATTGCCATCTCTGAAAAACAGAGCTCTCACGGACAAGGAAGGAAGATGCCTTGCCGACGCTTGTTTTCCTGAAGCTGGAAGTTGTTGCTAATTATTAGTTTCATTACTCAAATCGGAATTAGGAATCTTTGAAAGAAGATACTGATGGCTGATGGAGACTCGAGAGGATTCTGTTTTGGTGCATTTGGAACCAGCCATGTGGAGACGCCATTGGTACACAAGGTGTTTGTTCTTCTACATGATGGTTTGATTGTTGGATGTCTATGCCATGAAAGTATCGAGTTCTATGTCGTCATTCATGTGGATCTTTGGGAGGAAATCGATTAAGGGTCTCCAGCCGAAAGGGTTCTGTTATTGTTAGTTGTTATTTTAAGCCGCGGAAATATTTTTATTTGGTGGGAGCTTTATGTACGTTTGCCTTTGATCGATGAATATATCTACGAGGAATTTACAATGCTTATAGTATCGGTATGTTGGTTTACAAAAATATTATGGTATATTTAAAAAATCAGTTTGTATCTATAACTTATTGTAAGAAAATATTATAGTACAATATGTCAGTGGCGGACCCAGAAATTTTTCATAGGGGTGTCCTCTTTTAAAAAATAAATTAAATAAAAATAAAATTGTAAATATGAAAATACCTTACTCGTACAGGTTAAAAAAGTCCATGATGTGTTTTCATATTCGAAAATAATTGTAGAATACACTTGGTGTCTATAGTGTTAAAAAATTGTCTCTATATACACTACTAGACAATCATTCACGAACTTATCACATATTTGATTTGTAAACTTGTTCTTGATGTAACCCAAAGCTGAAAGACTCTTTCAACACTTGTCGTACAATCATAAAATCAAGACAAATTAAGGGTAGTTTGAAATTAGTTTAATTGTTAGGTTTTTAAAATAATTAGAGATAGGGAATGCCATTTTACTATTACACATTGTTCAAAATCGAACAACAAATGAGTTTAGCTCAACGGAAATTAAGTTTATTAATAATAATAGTGTTCTAGATTTGAATTATCCAACCTACCACTTATATTCCTATACACAAATGACAGTAGGATAATCATTTTTTTCAAATTTAAAGGGTGTCCCTCAGTCCTCACTATCAATTATATTTTTTTGTGCATACGTAAATTACCACCGGGGTTGGATAATCGTTTTCCCAAAATTTAGGGGTGTCCAGGGACACCCCTAAACCCCCTTGGTCCGCCCCTGCAATATGTATTTATATCTTTATGTTATTGTGCAAACCGAACTTGTATCATATATCACATGAATATACAAATTCATTTTATGGTACAAAGTATTAAATATGTGATCCATAATATATTAGATATATGGCTAAATGTCTAATTGATTAATTGGTGATCAATAGTGTTTGAAACCAAATAGACTAATTCAAACAAACTAAAAAATTTAACCAAACCATGCCAGGTTATCCTACCTATTAACGGTAACCACTCCGTATGAACACTTATATTTCTTGCCGTTTTAATATGTACATTATCCTTGGTACGTGGATTCCGATGGATTTATAGCCTAATGACGATTAAATATAAATCTCTAGCTAGCTTAGTAATAAACATTACGTTTGTCACAGAAACTCTCAAGCAAATAGGGTTAGACTCTTGCGATTATTTTCTAGCTCACTCCTCTAATATAAATAGCCACCGGCCTTAACCCAAAGTCGATCATCCCAATTCCCACCAAAGGCCAAAGAGCTCTTCTCCCTCCCCATATATTTTCTTTGACATGGCCGCCCACTGCAACTCCTCCTTCCCGGCCATCTTACCGGCGCTATTATTGCTCTTTGCTTCCACCTTAGCCCTAACCTTGTGCCAAGCTACTATCCCGCATCCGCCACCGCCGGATCAAAAGAAAGGCACCGGGACCGCTGCCTTCACCGCTTCTCCGATTTCTGGTAAGCGGGGGTTCGTCTTCGGTGCATGCATGTTTTCATGTCAAAACGATCTCAATCGTTAGTTGTGATACGATTTGACGAGGAAATAGATGAATATGCATGAGCATGAAAATGATGTAGAATTTACTTGTATTTTAGAGTTTAGGGTTTCAGGGATTAGGACTAGAATTTGGAGTTATAAAGGGTTTAGAAATTTTAGGTTTAGGACTTAGGATAATACATGGATGAATCGGAGCACTGGTTTATATCATCTTATTAGATTGATAATAGCAACTCAAAATTTGACGATTAAAAACTACATTTAATTTATTGCAATGATTGAAATACCGTACTGTACCGACAGATTGACTAGAAAAACCTTCTGCCAGATGCTAAACTTTAGTAGACGGTATTTAGCAGTATAAAAAAGTATATAGTTAGATATAGTAACTTTTTTTTTGAATAAATTGTCTTGTTTAATTAGCTTACACCAAAGTTGTAGGCTATGATTGGAGTATTGAACTCACATAATAGAAGTTTTAAGTTTGAATTACTACTCCATCCTCCCACAAATGGACAAACTTAGGATATGATAGATCGATATTATCATTATCAGCGGCGGATCCAGGACATAGTAGAGCACTGGGCCGCATTTGAATAGAAAATTAGACACCGTTAAAAAAATGATAGCTATAATTTTCATTACAATGTCAATTGTACATGACGATCTTTTAATTTAGCGAATTCATAAAATAATTGAATCTTCGTCCATAACAATAACATACTCTTTCTCAAAGAAAATAGTTATGCAATCCGCGGGAAATTCATCGCTCATTTTTTTGCTTAAATAAGTTTCACATGTTTCATTGATGAAAATATTATCTCCGTAGTAGCCGTTGAAACAAGCTAGGATAACACTAGACGAATCAACTGACAAATCAATGTGTAGTGTGTATCCATTCTTGTTTCCACCAGCTTCTCTAGTAATTTTGCAAGAAAAGAAACTTCATATTCCTGGCTATGAACCACATGAGCGGTATAATATCGTAGATCATTCTTCAAAGAATGCATCTAATAGCCTTCAAAGTCTCGAGGATAAACTCTTGAGCTAGTTTGTTAATATTTTCTTCATAAAAAAACAGAAATAAATTTTAGGATCAAGTGAACCCCTCAACTGAAGCAATTTAAATGATGACTCAACAAGTTTGTTAATATTTTCTTCATCAAAAAACTCGAAAGAAAATTAGCTCCTGACGAACTAGCGAAGGAATCCGTTTCGGGTTCGTTCGTCTCATCGTTCTTTTTTATTTTTTTGGATTGGAGGAATTTTTTGAGTTTTGACAGAGAAGTTTGAGGTTTAGTTTAGAGGTTTTTATTTCAATGAAACTTTATACTTTTAGTCTTTTACGAGTAAGACTTTTAAGTTTCATTGTTCATTTTATTCTTTTCAAATGAAAATTATTTGGGCTAGAATTTTTAGTCTAAATTGACAGTAGTGGTTTGGATATGTTCATCTATACTATTTTTCAAGTTACACAAAATCCTATTATCAAATAATATTGGACCGAATTTAAATAGCACTAGACCGAACACCTAATATCGAAAAATTCATACGTACTATACCAATTCGGAACCGCAAGAGAACTGGGCCGGGGCCCGGGGTGGCCCAGCACTAGATCCGCCACTGATCATTATTACTCTAACAACGCCTTCGACTTTGAGTTATAAAATACGATTAGAAATGTTGATGATTACTTATTTTTAATGGCTTCAAAAAATAGTTGTGTCAATTAATTAATTAATTAATTATAATCTGGTTGCGTACGTGGCGTCGGGCAGACTCGTCTTGCTTCGGCCGGCGGCACTTCGCCGGCTCAATGTTCACGGGGGTAAACGACGTGCTCTACCGCAACGGCAGCGCCTGCGGGCTCCAGTACAAAGTCACTTGCGTCGGCGCGGCCGTCAAAGGCCAGCACAACCCTTGCCGGCGTCGCAACAACACCGTCACGGTGACGGTCACCGACAGCTGTACGCCGGAGCCTGATGCTCCGGGCAGGAAGCCGGAGCCTTGCCCTACTTTCGTGCTCTCCAAGCCGACTTTCCGATCGATTGCAGCCCTCTCTGCTGGGGTCGTCAGCGTTTCCTATGAGTTGTAAGTGTACTCGCGATCGTGACAAATTGGTTCTTGATATGATATCAGAATCTTAATCCGATGAATTTTTATTTCCTGGCAGGGTGAACCTTTGAGATACCTTGGCGGAGAGTCGATCGAGCCCTTTCCTTTGGTTAATTAAGTAACAGAAGAAGAAGAAGAAGAAAAAAAAGGGAGTTAGAGAAATAAATAATAATGTGGATGTTGTCGCGGCTTTGTATTCTTCGTCGCAAATACTCTTTGGTGATTACAAAGCAGGAGTCAGAGTTGACGACGCTTTTAGATACACACTGACAATAATTAGTGACGAAATATGCCAACGGTCATTAAAAGAAAGAAAGGCTGTCTTTGTACTTGCAAGGTGCCGAGAGAAGAGGCACTCTTGAATCTTGGGATGATTCAAATAAACTACATCTGACTTTCTTTACTTTTATTTTTGTTATATGTTCTTCATTTAAATCGAGACCGTCTAAATTTAGAGTCATGAGATTCGATCAAAGTATGTCCATCTGTGATCAATGTATATATATCAACCCAACCCGTCAGCAACTCGCGAATTGATGATGACTCAAGATCCACCCAACATAATTGACTACCTACCTTGGATGTAATTAATTGACCAACAATATAATCAAACTCCTAATTAAACAACATTGTGTGACCTTACCAAAATTTCATTAGCGATAAGTCCTCGCGGTCCTGCTACACCTGCAGCGACAACAATCTTATACTACTTTCGAACGATTATCGAATTAACAACGTCCCTAACACTTATATACTGTTATTGTATCATCGCGTGATATAGTCATTTAGTTTCAATGTATTTCAGTTGCAGTTGTCGCACTACCAATATTGACAACCCTCCTCTCAATATTACTTGCTTACACCTAATATTCTCTCCACTCTAGAAAGAGGCAAACTCCAATAATATCTTAAATATCATCATCAAGATGAGTCTTCACGAAATATTCACTCGGTAATTTAAGAAATTAAAAGGAAAAAAGTGATCGAGAACAAGCTAATTAACTTTTTTTTTTGCAAATCACAATTTTGTTTTCTTTGACTATTAAAGACGTGATTAGTCAGTCGTCCACATGTATAAATCTGAATCTGATGGCCATTTCCGCAAACACCCAACTATGGACAATATAAAAGGGCCTAGGTAGCTCCAAATACATTATTTTTTTAGGAGACAACTCCAACTACTTAGAGAAACAATGACCAACCAAAAGAGGGAATTATTATTATTATTATTATTATTATTATTATTATTATTATTATTATTATTATTATTATTATTATTATTATTATTATAAAGTTAAGGCATATCAATGTTGAAGGACTCCTTTCTCTAACATATAGTTGTCGCCAATGCTTTTATTATTATTATTTTTTATGATCAGTCGTCGCCAATGTTTCTATGCTAGCCATTTAATTTATGCGTTTTCTCGATTACACGTAGGAATGGCAATGGATCAAAGTCAGGTTGAGTCGGGTTCTATCAAATCCAAACCTAATTCATCGAGTATATTCATAAAAAAAAACGTGAAAAAATCCAACGAGTTCTGGAACCTCAAATTCAATCTAACCAACTGGATATTCGTGGGTTCGTGAATATCTATGTGTTCTGATGGACAAGAATGCATAACACAATCTCATATTAAAAAAAAAAGTCTAACACCAATATGCTCATACAAATTATAAAAAAAAAAATCAATCTAGTACATACAAGCAAACCCACAAATTATCCATATATATAATTATTCAATATTATAAATAAACATCCACGAATAACATGATTAATCGACAGATTGTGGGAGCTAGTATGGGTGTGAGTTAATATCCATGAGTCAAATATATGTAAACCCAAACTCGATCCAACTAGGTAAACAATGCAACGGGTTTCAACCCGAACCCCGACCCACAATCAGGTGCATGCATTGACCGGATTAAGCCGGATGAATACCCGTAGATTCAGATTTTGTTTTCTATTCCTAATTCCTCCACCGTGAAGCTAGTCGTCTAAAATCCATCGACCGCGTCCACCCAAATCACATAGCTTTAGTAACGGGATTTCATTCGGCTGAAGATCCACGTCTTTCCCAATACATGCATGTAGCTTAAGATAATGCTTTCACAGATATAGTTTACACCGTTTGCTTAGTTTAGTGACCAAACATTACGTTTGGCAGAGAAACTCTACAGGTCGTGATCATTCTTCAACAATATTCAGTGAATCTGCTTTCTTTCTTTCTTCTTCTTACCACTGCTCCCTGCTTGTTGATATTAGTGACCAGTCGATCGGCGACCGCCATGTCCGGCCTGAATCTTTTCGTGCTGCTAAGCTTATTTATGCTACTCTGCTCGAGTACAGTAGTCAGCTTGGCAGAATATTATGGCGGCACTGCTGGTTTCACCAGTTCTCCTTCTGGTTAGTCATTCTTTAACATATAACAACCAACCATTTATAATAATTAGTGGCGACATTAAAAATAACGGTATTGTGGGTGTTGCAAAAGTATAATTCAAACCCATATTTAAGCACTACGGCAAACATATATAGGATTCCACGACCAATATTTTCCCGAAAGTTAGATGGTATATAATTTAGCGACACGGAAATTTCTATATTGTGACCAGGAATTGGTTGCAAAAAGTAAATTTTCTCGCTACCAATCCTTTTTAATGACGACATTTTTTTCTTTCTTCCTGCGCTTACGTTTAGCACAAGCGTGCACGTGGAGGCCGCCGATAACGACGATGTTCACCGGAGTAAACCAGGCCCACGGTGCCGTATGCGGGCAAAAGTACAGAGTTAGCTGCGTAGGCCGGGGTGGAAGGTCAGCCGTCTCCGTGCAGAACGGCGGAGCCCGTAGTGGTGGCCGTCACGCGACAGCTGCTCGCCGGGAGCCGACAAGAAGCCTTGCCCGACGTTCGTGCTGTCCGAAGAAGCCTTTGCATTTATTGCAAGGCCTCAAGCTGGGTTTGCCAAGGTTTCCTACGAACTGTAAGAGTGTGTGTTAGCCATTGTACGTACGTCCATTTCTTGCTCAAATATTACAGTTTAAATCTTCCCATTAGTTACACTTGGGTGTAAGCTTGGCCCTAGAGATTCACTAACTCACTCCGCCTTGACATGCACGATCCTGAGCGAGTCGTGGCTTGGGTCAATTTGTCTACATGGTCAGTTTAGATCAGGTCATTTTTTGACCCTATGAAAATAAGGTAGGAATGTAGGATAGGGTCTGTGACCCCATGGTAATAAATAGTAATATGAAATTCCTCATACCAACACATTGAAGTTATTTATAAAGTTTTAGAATTTTAGGTATTATAATGCAAGGTAAAAAATATAAACGTACTAAAATATTAATTTTACCACCAAAAAGTATGGACCTATTTATTAAAAAAATGAAGTTTAGGTACAAGAAAAAATAAATTTGAGTACCAAAATGAAATTTTAAAAATTTTATGACCGGAATTGACCCTTGAGAGATGGATCAGACAGAAAGTAGGAACGGATCAAACTAATTTTCAGCCCTAATTGCACTTAACTTCGTGCATGGTTCGTGTTAATTTGTCTAACAAAAATCTCATTTTCTCTGCAGGGACCAATAACCGATCGTATATATATGTCCTTTTACGCCGACAATCGAAAGACGTACTTTTGCTCAATCACAGATTGATCTTGTTGTTCATGGCGACACAAACATGTATTAGTAGTTTACTCTGTATTTCTTTTGGGCTGATCTTTTCTTTCTGATAATGAAACATGCATGTGTTGGTTTAGATGTTGATGGTTTCGATATTTTCGTTTCCTCGATCTTTTCTTGATGATATCAGTACACACCTAGTTGGCTAGTTGGTTGGTTTCCATAGATAACTTATTTTTTTCTCTATAAGAGTAGCCTATCCTTGTATCACCAAAGGGAAGACTTTTATGATTTGGAGAATCCGGACAAATTTATGTGAGAAACCGAACACAAAAATTAGGGTTATCGATCCAATTGAGTTGCAGATTATATTATTTTTTTGTAAAACGTTCGTGTGACACTTCCTCGTAATTAAGCAAAACTCATCCCCATCCCATATTCAAACGGTGCAAGGTTTTTCAAACTCATCCACGTATTTGTGGGTTTCGGATATCCATGGGTAATACCCGCCCCGTACACCCAACATATAATAATACATAAAATTTTACACATAAATTTTCAACAATAACATTAAACGCACCTACTATATCATGAAGTTGACAAAGAGACAATAATTCTTAATACGGTTCAAAGCATCTTATCCTAAAAATATTTATTAATTCATAAGATAGAGTACAATATAATCTTAATTATTATTCTCTTACTCTAATACATCTACTAAATCATAATTAACTAACATTATCTTCTTAACACGAGGAAAAAAGTGAAAGAGGGAAAGGAGAGTTGAGGTAAATGAATTGGATTGTGATTTGGGTGGTCGCTCAATTGCATTTCTACTATTTATTTTCTTATGTTGCCCTCACACTATCATCGATAGGTTACGATTTGATCCATGTATTTTTCATAGGTGAAGAGATGTTCTTGCTGGGGCGGATATGGGTATGGGGCGGGGAGGCTAAAACCATACTGTCCCATACCTATTAAACGTTTTGCGAGTTTTCCCCATATCCAGTCAATACTGGGTTGAGGGCAGTCATGTACCCACGACCATAGGTTTGATAACGCTATACGTTACCAGGCTTGCATTCGGCTGAAGATCCACGTCGATTCCAATATCTACTAATCTAGACCGCTGCGTAATTAGCTAAGGGATAAACATGATTACGTTTGGAAGAGGGAACTCTGACCAGGTTTGTATTCTCCAATCAACGGTCATTAATTTTAACAATTAATTAACAATCAGAATCCCACTAAGCCAACCTTCTTATTCATCCCACTCCTACAAATAGTGCGGCAAATGTGTTGAAGTAATTATCACATCCAATATCCCACAAACACAAATCTATTCCCGACGGTCTGATCGGATTTTCTTCGACGCTGCCTCTTCCGGTGACGGTTTGTTTATATATACAGTCGGTCGATCGCCATGGCCAGAAACCAGAACTCTCTCTTGCTCCTAAGCTTACTTCTGCTGCTCGTCTCAAGTGTCCGCTTGGCGTTGTCTGAGACCGGCACTGCTAGTTTCACCAATGCTCGTTATTCTGGTAGGTCATGATATCAATTATCAACACCTATTAACAGCTAGCCTAACGACAATTTCGATCTGATACATTTTACTCAACGCTTATTTGGCCTGTTTACTCGTTACGTATGTGGGACGGAACGGTTGGATAGGTATTCTCCTCGGCCAGACCTATCCAGACTCACATCATTCTCGACCAGTTTTTACCTGAATTACGTGTAATTTTATCCAAATTATTTAGAATTTTACTCGTATTACCTCAGATTTTAGCTATGATAAAGTTATAACCAGGCGATAACCTCAATTTCTCCAATAATTTAACTATGGTTATCATGTTATAGCTTGTCTCTTGAGTTTTTTAATGGAAAAAAAATTCTTATTTCTGATATTTTCTCTTTAAATTACATACACAAATGTGTGGATATATCCTGACCCGCATTCCAAAATAAATTACCTTATTTTTCATTGCGCTTATAAAAAACCCGTCCAACCTGCCCATTGCAATTTTTTATAGCCTACCGTCAATACGAGGATTTCGCGACCAATCCATTTCCGTCAGTTGGATATTGGTCGCCTGTTAATTTAGCGACACAAATTCTTTTTATTGATGGTGACTAATTCCTTAGTCGACTCATTTTATGGATTTGGTTAGGAAATCAGGGTTTTGGCAACCAGTTATAAAAAGGAAAACAAAAGATGATCAGCTCCTAGTAACACAATTGGTTGCAAAAAAAAAAAAAAAAAAAACTTTTACCTCATATTTCAATAACGCGTTGGCTGCATGCATGCATGTGTACGTAGAGCAATCGTGTACGGAGAAAGCGCCCACAACCCCGATGTTCACCGGAGTGAGCGACAAGCTCTACGGCAACGGCGACATATGCGGGACGAAGTACAGCGTCACTTGCGTCGGCGGGGTGGCCGCCGACCAGCCGTCTCCCTGCAGAACGAGCACGCCCGTCGTGGTGACCGTCACCGACAGCTGCTCGCCGGGATCCGATGAGAAGCCTTGCCCTACGTTTGTGCTGTCCGCAAAAGCTTTCGCATTGATTGCGAATCCTCGAGCAGGAGAAGCTAGGATTACCTACGAACGGTAAGGAGTACGTCCTCCATTTATTTTTTTCTGCTCATCAATATTGTTCAATTTTTGTGTGTCAAGAACCAGTTGATCCCAATAACTCCAGTTGTTGAGAAAGGTTCAATCGTGGATCATTTATCGTTTACTAACATCTGATATCATGTCAAGAACCGGTTGATCCCAATAATTCGAGTTGTTTGAGAGAGGTTCAATCGTTGATCATTATATCGTTTACTAACATTGCAATTCCTACTGAATTGCTTTTTGTTGTCTCTGCAGGACTTATTAGTCTCGAGATAGCTAGTGTGTGCCCTTTTACGGGCCGACGATATCGAAGAGACATGCTCCTTGATCTAATAAAAACACGATCTAAGTTTGTTTAAGAAAATGATATGGTGTTGTTGATTTTGAGATGGTTTTTTAGTGATAGATACGAACTTTTATTGCAATAAGGATGCGACATAGATGAATATGTTTAGCAAGAGTTCTAAGTTTGGGAAGCCTAACTCGATTGGGTTGAAGCTCGACTACCGGTGGGCTATGGGAGTCCCCAAACCCGATTATGGCCATTGTTATAGTTACGACGGAAAATAATAAAATAATACGTATTATTGAGCCGGAGGCATACGTATAAAAATAATAGAATGTTTGAAAGCCAACAATGACACTTGTCTATTCTAGTTGTAATAGTAGTTTGGGTTCAAATAATTTCAAGGAATGACTTTAGAAGAAACACGATAGAAAAATGGACTTATGCACAGTAGTTCGATAAGGATGACAATGGGGTGAATTTGCCTAAATCATCCTCATCCTCGCTTTCAAATATTCAAACTCATACCGGCCCCATACTCATGCTGGGTAAGGTTTTTCAAACCCATCTTTGTACCCGTGGGTTTGAGTACCCATGGGTATTCCTGCCCCGTACATCCAACATTATAATACATATAATTTCACACGTAAATTTTCAATGACAAAATTAAAAGCACATACTATATCATGAAGTTGACAAAGAGACATTCATTATTAATACAGTTCAAAGCATCTTATATTACAACGTCTCTTAATCCATAATATAGAGTACAATGTAATCTAAATCATTATTATCCGACTCTGATAAATCTACTAAGTAATAACTAACATTATATGTTTGTAAAAAAAAAAACTAACATTATCTTCTTAGCACGAGGCAAAAAGTGAAAGAGTAAAAGGGGAGTTGAGGAAAAGGAATTAGGTTTTGATTTGGGTGGCCACTCAATTACAGTTTTACTATTTTATTTTCTTGTGTTACTCTCACTATCATTGATAGGTTACAATTTGATCCATGTATTTTTTACATGTGAAGAAATTCTCTTGGTGGGGCGAGTATGGGTATGGGGCGGGGGCTAAAACCATACTCGCTCATACCCATCAAACGTTTTGTGGGTTTTACCCATACCTGCCCAAAACCCTGTTAGTGCGGGGATTCCCTGCGTTAACTGGGTCGGGGATCTGCAGTCAGGGGTTTGATTGCTATCCCTGCAGCTCGACAATGATGAGCAACATAAAACTTCCATGTAATTTGGTGAGGGTTTATGAGTTGAGTAATTGTTGTTGAGGTAATCTCTTATTCTTGTTTGCTTATTTAATCAAATTTGACCGTAGAATGGTGTTATTATGTACTTGTATTGGATTGAGTTTATTATGAATTGATATCTAGGTTAAATTGTTTTCATTCAATGATAAAAAAAAAAACCTAAAAAAAACATGTATACACATACATAGGGGCAAAAATCTACAAAAAAAATGCATGATTGAAAAAAAGAGGAAAACTAAGTTGATTGTTTTGGTTAGTTACATATCGATTAATTTGATCTAACTTTATCGAATCACTTACATAACAATTATCCAATTAACCAACAAAATTACTTATAGTTAACCGACTAATATAAATGATAACGTAATTAACAGTAAACACAAATGGTTCAATAGTTAACCGATAACCAGTGGCGGACCCAGAAATTTTATATAGGGGTGTCCTCTTTTAAGAAATAAATAATAATAAAAATAAAATTTAATAAATATTAAATAATTCTTAAATAAGAAAATAGCCAATTCTTACAAGTTAAAAAAAAGTTCATAAGTATTTTTCATATTCTGAAAAAATTGTAAAATACACTTGGTGTCTACACTGCTCAACAAAGTTGTCTCGGTATATCCTACTAGACAATCATTCACGAACAAATGCATATTCGACTTCTAAATTTGTTCTTGATGTAACTCAAAGCTGAAAAGACACTTTCAACACTAGTCGTACACCCATAAATTAAGGGTAGCTTGTAATTAGATTAATTGTTAGGTTTTGAAAATAATTAAAGATAGAGACTAGGGTTTTTGAAGGAACTATGATTCTGCGGTAACTTGGGATTAACGTAGCCAGATAGATTAGAAAGAGATTTAGGAATTGAGAGAAATAATTAGGAATTTGAGAAGAATAATTGGGAAATTGAGATAGGAAGAATAGAATTGGGAATTAGAGATTAGGAGAAGAAGAGGGATAAACTGAATAGGGTTTGATTACTGATTTCTGACCAAATCCAACGTAATGACTCAAATACATATTTATAGGGAAATAAGCCTAAAAACCTAATGATACCCTACTAATCTACTTGGCACTAATCGGCTGCCTAACCCCCTAACCACCTCAATATTTATGTTTCCTACAATTTTGCTATTACACAATGTTTAGAATAGAACCACAAAAAAAATTGTAGCCTAATGAAAATTATATTTATTAATAGTAGTAGTGTCCCGGGTTTGAATTATCCAAACTACCACTTATATTCCCATGCACAAACTACAAACGAGAGTAGTATAATAATTTTTTCAATTTTTAGGGTGTCCCAGACTATTAATTATAATTTTTTTTCTATACGTAAATTACCACCGGAAGTTAGATAATCGTTTTTTCAAAATTTAGGGGTGTCCGGGGACACCCCCAAACCTCCCTGGGTCCGCCCCTGCCGATAACCAACTAAAAAGTTACAATTATAATCTAGCCCAACCGACTAAAATCCGGTGACTGCCCCTGTCCAAGTCACAACGCTATACGTTACCAGGCTTGCATTCGGCTGAAGATCCACGTCGATTCCAATGCATGCACGTAGCTTAAGACAATACATTACTCCACAAATATACTAATTTTACACCGCTGCGTAATTAGCTAAGGGATAAACGTGATTACGTTTGGAAGGGAACTCTCAGGTTTAATTTGTATTTTGCAATCAACGGTCAATATTTTTAACAATAATTAACAATCAGAATCCCACTAAGCCAACCTTCTTAATCATCCCACTCCTTCCCCCCTACAAATAATTGGGCAAATGTGTTGGAAGAAATTATCACATACAATATCCCACAACACACAAATCTATTCCTCAGTCTAATTGATCAGTTAGTCGATCGATTCGATTGTAATGGCGGCCCAGAACTCTCTCCTGCTGCTAAGCTTGCTTCTGCTGCTCTCCTCGAGTCTCAGCTTGGCGTTTCGCGTGACTGGCACGGCTGGTTTCACCAATGCTCGTTATTCCAGTAAGTCAGCATTATGAACGCCTAATTTTCTGCCCGTTTATAATGAACTTATCATTATGAGGATTTCGTGACAAAAATATTATTCGCGACCGCTGGTTTCACCAATGCTCGTTATTCCTGTAAGTCGCATTATGAACGCCTAATTTCCTGCCCATTTATAATGAATGGATCGTTATGAGGATTTGCGTGACAAAAAAATTATTCGCGACCGATCGAATACAGCTCTCAAGTGTACGATTCAGCGACACAAATCTTTTCTTATTACATCATGGCACTAATTACGGCCTTACTCGAGTCGTTTTATAAAATGACCGATTTAAAACTGAGTCAATTCAAATTACCTTCCTTACTATAAATAATCGTAATTGTCTCAAAACGAGTCATCAATTCAATTCGAAACTCTCCAAACCAAATTATTTCATCCAAAATTTCATGTTGCCTAATGGATCAACATGTTCCGTTAAAATTCCTTAGTACGAGTCCTTTTTAATAACGTCGTCTGCCTGTGCAGAGCAAGCGTGCACGGATAGAGCACCCGCGATCACGATGTACACCGGAGTGAACGACAAGCTCTACGGCAACGGCGACATATGCGGGGCAAAGTACAGCGTTACTTGCATCGGCGGGGTGGACGGCCAGTCGTCTCCCTGCCGGACGAGCAACCCCGTCGAGGTGACCGTCACCGACAGCTGCTCGCCGGAGGCCGATAACAAGCCTTGCCCTACGTTTGTTCTGTCCGCCAAAGCGTTCGGATTGATTGCCAATCCCCAAGCTGGGTTCGCTACCATTACCTATGAACGGTGAGTACGTAGTTAAGTAGTGTGGGTTTTCTACGCTTTTTTCCTCTAAAAAAAGACAGTAAAAAAAGTCCTTGTACGACTTGAACTCGGATTCCTTCAGCTCGACGAAGTCGTTTTTAGTTTAACTTTTTTATTGTCTCTGCAGGGTCATATCTTCTTGAGATATATATCTATGCCGTTTTATCGGTCAACAATCGAAAAGAGAAGCTAAGGGGAGAAGTTGATGAAGATCGTGTAATAAACAGTTGCCGGGCCGATTGTATTGCTCAATCATATCGCGTCTTAGGGTTTGTTCATGGCAACATGTGTTAGTATGTGACTATGTGCTGTTATTACTGTTGGTTTCATCATTTTCTTTCTGACAATAATGCACGGATGTAGAAGCTGGATCTTCTTCTTTATGAAAATGAGGTGGTGTTTTCTTGGGATGATGTTGATTTTGTGATGGAGATCCCTATATAGCTTACTTCGTGTAGGGGTGGCTATACGGTCTGGTCCGGTTAAATTGGCCCAAATTAATCCGGTCCAGTCCGGTCTTTTTGAAAATATAAGGACCAAAGATTGGATTGGATACAGTTCGATCTTGATCCGGTCCGGTCTCAATTTGGTCTTGATTTTACATTGAGATTGTGGGATTTGAGTGGCCTAAGGCCTTAAAGGGTGAGGAGTTTGTTAAGTTTTGTACAAGTGCAAAGGTTTGTGACCGTTTATGCAAATTACCCTTAAGTTTTGGGTGTTGAGCTCTCTTATCCGGTTTTTATCCGGTTTTTACCTCAAATCTAAGCCCAAAGATTGAATTGGATTGTTTACTATCCGGTCCCGATCCAGTCTCGGTCCGGGTTATACGGTCCAATTTCCGGTTTTTAATCCGGTCCCGATCAAAATAGCCACCCCTAACTTCGTGTCACTTCAACAACAATTTCACTTTTGCATACGGTGAAGTTTCAAAAAACGATTCGAGACAGCATTTACTGCTTCGCAAATCGCAAAACGATAATATAGTTGTGATTGCTTGATTTCAGGGTTCGAGGGTTAATTAGTAGAAATTAGTGGAGTCCGAGTTTGAAAATCTGGCATGTTTACCTATGGTTTGTTTTGTTCATTCAAATACAAATTGTCAGATTGCTTCATTCGTGTTCTACAATGTTCACTACGCAAATCTGAAATGACCCAAACTCGGAATTGTTCATAGTATTTTTGGGCGGATTGAGATACAACCATGCATGTGGCTCTATCTGTATATTTCTTCTGCCCAAAACAACCAACCATGTGGCTCTCACTAGGGGGTGGGCAGTGGGCGGGTTGGGTGGGTTTTGGTGTCATATCGATCCACCCGCTTACTAGCAAGTTGGAATAATTGTGACTCGCAATCCACCCACATTTTTCTGCGGGTTGGATGGGTGGCGGATGGGTGCCGTTGGGTCGCGGGTCAACCCGTAAAAGCAATTTTCCAACTAGCCATTAAGAAAGTTGACTAACACTAATAATAAGTTCATAGCAAATTAGTAAATCTGTATCAATAATTTGTGATTTTGATGCAATTAATAATTTATAGTTTGCATCCCAATATTTAATGGATATTAACAATAATTTGCATACCAATATCCATAATCTAATGGATATTGCACAACACACCAACCAATAATAGTACTCCAAATTATTCTTTGTTTTTCCACCTTTTGAAGTATATGGTCAAACGTAGTGCAGTTCGAAAATATTATAAATATTCGATACTATAAGAAACAACATTTTTTCATGTGAAGATAGGATGGGGTAATACGGGTGACCCGCAATCCACCCACCACCCACTAGGGGTGGCTATACAGTCCGGTCCGGTTAAATTGGACCAAATTGATCCGGTCCCAGTCCGGTCTTTTCGGGAATATAAGGACCAAAGATTGGATTGGATACAGTCCGGTCTTGACCCGGTCCGGTCCCAATTTTATCTTGATTTTAGGTGTTGGGGGTCTATTATCCGGTCTTTATCCGGTTTTTTACCTCAAATCTAAGCCCGAATATGAGATTGCATTGTTTGCTATCCGGTCCCAGTCCGGGTTATACGGTCCGGTTTCGGGTAAAACCAAACAGTCCGGGACCAAATAGCCAGCCCTACCACCCACCCACATAAGTGTGGGTGAGAGATTTATCAATCCGCAATCCACCCACATCATTCACCTACTACGTGCGAGTCGAGTTATTTGCGGGTGGATCGATATCAATCCGCGGATTAACCACCCACGTGCCCACCCCTAGCTCTGACTGTAAAACTATCATTAACGTGCTTCGCTCTCCATCCTCGAGAGGAACTTGGCAAATCATGTCTTGAATCCATTACATGCGCGCTATCCTCTCGCAAAACCATATAATTAGAGTTGAGTTTGTGCACCGTACTTGTAACAAAATGGTTGATTGGGTAGCTAAAGAGGCTTGTAAAGGATCTCTCTCATTGGACTGGATTCACATTCTTGATGTTGTTTTTCCTCTTCTGTAAAGGCCTTATTGCTTGTAACACAATCGCTTATGAATAAAGTTGTCACTTTGTAAAATAAAAAACAACCATAATCTAAATATATGATAAAACGTGTAATTATTATTATTATTATTATTATTATTATTATTAAGTTAAGATAGATTATCAATCGTGAAGGACTCCTCTCTCGAACGTATAATCGTCGCAAATTCTTTTATGCTGTTAATGCTATTCCTCGATTCCACACCACCACCGTCCAAATCACAAAGCTTTATCGACATCACGTTCACATGCTTGCATGATCGGCTGAAGATTACGTCCGACGCCGATCCCGATGCATGCATGCAGCCTAGGGATAAACATTACGTTTGGAAGAGAAACTCTCAAGTTGTAATTTAGTAAATATATTTTGAAAATAATCAGAAATCCCACTAAACCAAACTTGTTAATTAATAATCCCACTCCTTTCCCCCTACAAATAGTTGGGCAAATGTGTTTAGTTATATAGTCGCGTCGGTCGATCGCCATGGCCAGAAACCAAAACTCTCTCTTGCTGCTAAGCTTACTTCTGCTGCTCGCCTCAAGTCCTGTCAGCTTGGCATGGCCTGTGATGGGCATTGCTGGTTTCACCACTTCTCGTTATTCTGGTAAGTCATTAATTATTAACGCCTAATAACACCCTGCACCAGTTATAATGAACTAATCACTACGATGATTTCGCAACTAACACTTTCCGTCACCTAAATATTCGTCACAAGTTCAATTTAGCGACACGATTTTTTTTTTTTTTTGGCTGCGGCATTATCCGCGTTACTAATTCCTTACTTGAATAGTTAGTTTTTTTCGATTTGGTAGGGGAGAATTACGGTTTTGGATGCAAACGATGGGAAAAAAAAAAAACTTAAATTTTCGGGACCAATCGCTTTCGTTGTCTAATGTCCAAGTTTCGGTCACAAAAAGCGGTACTTTTTTTGTGTAGATTACCGCTTTTTTGTGTAGATTAGTTACCGAAAACACAAAAGGTGATAAGCACTTTTAGTAACACTAACACAATTGGTTGAAAAAAAAAAAAAGTAAACGCTTCTTGTAGTTATTATGATTGTCAAGAACCAGTTGGTCCCAATAACTCTAGTGGTTGGGAGAGGTTCAATCGTGGATCATATACCACATATTAACACACCACTTTAAACGAAAGCCACCATATATGGGCTTGAAGTTTGTACAGACATCAGACACGATGTGCTAACAAATGGAGGTTGCCGGGATTCGAACACAAGACATTTCGGTTACAGAAGACTCTGATACCATGTCAAGAACCAGTTGGTCCCAATAACTCGAGTTGTTGGAAGAGGTTCAGTCGTAGATCATATACCACATACTAACAATGATCTCTAATCAATCCACCTAGCTAGCTGATGAGATTAGGAAAAAAATTTGCTGATAAGGTCTCCAAAAAAAATTCCATCAATCAGATCAACGATGACTACGGTTCTTTCATCGATAGTATGGTTGCATACGAGCTATCGCGTATCGTTATTGTCGGTTTTGTTATGTGGTTCTCTTATCCTGCACCTTCTTGACATATCTTGGACGGAAGAAAAAAAAATCAACGACTAAGATACCAATCCTTTTCCAATAACATCGTCGAACGATGATTTATGGACGTGTAGAACAATCGTGTACCGAGAAAGCGCCCACGATCACGATGTTCGCCGGAGTGAGCGACGAACTCTACGGCAACGGCGAGATATGCGGGGCAAAGTACAGCGTTACTTGCATCGGCGCGGTGGACGGCCGTCCGCCGTCTCCCTGCAGAACGAGCAATCCCGTCGTGGTGACCGTCACCGACAGCTGCTCGCCGGAAGCTGCGAAGCCTTGCCCTACGTTTGTGCTGTCTGCAAAAGCGTTTGCGTTGATTGCGAATCCTCGAGCAGGGAAAGCTTTGATTACCTACGATCGGTAAGGAGTAGTCCTCCATTTTTTTTTTGGTTTCATCTTTGCGATCCTACTAAATTTCAATTTATTGTTCTCTGCAGGGCTGATAATTAGTCTTGAGACTTGCTCCTTGATCTAATAAAACACGATGGAATAGCTGGTCGGTCGTATTGGCATCCGTATTCGATAATATAATGATTTAGACGCTCGGACTGAATTATTTTGTATTATGTCTGTCTACCCCACGTAGGGATGTTAACCAGTTATCCTGTTAGCCGTGTAACTGATAATCGATTAAACAATAAACAGTAGGTTATCGATAATCAAATTTAGCTAGTTAGTAACCGACGGCTAAACGACTAGTAATCAATAATCAAACGACGCCTAACCAACTAACCTTTTACGGTCATTGTCACAGTTAGGACCGAAAATAATATATATATCAATGAGTCGCAGGCCTAGACCGAAAAGAATAGGATGTTTGAAAGCCTACAAGATCCCTTGCCTAGACCGAAAAGAAAGATGTACTTACACACAGTAGCTTAACAATCATCAACAACATTAAAACTTTCATATAATTTGGTGGGGGTTTATGAGTTGAGTAATTATTGTTGGGTCTCTTATTCTTATTTGCTTTTTTAACCAAATTTAACAGTAGAATGTTTTTATTGTATTCTTATTTGCTAACCTTATAGGGGTTAGCACCGTGATAACTAGCAAAAATCGCTACTAAAAATAACGAAATCACTACGAATTATTATAAAATCAATACAACATCTAAGCTAAATCACTACTAATTCAAACTAGTAGTACTTTTTCCGTTGGTTAGGACGGTGCTAACTATTGTACAATTAGCACCGTAGCCGTTCCCCTTGTACTGTATTGAGTTGATTATGGATCGATATCTATTTTAAATTATTTTTACTCAATGATAAAAAATATAAAAAAACAAACACATACATGTACAGGGAAAAAAAATCTAGAAACGATGTAATTAACTTACATCGTTAACCATTTACGTATAACTTACAGTTAATTGACTAATATAAACGATGCAATTAACAGTTAAACACAACCCAAAACCAATGTACCACGCCGGCCGGCCGGGCATTAACACTATTTATATTATCGATGCTACCGACAAACTGGCCGACTACTTTACCAGGTTTTCATTCGGCTGAAGATCCACGTCGATTCCAATGCATGCATGTAATTAGCTAAGGGGATTAATTACATGATTGCGTTTGGAAGTTTGCAATCAACGGTCAATATTTTAAAAAATTAACAATCAAAATCCAACTAAGCCACCCCTACATAAAGTTCGGCAAATGTGTTGTAAGTAATTATCACATCCAAAATATCCCACAACGCAAATCTATATTCCTTAGTCGAATCGATCGATTTCCCTCTTAACACTACTAGTTCCGGTAACTGTTTGTTTAATTTTACATAGTCAGTCGATCAATTGTCATGGCCAGAAACCAGAGCTCTCTCCTGCTGATAAGCTTACTTCTGCTGCTCTCCTCATCAAGTGTCAGCTTGGCAACGCCTGTGACTGCCATTGCTGGTTTCACCAATGCTCGTCATTCCAGTAAGTCGCATTATGAACGCCTAATTTTCTGCTATTTTATAATGAACTAATCGCTACGAGGATTTCGCGACAAAAAAAAAGTTATTCGCGACCGGTTAAATATATAGGTCAAGTGTACATTAATTCAGCGACACAAATCTTTTCTTATTGCAGCATGGCCACTAATTCCTTATTACTCGAGTCGTTTTTTTGAATTTGGCAAAGGAAATTAGGGTTTTTGGCTACCAATGATCAAAAGCTTAATTTGTTTTCAGTTGGTCTTCTAATCTCTAAATTTCGGTCACAAAAAAATGGTGCTGATTTCTGTAGATTAGTCACCAAAAACAAAAGGTGAAAAGGTGACCAGCTCTTCTTGTAAGTGAATTGGTTGCAAAAAAAAAAAAGCATCTTTTATAGTCGTGATCATGATAGATTAGACACTAATTTACTCGGTGATGATCAAAGGAGCTGTTTGGATGGATCAATTTCCAAACGAGATAATTATAGTCGTCTCACAACTCTAAATTCCCCGGGCCAAATTGCTTTATCGTCCAAATTTCATTCTAACAAACGGGTCTACATCTTGGCCCAGTATATTATCTCAAAACTAGACAATTGGGTCAAATTGATCTATCAGAATTCTTCATCCACGCGACCGGCCCTAAGTACGAATCGTTTTTTCAATAACGTCGTCTTCGTCGTTTGCCTGTGCAGAACAAGCGTGCACGGATGAAGCACCCGCGATCGCGATGTTCGCCGGAGTGAACAGCAAGCTCTACGGCAACGGCGACATATGCTGGATAAAGTTCAGTATTACTTGCATCGGTGGGGTGGCCGGTCAGTCGTCTCCCTGCCGAACGAGCGATCCCGTGGATGTGACCGTCACCGACAGCTGCTCGCCGGAATCTGATAACAAGCCTTGCCCTACGTTTGTGCTGTCTGAAAAAGCGTTCGCATTGATTGCGAATCCTCAAGCTGGGTTCGCTACCATTTCCTACGACCGGTGAGTAGTAATTACTTTACCCAGCTCGAGGGAATCCATTTTTTTTTTCTTTTGTAAGGAAGTGGTTAAGCACCATACACGGGCCTGTATAAGATCCAGCATAACCTTCTCCCAACAACTTGAGTTATTGGGACCAACTGGTTCATGACATGGTATCAGAGCTGGTTTGTCCTTGAGGTCACGTGTTCAAGTCCTCACGACCCCCAATATTAACCGTTGTCTTTCAAGCACATGGTAGGGCTAGGCCTGTGCAAACTTCAAGACCATGAGTCGGCTTTTGTTTGAGGGGGGCGTGTAAGGAAGTGGTTAAGCACCATACACGGGCCTGTATAAGATCCAACATAACCTTCTCCCAACAACTCGAGTTATTGGGACCAACTGGTTCATGACATGGTATCAGAGCTGGTTTGTCCTTGAGGTCACGTGTTCAAGTCCTCACGACCCCCAATATTAACCGTTGTCTTTCAAGCACATGGTAGGGCTGGGCCTGTGCAAACTTCAAGCCCATGAGTCGGCTTTCGTTTGAGGGGGCGTGTAAGGAAGTGATTAAGCACCATACACTGGCCTGTATAAGATCCAGCATAACCTTCTCCCAACAACTCGAGTTATTGGGACCAACTGGTTCATGACATATTTCTCAATATAATTGGCTTGGGTGATCTGGTACAAAACTCCTGCCTGCAAAATTCCGGTCGTACGCGATCAAATTTTGTAGGTCAAGAATTTATATCATAGTCTCTGCCATCGTAGTTAATTTTTTTTGGCCTCTGCAGGGTCGTGGAGTCTTGAGATAGCTATGCCCTTTTACGGCCGACAATCGAAAAGAGAAGCATGCAAGGGGAGAGAAGTTGATGAAGATCGTGTAGCTCTGGTGTAATAATAAGCAGTTGCCGGACCGATATCGTATTGCTCGATCATGTTGCACCTTAATTAGTGCTGAGAATTCGTTTAGAGAATTGGAAGTTAAATCACTAGATTTTAAAACAATTCAAAAGTCTAAACTTCGGGAATTATTGAAAAAGAATTTTGAACAGTATAGTGTTTGATAGCTATTATTATTGACATTTAACGAGAAAAACTAATTATGTATGCGAGATATTTGAAATCTCTTAACCTAATATATCTAATATATGATAGAAAAAAATATAACAAACAACACGACTTATATTAAATGTAAGAATTTAATGAATTCATACTCAAAATTTCATCTCCAAACTCTTGTGTTCTTTGAACTTAAAAACATATATTTCGTATTGCGCGTAATTGATTAGTCTGTGAAAGGATTGATTTACGTTAGAAGTTAGACAAATTAACTTCGCTTTGGTTACGGTACAAAACTCGGGGGCTAATATTATGCAAGATATGTGTCATGCCACTTCTGATACGAATCATATACTACATCCTGATTTGATCCTATCAGGGGCGGCATGATTCTTATAAGGTTTGGTAAGACATGAAATTTATAAGGGAGCACTTCTACTATGCTATAAAGCGTTGGTGCTTTAATGTATAACTAAAGTTGTACCATAACGTTAAATGTATGAGTTCATGGTGTACCATAAAGGAATTTGTACTCTTATGTTATAGTACAACTTTACAAGTTCAAGTTGTACCGTCACGTAAAGGTACAAGTTCAAGTTGTACCATAAAAGAATTTGTACAAATAGTATAGGTACAATCTGAAGTTGTACCACAACGTTAAAAGTATAAACTTCAAGTTGTACCATAAAAACAAAAACCTATAGCACCGGTGCTACATAACATTGTAAAATTCATGTTTATAAGGTTTTGTTGTTCTGAGTTTTATATCCTTTTCCCATGTATAAATAGTACAACATTTGTACAAAAATAAATACCTGAAAATGCCACTATTAATATTTTTTTTCTAAAAAATTGTTTTTGTTTACCGTGAAAAAGTTGATTATGGTAAGCGTTTCATGACGGTAATATCTCTGATTGCTTAAAAACAATTAGATACCTTTTATGACAGAACTTATTGGGTGCTGATAGCATAGTAAGAAAAGTCAAATGCACTGGTTGTCTATTATATTATTCGTGACCAGTCACTTATTATTAATGACGGATGAGGAATCAACATCACAAAAAGTATATTTGTGGCAGTTTCTCGTTTTGTTCGTCGAAACGAAAGCACAATGTCATTAACCTGAGTTAGTTAAAATACATACCTAATCTATCTTTATCTATTAATTTATTTCTATAATAAACACATACATACAAAAAAGAAGCCGTGGAAAGCAACATTCTTATTCGTCGCTATATGTGCTAAAAAAAAAGCAGACGAAGGCTCAACAAGAGAGGAAAAGATCGAGATCGAGAACTACGTTCTAGTTAAACTGTAGACTTATAGAAAGGGATTAATTAGGTATATGAAGTAGATCATCACATCTTCAGCCACAGACGTCGCTGGTATGTTCGAATCTCCACGACCCCCAATATTAACCGTTGTCTTTAAAGCACATGGTATGACGGGCCTGTGCAAATTTCAAGTACATGGGTTGGTTTTCGTTTGAGGGACATGTTAGAGAGTGGTATAAGATCCAGCATAACATTCTCCCAACAACTCGAGCTATTGGGATCAACTGGTTTATGACAATTGCTACGTATATTCATGAGAAATGAAAGCCCATAATTTTATAAATCTTGAATTATTATCCACTTGCGGAGACGACCACATCGCAGCGAGTAAAAGAAACCGTCACCAAAAAGGACTGGAACAGGAGAAGCCGTCGCAATAAGTTGGCGTCGATCTTCGAAGATTTATGAAATGTGTTCGGCCTTAAATAAAAAGTACCATGCTTCTTCTTCATAAAACACTAACCATTGATCAATCGGCTGTCACGGAGATGCTCTCTAAATATAAAAGGAAACTTTTAACAAACAAGGGGTTTGGTCTAGTGATAATACCATTAGTATTGTTCGAATCCTTTAAGTAGTACTTTAATAAAAAAAATTTAAATCATATATCACTCTAATAAAAAAAAAGAAACTTTAAATGTTCAGGAAGACACCAACAACGTAATTCCATTTGTTCTTTTGCTTACGAAAAAATCCCAAAATTCAAATAATCTTAGTGTATTAATTTATTTCGATAGTAACTAAAAACAGAAGCCGTGGAAAGCAGCATTCTTGTTCGTCGTTATATGTTTTTTTTATTCGTCGCTACATGTATTAAAAAGACGACAAAGGCCAAAAAGAGAGGAATGAGAGCTACGTTTCCAGGGAGACACTAATTCTTTGTTCGACGAAAATTTTCTCCTCGTCGAGAACGGCGATCGTGGCGAAAGCTTCTCTCGACAAGACGATGGTGCCTCGGCAGCCGGAAGGGCATACGTCGACGATCTTCACCGTCACGGTCTCACCCTCTCTGCACTGCACCGCAACGCCGCCGTTCGTCTCGCTTAAGCATTTCACTCTGTAACTCTTCCCGCAGGCGTTGCCGCCGTCCCAAAGGGTGTCCTCGTTTGCTGCCGCTACCATTACTCCGTGATCTTCGTTCCCGTAACACCTCGACGCTGCGATTTGACGGTGAAGATAGATAGATAGTATTAGAGTATGTGTAGTACAAGTAGTATTGTGTTATACTACGAGTACTAGTATGTATTGGGTAGAGTTATATTCCTTATTAGAGTCGTAGAAGTTAGCTTATTTTCGTATTAATGTTAGGGTTATTATAGAAGTCAGTCTCTGTACTCTATATAAATCATATGTGGTATCAGTAATAAGACACAACAGTTCCCACCGTATTCTGATTTACCAACAAATAGATAGATAGTTTATTTCGTGATTAAAAAGAGATAGAAATCGTTAAACAGATGGATCACCGAGAGAGGCTCTTACGTGTGTAAGGAGGAGCATAGAAGGTGGCAGTTGTTTGCGCGGCGCAGGGATGGCACAAGAACAGGCAGAAGGCGGAAAGGGCGACGAGAACGGCCATGATCAACTGCCGTGGTGTTGTCATTTTCTTCCGATGAGAAGCTGGCCGGCCGGGGGACCTGCAGAGAAGTAAGAACTATATTTTAATGGCCGGTGAAGGTTATTATATGGAAACTGAACTGGAGTGAGACCGTATTTATACCAGTGTCCATTAAACCGTACTGTACCGGCGGTTCAACCACGAAATATCAGTATCGGAGGCTAAATCGATATGCGGCATTTACCAGTATAACCGTTGAACTACGGTTAAACCACGGTTTTACCATAAAATACCCTTCCGCTGACTTTTCCGATACGGTCTCCGATACGGTTTCATGGACCATGATTTATACACAGATGTGATACGCGAATACTGACAAGTTAGTCTTCAGTCACTATGGAGTAGATTGGCCAGGTCGGGATCATTTAAAAAAAAAATTAAAAAAAAAATAGTTGAGTGTTTAGCGGAAAAACTATTGAAAGTTCATTCTAATGCAAGAGGTCGTTAAAATTATTAAAAATACATCGAGGATTCAATTAGCGCCGGCCAGCACCTTAGGACATGTTGCTAATTGACAAAAAAAACCGGCGCCAATTATTTGTTGCATCCATCGTGTACATATATGGGACTCTTTGCTTTGTTGGCACTATCAAACAAACATCAGTATCATATCATTGTTTAAAATCGATTGATTTGGATAATTCGAGTTTTTGGGTATAATGTTTAATTGTGGATTTCAACTCGTTTATTAACCCGTCCCTTCAAACAAAAAATGGTTTGAAGTTTGCACAGATGTAAGTACCACATGCTCAACAAATGAAGGTTGTCGTGATTAGAACAGAAGAATTTTCCGATAAAAAAAAAATAGTACGTACCCTGCAAAGACCAATTATTTTCAATAACTCGAGCTCTCATCGCTTTATATCAAGGTCTCATGGCAGGGTGTTGGTTTCAATTAAAAAGATTAAAAAAATATGGATGACGAATTCGATTTTTAGGATACCAAATAATACGATAATCCTTCTATTATCTTTTTAAGTATTGTTGTTTCGAGTTACAAATTGAACTTGTTGTATAACGTGAAAAATATAACTACAATAAAGAAATTTGTATTTTTATGTTATGGTACAAGTTCAGTTTGCGTACCATAAAATAAAGATAAAAATTCAGTTCATAATATAAAAAATATTATTAAAGTCATTGTACAAACTAAATTTTTATCATAAAATTAACCATACAAGTTCAATTTTGTTTTTTTGAACCAAAATGTTAATACTATAAACCATTATAAATTTTCTCTTTAATATGATAGCAAATACTAATTTATGAACCTTTAAAGTTTGGTCGGCCTGTGTATAGATGGCAAAATACTGAAATAGCACATTTGTGGGGGGGAAAAATCCTGAAAAAGCTACTATTGTGGTAAGAGTTCAACGACGGTACGTAATATCTCTGATTACTTAAAGCACAATTAGATATCTTTTATGACGGAACTATCGGGTACCGCTATCATAGTGTCAGTAAAAGTCAAATGCATTGGTTGTCTATTATGTTATTCATGACCATCATTTGTTATTAGTGACGAATGATGAATCATGGTTACAAATAACGTTTGTTGCAGGTTGCAGTTTTGGTCGTCGTAGATCGTTCTTGGTAAAACTAACATACTTTTTCTTCATAAAATACTCTAGCAACTGATCAAACGGCCGTCACGGATCGAGATGTTCTCTATTATAAAAGAAAAACTTTTAAGGTGTTCAGGGAGACAACAACACGTAATTTCATTTGTTGTTTTGCTCACGACCGAAAACTTCCAAAATTCAAGTAGTATAATTTAAGATATGAATTACCATCACAACTCAAATTATCTTATCATTCTATTAATTTATTTCGATAATAAAACACACCAAAAAAAAGCAACATTCTTATTCGTCGCTATATGTACTAAAAAAAAGCAGACGAAGGCCCAACAAGAGAGGAAAGACCGTTAAGAAAATAAACTATATCATAGTATCAAATAATAACGTGCGTGCGTACTCTTCAAGAGAGATAACAAGCGGGGATCGGCAATCTTGGCGAAAGCTTCTGCCGACAAGTCGATGTTCCCCCGGCAGCCGGAAGGGCACAAGTCGACGATCTTCACCGTCACGGACTCACCGGCATTGCACGGCACTCAACGCCTTTGTTCGTCCCGTGCAAGCACTTCACTCTGTAACGCTTCCCGCAAGCGTTGCCGCCGTCCCAAAGTGTGTCCTGGTCGGCTGCCGCTACCATTAACTCCGTGTTCGTGGATCCCATAACACTTGGACGCTGCGATTCTGACGATCTAAGATACATCTCTCGGATAACCAATGACTCGAGTTGTTAAGAGAGATCTGCAGATTCAATTATATATCACTAACGAATACACATTTTTCAAACCAAAAGTCTACTCGTTATGTGGGCTTGGAATTTGCAGCTTGACAAGTGGGGGCTCATTGGAATTCGAACGTATAAAACATCGCGATATCACATAAGGCTCTTCGATATGCTATTTTAAAAATCAGTTAATCACAATAACTCGAGTTGTCGTTGTTATCGCATATGGCCACTTACTTATTTAAAGTTCGTGCATATATAAGCAAGATTGAAAGGGCTCTTACGTGTGTAAGGAGGGGTGTAGAAAGTGGCGAGTAACTTTTCTTTCCCGGCGCAGGGACGGCCTGAGAGCAGGCAGAAGGCAGCAACGGCGACGGGAGCAGCCGTCAAGTGGCGCAACTGCCGTGGAGTAGTTGTCATTTCTTCCGATGATCGGCTGAAGGAACCTGTAAAAGCTTATTATATGGTAATGGTGGACGGAAGGTAAATCAACGCTATAATTTATAGCTGAAAAGTAAAACTGCCCCCATTCAAAATTTCCTGCCCATAGAGTGATTTTAGGAAGCTGATGTGGCAGAGTGTTAAGCGGGAAAAAAAAAGAGTTCCCGCCTGATTTCAGAACCAAAAAACTGTCCACTACCCACCTTTTCTCCTGCCAGGCCACGTTGTCATTTAATTTGTATTTATTTTTTATTTCCCAGAAAGGAAATGGTACACTGAAGAAGCGTGCAAAATAACAAAACCCAGAGGCAAAGCTCCTTCCTTTTCCCCTTCCATAAGTTCATTTGTTTTTTTCTACTGTTATTAAGAGAGAGAGAGAGAAAGGGAATCGCAATTCCAATCACATTACAGAGAGAGAGGGGGAAAGGTGAAAGGGAGAAGGAAGTCGATTGTGAGGTGCGAGCTCCCGCCTGTGAACTACTCCGCCGCCGTGGATTTGCGCCGCCCCGGCGGCAAGGTTTGTGGAAGGGAACTGGATGGCTTCTTCAAGGAGGGCGGCGAATCAGACGGCGGATGAGGAAAATTCCGATTCCGTCCCTGATTGGGGGAAAGTGGTCTACGAGGCGATTCTGGATTGGAACACGGTGGTGGTGTTGGCGAAAGGGTTGAATCTGAAGCCACGGAGGGAAGTCGATCCGGCCGAATTCAGGTGCCATTTCTCGCTGAGCAACAATTTGACCAGAGAGGAGAGCTTCGTCTTCACCACCGAAGCCACCGCCGCGACTCAGGAAGTGGTCCGCTGCTTGCATCCGGAAAAACAACACCGCGTTTGCCGAAGGAATCCGCGTCACCGTCAGCCGCGTCGAAGACTCCGCCGTCTCCCCTGCCTCGGCCTCCCCTGCAGCTCTGCCATCGGTGGCGAAAGTGTACAACCCGAAATCCCACGGAATGAGAGGGAAAGGGGAAGAGAAGTACGAGCTCTGCGCTTGCACGATGCTGTGGAATCAAGCGTCGGTTTTGAAGGAATGGGTGATGTACCACTCGTGGCTGGGAGTGGAGCGATGGTTCATCTACGACAACAACAGCGACGACGGGCTACAAGACGTCGCCGACAAGCTCAACACGCGGAATCACAATGTCTCCAGGCACGTCTGGCCGTGGATCAAAGCGCAGGAGGCAGGGTTCTCGCATTGTGCTCTGAGAGCAAAGTACGAGTGCAAGTGGGTCGGCTTCTTCGACGTCGACGAGTTCTTCTACTTCCCTCACTACAGTGGCCAAACCCCCTTGCCAGGGCAGAACTCGCTCGGCGCCATGGTCTCGAACTACAACGATTAGCCCACGATCGCGGAGGTGAGGACAATGTGCCACAGCTTCGGCCCATCGGGGCTGACAGAACCGCCGAAGCAAGGTGTGACGGTAGGTTACACTTGCAGGCTGCAGGCTCCTGAAAGGCACAAGTCCTTCGTCCGACCGGACCTTCTCGACATGACGCTGCTGAACATTGTGCATCACTTCAAGCTGAGGGAAGGGTACAAGTCAACGAACGTGGCGGAGGGGACGGCGGTGATCAACCAGTACAAGTACCAGGTGTGGGACACTTTCAAGGCCAAGTTTTTCAGGAGGATTTCGACCTATGTGACCAACTGGCAGGACGATCACATGTATTTGTGTTTACACATGTATTTGTGTTGTTTCATTTGGTGCATCGTATATATTTTAATTCCAGGTCATGTGAGGATCATGCTAGCCTAGACAGGGATGGTTCCGCCCATATATGATTATGGTACACCCGTCTTAATGGTCTATTTCGATGGCGGATAGGCAATGATGAGGGAGGTTTGCGGATTTTGACCTTTTTTTTATAAGCTATTGTTTTGGTTGGTTATACCTCAATGTTTTGTTTAATTATTTCTTGACTCCTTTGTTCTCTCTTTGGAGTTACTCACCTTAATTTAGTGGAATCTCTTGGCAATTTTCTGATAATTGACTTGCTGCTCTCAAATGCACAGATTTGCAGGATGGCTTATGGCAATGCACCAGATGCTGCTCAGCTCAGGTTTCGATTATATCTTCCACCCTGCTATCAAAGTTGACCCTTGGCTTCCGAGATATTGAAGTCTCCTCTTTATGGTTTGGCTTTATTTCTTTCTATTTCCTGGCATGGTCCTCCAATTCTTGATTGTGGGTTTTAGTTCTCAAAATCAGGACTTGCTTTTCTTGCCATGATATGGCTTCAATGCATGAACCGCTTCTTTTGGTCGAGTTTTTGTTAGTGGTTTAAACAATTAGCATATTTTCTAAATGTAGGGTAATTTGGTGGGGGAGACTAATCAATTCTACATTTTCAGATACATTAGCCTACTTTCAATATGCAGTGTTTGTATGTATGATTCGAGAGTAGGGGTCTATGATCCATATGTCGTCTTTCAGGCCTGCACTTTCGGCTGATATATGTTTATCACTCCAACGAATGAAGCCTTACAAATTTATGGGGGTTGATGCTTACCCCGGGTGAGTTAGTCGGTGCATTTATGTCCTCTCCTCCCTACTGCTTTATTAGCCGTTTGTCTCACTTTTAGTCGTTCTGCTCTAGAAGGTGACCATTATATCATGTGTGATCTAATCAATTTCAATGTTTTTCATTCACGTGTTTCCTTATTACTAGCTCTATTCCCACACTTCGAAGCGATTAGTTTGAGCCTTCCAGTATATGATCCTATAAACTCATTTACAATTGAATTGTCGGTATAAGCTATTTTACTTGCATTATATAACGCTTTGGAGTTTGGGACATTTTATTCTTAAAGCTTTTAGTCATTTTTGCTATATGGTTTCGATTTTTTTATTTGGTTTAGATATTTATCTAGTTCGATCTGGCTTTCAAGTTGTACGAAATTAAGTCGGCTGAATCTATCACTTAAAAAAAAAAGTTTGCTGAATCTATCTATTTTAGGAGTCAAAAGTTCTATTATCTACTTGAAAAAGAACTCTCAAGGCGTATGTCTATTTCTTTGTAATAACTTGGTTTGTTTTTCCTAATTATTTTCTCTGTCATTGTTGACATGGCCTGCAATTTCTCATTAACAAAAAGGACTATGCATGGTTTCCGACTCCAAACATGCTTTGTAGTGTCTTCCCAGTTCCCACCGCTTCGACATTAGTGAAACACAAAGCTCCTTTGCTATATCACCAACAAAGATGTTTCATTATTATCAAAACTACGCTGGTACGTGCCTAGACTAATTGTTCTTTATCAATGCCCAGTTAGTAACTTTGTTCTAATATGCCTCTTAATTTTCAACAACGACAAGTTTACAGTTTGTTCTCATTCTGTTCAACTTATCTTCCACTATGCTTTCAGTATGCCTCCTTTCGTTGATGTTTTATATGTTCATATGACAAGAATCGTTACCTCATTTTCATCATTGATACAAGATCTCTTGAGGGATCTCTTGCTATTATTTCATAGTAGAACCTTTAAATATACCAAACCAATTTCAGTTACAGACAATCATGTCACCAATTTACCTGAGAAATTTAATGGAAATCACTGTGGTTTTTCAGCCAAACACTTGCTGATTTTGGTTATTCCCCCGTTGTTACTATATTTGCACTTTAGACACCCAGTTGTAATCTTCGACGATTCCAACTTCGTGTGGATGCTAATTCCTCAATCATGACTTAGTAATGATGTAGTCTTTAACTGATAATTTACCCCTCTTTTGGGTACATATGCACCTATTTTTGTTCACAAATTTATTTTTACTTTCACAGCCAAGATAGTCAACTGGGGTCTGGGTGCATTTCCTAATTACAAATGCTTCCCATCACACCCAATGTTCCGCCACCGCCACCATCACTTCCAAGTTCCAACCATGGGCAAGATACAAAACTCAACATCTTCATTTCACCGGCCATGGCCAGATCAGAAACCAAATATGTTAAGAGTTAGATAGATAAATGATGGATGATGTGAGCGCTTGACCGAAAGCGGTGAATTGGTTGGGAAGTTGCCAAGTTTTTCGGCAATAAGGTGGTCAGCCACCCTGCCGATGAATCAGACCCCATAACGTAACATTTAATACAAATAGCCTTGATTCTGCTGATGTTTCTATTTTTAGAATGTGAATTGAAATGCTGCAGCAAAAGAAGGAGAAGGAAAGATCAATATTTTGGCGGGCTAGGGCTGGAACTGAAAGTTGCGATGAGTTTTGATGTGCACATATATTTTCTATTACTGAAACTGCTAGCCTTAGATATTTGTGAAAGCTCTCTTTGAGAACTCAGAGTTGTCTGCTTTATTCATCTAATTTGGGCTCAAACAATTGTGCTAACCTATAGTTTTTATTGTCGGGGGTCATTCTCTTTTCACTGATAAATTGCCTAATAACAAAATTAAATTGACCTACAGTGACTTTTGTTTTCCAGGTTCTTTCACCGTGTGTGGTAGCGAATATGAAATATAACCTGTAGCATTTTGTTCTTTTTTATATTCACTTTAGAAATTTTACATGTTTTTTTTTTTGGAATTCAAGAGGTATGGATCCGTACATCGATAATAACAAATCTTATAAATAAAAACAATTTAAGCAATTTATATTGAATGTAAAAAAGTATAAAATTTTCTTCTAAAATATAAAAAAATATAGATACCAGTAACCTAGGATGGCCACATCACCAGAACTAATTACTTACTAATATAAAATTCAAAAGTAACACAAATATTATTTTCCCTTTATGAATAAACTATTTAAAAGACTGTAAATTTTTTGAAAATATGCAAATTGGTTAATACAAAACAACAAAATATAATACAAAATTCATCCGACCAACGGGTCGGGTAAAAGCTAGTTATATATATTATAACGGATAGTGAAGTGAAGTGAGACAGTAATTATACAGAATGTGATATGCTAATAGCCTAATAATGACAAATTATTAGGCTATCGGTTAACCGAACTGTCGGTTATCGGTTAACCGAAGTGAGAGGGTATTTATACAAATTATTCGGTCGGTTATCGGTTAACCGAATTGTCGGCCCCCCTTATCGACAACCGGCCGAAATAGGGATTTGGACTTCGGTTATCTCAATTTTTGATTAACCGATAACCGATCGAAATTCGATTATCTCTATTATCAGTTAGTGGATAACCGACAGGTTATTGGTTAATGCATCCATCGTGTACATATATGTTTACTTGAAGAGGATTAATGGGGACTCTTTGCTTTGTAAACGCTATCAAACAAACCTTAGGATCATATCATCTCCCACGAATGTGGTGTTGGTTTCGAGCAAATTGAAAGGACAATATTTAAAGAGAGGAAGTTACGGATCGACTTTCAATAAGAGAACAAAAATATCGTAATTGTTGTCTCACTAGCTATATTAAAATATTGGTTTCTACAACCATTTTTTTTTTTAAACATGAAAATTGGATTTTGGTAAGAGTTTCATGACGGTAATATATCTAATTATTTATGAACAACTGAACAAGGGCTTGGACACTAGTCTAGCATCTGCAGGTCTCAAGTTCGTATTTTTTAAATATTACATTAATCATAAAAAAAAGTAGAAACTTATATCACCGTTATAAAAAAAAATATCTCTGAATACTTAAATACTGATTATTGGGTTTTGATAGCATAGTCAATAAAAGTCAAATGCATTGGTTGTCTAGCTATTATATTATTCATGACCAGTCACTTATTATTAGTGACCAATGAGAATCACGGTTACAAATAACATTTGTGGCAGTTTTCATTTTTTTGTCGTAGATTGTTCTGTTTGTGACCAGTCAGACAACTTGGCCAGCGGTCGTTACAACTTGTGGACTAAATATAAAAGGAAACTTTGACGGTGTATTCAGGGCGTCAACAACAACGTAGTTAGGGGTGGCAGTCGGTCGGTTTCGGTTTAATCGAAAACCAAAATTCAGTTATCGATTAAACCGAGCCACCCTGGATACCTGCCGACCACCGACCGTGAGAGTGGTTACGGTTAGCTGGTCAACCGACCGGTCGGTCTCGGTTTTAGGCTCGGTAAGCCGGCCAACCGGAAAATTACCTTTTCTATAAAAAAAAAATTTTAAAAACGAAAATTCTGCACCACTCACTAGTAGGGGTGGCAGACGGTCGGTTTTCGGTTAAGGTCAACCGACCGGTCGGTCTCGGTTTTAGGCTCGGTAAGCCGGCCAACCGGAAAATTACCTTTTCTATAAAAAAAAATTTAAAAAACGAAAATTCTGCACCACTCACTAGTAGGGGTGGCAGACGGTCGGTTTCGGTTTAACCGAAAACCCGGTTATCGGTTAAATCGAGCCACCCTGGATACCTGCCGACCACCGACAGTGAGAGTGGTCACGGTTAGCCGGCCAACCGACCGGTCAGTCTCGGTTTTAGGCTCGGTTAGCCTGCCAACCGGAAAATTACCTTTTCTAAAAAAAAAAAATTTAAAAACGAAAATTCTGCACCACTTACTAGTCACTCCTATCCTAACCCCTCGGCCCTCTCACTTCTCGATTCTTCTTCTTCCTTTCCAGAGAAACCTATCTCTCTCCCTACTCTCTCTCGAATCTCGATTCTCTTCTTCCTTTCTCGACAAACCCGAAATCGCCTCCCTCCCTCACCTCTCTCATTCTGCCCTCTCCCTCAATCGCCATTCCCTCTGCCTCTCCGTTGACGGCGACGGGAACTGCGGTGGAACTCGCCGACATCCTCTCTCCCTCTCTCTCTCTCTCTCGATATTTCTCCTCCAATCTGAAAGAAGAAAGCGAACCAGCAAACCAAGAACAAATCGTTCCCTCTCTCTGCTCTTTCTCACTCTCCCTCGTCTTACCCAGAAAATGAGCCGAAACAAAGCTTCTCCGACGCTCTCATCTTTCATAGGCGAAACCGGGCTCGGGACGCCGACGATGGCCTCCGCCGCGGTGAGTGAAATCCCTCAAGGCTTCAATTTTTCTACAAATTGATTCTTGTTTGATGCATGTTGAGGATTCGCGTTTTAATGATGATTTTTGGGTTATTGGTTTGGTTATGAAGGGAGAAGAAGTAGAGGGCGACCGAAGGAGGAAAAAGCTTCGAATTAGGTAGGATTTTGGATTGCATGTTGGGTTTTTCGATTTGCTTTAGGTGATTTTTTTTTATTCGGCTAATTTTCTTTTGTTTTCTTCATTTCTTGTGGCTCTTGAGGATTGATTTTAGATGAAGGTAAAAGAAGCAGGGCCGCTACCGCCGGAGCGTGTGCCGCCGTCGAGGAAGGAGAAGGAGGGCGACTCGGCGTTAGGGTTGGAGAGGAGAGGGGTCGTTTTGGTCTTTCGGGTGGGTTGGAGCGGGGTCGTCGTTTTGGGGCTGGGGGAAGGGGTCGTTTTGGGGCTGGCTGGCTGGGGGAAGGGGTCGTTTTGGGTAGGGCTGCGGGGTCGTTTTGAGTCGGGTGGGGGTGGTCGGTTAGCCGGTTAACCGCCGGTTACTGACCGCGGTTAATCGGCTATCCGAGCTTCTCCCCCTCTCCCCCGGCAACCGACCGACGCCAATACAGAGCGGTTTTCGGTTTGCCAAAAACCGGTCGATTCGATCGTAACCGACCGGTTAAATGCTAACCGAAAACCGTTCTGCCAGCCCTAAAAGTAGTTTCATTTGTTCTTTTGCTGACGGAGAACTTCCAAAATTCAAGTAGTATAATTTAAGATACGAATTACCAGGAGAAAAAAAAAAGATGCGAATTACCATCACAACTCAAATCATCTCATCGTCTATTAATTTATTTTGATGATAAACAAACAAAAAGCCATGGAAAGCAACATCATTATTCGTCGCTATATGTATTACACGAAAGCAGACAAACGCCGAAAAGAGAGGAAATATCGAGATCGAACTACGTTCTAATTTTTTTTTTTTTTTTGTAAATTAAAAGATAATCCTATAAGGAAACAACAAGATACGAATTGGAAATAGGTCTTTCATGCATTCCCAACCCCATGGGCCGTCGTCCGAATCAAAAGCTCGAACGTGTTCAGTGCGCGTTACGTGATTATTGACAACAAAATTCGAACTCACGGTGATATGGACAATATCATCTGGACGAATTCCTGAGAAAGCGAAGTGTACTTAGAGCCTGAAATGAACAGATCGGAAGCGGTTAGTGACTATGACTGCAAAATCATCTGAGGAAGAAAGAAGAAGAAAAAAAAACTATCAATAACGTTGTGCGTACTCTTCAAGGGAGATAACAATTTTGCCCTCGTCGGGATCGGCGATATGTTTGAAAGCTTCGGCCGACAAGTCGATGTTGCCCCGGCAGCCGGAAGGGCACAGGTCAACGATCTTCACCGTCACGGACCGACCGGCTTTGCACGGCACGTCAACGCCTTTGTTCGTCCCGTGTAAGCATTTCACTCTGTAACGCTTGCCGCAAGCGTTGCCGCCGTCCCAAAGTGTGTCCTGGTCGGCCGCCGCTACCATTACTCCGTGTTCGTCGTTCCCATAACACTTGGACGCTGCGGTTTGATCATATACGAAAATAGATAAGTTTGTTCTCTGTTTTATTGACGGATTCATAAATTTTAAATAATAAATATTCGATTTGTACAAATTATAACAAAAGCACACGCGCGATGTGTTTTCTGACAAAAAAAAATTTGTAAAGTACATTTGGTGTCTAGCACTGCTTTATATGTAAATCGATCTCGCGACATATCCTACTAGACAAGGAGACCTGATGTAATTGAGTTTAATCATCAGCTTTTGAAAATAATTGGAGATCAGGAGTAGCATTTTTTTACTGTTATATTTGGATTTAAAATATAAGAGCAAATGAGTAGTAGTATAATGGGAAAATGTGTTTACTTAGATCCAAGTTCATATCACATAGACTACCACTTAAATGTTTTTATTTATCTATATGCAAACTACTTCTGGGTTTGGATGATCATTTTTTTCAAATTTTAGAGGTGTCTCGTTGCCATTTAAATATTTTTTTTCACCCATACATAAACTATTGTCCGGGGTCGAATAAGTATTTTTCCCAATTTTAGGGGTGTGCTAAAACTCCATGAATCCGCCACTGAATTAATTGGTTTCCAATAACTCAAGTTGTTGGACTTTTGAGAGATTTAATTATTAATCATATACCACTTAATAACACGTCATCACAAACGAAAAAATCTACTCATATCGGTTTGAAAAATCTGCAAATGTCTCGATACCATGTGTTTAACGAATATGGGTCATCAGAGATTCGAACATAAAATATAGGCTCCGAGTCCAAGATACAATTTCAAGAACCAACTACCGGTGCAATAATCCGAGTAATTTGAAAAAGATTCAATTATACATCACATACCACCGTAATAACAGGTTGCGCTTAAAATTATTCATATCATGAGGTTTATCGTTAAAGAGATTGAAAGGGCTCTTACGTATGTAAGGAGGGGTGTAGAAAGTGGCGAGTAACTTTTCTTTCCCGGCGCAGGGATGGCCTGAGAGCAGGCAGAAAGCAGCAACGGCGACGAGAACCGCCGTCAAGTGGTGTAACCGCCGTGGAGTTGCCATTTCTTCCGGTGATCGGCTGGACGTACGAATTAACCTCTAAAAATCTTATACGGTGATTAATGGTGGAAGGGTAAATTATACATGATACTAAACTGAAGTGAGACCGTATTTATATATACATAATGTAATATGCCAATATGGTAATACTGACAAGTTAGTCTTCAGTTGTTATGAACTTATGATTTCTTTCCTCTCTAGATGATAATATATATATATATAACAATTTTGTTATAGTTGCCGGTACGTAAACTATTGGTCGGACCTATCCCCGGCCGGCGGCCTAAGGACAAAAACGACCGGCGCCAATTCGTTAACCCATCCGTCTTGTACATATATGTCTTGCTTGAAGAGGAACGAGGTGTACTCTTTGCTTTGTAGACGCTATCAAACAAACCTTAGGACAATTTTTTTTTTCTTTCTTTTTTGCGTAAAGGAGGCATAAGCCAGGAAGAAGAAACAAACAGGAGAGAGAAATTACAGAATAGCCGAGGCAACTACACTACGCTCAAAGTAATTCCCATCACATCATCCTGAAGCAAACTAGTCACTCCGTGAGGCGGATTAACAAGTTCATACATACTTTAGGACAATTAATATCCGAAGAGGTAGTTACATATGGAGTTTCAATGAGAACAAGAATATTGTATTGTTGTCTCACTAGCTATATGTTATAATAATAAATAAATAAACAGTTTCCGAAACCAAAAATTTTACAAGATTATTGTAGTTGCAAGAGAAGGTTTATGTATTTTGACTTTTGAGCAATTATAATCATATTAAACACCGATTCTCAAAATTCCTCTTAAACAATTTGGTCACCAATTAAAAGAAATTGATGACAAATTGAGTTTTAGGGGACTAGATAATACGGTAACAAATACCAATTAATTAGGAACCTTTAAAGTTTGGTCAATCACACGTGTGACCGAGACCGTTTGGTCCTGTAACGATGTTTTTCGAGACAACCATAGTGCTTCTAGTGACTATTGCCATTGATGCGAACTCAATGGATAGATGGTTAGGATTCATTGTTACAAGAACCAAATCGGATTAATGTTCGGGCTAGTAGAATCGTCAAACCAGTTACGACAACATAAAATTAGATGAATCACCACGGTTTATAACTATTCACTCATTTAATTTTAACCAGAATAATTTTAAGAAAAATACTTTAACATAAGACTATCAAAGCATAACTATTAATTTTATGTATGCTTCCTCTTCTAATTTTCCAACTTTGTTGTCGACTCTACATTGTCCACTATCGATTGGCACCATAATTTTTAATTTGAATTAAAAAATTATGATTTCATTTGTCAGAAGGTTTCAATGATTTAATTATATATTTTAGTGATGATATGAATTTGAATTGTTTATGGTCAATGATAACTTAATTCTTAAATTACTGTAATATACAAGTCTTATATGTTATATATCACGAACGCTTCTATCAACGGTTCACCAACGATTTTGTAACGGTTAACCACTGAACCCTAAATCACTAACTTTTTCAGTTCCGTCTCTCATCTGGTTCTGAAAATATAGATAGGATTAAATGCAATTTTTTTCGAAATTTCAATTTAATATGTATCTATATTTTAGGCTTCATATTTTAATATTTAGTCCTCCAAATGGGTTCAAAAATTACATTTAGTACCTAAAATTTGGTGTGTCACTTTAGCACCTAAAATATTATAATATTGCAACATAATAAAAAAAATTCAACGCAATTGAATTCACGAATCTAACCCACGAATTTCATCCATGATATATAAAGTCTTTCAATTTAAGTCATGAATCCACGAATTCGTTAAAATTTGATCTATGAACGCACAAAACCGGTCCACCAATCCGCAGATATGATCCAGTATTCCAGTTGCCGCCACCTCTAGTTGGATGAGAGAATCCTAAAATTTAGCTGAACGAGCTGGATATATGAATCTCGCCCTTTGCCCATTTATAAACCAATGAATATATACACGTACGATGGCTTGGTAATTCTAACCAAGTAAATTCTACCTTTAAAACCAACCCTTATCACATATTTGAAGTTTGTTGAGGTTCACCCTATCATATATTTAAATCAACTATTATCATGATCGAGTATCATGATGACTTGCACGAGACCTCAAAAGAAAAAAACACTTTGCTGCAATATCGAAAATCGAAAAATTCAAATGATTTGAATTATTGGACCCAATCGATTCCCATCATAATATTATAACTTCTTATGGTCAAGAAATTACATGTTTGAATTCTCAATTTTTCATAAGTCGTAACCCTCAACACGAACCATTGATTTAAATACAAGATATCATGAAATTGAAGTGTATAATAAACCAAAAATAAAACAAAGAGCGGGGGAATCATATTAGTCATTCCCGAACCCCACCCAAACAAAACCAAGTGGAAGCAAAACCACGAAGGCCGGTCGAGTTTGACTTAATCCGTCGTTCACGGCTTGTCGGCTTCATCGGGAAACAAAGCTGTATTCAATCATATTAACCTTCTTTGAAGCTGACATTTATTATTTATTTAGGCCATCGTGTGAGTGTTTTTTAATGCACATGCAAAGTTGTGCAAAGTGATATTTATTTGTGTGTACATATATATATAGTATTGGTGCTTTAATGTACAATTTAAAGTTGTACCATAACATTAAATGTATAAGTTTAGGTTGTACCATAAAGCAATTTGTACTATTATGTTATGGTACAACTTTACAACTTGAAGTTGTACCATCACATAAAGGTACAAGTTCAAGTTGTAACATAAAAGAATTTGTACAAAAAGTATAGGTACAATATGAAGTTGTACCATAATGTAAATGTACAATTTTAAGTTGTACCATAAAGACAAAATCCTATAGCACAAATACTATATAGCATTGTAAAATTTCTCATATATATATATAGTAGTAAAAGATTATAAGTAGTACTTTTATTAATTGGCTTCTAGAAAATATATCTTCACCATAACAACGGGTTATGTGCATGCCCATCACATCCAATACGAATAAGATGTTCATATATTGAATCTCTTTCAACAACTTAAATTATTATCGAGAAATATTGGAGTTGCTCTATTCAATGTCTTTCATACAAATTCCAACAATTAAAAGAGGTGGAAGGGCCAAGGAGGACTCTTTTATATCAATTCATTTTTTATAACACATTAACTAAATCCACCCTTTATATAGATCTATACATGTTTACACCTAAAATTAATTTGAATTAATTAAATGTCGTATTAATGAGTCTCGGCATTTAATTCGACGCCGCATGATACAAAACGATGTCGTTTGGAGTTAAGCGGCGTCGCGGAGAGTTAAAACGGTACCGCAAGGAAGCTCGGCGGTACCGCGGCATGGGAAACGACACCGCTTAATAAAAAGAAAAAGGGCTGCGCGTGTAGTTGGGTTGGAGAAGGGAGTCTTATAATTAATTATTACCTTTATTCCTTGTAGGAAGGGGAAAATCGGTACCGCATGGAGAATTAAAACGGTACCGCAAGGAAGCTCAGCGGTACCGCGGCATCGGTCACCAGAAAATAAAAAAAGGGTCGTGCGTTTAATGAAGGTTGGAGGAGGAGTTTTGATTATTTAATTATTATTTTTATTCCTTGTTGGAAGGGGAAAATCGGTACCGCATGGAGATAAGCGGTATCGCGGAGAGCTAAAACAATACCGCGAGTAGGCCAAACGATGCCGCAGTTGTTAAAACGACAGTGTTAAATTTAAAACAGTGTCGCGAACCTCAAAGCTCAACGGCATCGCGAACTGGGAAACAGTGTCGTTTGGCTAAAAACGGCACCGCGACAAGCAGCATCGCGGATGGGTAAAACGACACCGCGGATTTAAAAACGGTACCGCGAGTAGGCCCAATGGTATTGTTGTACTAATAAACGACAGTGTTTAGTAAAAACAATGTCGCGAGATATTGCAACACAAACAATGTCGTAGTAGTAGACGACAAGGTCGCTTCGTGGAGAACAAGCTCGAGTGACCAACGACACCGCAAGACTGGAAGCGGAGTCGTTTAATATTAAAACAGTGTCGCGAGGAACACAACAAACGGAGCTGTTTGGGAAAGGAAACGACATTGCGGGATCATGAAAACAACTCATGTAAAGTTCACGCGAAGCAGTTTAAGAAACGAAGCGGTTGAGACACGTGGGAGTTCTCCGGACGACAAAGCAGTTGACACGGAGTTGCGTGAAGACTACGAAGAGACTTTTGAATAAAAGCAACAGAGCAAGGACAGAGAAGGGACAACCAAATCAACACAGAACAACTCTGTCAAAACTTTACCTTTTCTCTGTAACTCCTTCGCGGAGCTCTCCTTCTAGGAAGGATCTCCATAGTTGTAGCCTTAGTCGTAGTCGCGGAGCTCTCCACAGGAATCTCCATAGGAGTAGCGGTAGCGTAGATTCCTCAAAACTCAAACACCCTCGTTCGAACGTAGTTTGGAGAGGTGCGAACCGTAGTAACGGTCGTTCTTGGTTAGAAGTCAGAGGTGCATCGATCAAATCAACACCGCCGGCGGTGGATATTTGACGGTCACGTTGATTTCACCATTTAGAGGTGCATCGATCAAATCAACGGCGCGACATTCGGCGGCGGATATTTGACGGTCGTCTCAATTTCAGCAATCAGCGGTGCTTCCGATCAAACGGCACCGCAAGAGTTTCCATCACGAAACATCAAATCAACATCGTCGGAAACCAAAATCGGCACCGGCGGTGGCATTTGATTTTCTGAGGAAACAATACACGAACATCTCTCAACAACTCGAACTATTGGAACCAAAAGGTTTATGACATGGTAAGTTGGTAACAGAGGGTAATTTGACCGTGAGGTCTCGTGTTCAAGTCATCGATCACTCACCACAGCCCCCCAATATCAACAGCTTATTTAAGTACATGAGGTGGCGAACCTCTGTGAACTTCAAACTCTTGAATTTGCTTTCATTTAAGAGAGAATGCGTAATTAAGTAAGTAAGTTGTATAAAATTCGTACACGAACCTCTTACTACAACTCAGGTTATTACCACCGACCGATGTACAAAATTTCGATCTTATATACCATCTTCGGGTTAAAATCCAACGATGGTATCTCTGCAGGATGCACGGGCAGCAGTTTAGTGAGCTCATCTAGCTAGCTAGGTCGTGCAATAATTTGGCTCGATAGTCACCATTAAGCTACCTCCACGTGGAAGGCAGCGGGCTAACGATCTCAATTTCGTGCATATATATTTCGAAGACGGCATCGAAAAACAGTTGTCAAAGGAAACGAGGTTTATTGCCGACTTTCCAGTTTCCCTGATATTCTATGCACAGAAGAACTCGTTACCTTGTGTGTGTCTACAGATCATCATGTATATTCGAAGAATCGTTCGTTACTAATGTTGTTTTTCGTCTATGTTAACACCTAAAAATATTTTGGCTTAATTGATTAGTGTTGAGTAGTATCTATAGTTGCGGAACTCTCCTTTCATGAAGGATTCTCCATAGGCATAGTATGAGAGTAGTCGTAATTAATTTAGATTCACATTAATTTGAGTACTTTTTTTTACTGTAATTAACTTGAGTACTTGTTGGGAGAGATTCAATAATAATGAATCTTATATCACATACTAACACGGATCAATTTGGTCCAATTTAACCGGACCGAACCGTATATAGCTACCCCTAGTATCTAACTATAAATATCGGATCTTGTTGCCATTACTAGCTACGCCTGCTACCTTAATTAAAAACAAAACAAAAAATTCATAAAAATTAATTTATTGCCATCACTATACTGCTACGAATTCCTTTTTTGTTTTTTTTTTTTTCATACACATCATAATCCTATTCGCTCCTTCTCCCTATATAAACTCCGTTCTCCCTCGACGAAAATACACATTCTGCAACCAACCTTATAGCGACCACACCACCACCTATAGCAACCACCAAACAATGGCCAAAAACCACGTAATCATCTTCCCGTTCATGGCACAAGGCCACACCCTCCCTCTCCTCGACCTCGCCAAGTCCCTCTCATCCCACAACCTCCGCGTCACCGTCGTCACCACTCCCTCCAACGCCAAATCCATCTCCGACAGCCTCCCTCCGGCCAACCACCCCAACATTTCCCTCGCCGTGATTCCCTTCCCGGCCATCTCCGGCCTGCCGGAGGGGACAGAGAACACCTCCCAGCTCCCTTCCATGCAAGAATTCCTCCTCCCTTTCCTCCACGCCACCAAGAAGCTCCAAAAGCCCTTCGAACGAATCCTCGCCGCCGCGGCCGGATCCGACGTGGACCGCCCGTTGTGCGTCGTCTCCGACTTCTTCCTCGCGTGGACGCTCGACACGTGTCGAGCGTTCGACGTCCCGCGGCTGGTCTTCCACGGGATGAGCGTCTGCGCCATGGCGCTCAGCAAGTCGCTGTGGTGCGCCGCGCCGCAGCTGGTCGGAGCCGATGGAAGCCAGCCGTTGGATGTCCCCAACATGAATTTGCCTTTTGATCTGACGGTGGGGGAAGTGCCGTGGGAAATTATGGTCAATGGCATTGGTGGGCCCGAGAATCCGTTTGTTGAGTTCATGGAGGAGGTTGGGTGGGCCGACGTCAACAGCTGGGGGGTTGTGGTCAACAGCTTTGAGGAGCTGGAGCTGAGCCATATTCCGGCTCTCGAGTCGTTTTATCGCGACGGGGCCAGGGCTTGGTGCCTGGGCCCGTTGTTTCTGTGCGACCAGGCCCAGGCGGCCCGAGATAAGAGTAAGGAAGCTGAGGGTTTGTTCGAGCTGAGTCGGTGGCTCGATGAGCGAGTCGTAGCGTCCGGATCGGTGATGTACGTTTCGTTCGGGACCCAGGCGGACGTCTCGAGCGCTCAGCTCGATGAATTGGCTCACGGGCTCGAGATGTCTGGAGTCCCGTTCGTCTGGGTGGTTCGGGCGGGTTCGTGGTCCGTTCCGGAGGGGTTGGAGGAGAGGATCGAAGGGAGGGGGTTGATCCTGAGGAAATGGGTCGACCAACGTTACGTGCTGGGCCATCGGGCCGTGGGCGGGTTTCTGAGCCACTGCGGGTGGAACTCGATGCTGGAGAGCATATCGACTGGGGTGCCGATTCTGGCATGGCCCATGATGGCCGAGCAGCCGTTCAACGCAAAGCTGATTGTGGAAGGGCTCGAAGCTGGGCTGCGAATCGAGGCCACTGGCTCCATAGATGCTGATGGTGTCGTGTTTAAGCGCGAAGCCATATGCCGAGGGGTGAGGGAGCTGATGGGCGGGGCGAAGGGGCGACGCGCTAGGGATCGAGCCCGGGCTCTGGGCCGTGTGGCTCACCGAGCCGTGGGGGACGGCGGCTCGTCTCGGGATGCCATGACTCGCTTGATTTCCGAGCTTCGCGAGTGCTAGCTATTTGTTTGATGGGTTAATTATACAAATTGCTTTTGCATGTATGTAATATGTGTTTCCTGTTGTTTTTCTTCATATCTCTCGTGTCTTTATGTTGTTTATGTGTTCTATTTTGGGACTGGATTAAAGATTTATTCGATGTTATGTTGCTTTCTATAGGTCGTGCAATCGTTTGGCTCGATGCATATGTAGAGTAGCCACTTGAGCTGAAGCTTACCTACCAATCTAACCATTAAGCTACCTCCACGTGGCGGTGGATTGATGGTCTTCATTTGGAGTTTCGTTGCTAGTCACTGACTTTAGCTCCTTGGTTTATTGGTAGTCTCATTGAGTCATTGTACGTTTGATTCCGTTAAATTCGTCTTAAGTGACAATTAACTGTAAATTTTGTTCGAGTATTAGTCTTCCAGTTTCGTTAAATTCGTATTAAGTGACACTCCATTATAAATTATCCTTTCTGAATTCAACATGCGAGAAAGCAAGTATTAATATCGAATTACTCATCCCGACGTGCTTCATTGCCATCTATAAATCTCTTGTTTGCTTGATGGATTTGGTGATGAATTTGGATTCATCATGGACTTTGTCCAAAATCTATTGTTATTGTTTGTTTGATGCATTTAGTGACAACAAATCCGTGGGTCTCACGAACTTTAAGGGTTCAAATCTGTGGACCCCATGGATTTGAAATTTTCACCTATTTAGGTGGAAATTGATCATGGACTTTGAAGTCCATCATTTAAGACCAAACTACCCCTCCTATTTCATTTCTCTTCTCATACAAATGAGAATAATAAAGGCAAATTTCACTTCATACATACAAATTTATTTAACCAATTCCATCATGTATTCTCCGAAACAAACAATGTAATTTTTCAAGTACATGATGTACCCAAAACCCTCATATATCCATGGTCTTACAAAACCCAAATTTTATCAAAACCTTTATTTTTCGAATACACAAAACAAACGACTCCTAAGACTGATTGAGCTTAGAAAGTTTTTTTTTTGCCATTCAATCACTCTCATAGAGAGGAAAGATAAGATCAAAACAGAGTTATTACAAACTACGAAGCCAAGACACAAAGTCGAACCTTGCTAGAAGTCAAGGTGACAAAATCAGGAATTTCCTGGCCACTAAATGAGCTTCCCTGTTACGATCCCGTCCCACAAAACACAAGACAAAGTTACATCCACGCTAAATGAGCTTAGAAAGGGTTCCCATCAAGGTTGTCAAACCGGTTTAAGTCATTGAGCCGGTCAAGCAAGGGGTTTGAGGTTTAATGGTCTGATCGGGGTCCGGCCGGTTTGAGCCGTTTTAGACGTTTTCTAAATATATATACAAATAAAGTAGTAATTAAAAATTTAATCAGTGAAATAAAATTTATCTTACATATATCTATTAAAAACTTATTTTCAACAAAATAAATCTACCTAACCTTCATGATCCACCTACCATTTCCCTTCCTTCGTTCCTTTTCCTCTCTTCTGCCTCTCTTCTTCTCCCTGTTTAGGGGTCCAACCGGGGGTTCGATAGGGGGTTAACAACCTTGGTTCCCATAACTCTTTTCTTGGGAGTCATAAAAGCCCGCCCCTAGCCGCCACAGTCCAGCCCACAAGGGAAACGGAAAACCGGCTCAAAGAAGTCTTCTTTTGCGTTCCTCTCATTCTCAACACTCGGGATCAAATAGTAACGGAAGGGGAAAGAAGCGGGGACTGCGGTTTTCTCGTCCTCACCGTATCTGCGATTTCTCCTTCTCGCCAGGTGACTCTCACGAAAATTTGCTTGCGCTTTCTTGGCAGCGTCATGTTCGATTCAGCGAAGATTTTGATTTGTCATTTCCTTCTGTTTCAAGTTTTAGTGCGCTGCCGGTAGTCTTCCAAGGGTCCTGTATCTGTTTTTTTTCTTTTTGGCATCGTCCTCTTGAGGGTTTGTCGAAAGGCGAAGTCTTTTGTTTAATATGTTAGAATCTCGAAGCCTCGAGTGAGCTTCAGATAGCTGATGGGAAGTGTTGGCTGAATATGTGTTCTGGCTATATTGGGTATTGGGGGTTTTTTTGGTTGGAGGCTTGTTTAACCTTTTGTTTCTTCTCGTTTTCACAGATTTCATCGACAAAATGTCTCGTGTTTACGTGGGTAACTTGGATCCTCGGGTTAGTGAGCGTGACCTTGAAGACGAGTTCCGGAAATTCGGTGTGATCAGAAGGTTAGAGTCTTGCTAATTATTTGTTTCCTATCCATAGTTGCTTGCTATCTTAGAATCACGCTTGAATTACAGTCTGGATTGTACAGTAATGACATTGCCGCGCATCAGAAGTTCACGTTATCTCTGTGGTCGCCTCTTGATTCATTTGGTTTGTTTGTTTGTTGTTATACTTGCAGTGTTTGGGTTGCCCGACGACCTCCAGGTTATGCCTTTATCGACTTTGATGACAAAAGGGATGCTCAAGATGCTATTCATGAGTTGGATGGTATAGTTTTTTCTCCCTGTTATCTGAAGTGGCTGTTTTCACCTTTTTTCTTCATGTGGTTGAATAAATGTTGATGTCTACTTTCTCCTTCTCAAGTTCGATGCATTATCTCTTCCTGTGCGCCCCTTTGCTCTGTGTTTACGAGCGCTGATTTTTTACTCTTTGTGAATCGTGAAACTGTACTCTTGGGCATTGGCGGAGAAAGTGGATATCTATGTACTTGGCTCTGTGCCTCTGCGTTACAAATTTATGGATACTATAATCGTATAATGTTACTCAGGTAAAAATGGATGGAGAGTCGAGATGTCCCACAATTCAAGAGGTGGCGGTGGTGGTAGAGGTGAAGGTGGTAGAGGTGGAGGCCGGTTTGGAGGTTCAGATTTGAAGTGCTATGAGTGTGGGGAGCCAGGTCATTTTGCACGTGAATGCCGCTCGCGTGGTGGTTCAGGAAGAAGACGAAGCCGCAGTCCTAGATACCGAAGGAGTCCCAGTTATGGCCGAAGGTGATGCATGGAGCAAACTTCTGTACTCTCTTCTTTTTATCGACCTATGTGAGTTGTTGGTCTGACTTTGGCTGCTCTGTGGTAGTAGGAGTTACAGTCCTCGAGGAGGAAGATCCCCTAGACGCCCTATTGATTCACCCCGCCGCAGCATCAGCAGGTCACCACCACCATACCGTGGGCGTGAAGAGGCACCACCCTATACCAATGGGTGAAGTCTCTAGAACTTTATCTCTGATCATTTCATGGCAAACATTAATAGAAGACCTTGTTTGATTCAGCCAAAATTTTATGTTACATAAACTTTAGCTGTTATGTTCCTAGTTTGACCATAGTCAAGCGACTTTTAAGCATTATTAACTTCATTTTAGTTTTGTTTGGAATACTTGTGCTTTATTTTTATTCTAATATCACTGGCTCTCTTTATTTGCAGCAATGGTCTGAGGGAAAGACGCCGGAGCAGGAGTTAGATATTTTACTATCAGTGTTTCAGTGAGAGCTAAATGGATTAGACATGTTTATTGTGTTTGCGCTTCACTACTACTATGTTGGGCTCTGCATCTCGGACTTGGATAAGTTTCCTTCTTATACAGTCACTCAGGTTTTTGTTGGTTTTTCATATTTTGAAGTATCTGTAGGGAGTCGTACTAGTTATTTGAGTTGAATTGTTCCTTATTGTGGTGCTAAAGACTCTGCTTTTCTTTTGTGTTGAGGTTTCGTCTGCCATCTGCTTCTGCTTCTGCTTCCAATCTCCCGTTGGTTGTGTGCTTCTACACTTCCAGTTTCATTCTCCACTGCCCCTGCATTTGGGATCTTCGATTTTGAATGGTTGGGGTTCTGCGGTACTTACTTGTGTAGATGCTTCTGTTTGATTGAACTCTCCCGGCTATGATGCGACGCCCTCAATTTCTATTGGGATGCCCCTTGTTTAGAAGTTTCTCTTTGATTGAACTCTCCCTGCTATGTCGTGACGCCCTCAAATTCTAGTGGGATTGCTCTGCTCACAAATTCTATTGGGTTCTATTGAGTTTAACTTAAAAGAGGGCTGCTTCAAACTCTTCTGTCAGGTACTTGCATCTGTTCCTGGAAGTTGAAAGTTTAGAGGTGTTGAGTTGATGGTCTTAACTCTTAATATAACTTTAAATAAGAAAGGCAAGCAATTTGATTCTTGGGTTTTAAGAGCCACTTCAAAGCAAATCCCCCTTTCGGTTTTCATGTACTAAGGCTTGTTCCATGAAGTTTGGGTCAGTTTATATGCCATAATCTTGAAGCATGATAAAGTCTTTGAAAACGCCAATGAAATGTTTCTGTGTTCTTCACCGTTGAAATATTTCATTTGATTTCATACATCTTTATATAGCCTCCTCCAAGCTTTCTGTGCATGATACACAAATAGATGCATCTTTGATTGAAATTGTGTTCAAGTGCTGACGATTCCAAGTTTGTCCTCCGTGTTGAAGTGGTTCTTCACTCATCATGTGCCGAGGACCTTGGACTACCTCTTCCAAAAGAACGAACTTCAATCGAGAATCTAATGTGTCCTTAGCTGCTTCGAGAGGCTATTTTTCTTCCAAGTGGTCCAGCCATCCTAGCCTCTCTGAAGCCTTGGCTGGTGCCTGGCTTATAGCCACTGCTCCTTTAGAAAAAGAGCAGAATACTACACTTGTTGCAGGTAAGTCTTTTTGTGGAATTGGTCACATCTTTTTGTTGTTGTCTTAGCTTGAGGTATTGTGCAACTCAGCTTTATCTACCTAGCTCTACATATCTTGTCTGCTGAGAATTGCTGTGTCGTGAAGACGATTATGCTATACACTGGTCTGTACTTCGGGTATAAACTCACGAATGAGTGGTTATCTTCCTGCTCGTACATAACTAGTCTCCTTGCAGGACCTTGGGAGGCACGCAATCTTTTGATTCTGTGATACAATGGTGGTGAATGAATTTTTTGCTTGTAAGATGTGGATTCCCTTTTCTCGAGCTGTCTGTTGAACTGAGAATCTTCGTTCGAATAGAATTGCAGATTTAGATGGTCAGCGATGGTGATATGCTTCTGTGTTTTAGCATAACATGCCACTTTTCTTTGTGACGATGTTACTGTCCGATTGAAATGTTTGGGAAGTGACGAATTCCATGGTCGAGACGTATGGTATAATGGGTTTATTAGGTTGGGAATTCGTCCAACTATGTATGCTTTGTTTGTAAACGTGCCATTTCGTTCAACTCTTCATCCTTCATCTCCATTAATTCACCCTTTTCGATTAAGCTTCAGCCTCAACTCTCAACCGTTACCTAGGCCGTTGCCTCTAGTCCGTTTTGTGTCTTCCATTCTTGTTGCAAGGCGCGAGGGTAGGATGAAATTGTCGAATTCAGAAAACGGTGAGGACAAATGTGAGTCTATCTCCAGAAACCTTGATTCTAACCATCGTCAATCTCAACTTTGCGATTCAGTATCAAATCGATCGCAATGCAAGCTCGCGCTGTTACTAGATGATCATGGAAGCAAGCATACCAATCATGCTACTCCTGATGATGTTGCTTGATTAGCATTCAACCTGAAACTGATGGTAGCTAGCCAAACCGAAGTGTGGGCCGTCTGAGTCCACGGAGCCCACAGATAAATCGAAGCCCGGCCCATGCACCTCTCGGCCCAATTTTCACTTGGGGACTCTTTTTTTTTTTTTTTTGACAAACACTTGGGGACTGATTGTCGCAATATAACACGATTAGAAGGCTGAAAAGCAATTTTTCTCTTCCAACCTAAAAAAAATTGGGGATCAAGTGCGAGCGAAGGGTTGGAACTTGGAACAGCTACGCTAGGGTTTTCTTCTCTCTTTGCATCTGCGATTTCCTCAACTCGCTCGGTAATTCTCCCGAAAAATTGCTTGCTCTTTACTGGCTCGCGAAGGTTTCTGTTTATCTTTCCTTCCGTCACTCCTCAAGCGCGAAGTTGTAGTCTTTTTGAAGTATCCCGTGTCTGTTTTCCGCGTCGTCTCCCTTTTGCGGGTTTGTCGAAAGGTGAAGTCTTTCTTAGGAATGTTAGGATCTTGTAGCTTCCCGTGAGCTTCTGGGGATATTTGTGTTGTTTTCTACATGTTTGGGTTCTGGGATCTTCAGTAGCAGGCTTGATTTAACCTTCGTTTCTTCTCTTTTTCGCAGGTTTCATTTGACGCGATGTCTCGCGTTTACATTGGTAATTTGGATCCGCGGGTTAGTGAGCGTGAACTGGAGGACGAGTTCCGGAAATTTGGTGTGATCAGAAGGTTAGACTCTTGAGCCTTGCTTATTTGTTTCCTATCTAGACTCGTTTGCGTTGAGATATTTGTCTCCCATTCCTTCTCTGGTTTAGGGTCTGGATAAAAAAGTAAATGATATTCTTCTATGAGAAGTTCTTGTTTTCTCTTAATTATCGTTTAAGTAACTGAATGTTTAAGTAACTGAATCTTTGTTATGTTTGTTGTATTCTAGTGTTTGGGTTGCCCGTCGACCTCCAGGTTATGCCTTTATCGAATTTGATGACAAAAGGGATGCTCAAGATGCTATTCATGAGCTAGATGGTAAAAATTTTCTGCTATCTGAAGTTGCTGACGTTTCCCTTCATGTGGCTGTATTTGGATGTTTTCCAATGTCCTATGCTACAACTGTATGTAATAATAATATCATTATTATTATTATATTGAATGCTACCCAGGTAAAAATGGCTGGAGAGTTGAGATGTCTCACAACTCTAGAGGTGGTGGTGGTAGGGGCGGTGAAGGTGGTAGGGGTGGAGGTGGTCGGTTTGGAGGTTCGGATTTGAAGTGTTACGAGTGTGGGGAGCCTGGTCATTTTGCGCGCGAATGTCGCTCGCGTGGTGGATCAGGAAGGAGACGAAGCCCCAGCCCGAGATACAGAAGGAGTCCCGTTTATGGCCGGAGGTTATGTTTGGAACTAACTTCTGCATCTTCTCCTAACTTTTGTCGACATATATGAGTTGTTAGTCTGACTTCAGCTGCTCTGTGGCAGGAGTTACAGTCCTCGTGGTGGAAGATCTCCCAGACGCCGTAGTATTTCACCCCGCCAGCGCAGCTTCAGCAGGTCACCACCACCATACCGTGGGCGTGAAGAAGCACCACCCTATGCCAATGGGTGAAGTTTCTAGAACTTTATCTGTTATTATGTCATGACAAATCGTTAATGAATGACCATGGTTCATTCCATTACAATACCTTTATTATTGTATCAGCTTATGTTGATATTTTCCCTTTATTTCCTTTTACTATATGAAACCAATTTTTAAGCACTGTGACTTGATTGGATCTTATTTAAGGAATAGAACTGCTTTATTTCTGTTCTAATATCACTAGCTCTGTTTATTTGCAGTAACGGTCTGAGGGACAGGCGCCGGAGCAGGAGTTAGATATCTTAATATCACAGCTTCATTGAAGCTTATTGGCTTAGACGTGCTTAATGTGTTAGCACTTCACTACTACTGTGTTGAGGGTCTGCTTCTTGGACTTGGATAAGTTCCCTTCCGACTTATGTGTATGTGAAACTAGCTTTATATTTTGTTGGTTTTTTATATTTTTAAACATTATGTAGAGTAGTAGTAGCTCTTTAAGCCGTATTGTTCCTAGTATTGGTACTAAACACTTATGATTTTCTTTTGTGTTGAGGTTTCATCTGCGTCTGCTTCAAATCTTCCGTTGGTTTTCTGCTTCTTCACTTCCGGTTTCATTCTCTGCCGCACTTCGTTGGTTTTGATCTTCTTCGCTTCCGGTTTCATTCTCTGCTGCCCATCGTCTGTTGCTTTTGTGCTTCTTGGCTTCCGGTTTCATTCTCTGCTGCCCATCGTCTGTTGGTTTGTGCTTCTTCGCTTCTGGTTTCATTCTCTGCTGCCCCTGCATTAGCGATCTTCAATACTGATTGGTCAGGGTCCGTACTACATGTCTACTCCTGCCTATGGTCTAGACACTTCTGTTTGATTGAAATCTTCCAGCCATGGTCTAGATGCTTCTGTTTGATAGAATTCTGCTGCCTATGATGTGCCACCCTCAAATTCGATCAGGATTTCTTGTGTTTAACGCAAGAGAGGGCCTCCATCAAACTCTTCTGGCAGGTACTTACATTTGCTCCCCGAAGTTGAAAGTTTAGAAATATCAAAGGTTTGGTTTTTAGGTATTATAGATAAGAAAAACAATTTGATTTTCACATTTTTCGGACTGCTTAAGTCGTGTTAAAGCAGTTTCTCTTCGGAGATTTCCTTAAGTAAGGTTTTGGTCCGTGAAATTAGCATTTATCTGGCATTATATTGTACCATGAAGTCTTCTAAAAAGTCGACACATTGGGTATCTTTCTTCAACTTTGAAAGCTTTTATACCATAACTTTACATATTTATTGTTTCCTCCAAGGTTTCCTGCAATAAGAGGCTGTGGATGATTTACAAATATCTACTTGTTTGATTGATATTGTGTCAAAGTATTGACAGTTCCAAGTTTGTCTTTGGTGTTGAAGTGGTTCTTCACTCATGTGCTGAGGACTTTGGACTTTCTCGTCGAAAAGTATGACATATTCGGATATTCCAATGAGAATCTACTGTGTAGTTAGCTGATTCGAGAGTCTATCCATCTTCATGTGGCTCAGCAATCCGAGCCTCGGTTCTTGGCTTTATAGCATTTGTTCTGTTCAACGCGTGGGGTTGTGGTTCGCAGTTTTGTCTACCCAGTTATATTGTCTCGTCTGCCGACAGTATTGCTGTGGGGGTGATGATGATGCTATACAATACACCATGGTCTTTATGTCGACTTCTCTTGTCTATGAAAGCTGATGATTGATGGTTGGCATCGCATAGTCGCTATATAGTCTTTATGTTTGATTGAAGGTGTGTCAAAGTGTTGACAGTTCCAAGGTTGGCCTTGGTGTCGAAGTGGTTCTTCACTCATCATGTGCTAAGGACTTTGGACTGTCTCGTCGAAAAGTGTGACGTATTACACTGAGAATCTACTGCGCCGTTAGCTGATTCAAGAGACCATCCATCTTCAAGTGGCTCAACCATCCGAGCCTCACTGGAGCCTCGGTTCTTGGATTGATAGCCTTTGACCTGTTCAAACTGATACAGGTAGCTCTGATGTGGTGTTGTGGTACGCAGTTTTGTCCACCCAGCTATGCTGTCTCGTCTGCCAACAGTATTGCTCTGTGGTGAAGATGATGATGCTATACACCATGATCTTTACGTCTACTTCTCTGGTCTCCGAATGCTGATGATCGAGAGTTGCATCTTGTAGTTGGTATATAGTCTTTGTTCTTAGCACTTTTGAGGTACGGGCCTTCTGATGTCCTGACCCGTAGAACTGTAGCGTTGTTAAGTGTGTTGGTTTAGATGGTTTGATAATGGCGGGGGGATATGTTCCTGTGTCTGCAGTTGATGCACTTTATATCGTGGCAGCGTTTCGTTGCAATATTCTAGTGCTGTTTTTCGTCAAAATCACTTGCAACATCACTTTCCCAAGTAGTACAAGTTCTTGCACGAAGTATTCTCTACATCCTGCGTCCTATCTTTCTGACCTTGATTTGCTTTATTTCTTTCTTATTGCATCGACGATCGGCAGAGCATAACATGACCAGAGGACTCCGAAAATTATAGTTTTGATTACAACGTTCTGTTTCGTCGGAGTCTTTATGCACTAAAACAAGTTCAGTTATGCTTAGCGCCTTGGCTCCATGGAACCTTATCCTGAAACTCGTTCTAGTCGTGGCACACATCAACCTCACGCACGTTGGGAGGTAGTCGGCAAAATACTATCAAATACTATTACTATGTTTCGTCGACTCGTGCATTCATAGTTGTAGGATCAAGGTTCAATGCATTAATTCAACGATTGACAATGTGTGAAGAGAAAAATAATGACAGTACATGTTGATGTGAATGCTTAAGGATGATCAGGCGGTATCAGCCATGCACATCCTAAACACCATATTTATGTCGTAGCTAAATTGCTTTACATCATTTCCATCGCACGACACGTATAACGACGTCGTTATGATGATTTTATGGTCCAAATGTAGACCTCATCCTCCAACTGCAAATCCAGTAGAGAGAGATTGAATAATCTCATGGCAATACTAAATTCCCTACTCTGTTCTGGTTCTCAACTTTGCATATGGGATCTAACTAAGATATTTAAGATGTTGGGAGATTACTTCCTATGTTATGTGTGTTGCTGATTTCCAGACATCTATATTAGCTATTTGTTAACTGGCTAATAGTAGGTGGTTATGCTATGGAGTCCAAGAGTACTCAAAATTAATATGGGGTCTAAATGGAGAAATGTCCACCTATATTTTTGTTAAGTTGCTAATTCCCAAACAAGATTATAATCCTTCAGAGAGTAGGCCAAAAAGGGTTGCCTTGTATGCATGCACCTATATTATGTCTCATGTCTGCATGCAACTTCTAAAGCTTCTCTCATCTCATTTGCTCACCTATAAGATCCAAACCCACCAAGAGAAATGTCACACCTTGGAACAGAAGGAAGTAGAAATGGACACCTTGAGCAGACAGCAAGCTCCTGACAGAAGCTGTGAGCAGTAGGAATGCCAGAGCCAACTCCTTCCTGTATAGTTTGTTCACTTTCTTTTTCGGTTTCGGCACTGCTTCTGCCTTCTCCTTCAGTAAACTCAACTGTCCAATTTCACTCTCTGAAGATCCTCTATGTAACTGTGGCTGAATTGTTGAGGTCTTTGATTCCCTCTCTGCGGCAGCCAGTAGGTCTGATTCTGATGATCTGCCGGCCTTCTTTGTAACTACCCATTCGTAAGAGCTTCCCAACTGGAACAGCCCAGAGACCATCGCGTTGAACTTGGTGACAGACATTGTGTTTTCAAAGAGAAGGTAAGGGACGATGAAAGGGAAAGATTTGGGAGCTGGGACGATGTTCATGAACGACATTACGATGGGGACATAACAGATGACCCACAGTGGGAGTTCGGCTTCTGGGACGAACATGGTTAGTGGGAGGATTATGCAGAACAGTGTGAAGGAATAGAATGGCAGGATTAGTTTTCTCAATAGGAAGAAGAGGAATATCAAGTTTGCCTTCTTCCACAATGCTATCTGCAAAATATTGACCCAACCAGCAAAGGGCTCAATTCAGGTGTATTTCTTTAGGCTTAAAAATAAGTGATTTCGAAAGAAGTGCTTTTTCATTTGGCATACCTTAGATGTTAATATTGCAGGAAGACACAAGCGGAAAAGCTGCATTGGACCGGAGTGCCAGCGATGCTGCTGTTTTCTATATGCTTCATAGGACTCAGGAAGTTCACAGAGAACCTAAATATGTAACTAAGTTAGTTTTATTTGGACTTTGTTCTACACATATTGAACCATAAAACATTCATTTATCAGTTGAGTAATTTCAGCTATTCTGTAACAGAAACAAAATTCTACCTTGACATCATTCAGGAAGATGAATTTCCAGCCATTGAGATGAGCACGAACAGCAATGTCCATGTCCTCGACGGTTGTTCTCTCGAGCCAACCACCGGATTCCTCGAGGGCCTTGATTCTCCAAACCCCAGCAGTTCCATTAAAGCCAAAGAAATTCATGAAGACACTATTAACTTGCTGTTCAACCTCAAAGTGGAAACATAGATTGATGTTCTGTAAACGAGTCAGCAAATTTTCATCCTTGTTCACAAATGACCATCTCGCTTGAACTAGCCCCAGTTCAGGATTGTCCTGAAACAACAAGATAAACAATCCAAGGCATACTTCAGAACATTGTAACAACTAATAATAGATTATAAATAAATTAGCGGAATGTCGGCCATTCATACTCGTATTTACCTTAAAATGTGGCACGGTCAGCTTGAGGTAGTCGGGATTGGGCTGGAAGTCAGCATCGAAAATTGCAACAAACTCATAGTCCTTAACATAATCACAGCCCATTGCTGAATTGAGGTTTCCAGCCTTGTAACCAGTTCTAAGCAACCTATGTCTATAGATAATGTTGACCCCCTTTTGTCTCCATTTATCAACCTCGCCTCTAATTAACCATTGGATGTCCTCTTCATCAGAATCATCCAGAACTTGGATCAAGATCCTGTCTTTCGGCCAATCGAGCTGACAAACTGCAGAGATCGACTGATCATACACCTGTCAACAACCCAATATCCATCAACACAGTAATCTAGTGTCCACTGTAACACTGAGCAATTACCATAAAACCCCAGAAGCCACAAGAGAACAATGCAAAATGCAGGACCAACGGAAAGCTTTAAACCAGTGGAAGAAATCAGTTGAGTTGAAAATACCTCTCTCTCGTTACACATTGGAATTTGAACAAGAACCATGGGCCATTTATAATCCAAGGCCTCAATATCTGGAGACTTGAAGGGATCTCCTCCTCGAATCTCAGGCTTAATCTTCTTAAACTTAATCCACAAACAACCTAAACAGAGCACCAGACGGTCCACAGACTGCACAAGGAACAGAGCAACGCAGAAATTGGAGAGACCCAGAATGGTGGGAGCGATGTAATCAGCACGAAAATTGAGCCACGCAACATAGAACATGTGAAGCAAATTGGGAGCAGCCATTGGAATCCGATGAAGATATTCAGCAGCAGCAGAAGCCTCGAAATAATGCCAGCCTTTTAGATAAGCAGCAACTTCAAACCCCAGAATTACAAGAGAAGTGACTAAGAAAACCCTGATGACTCGAAGGACCAACTTCCCTTTGCCGAGCTTCTCAGTGGCGACTGTGACTCCTTCCCTGAAAAAGAGGCGCTTTTTGATGGTTCCAAGCAATGCCCAGAAGAGACCGGCGAGCCAGGCCACGCAGCCGACGGCACGGTGAGCTTTGAGAAGCAAAACCCATCTGACCTGCTTTGCGTTTTTGCCTCTGCTCTTGTCCACAGGCCGCAATGCAGCATCTGGGCCGTCGATTTCAACCACCGAGTAGTTTGGGTTCTCCATTTTCACCACCACCGGAGTTCCTCCTCCCTTCTTGCTCTCCTTCCCCATCAGCACCTTAAAATCTAACCTTTGAGCCATTTCTGTGCTTTCCCCTCCTTTTGCTTCTGTACTTGCTCAGTCGCTCACTGACTGTCCTTTTTTTACTAATTCAAGAAATAAATTAAAAAACCGAGCAGTATCCAAAAAACCCAAGAAGGAAAACATGAACTCTTCAGAACCCAGATCCCAAAAATAGGAAAAGAATGAAACTGATAGAAATCCGGATTTCGAGTCTCTAGGGATTTGGGAAATGGAGCGATCACCGAGGAGATGATCTACTCGTTTGATGGGGAAGATAGAAGAAAGAAGGAAGTTTGAGAAATGAGGGGTGAGGAAGAACAGAGGCTGCGGCAGGCGGCAGCAGCTAGGTGGGAAGAGAGAAGGTTTTCGGCAGAGACCAGAGATGAGAGAAAGAGAGGTGATTAGGAAACTGAATTAGGTTTTTTTTTTAATCAGAACTAATAATTAGGTTTAATCTTTGTTTAGTGGATAATTCTCACTTACAATAATATTTATGTAATCCGAAAATTCATCAATACTACCCCAAATCGATGCCTCCCTCAAATTACCCTTAAAATAATCTCAACTAGTAATAAAGAACCATAAACCGACAAAACAATTCAAATAATGAAATAGCATAAATGCAAGTTTCTACCATCCCCGCCTTATTCAGAAAAACCTTGACCTCAAGATTTAACTTCCACCTCTGGAGCGCCTCCTCCTGCCGTTGTTTCATCCTCCGCCTCGTCCTCCCAGTGACCGACCAGAATCATCAAGTCCGGTTTCGCACATTGATGGTCGAACGTGAACCTCTCATTACAATCAAAGCACTTGTTTTTGGGCCTCTTCTGCTCGATTTCCGCCGAGGATAGTCTCACAAAGCCCTTCACCTCCTCCATTGACATCTCATTACATTATTATTAATGATGTGAAAATATTAAAAGAAACAAATATTATTTTTATTTATTTTTTAATTGTCACGTTAGACATTGAACGGTCAACTATTAAAGTTGACTGCTACGTCATTAACAGAGAGTGACTACACGTGAATCGTTTTACTAATTCGAGTGATCAAAATTGATATGAATTTTTTCCAGTGACGATACAGGATACATTTTAATAAACACAGTGACCAAACTTGACATTTGCCCCTAGCCATTCTTTTTCAGGCGGACATCAAGAACTGGTCAATCATATGGTTAAGTAACTAGAAAAAAGAAAATAAAAGAAAGGGAGTTAGAGAAATAAATAATAAAAAATGTGGATGTGGTTGCGGCTTTGTAATCTTCGTCGCAAATAGTGTATGGTGATTACAAAGCAGGAGTCAGAGTTGACGACACCTCTAGCTAGCTACCACAATGACAATTAACGGGCTTAAAAGAAGAGCTACCACAATGACAATTAGTGACGAGACAAGTTAACGATCCTTAAAAGGAAGGTTGTCCTCATAGGAGTTTATTCACTCTTTTTTATTTGTGTTACGAGTTCATCAACTAGATCTAGATCGTCTAAATTTAGAGTGAAGAGATTCGATCGAGCACGTCCATCTGTGATCAACGTGCCGACTCAACCCCTCTGCAACTCGAGTTGATCAGAGTGTCAATGACTCAAGATCCATACAACATAATTGACCATCAAGGATCTTGATCAGACCTACAATATAATCAAATCCTAACATGATTCAACTTAACTCACACTCTGATTGATAACTCAACTTCTCTGCAATACCATTATGTGACCCCCGCCAAGCTTTCATTAGCGATAAGTCCTCCGTCCTGCTACAGGTGCTGCGACAACCTTTACCAGGTCCGAACTATTGTCGATCTAACAACGAGATCATGTGATATACTTCCTTCCGATATCGTCGTAGCTCGAACAATATTGAAAACTCCTCTCATTACTTGCATACACCTTCTATGCTCTCCATTCTGGAAAGAAGCAAACTCCGATTGTACCTTAATTATCATCACGATGAGTCTTCACCGAATTGATCTCCGTTGGTCCTCTTGAGGGAGATCCTTTTGGTTGATTCCATAAACAGGCACAAGGGAGATCCTCATCTGTTCTTCCTTCAATCAACGTGGAAAACCAAGTTAAATTGGCAGCAATAACAACAAACAGAGCAGAAGCATGAGAAGAAGACATGTTGGAAAACCGGTAGAATGTCAAGTTCAGACAAAGACTCATGCTTCGCTTTGCCTGCCCATAAGCCAAAACAAAAAACAGAACTGGAGCAGTAATTAAGTGGATCGGGGGAAGTTGTGTTCCGCTGTGTGTGATGTTTCTTACTTATGAGCCATCGACCCACCTCCACATATAAAACCATAAGAGAATCATCATATGCCCACAAAAGATCTGCTGTCTCCTTCTCTCCACAACCAATGGAGAGAAGAAAAAAAAAGAACTTTCAATCAATTGCTCAGTGATTACTGCATCAGCTCCAACCTCAGAACCCTTCTTCCCCAGCTGTTACTGCCGACACTTCACTTCCCTTCCCTCTGTGCCCTTTCTTTTTCTCCTCCCACGTTCTGTTTCTTTAAGCTGCTCTTAAATCCATGAAGCTGACTTGTTTCTGCAAGTGTCTAATCATATCCATGGAGTTGCCCATGTGTTCCTCACGAGGAAATGATGGGGAAGTTGGGAGTGCATTAAGAAAATCAAATCACATTCATGGTTTGCCATGGTTGTTACGGAGGAAATGAAAGAGCATACACAGAGATAATACAGATAAAGAGAGATGAGAGATGTATACGACTAATTTGATATTATATGAAGTAATTTAACCAAACAAAGATGTTGAAGAATTTCGAATTTACATCACAAAGTGCTATCTAAGGAAGTTTTGTATCATCTCCCTCAACATTAGAGGAATAAAGGAAAGCAATCTCATAACTTTGGACCTCACTCCTTTCAACAGTTTCTTCCTGGTCTTTCCAGCTCCCCACCAAATCTTTTTACTTGAATCTGAACTTCACTAGAACCACCACTCTGTCTGTGGCAGCCAACAACAACAACAACAACAGAAAACTAAAAAGAAAGGTGTAGTGTTCATACGAGGAAATCGGTGGAGAGGGGAAAAAGAATCAAATGAATCCTAAACTGTCTTGAACTAAATGTGGGGGAGACTGAAATTCACATTTATCCAGGTTAAAAGGAACGAGAGGAAGTTACTTCCTTTTGTTGCAGCCAGCAGCAACAAGGTGATGAACCTGCAGAGAGTAGGGGGAAAACGGGTTGCCTTGTATGCATGCACCTTCTAAAGCTTCTCTCAGCTCATTTGCTCTCCTATGAGATCCAAACCCACCAAGAGAAATGTCACACCTTGGAAGAGAAGGAAGTAGAAATGGACACCTTGAGCAGACAGCAAGCTCCTGACAGAAGCTGTGAGCAGTAGGAATGCCAGAGCCAACTCCTTCCTGTATAGTTTGTTCACTTTCTTTTTCGGTTTCAGCGCTGCTTCTGCCTTCTCCTTCAGTAAACTCAACTGCCCAATCTCGCTCTCTGAAGATCCTCTATGTAACTGTGGCTGAACTGTTGAGGTCTTCGATTCCCTCTCCGCGGCAGCCAGTAGGTCTGATTCTGATGATCTGCCGGCCTTCTTTGTAACAACCCATTCATAAGAGCTTCCCAACTGGAACAGTCCAGAGACCATCGCGTTGAACTTGGTGACAGACATTGTGTTTTCAAAGAGAAGGTAAGGGACGATGAAAGGGAAAGATTTGGGAGCTGGAACGATGTTCATGAACGACATTACGATGGGGACATAGCAGATGACCCACAGTGGAAGTTCGGCTTCTGGGACGAACATGGTCAGTGGGAGGATTATGCAGAACAGTGTGAAGGAATAGAATGGCAGGATTAGTTTTCTCAGTAGGAAGAAAAGGAATATCAAGTTTGCCTTCTTCCATAATGCTATCTGCAAAATATTGAGCCAACCAGCAAAAGGCTCAATTCAGGTGTGTTTCTTTGGCTTAAAAATAAGTGATTTCTAAAGAAGTGTTTTTTCGTTGACATACCTTGGATGTTATTATTGCAGGAAGACACAAGCGGAAAAGCTGCATTGGGCCGGAATGCCAGCGATGCTGCTGTTTTCTATATGCTTCATAGGACTCAGGAAGTTCACAGAGAACCTAAACATGTAACTAAGTTAGTTATTTGGACTTCGTTCTAAACATATCAAGCCATAAAACATTCATTTCTCAATTTAGTAATTTCAGCTGTTCTGTAACAGAAACAAAATTCTACCTTGACATCATTCAGGAAGATGAATTTCCAGCCATTGAGATGAGCGCGAACAGCAATGTCCATGTCCTCGACGGTTGTTCTCTCGAGCCATCCACCTGATTCCTCGAGGGCCTTGATTCTCCAAACCCCAGCAGTTCCATTAAAGCCAAAGAAATTCATGAAGACACCATTAACTTGCTGTTCAACCTCGAAGTGGAAACACAGATTGATGTTCTGTAAACGAGTCAGCAAATTTTCATCCTTGTTCACAAATGACCATCTCGCCTGAACCAGCCCCAGTTCAGGATTGTCCTGAAATAACAGGATAAACAAGGCAAGGCAAACTTGAGAACACATTAACAATAGATTATCACGAAATTAGCGGAATGTTGATCATTTGTACCCGTGTTTACCTTAAAATGTGGCACAGTCAGCTTGAGGAAGTCGGGATTAGGCTGGAAGTCAGCATCGAAAATTGCAACAAACTCATAATCCTTAACATAATCACAGCCCATTGCTGAATTGAGGTTCCCAGCCTTGTAACCAGTTCTAAGCAACCTATGCCTATAGATAATGTTGACCCCCTTTTGTCTCCATTTATCAACCTCGCCTCTAATTAACCACTGGATTTCCTCATCACTTGAATCATCGAGAACTTGGATCAAGATCCTGTCTTTCGGCCAATCGAGCTGGCAAACTGCAGAGATTGACTGATCATACACCTGCCAACAACCCAATATCGATCAACACAGTAATTTCCAAAGTATCCACGTAAACTAAGTAGTTGCCATAGAAACCCAGCAGCCACATAAGAAAAATGCAAAATGCAGGAGCAACGGAAAGCTTTAAACCAGTAGAAGAAATCAGTTGAGTTGGAAAATACCTCTCTCTCGTTACACATTGGAATTTGAACAAGAACCATGGGGCATTTATAATCCAAGGCCTCAATATCTGGAGACTTGAAGGGATCTCCTCCTCGAATCTCCGGCTTAATGCCCCTAAACTTAATCCACAAACAACCTAAACAGAGCACCAGACGGTCCACAGACTGCACAAGGAACAGAGCCACGCAGAAATTGGAGAGACCCATAATGGTGGGAGCGATGTAATCAGCACGAAAATTGAGCCACGCAACATAGAACATGTGAAGCAAATTGGGAGCAGCCATTGGAATCCGATGAAGATATTCTGCAGCAGCAGAAGCCTCGATATAATGCCAGCCTTTCAGGTACGCAGCAACTTCAAACCCCAAAATCACAAGCGAAGTGACTAAGAAAACCCTGATAACTCGAAGCACCAACTTCCCTTTCCCGAGCTTCTCAGTTGCCACCGTGACTCCTTCCCTGAAGAAGAGGCGCTTCTTTATGGTTCCAAGCAATGCCCAGAAGAGACCGGCGAGCCAGGCCACGCAGCCGACGGCGCGGTGAGCTTTCAGAAGCAAAACCCATTTGACCTGCTTCGCGTTTTTGCCCCTGCTCTTATCCCCCGGCCCGAATGCAGCATCTGGGCCGTCGATTTCAACCAGCGAGTAGTTTGGGTTCTCCATTTTCACCACCACCGGAGTTCCTCCTCCCCTCTTGCTCTCCTTCCCCATCAGCACCGAAAAATCTAACCTTGGAGCCATTTTCTGGGCTTTCCCCCCCTCTTTCTACTTCCCTACTCGCTCACTCACTCGCTCACTCACTCACAGTCCTTTTTTAACCAATTCAAGAAATAAATTTAAAAAACCGAGCAGTACCCAGAAAACCCCAAGAAGGAAAACGTGAAACTCTTCACAACCCAGATCCCAAAACTAGGAAAAGAATGAAACCCATTTGAGGAATGAAGCAAGCAGCAGATCCATGAACCCTATTCCACCGACTGGGAAAAAGGGCGTGCAGTGGAGGATGAACAGCTATGATGGATAATAGTTACAAGAACCACAATGCGGTGGAGGCAGCTAGAGGAGATGCTTTTTTTGTACTGGGTGCTTCCTCTAGAAAGAAGAGGTGGGAAGCAGAGAGAAGAGGGAGCAAAAGAATTTTGCTACAAGTTCATTTTCTTTCTTTTCGGTGCTGGGAGGAGAGGGAAGGTATATAGGCAGGCAGCTGTAAGAATAAGAAGGGCAGCAAGTAGCAACGTGTGTGAGCGATGGGGCAGCGTCGGTTGCCGCTTGCTTGCCCGCTGCCCGCTGCCCGATTCCTTATTTTATTTTTTATTTTAATTTATTTTTGTGTTTACTATTATGCTTATCCTTATTCTTTTTGAAATGATGCAGCGGTGGGGATATTGGGCGGAGGCCAGCTGCTTCTGTCACGCGTTGCAGCTAATGATATGTTCTATTTTGTTTTCCCTATTTCTATTCGCATTTGCTGGTTTTAATGACTTAGTTTTGCAGGTGAAGCTCCTTGGGATTTTTTGAGGGTCTCTTCTTTTGGCCTTTTAAAGAGATGCAATTAATTGGGTTTAATGCATGTTATAAATCAATTGGTTTCGATAATTGTTGGGAGATGCTTAATGTATTGTACTTAAAATTACTTTTTTTATAGTGCATGGTTTTAACTGCTACGAATTTCTGTGGCGATTGTCAAGCCTTGGTGTGCCGAGTTCGAAGAGAAGGATTTTATCTCGTGCCTCGTGTCGTGTGGTGCTGTTCTAGAAGGATTTTTTGTTGGTGGTAATTTGCTTTTACTACTTTCTCTAGTTGTTTTACTCTTCAGCAGGTACAACAGGGCATGCCCATTTAATGGCTCAAAAGGCCATTTCATCGACAGTTCGACTATTTGTCGACTGTCGCGTTTGGTTGCTTGTTGTTCTTTAACTAGCAACATGTGTGGGACGGATACTGTATTAATTATAGACAGGTTAGCGTCATGCTAACTATAACGGCATAAAGTGTAAAATACGAATTTTATAGAAAAACTATTATTTGGTTACATGTGAATCGTTTTCTTTGGAAAATCAAACTTTCATATTTCTTCAAAATTTTCTTCTCTTTTTTTTTTTACCTCGTTGGCGTCTCTCTCCCGTTGGGATTCTTGTCTCTCGACTCTCTCTCTCTCGAGTAAACTTAAATGGTAACGGTGGAGGACGAGATATTAGTTTCCGTATATAAATCAACAACTACAGTAATTGTTTCCAGATCTGATTCGTCATCCGGGTAAAGTCCTCGTAAGTGAGTGCATCACAAGGCGGCTGAATCGGTGTCGGCACTAGCTCGAGAATGTTGCTAATCTACAACAACGACACTCTAATCGGCTACTGAAACTATAACAATGACATCCTACTCGAACTAATAAAACAATGCCCTAATCGAGAACTAAAAACGCAACAATGACATCTTACTCTACTACGATAACTACAACAATGACACCCTACTCGACAACTACAATTACAATAACGACATCCTAATCGACATCTACAACTACAGCCCTAAATTGACAAATACAACCAGAACAACGACGCTCTAATCAACACATACATGATACAACTATAATCCTAACTACAATTGTCACATCACGACGACACCCTATCAACAACTACAATTGTCCCCTTAACCTTAAATCTCGTATAGGAACGATGAAACTCAAATTTTGATAACCTCAACAATATCTCGATGGAAAGTTAAATTATTTGAAATTCGTAAAAATAAGACTAACATCTACCCATTTTTTCGCATTGCAAGGAGAACAAAGCTTTCTTACATAGACGGAAAAATATAATAAAATGTCACTTATTGAGGATTGTATAGCCCCAATCTATTCAAATATCGGTGAACAAATAATTGTTGATTATAACTTTATTATTTCACAAATTCATTGATAACTATTTATCAATCTTAATGGTGACCTTTCCCATAATTGTCCCCAACTTACTTCTAGGAGGAATTTGCTATTTGGGGTGAAAAACTGATTGGAACTTGTGTGGTTTGAGACAAACTCAATCATCATCATCATGAGCAAAATAACAAACAATAGACATTTTAACATTAATGACTAGATTAGGCTAAGCTTATAGTCTGTTGTCATTCCATGTCTAGTAAAAAAGAAAATATGTATAATATTCTTAGTAGAATTAAAAATATTATCAAGTTACAAGTGAAGTGAGCAGCACGTCACTAACATTATTACTCATGCTCAATTAATATACTTGTCCAAATATGGCGGCTGGAATTCAGGAATCCAAGGAGGTCAGGGGAGAGAATCCTGGATTCAATTTCCATGCCTTCATCCAAGCTAAATTATTAGGGCAGAACAAGAAAATTATGTGGGCTTTTCCATAGGATTCGAAATTAGATGAAGTTACGACCATTTGTTAGGCGAAAAAAGAACGGAATAGATATTTCATGATTCTTTAGATTTTTTTTATTTTTTAAGAGGAATCAAGGAAAAAATTATTCATAATAACGTTTGGGGAATCGAGTCAGTCAACTACATAAACAATTTTCTGATTTTCAAAACATATGTTTTTTTTTATATACATTGTACTGTTGTTTTCTAGTTTCATATTGGTAAAAACATAATGTGCATTGAACCCAAAGCATCTAACAATTCATACACAAAATTATCTGAGACTCAATACCAATATAACATCATTCTCATGCATTGCATCAATTCTTACAATCCCGACCATTACAGACATTGAGTTCTAAAATTCTATGTATTCCATAGTACGTGCTTTTCAAACAATCCTCTAAGTTTAACTAGCATTGAACCCGCACGTTGTGCGGGCGAGTTACATCTTTTTATCAACATTAATCAATTTTATTTCAGTATTTTGAATATTTTAATGTGTCATTCTATAATTTTTGTAATTTCAGTATTCAAAATTTTGTAAAGGTATTAGTGTTTTCCAACATTGTTAAACTTTATAAGTTTAGCTTGTGCTTATAATCTAATCGTTTTATGAGTGGACATCAAAATAATCTTAATTTTTAAAATTTCAATTCTATTGGATATATGTTGTATTTGGAAGATTATATTACAATATTTTGCATAGTCATATCACTATATACATATTTTCTCACATTAAGATAGTTGGCATAGCTTTCAAAATTATAATAAAGAGCTTTTGTTTAGAGTAAAACGGAATGTATGAACGGTTATATTGAAAAAGTTTAGCGTAAAGTATTTTGTACTGAAAACGTGTTGAGTTATAGCTCAGCCGTTTCCTACCGTTAAAATTACCTACCAATTTGGATCCAATATCCAGTATTTTCGATCCAACCGACATTCTAGAATTTCTTAAACATTGTTAAAAAAAGTTATAGGTATAATATGCCCATTTATTATGATGCTTTATCAAACATGCCTCTCTACTATTTTTTACATCAAATATGCCCCTGTACTTTGTAAAAATGATCAAACATGCCCTTTTGTTAAAATTTTCATCGAAAAACCGTTAACAAAGGCTGAACTTTAGTTTGGGCGACACAAATGACTAAAATATCCCTAATAAATTCACTTTAGAATTTTTTTGGTTCTTTTGTATAATCAAATCATTCAATTAATTTCACTTTGAAAAGACCCAGGGAAATAAATCAGGGGACAAAACTGACATTTTTCCTCTCATTTGCCAATGTCGGGTCGTCTAAATCTCTGTTCAACCATGATTGACGATTTTTTCAATGGAAATTTTAACAAAAGGGCATGTTTGATATTTTTTTTCAAAATACAGGAGCATATTTGATGTAAAAAATAATAGAGGGCCATGTTTGATAAAGCTTCGTAGTAGATGGGCATATTATACCTATAACCCTTAAAAATGTAGAAGAGTTTTCTAGGTGAAAGAGGTAAAATTTCTTAATTCTACCCAAACCTGAATTACCGCAGGAGTATAAAATAATTAACTATCAAACTATGGAAGAAAACTAAATAACCAAAAAAAACTACACGAAAAGAAAAAATTCCACAAAACATGGTAACTACCGCCATAAAAAAAGAATAAAAAAAATAAGAAAAACGGAAAAATCCGAAAGTTGCGGAGGAAGCTCCATGGCTGACGTGGAGGGGGTCATTTTATAAAACCCCTTTAATATATTTAAAGATAAAGATGATAAATTCCGAACCGGTAAAAGATTGCACTTGATATCATAGAATTCAATTGCCGAAATTTTCATATATGTGTGCTTGAAAAAACGAACAGAAAGACGCCACACTCTAGATTTGAATCTTGGAGTTAACAAAAATATGCACATCGAAACTCTTACATCAAGTGGATGGATCAGTAGAAAGGAAATAAATAAACACAACTGATATTGTAATAATCCTATGAAGAAGGAAGAAAGATGTCGGTTATGTGAAAAAAATGAGGAAAAGGATATTCCCCTGGCCTCTCCCACTTCTATGGTTTGGCCATTTTCTACAGAAAAAGCCAAAGAAAAGGGCCATTTCATAATCATCATATACCCACCTTTTCTCCACTCTGGATTATTGTAATTAACACTTTCCAAACAACAAAACAGAGATGCCATTTTCTCTTGCCAATATTTTGAGATCTTTGCTACCATGCTTCTGTTGGAATATCCTCAGAGGTTTTTCTTACAAAATTATCATCGCATGTACATGTAACAATCCGAATCGATGGATCGTGAGATCGAAACAGAACGCGGTAGTTGTATAATCTTGAAACCTGTCGTATCAGTAATGCTAACTGGATGCCAAAGTACTTGAAATTAATCCATTCTTAGACTCTAATCATGCAGGCCCCAAAGTATGAATATAATACAGATACAAGTATACAACATACTTGAGATTTCTTTATGCTGGGGCACAAAAAGAGTCAAGAATGATTACTTAATGACCATTAACGATTTAATGTAAGGCAGGATGTCCAACTTGGAAGACCTGTAATGTTTCCTTGAAACCCCACTAACTTAAAATACTAAAAAGGCAAAGGCATTAACAAATATATAGAGCAGCATCAGATGATTGAATTCTGATGATACAAGATTGGAATATAATCATCACCAGACCCAACTGCTATTTGCTATCATGGCCCTGGAGCCTTGAAAACAACCAGGTCAACCACTTCCCAACATAAACTCATCTGCATTCCATCTCTCTAATATGATAATAGCTATTTAGGTATGCACTCTCTTTCCAATCATGCATACTCATAGTACTCAGGTACCTGCTTAATCATTCGAGTGTAGTATGGTGCCTCGTCGTAATCGATTGAATGAACTTGAAGAAAGCAAAACTCGCCTTAAGTTTAATGTGCGTTTATACACTTTATAATAGCGTGTGATTGTTTCCTTGTATGTGATGAAAGGGAATGGTCACTGCCCTATTTAGGGTTTTGTAGAATCGGCTTACTCTATAGCGCGTCTTACTTCAAGCTCACAAAGTTGCAGCGCCACCATTCGAAGAAAAGACGTATCTGTTACGAAGCGCATCAGTGTAACTCCTTACATTGAGCTTGTCTTCTTCACAAACCAAGCATACATTCTATGTTCACTCGTTGGCCACCATGACACCGGAGCTGCAAAATTAGCATGAGAATATGGATGCACGTTATGTGATCACGCACGAGTACGGAAGCATACAATGCGACGAGCACAAAAGCATAAGCAGGAAAGGAAGGGGACTCTCATATGGACCATTTCGCTCATACAGGGCTGCACAGTGTGCACCAAAACACTGCAATACAGCGATTTGAACAATCTCCTGTGGTAATAATGCAAGACAATACTGGGAAACTCTACCTATTATTTTCGATGTGCCTCTATGTCTGGCGTTAGCTTCAGTGGCCGCCTTTTCCTTTGCCTATATTTTGCGTATGAATACCACAGTCCACCAGCAGTGTTGATGACCAAGCCAGTCACGTTCAGACCATGCACCTTCACCCCGCCAAGTAAGAAGAAACCAAGAGTCTGAACCAGAACCAGCAAAAGAAACATCAAGCTCAGACCTTTATGCAGAATATCTAAAACCAACAGTTCATTAACAAACCAATACCCAAAACTCAATTCAACACCACCCCACAGCATGATTCCAGCTAGTAATTTTACATCGAAGGAACAAGCAGAAGGTGTAATTGGACCTACCGTCGATCCAACACCTTTTAGTACACCAACTATGGTTGTTGTTAGAGCTGAGTTGACTATCGTACATAAGAACATTGTGTAGTTGAGAATGATTCCCATCACCAATGAGAGAATGAGTATCACCAAAAATGAGAAGGAATTACTCTGTCAACAGAAGCATAAATATGATGTTACTGCTTCAACAAATCATTAGTAGAAGATACAACATTCATGGAAAAGAAAAGCATGCTTAGGCAAGATTACTTCAGATAGTATTGCCAAAGAACGGACACATAACACCAAGTACAGACTAAGCAGTGATCATCTAGGCATTTGAGGCTTCTATCATAACTTAGCAATTCATGGTGACAATCATCCAACATTTTGGCTTTAGAACCACTGAAAATATCATCTCTTTCAACTTTTTCAAGAGAAATAAAGAAGCCCCAGGCCTAAAGGCAAATTTGTTAGCTTACCTTTGCGATTAATAACACCAAAGAGTCGGGGAATTCTCGAGTAACTATGATGAGGAATATCAAAAAAGGAAGAGACAAGAAGCTGTTGTAGAACATTATCTCAACTGAAGAAAGCCCATCTTCTGCACCAGACTTCTCCACTAAAACAAGGTACATGGTCTGCATAACTCAGAGAGCACTAGTACCATCAGCAACAGAAAAGGACTAACTTGAGATGTAGTTCAAGGCCTTAAAAGCAATTAAAATCAGCTAGTAGACTAACCTGGAAAAAAACAGAAACAAATGCCAACCCATAACCAAACAAGTCGAAGGAAAAATCTCCAAGCGCTGCGATAACAACTCCGCCAGCAGTGAGTAGGACAGATAGAGTCACCTGAAAATATGACAAAGACATGTTACTGTTTGAACATATGGTCCACAAAAGCAATTCAAGCCCACCATCTTTATGAAGAAGCATTGCAAAAGACCAAATGCGAACCTGAGTAGAAGGCCTTCCTTTCCCAGCAAAAAAGCCAGCAATCAACACAGCAAGAGGAGTGAGCCTCTTTATTGCAATATACATGGGAATGTTAACCCCTTTCAAGCTGGCCAGAGCAAATGCCACATTGGCATTGTAGAAGAGAGAAACAGGGAGAAGCCTCTTAGCTGTTTGGAGATCGAGTCCCTTCGATCTCGTGTATCCTGTTTTCCGCCCAACGTAAATAAGCAAGGCTGTAGCCACTTGCTAAGAAAGCAACCACGAAACAAAGCTGAAATCTTTTAAGCAATGGTTATGACCCAAAATTTGCAGTTTACAGTCTCAAGAATGTGGAAGAAATGAGCTTTTACTTGGAAAGTGAGAAGTGTCATAGAGTGAGAATACTGCATCACAATGGCCTTGTTGATGAACACCATCGCCATTGAAGCAATCCCATATGAAAGCGCCGCAAACAAACTGCATTAACGAGGGGGAGATCAGTGGATTGAACATTAATAAACCTAAAGTTCATAATAACTTGGGGGTAAAGCTTCCAAATTCAAGATTGAGCAGTCTTCAACCCGCACTAACTTGCATTTGACATAGTGAAAAGAGACTGATTATAATTCTGCATTAAGTGAACTGCAGCAAATGAATGCAATGAATACAAGTAAAGAACCTGAGAAAAGAAATTGGGTCAGCATCTCTGCGATTCTCCATGGCTCCCGATCTACCAAAAGAAACTGGACAAATGTGTCTACCCGGCTATCTGGAACTCACACATAATCCAATTCCCAGAAGCAATTGAAACTGCAAAATCAGAAACCAACATAAAGTCGCCTGCTTGAAAGAGAATTCAAGTGAAGAAGGGCGCAAAGGGGGGAGAAGCCGAAAGAAAGCGACGATATTGGATCAAGAATTATAAAAAGGGGAAAAGGGTAGGGACCTGAAAAGAGCAAGTGAAGCGGAGGGATTCAATTGACAGTGTTGCAGAGTCGCATTAAGAACTGAAGCGGGGTTACTGGTTTTTCTGTGAATCTAAGGGGAGGTCACAGTGGGTAGCGTTATTCGAAGAAGCGGCGTGGGTGCGCGGAGAGAGCGGCATGGTGTTTGCTGCTGGCTGAAGCCAGTGACTTTTTAGTGCAAGATACAGTGCTAATTAAATTACTTCATTCATCTGGGTTTTTACTGTTATCGCAACAAACAGAATCACCATTAACAGGAAGCTGGATGGAAAGGAAAGGAAAGGAAAGGAGATGGTGAGGTGTAAATGCGGGACGGGTGATCGCCTCTAATTGAATAGAATACAGAATAGGATAAATTTAAAGCTAGAAAATTTTTTATTGGATGTGGGTAAAATCCAATTTGATTATTACGAGGAATGGACGGATATGATTTTTTTACGGTTTAATTTGAGCTCGATCAATTAGCATACGAATATTGTATAGAAATAATCATTTATTTATTTTTCGTAAATTTATATTGTTTTTAATTGATTTTTTTCATTCTAGTAATTTATCGTCATACTTTTTCACTTATGTGACTAAAGTATCATGTGAATGTTAACATATTGATTGGAGCTATAAAGTGAAATTATTACTCCTAGTTAACTATGGATACCCGAAACTCGAACGAGTATGGGGCATGGTTTTGATTTGTCACCTGGTTCTTTATGTGTGTATGACTAAAACCCAAACTATTTTAGGTATAGTAATGGATATGCACTATTTTGATCAAATTCATACATGTATCTCTTCCAAAATCTCGAGTTATTGAGACCAACTGGTTCTTAACTTGGTATCAGAGCTGGTTTTGCTAAGCAGTCGCGTGTTAAAAAATCTGTATGCCCCCCTGATATTAACATTTTATTAATATGATATCATATTAGAAAGTGGTATATGATATTCATAATTAACATTCTCTTGACAACTCAATTTAATTGTGACCAACTATAGTTTATGATATGACATTAGAATTCGTAACTTACTTGCCATTGAACTCAATTTATTGTGACTTTAATTAACTTTATCTCAACAACTCAATTTATTTTTACCAACTAATTTTAGAGCACTTCTACTATGCTATATAGTATTGGTGCTTTAATGTACAACTTAAAGTTGTACCATAACATTAAATGTATAAGTTTAGGTTGTACCATAAAGCAATTTGTACCATTATGTTATGGTACAACTTTACAACTTGAAGTTGTACCATAACATAAAGGTACAAGTTCAAGTTGTATCATAAAAGAATTTGTACAAAAAGTGTAGGTACAATCTAAAGTTGTACCGTAACGTAAATGTACAATTTTAAGTTGTACCATAAAGGCAAAATCCTATAGCACCAATACTATATAGTATTGTAAAATTTCTCCTAATTTTATGACATGATATTAAAATGCAAAACTTACTTGTCATTGAAGTTACGTGATCCTCACAATCTCAATATTAACTTTTGTCTTAAAGTAATTAGTATGATAGATTTGTTTTGGAATACGACTAGACACTTCATTGAAGTTAAAACAGAACAATTGGCATAACCAAAATCCAAGAACCCGGAAAAAAACACGCACGCGCTCCGCCCGGTCTTCATTTCATGCATGAAAAGAAGGGAAAAGGAGGGAGAAACGAAGCAAGTGGAGAGCAAACCAGTACATATAGCAAATGAACCATCAACCAAAAAAGCATGCCAGCAAAAGGCAAAGCAAACTCATCCATGGCGAAACAAGGCAGCAGGATGCTCAGCAGTCTTCCCCATTTCTTCCAGCCCCTCCTTCCAGGCTTCCACGATCACTTTGTACGTCACAACGCTTGCCCTTTTTTCCCTCCTTCACCTTTCTCTGCTTATGGGTCATGGTTTCTAATGAATGAATATACATTGCAATATGCTCTCAATCAAGCAGTCGATTCCAGTTGGATTTGGGAAGTACTTGGAAGGAAGGGAAGTGGGTGAAGGAAATATTGCTGTGCTGAGAAGCCCTGGAGGGAAAATCTACAGAGTTGAGATGGAGAATGGAAGAGAATTCAAAGATGGGTGGAAGGAATTCGTTGATGAACATGATCTGCATGTTGGTGATGTGGTGGTGTTTAGACTTGTTGATGATCCCATGGTGTTTGATGTCATGATTTTCGACCCGAGTGCTTGCGAGAGACCATATCCTCACAATGAAGTTGATGTTAAGACAGAGGAAGTAGTTGCAGCAGCAGAAGAAGAAAGGCCTTTGCCATGTGCTGCTGCTGGTGTAGCAGAACCTGAAACAGGGCTCCATAGCAGTAAGTATGAGTGCCTCATGTCTGAATTGCTTGAAAGAACCATGTCTTATCTGGGTTGTTGGCTTTCTTTTGATGAATCAGTTGAAAATGGTTCAGGGACACCAATGGAGACGATCAGGATTGCCAAAGATGGTCCTTCTGAGGCAAAGAAACCCTACTTTGTGGTATCCATAAAGCCTGACAATCTAAATAATCGCAGACAGGTTGGTGTGCTTTTAGTTTCAGATGGTGATGGCTCATAAACTCTAATTGTAGTTGTTCAGCCATTCACTGGTTTGCACCCGTAAGCAGCGGATACCTAAGTGCTTTTCGATGACGTATGGCCTGAATCTGGGGAACGCTGAGGGGGTTGTTTTGGACGAAGAGGGTAGATCGTGGCCGGTGAGGATAAACTGCTACTGGAAATCCTCTTGCGATACTTACATCGAACGAGGTTGGGGAGCTTTCCAGAAGGAAAATGAGCTGAAGCTGGGTGATACCTTCAATCTTGAACTTGTTCAGGGTGGTCAGAAGCCAGTCCTACGAATGTCAGGTGGGCTCTGCACTTCTCCCTTCATTGCTCATGCTTTCTTATCAGATCACTATTCCAAGTTCTATATGAATCATATGATAGCTTAGATTGAGCCTTGACTGACTCCTAATGTATGACGCGAAGGGCTGCACGCAAATCCAATGCTCGAGAAGGCGTACAGCGAGAAGGTAAGGAAGGAGAGAAGAAAGAGAGTGGAAGTTAAGAAGTATCCGATCCATATTCAGGACTCGCCAGCTGCAGGGTTTTCAGAGATGGCGGATACCCATTTCATGCTTACTGTAACTAACCACTTTCTGGGAGTTTACCCGGTAAGTACTCTATACACATGAACTTTGCCAGTTTTGGATCGGAAAAAGCTGACAATTTGGAGTTTGGTACATATGAATGTTCAACTGCAGAGTATCCCGAATAAGTTGGCGCGGTATGGTGGTCTACATGGCGGATCTCGGAGTCTCATCCTCACAAACGAGAAAGGACGTGATTGGCTGGTGACAGTCGAGACGAGCACAGACGACGTTACTTATATCGCAAACGGCTGGACCGAACTTGTCAGGGAGAATGGACTCGGTGTTGGAGACACCGTCAGGGTAGATCTGGTTGAAAGAGGAATGAACCCTGCCATGAGTTTCAAGGTAATACGGCCTAAACACTGTCCTTTCGTCTCAAGTCTCAACCTCGAAGTATTGAAAGGATAACATTGATGACAAAAGAAACAACATTTGAAAGTTAAATCATGGTTTCCCGAAAAGGAAAAACTACAATGCAAGTTCTTCCCAACAGAAACAACATTTGAAGTTTGAACCATGGTTCTGAAACAAGCTAGTGCTGCTGCAGGTGGTTTCAAGGAATACCAATGCCAAACAAAGAGAAACCTCGAGCGATAAGTAACTAAGCTAAGTGCAGCATCCTGAAGGAAACCTATGTTCATAGAGGCAAGTCATTTTCAGGGGGCATTGGAGATCCGTCTACTGCATCGGAACTAGAAATCTAAACATTTCTGAACTCTATGTAGTCAAAATGTAATGTGAATGGACTTGGTAACCAAAAAAAACGTGTTTTTGGTCGTGAGACCCTTGAGGCTACAAGGCCATAACAAGAGGATGAAAAATGTGACCAGGGGAACATTTTCGAGCATTACATGGCGCGCCTGTGCAAAAATCAGTTTCTGGGCATACACAGAATGAAGAACAAGAGTATGCCCCTCGTGCTTAACAATCTTTGTATGAATATGGATGGAGGGTAGCAGATACAAGAAGCTGTTGTCTACAAAGTAGAGTCCAAAGTTCAAAACTCCACTAACAGTAATAATAATTTACTTTCAAAAGGTTACTGTATTTCATCCAGGACATACTGCCCTGTATACCCAAAAAATAAACGAAAATAACTCTTGAACAATGCCAGAAAAAATGGGACACTAAGTTTGAAACAAAAATGCTCCCTACCAAGTACCAAACTATCGGTACCACTACAAGGCTAGGGGCTAGGACATAAACCGTATGTCTATTCTTGATGCAGGTGAAACAAGTTCGACACTTACGGTTTATCATAATCTAGTACATACTATGGTAATAATCCACACAAAATCTTAATCGACGATTCAGAGAACTATTGGACTACTCACCTGTAGAGGCTAAGAACCTGTAATGCAAAGATCACGACAGCGAAGGAACAATGTGATATGTATTCCTTTGCTGTGACCAAAATCTTTCCATACGGTGTCCGGAAAATGCTGAATAATAATGTAGGGTGTTGTGTTGCCTGACATCAAAAGTTAACAATAGGTCGAAAAATTGCTCTAACTCACATATATAATGGCTCTACTCCATGGACGTATCCAACTATCCATAACTCAATGGCTGGAAACTTAGACCACACTTTTCTTGCTTCGAAAGCCCTCCTTCAAAAGAGCAAATTTCTTCTTGCACTGGTTCACCGTCTTCCCAGGTACTGCTGCTGCAACTCTTTCCCAACGCTGATTGATCTCCTTGGGGAAAGTTTTCAACGCTTGGACAAGTGCCCTCTCCTGTACAGCAGACCATACATCCTGATCTGAAGAAGATGACGCTGCTGTGTTTCCATCACTACTTCCATCATCGGGTTTTGGGGTTTCCCCACTCGGAGGGTCTTCAGGTTTAGAATCCACAGTAGCAGCAGTATTGACTTCAGATCCCTGAGGATTTATTACAACACCGCCGACTTCTTCCCTAGTTGTGAGAGGAGACGCAATGGATGGGCCAGGTTTCCTCTTCTCCAGAAAGGAATCAAAAGCTTTGGCAGAGTCGGGCTTTTGTAGGAGGACAGTTTTTGTCGCCTTGATAATTTCTTCCACAGATCTTCCTGTCCCAATATACTCTGAGATAACCTCCCAACGACGAGATGTGCCCTTAGGATATTTTTGCATCCCTTTCCTCAGAAGCTCGATCTCTTCTCTACCCCAAGGCTTTTCTTTTCTGCTGCTAGAAGAACTGTTGCTAGTATGGAAACTCCCATTGGATGTAGTAGAGCCGTTCTGCTGTGGTACCTTCTTCTCATCTTCCTTCTTGTGACTCTCCTCAACATCTTCATCACCTCCGCCACAAGCATTTCTCAAAAGTTTGGCTTTTTGCTCTACTGTCTCTTTACCTTCCATATTTTCACATAAACTCCTTAGTTGCTCAATATCGAATGACATGCAAAGATTTTCAACATCATCTTCACGGAGACCGAGCAACCGCTCCGACACAATAGATGCTGAAAGGGTACGAAGGCGGGTACGTTCTTTTCTTAAAAGCTTCTTCTCCTTCTCCTTGGCCTTCTTCTGTAGTGAAGCAGCTTCAGCAGCACGCTTCCCTTCCTCTTCTTTTCTCCGTTTCTCTTCTTCAGCAGCTCTTGCAGCTTCTTCCTCCTGCAATTTTTTGGCTAAATACTTTGCCTCCTTTTTTCTCTGCTTCTCAGCTTTCTCCTCTTCCTTCCTCCTCGCTATTCTCGGGTCTTTTCTGTATGCATTGTCGACAAGGGCACGGACACGAACATATTCTTCTTTTCTAGCCTTTTCTGAGAGCTTTGCATTTTGCCTCTCCATCCACCTCTTATGGTCACGAGATTCAGCTTGCTCAACATCAAACTCATCAGCATGAGGGAATTCCCTCCAGCTTTTGAAGCCATACCAGAAATCATAAAAGCTGTCCACTTCTTTTATAGGACTATTATCATTGCCCAATGGTGGCACCGGCTGGGTAACAGACCAACGACCATTCCTCACAAATGCTGGGCCAAACACTTTAAAGAAGTCCTGGGGTGCACAATCGGTAGGGATTTCATCATCAAACTCATCAGTGGAGTCATAAATTCTCCTCTTCACAGGGTCCATCAGAGCCTCATAAGCCTCTTGGATGGCTTTGAAATGAGTTTCTATTTCATCCTTTTTAGCTTGTTTGGCAGCCTCAGTCTCCTCAGCGAGAAGAAGAGAGGCTTGTTTGTCAGGATGATACTTCAGAGCAACTTCGCGGTAACTTTTTCGAATTTGCTCTTCTGTAGCAAGGTACCTTAGATGACTCAACCCTAACAGTGCATAATGATCCTGTTGGGCGTCTCCAGTTCCTTTCTTTTTCCCTTTGCTACTACTGTAAGATTCAGATGTTGGCATGTGGGTCTGCTCCTTGTCTTTGGAAACAGTATCATCTTTACTATCCACAGCCTCCTCCTCATGTCCAAGGAGTTTAAGAGCAACAGCATGGAAAGAATGTCCTGCGGGTTCATATTTTTTAGCTTTGACTGGAAGGCCATTTGAAGAAGCAAACACAGGCTTCCCGCATACAAGTTCTTGCGAATAGGTTATAAGCCGGAAAGAGTTCTGGAGAGTCATGCTGATTCTTTGAATTCACTATAACCAGTGAAGTGGTAATAATCAGAATTCAAGCCAACCCTCTCGATATGATGAACTCTTTGTCCAAACTGCACAAGACAAGTTGCAAGGAGTAAAAAAAGTGGAACAGGAATATAATGCAGCTTTAACAAGTACTATAGGTATACAACTAGGATTATGGTACCAGATAACAAGCAAACATCTCAAATAGGCATGCTAGTGACTCAAAATTATTTGCTCCCAGTGCACGTCTACCGGGGGGGAGGGAGAAGAAAACACCAAAATCCCAGGAAATTTTTACAACATGTTCTTCAACAACATAGTTAGCAAGCAACACATAACTGCTTAGGATGCCATCCCATCCCATCCCATGATCCCATCCTTGGATCCAGAAGCAGCTGACATGTGCATGGCAAAGATAACGTCTGGCCCTCTAAAATAACAAAAAGGAATCAATGCACTACACGCCATGCTACACCGTTTCATTATACTAAATCAAAAGTAATCAGCAGGGCAAAACATCCGATGCTTATCCAAGATCACGGAGATAGCCCTCGAGCTAGAGTGACGCACAAATATCCAGACTTCAACTTTAAATATCAAACAAATCTAAGAGAAAACTAAGATAACTAACAGCACTGCACGGCTGGTAATACGATCAATCACACCGAAACTACATGTGTTTAACTTTGCTTCAACCAAATTCGTACACTAATAATCGTTGGTGAAACATCATCCCAGAAGAAGGTATAGCTATAGTGAGACGATTGAACTACAAAGGTAACTGCTTAATCAAATCCCCACTAAAATAACACAGATGATGTCTCGTCCACCTGATCCTATGTAGCAACAGGAGTGAGTTCATACACCCCGTAAAGGAAATGGATCCAAACACAATGCACAACAGCGGCAGACGAATCAGCCAGCTGCACCAATAGATTACCTAGAACATGTTCATCGAATCTGATAGAAGTAAATATGTCAACCCAAGCTAATATCAGGTCACAACAGCGGAAATCCCTCGTCCATATCAGTTGGAGTAAACAAATAAGTAAAACAACTTAGCATTCACCAATCAATAGCAGAAGCAGAAAATTAATGGGAGAATGCTAGCTTACTCTTGGCGAGAAAAGAGGAAGCCCGGTGTAAAGCCAAGATATGGATGCCCTCGAACCAGAGCTACAAAGCCAACACTTCAATAGCTCTGAAATCTGAAGAAAACCCAGAAAGCACCGGCCAAAGCTCACCGCCAACCAGTCACGGGACAGACCAGCCACGAACAATACACCACACTTCGGCCGCCGCCGCCGTCCCGGAACGAGGTGCTTGCTTCTAGATGGAGTAACTGAAATCAGCGAACAATACCCAATTTGAAGATCAACATCAGCGATCCCGATATACTCGTAAAAAAAAGAAGCTCGACAAACCAAGAACAAAAATCCAACGAATATGTTGAGATGAGTCTCCCACGCACCTCAGCTATACCGTTATTCGGGAAGAGACGAGCGAGCGAGCGAGAGTATGGGGAACGAGAGGGAGAGGGAGATGTTGTCTCTGCCTCGTTGAAGCACTAATGGCGGGGTTCGAAGGTATATGAGTTGTTGGATTAGGGTTTCTGGGAGGAAGACGCGGCAGCAAGCTTAGGAAGGGAGGGTCGGCGCCAATTGCCAAACGACGCACCCTTGCATAGATGAGCAGTACGACTTTTAGGTTTTATACGGTCCTTTTTGACACATTTGCGCAAGTATATTCCCATCCCTAACACATACGAGTGGCGGATCCAGGAATTCTATATAGGAGTGTTCTCTATAAAAAAAATTAAATTAAATATAATAATTAAATAATTATTAAATAATTATTCTTATCTCTAACTAATAAAAGTTTCATTAAAAGTTCAGACGTGTTTCATCAAATGATAAAATGCATTCGGTGTTTATCCTGCTCAACAAATATCTATCGACATATCTTACTTGACAAGGATATCTCGTAATTGAGTTTAATCGTTAGGTTTTGAAAATAATTAGAGATAAGAATAACATTTTACTATTATATTTGGATCTAAAACACAATAACAACATAAACTACTACTTAAATATTATTTATACCAATACGCAAACTACTACGGGAGATTGGATAATCATTTTCCCAAATTTTAAAGGTGTCCCACACTACCACTTAAACATTTTTTTTTCTCATACGCAAATTACTATCGTAGGTCGAATAATCGTGTTTCCAAATTTTAACCATGCATGTATCCGCCACTGCAAATACCTAACAATAAACAAAATCTAGCGGGTGAGATCATTATCAACACTAATGCATCGGATTCCATAAAAACTAAATCTAGCGACTTACCTTTAGCTGAAAATGGTGAATATAAGATGAATGGGCTAAATTACATGTTTGGTCAGTCAAATTACTTAAATTTTTCACGTTTGCTACTCGAATTACTTTTCTTTCTTATTTGTCACTGACTTTACAAATCGTTGCATCGTTAGTCACCGACCGTCAGTCTCCGTTAAAGTCCGTTAACTCTGTCAGATTTTTTATGACATGGCAAACGGAATGCTGACGAGACCACTAATTTAATGACATGTCATTTAAAATATTAAAAAATAATTTCCAGGGCCCCATCCACCGTCTCTTTTCGTTTCTCGGACTCTTCTTCTTCCACAGGTTCTGTCCTCTCCTCCAAAAACCCTAATCCTGTAGCAGCTGTGCGCTCCAGCCTCTGCTGTCGATTCAACACACTAAGTTAAGGGTCTCGTCGATTCAACCCTATATGTGCGCCAAGTTGCTCCGCAAGATGTCGTGGAAGAATTACATCAATGACCACCTCAAGTGTGAAATCGAGTGCAACCACCTCTCTGCTTCAGAGCATCATCGGCATTGACGCCACATTTGAACCCAGAGCGCCACCTTCCCTTATATTGTTTGCTTCTTCTTTCTCTTTGCTTCCCTCATGATTCCCACAAGTTTGATTCGTTTGGATTCGGGGTTATACTGTTGTTCTTATCATTTGTTTGTCGAGGGCTTGTGTGGGGTTGAGCGGTTGATGGATTGGATGTGGTTGAGAAAGTTGTCCGTCCTGCTTGATTTGTGCTTCGTTCGAATTGGCTTCACTTAAAATTTTGTTTGTGATATTTTATTTCAACTCAAGGCTGAAGAAATTAGTGGCATCATCAAAGTTTCGATGAGCTTGGTCTTGGAGGCTCAAAGTACATAGTGATTCAAGGCGTGGGCGCGTGACTGAAGCTGTCATTCGAGGGAAGAAGGTGAGGATGTATGCACTCTGTGTAGCTTCAAGCGACTCGGCGATCTAACCGGTCCCCAGCAAATAGGAAATACCCCGCCCGCATTCGGCGGCGGCGGCGGCGTGTAGGTGAAGATGATGGTTCAGCAGAGCAGAGAGCCGGATCCTAATCTGGCGGCGAGAGTTGAGACTCGAGCTTAGCAGGAGAGACAATTGTGGACAGCTCTGCGGGAGCAATAGTGTTAGTTTATTATTTTTATATTTTTTCATTTGTTTTAAATGACATGTCATTAAGTTAACTGTCAAGTCAGCAGTTTGGTATGCCACGTCATCAAAATTTTGACGGAGTTAACGGAGTTTTACGGAGACTAACAGCGAAACGATTCGTAAAGTTAGTGGCAAATAAGAAAGAAAAGTAAGTCAGGTGGTAAATGTGAAAGATTTATGTAATTTGAGTGACCAAATGTGTAATTTAGCCAAGATGAATGTTAAAAACTTAAGTTGTTTATCTATCCAAATAAGTTGTAAATCTGTAACTTTAAGTTATTACGACACAAAAAGTAATGCTCCATTCATCTAGTCTGTAGTGTGATTTGGAGCAACATATACTTTATATGTTGTATGGCATGTCCAATTTATTTGCACATCGTTCTTATTTCTTGCACGACGGTTGAGATGAAAATGGTGGATGATAACATATCGTCTCCTAATCTAGAGGATGGTATCATCATTTCCAAACCTTCTACTTGCTGATAAGAAAAACTTCACGCAACTTATGATCTGTGGTGCACAATGGATTAATTGATGCCATTCGAATAGGTGTCAGGGACTCGGGCTCCATTTTAAAAATCTTAATCTTGGAAAAAAAAAGACGCCAAGACAATTTCATTAGGTATATTCATTGTATTATTCAATGTTGGGGTTTCTTGTGTGGTGTTCTTATTAAAACTCAAAAAGCACCTCATTGGCAAAGAAATTATGTAATGAGCAAGCCTCTAACACAATTTACAGTTTTTGAGAATAGATATTTCTATAGAAGACACATCTATTTTCATGGTTGATGCACCAACAACAGTACATAGCACATACTCCCCCACCCTAAGTGGCGGAGTCAGTGGCTTACCAACCAGTATATTCTTAGAATTTGTTACACATTTTTCATGTAAATTTATGTATTTTTGAAATTTCAAATCATCTTACTTCTCTTTCTCCAGATTCGTCTAGGGTTGTTTGTTTACCCATCAATTCGAGATAGGGGTCAAACCAGATGCCTAAATCAGTTAATAAATTATAGACGTCACATGGAATTATACAACAATAAACAGGAGAATCGTGCATTAAAGATGATTCACTAAACACTCATAATCCATTAGATGTAGGATTCGGGAGTCACAGATAAATATCACAAAAATATTACTCTTCCTTTTCAATTTGAAGCTCAAAATGGAACGAACTTGGAATAAGTTAGTTGATTTTCTCGTTAAGTCAATCAGTTTTTTGGGTTCTCATATTCTCCCCACTCATATAGTCCTATTGGCAATCCAATCTTCTAGCATTTTCATTGTTTGTCAATCCATGCAATTGAATGGGTGCTCCTCCTCCTATGTAACTAATTTGAGCTCAATATGTCCTTAGGAAGAACACCAATTTAGAGAAAGGTAAACTAGATAATTGAATTATCAACAAATTTTGTTGAAGATAATGACGATTAAAGGATGTCGATGATCCTCACTTGTGCTTTGATTTTGGCAATGTGTGATCACAAAGGAGAGAAATGTATTTTCATTGTGTTTTTCAGGCGAGAAACAAGGGAGGCACAAATATGTGGGAAAGGTGGGGCGGGTGACCGCATATCTACACTCTAATAATCAACATTAGTGATACAATAAGGAAATATAGAGAGATAATGTAGAGAGATAAGTCATATGTTAAAATGAGTAGAGGAGAAGGAGAGACTCTTTCTTTGAAAGACCTAAGAGCATATTTTATAGGTAAAGCCTTGCGACACTTTGTTAGGATTTTTTTTTTTTACAAAAGATAATCATATATTGATCTAATGAAAAGATAGTTACATCCTGGAATTCAGCTAGGTCCGGAAATCAAAGAAGCGACTCATAGTCGGGTACAAAGAGAGGACTTTTCTAGCCACCGAATGGGCTACCCTATTACCACGCCGACCTACAAATCGAACACTAAACCCTGGGTTGCTGGCAAAATACTGCACGAGTTCTTCCAGAATAGCCCCTAATCGGTTATCTCTGGTGTCAGCCTGGTTGATTTTGTCGATGATTACTTTGGCGTCCCCTTCAAAACTAATGGCCGTGAAGCCGAGCGCTAGACACCACAATACAGCTTCGCATAGGGCAATCAATTCCACCACCAGGGGATCATCAAACCAAGGAAATTGAACTCCTTTAGCCATCAGAATATCCCGAGCCGGGGTCATAAGAACCAATCCACCTGCAGAGTGCGATCCACTCCTAGTCGCCCCATCCCACATGCAAACAACCCTGTCAACCCCCCCGGACCCAAATGGTGTATCTCAGGGAGTGCAGTCGGAGGAACTCTATCCACTGGAAGACGGACCCACTCCTCATATTGCTGATGAAACTGCACATCAAGGCAGGAAACCCAAACTGTTTGCCTTCAAAGACAACCCAGTTGCGAGACCGCCAGATCTTCCAAAGGACAGCGACCACTACCATAAATAACGTAGGTTGGTGAACCAAAGCCATTAGCCGTTTAAGGAACAAAGGGAAAGTATGATGAGGTAGCCCCTCCCCCAGATACGCTAAGCCAGAATAGTCCCAAAGGGCCCGTGCTACCAGGCAATCGAGAAAACGATGCTCCATCGTTTCAGAACTCCCCCAGCAAACTGGGCATCTGGGAAGCACATGGACCCGTTTATCAATAAGGGCCTCAGTAGTGGGCAGGATTCGATTGAGAATCTGCCAGACAAAGACTTTCAGCTTGGGGAAAATATTAGCTTCCCATAAACGAATCCAGCTAGACTTGTCCATCCAGCTAACCGTAGACCTCCAACCCCCCCCCCCCCTCCTTTTATCAATTGAGACAGCTAAATGGTAGGCAGATTTGACCGAGAAGACCCCATCCAGAGTATCATGCCAGATTAATCTATCCTCAACGTTATGCCGCGGACGATGAATAGTTTTGATGGCGCGACAGGTCGGTGGGTCAAACCATTAGCTAAGATTGAGATCATTCCAGCAGCCTTTGCAGTGTTTTCTAAGCTTTGGTCCATATGCGGACCGTATTTAGTATTTACTGTTTGAGTTTGGTTATGCCATATTTACACCCCAAAAACTATCTTGTTTTCATAATTAGTTGATTTTAACATATGAGGCGAATTCAAATCGTCTTTTTGAAACTCAAGTTGAGTTTAGGTCATTTGGAGGTTGGGACTCTATATTTAATCAAGGGTTAATATTTTCGTATGGCCTGAACTTTGACCAAAATAAACATTCTGGCCAATCTTTTCGATCTATAACATCCTGGTCCGAACTATACACCAAAATAAACAATTTGGCCAAACTCGATGTTTGACCGTTAACTTGGACGGTCAAACGCGTTGACTAATGGTCAACGCGCCATGTCAGAAGATCTGATAAATATTTTCTTTTGTTTTTTATTTTTGGTTTAACTAAGGTATTAGATGATCTTTTTAATTTATAATAATTTAAAATTAGGGAATGTGTGGAAATTGTGAATTATTTTAAATATTTTATGCTGACTTGGCAGTGACATAGCGTTTGACCGTCCAAGTTAACGGTCAAAAGTCGGATCTGGCCAAATTGTTTATTTTGGTGTATAGTTTGGGCCAGGATGTTATAGATCGAAAAGATTGACCAGAATGTTTATTTTGGTCAAAGTTCAGGCCATACGAAAATATTAACACTTTAATCAATGTATGTATTATAATTTGATGCATTTATTAAATGTGTGAATTTGGAAAATACATGTTTTGGAGGTCTAGGTTGTTTTTTTTATAAATAAAAAGTTGTACACTGTTCATAATCAATGACATATTTACCCTTCGTTTACTAAGGATAGATGGGTTGTAGATGAGAACAATATTGGAATAAAGAAGAGTTATAGGGAACAAATATGAAATAAAACTTGGGTAGACACTCCATTGTTATCAACTCACCTTTTGATGTGGACTGATAATCCGCCTAATTTTGAGTGATTGTAGGTGGACCCATAAAAAATGTAATACATATATTATATCTCAATTTAACCTAAAACACGACTTGATCTTGACATTACATGTATTTGCTAAATATTTCACCTGAGATTCCAACCTCTAAACTCATATTAGTCTTGAAAATCACCACTAGTTGAGTAGGGATGTTAATTTGAACCCGCCTCGCAGGGTATTTTACCTGACCTAACCTGTGATAGGACGAGTATTACCCGCCCTGTAGTAGAGTGGGGCGACACATGGGTATCCACTTTCGACTGGTACTACCCCATTTTTTACCCATGTTATCGCAGCTTCTTATAGTGTCTATCCATATTTCTCCTATTTTGGCTTTTTTCAACTAGTTATACTCAATTACCCGTTCTATTATCACTATTTTTCATTCATAGTGTTTTTTCCCTTGTTTTATCGTTAAGAATAAAATTTTGCGTTTATATTTTTAAGAACATGTTAGAGTGGATTAACTCTCTCCACCCCATACCTACATGAATATTACCCAACCCAACTCGTAGTAACATGGGACGTAGAATCGAAATTCACTTGACTCGGTTGGCTAACGGGCGAACTCGTGATTATTAATTAATCATGTTAAACCGGAAAGATAACCAAATCCGCAACCCGACCCGGGTGTGGGCCCATAATTCTTGCCTCCTTTTCCAAACTTCCTATACTGCTGTTATTGTTCCAGCCTCGACGGACGAACAAAGCTTGAAAATTGAGAAACCCTAATAAATCCTAATTTGCCCACAGCCCATTCTCGCGGAAACCCTAAATTCACCAATTCGGATACGGAATACATCTCCCGAGGGGCCAGATTCGAGCTCTGATACGATTATTGCGAATTATTTTAATCTCAGTTATAAAAGGGTTAATGTGCGACGAGTAGATGCATGTCGGTGGAATTCCGGTGGATCTGAATTGGTTCCTTCGATTTATATTTAGCATCTTTTTCATTGCTGGGGGATTGCTGTACCTGGTCAAGAACACGGCGTCGAAGTACTTCGAGGTCGACGCCAGTTTCGAAGGCGCCGGTGGTGGCACTGGCGGTGCCACTGCTGATCGGAATCGGTCAGTGCCGTCGATTACAATGGAGTCGCCGGAGGAGCTTTCTACCTGCGATAATTGTGGCAAGTCTGGCAAGAAGAAGTGCACCCGTTGCAAATCTGTTCGATACTGGTACGCATACTCTGGACCATCCTGTTGTTTTCTTTGTTTTTATCGAAAGTCTTCCTGCCTTGTGGTTCTCTGTCCAAGAATTACAGTTCCCATGAGAGGATTTGCCTTTCGTATGAAGAAAGGAGCAAGCTTTGTTTGTGATTAGTTCTTTGGGACAATACGTCTTGTAGCTAGGAATGGCCAGTTAATCAATTGTACACAGAAGGTTGTCAATCATTATAAAGTTTTTCACATTCCTCTTTTCTATGTTTGGCAGTTCGAAGGAGTGTCAAACATCACATTGGAATTCTGCTCATAAATTTAAATGCAAAGAACCAAGCAAAGCGAATTCAGCTCTTATACGAAAACCCAATAGTGGTAAACACTTTTCTGGCATTGCGTTGGTTCTTGATACTCAAAAGCGCTTCAAGAAACCTGGGAAGGTAATTTTGTAACTTTATTAGTTTCACTCTTCATAGTTCCTTAAGATGAATCAATGACATACTTAAAATTGATTTTCAGGTACTTTTCCCGTATGAGGAATTTGTTAAATTATACAATTGGGACAAAACGTTTCTGCCCTCTGGACTCTTAAATTGTGGAAACAGGTTGGTTCTAGATTCTACTGTAAAGAGCTAAACTTTGCTAGACTTCTGTTTTGCTGGCTTCCTATATGTTTGTTTTGATTCCTTTTTTCCTTTTGAATGCATAGTTGCTTTGCCAATGTGGTTCTGCAATGTCTGACATACACAAGGCCATTGGTTGCATACCTGTTGGAGAAAGGCCATCACCGAGAGTGTAAGCTCTGGTTATTAAATGCTTATGATTTTGGATTATCCTCAGATGAATGTAGGATGATTCCTCATATTGATGATCATTTTTTTTACACATTGATGATCATATTTTGGTTTCCAGGCAGACGTGATGACTGGTGCTTTTTGTGCGTTTTTGAATCCCATGTTGAAAGAGCCACCCAAAGTCCACATCCCTTTTCCCCAATTAACATACTCTCCCGCTTGCCTAACATTGGTGGTAATCTTGGCTATGGGAGACAAGAGGATGCCCATGAGTTCATGAGGTTTGTGTGTTCTCGTACCATTAGTCTATCTGTCCATGACACTCCACACGGTTCCTCCCACAATCACAAAACTTGATTGATGAATAAGGAGGGTGTTTGATCTGTGTGTTAAGAGAATATGTATCTTTGTATAGACTTCATACAAGTCACCAACAAATTTTGCTCTATTTTATAGGTTTGCCATTGATACAATGCAATCAGTGTGCCTTGATGAATTCGGTGGAGAAAAGGCAGTTGAACCGGCTGCTCAAGAAACGACTCTTATTCAACATATATTTGGCGGGCACCTGCAGTCTCAGGTAAGGTCCTGTGACCTATAGTCTAAACTTGATATGCATACTTCCATCAATTTTTATCCATAACCCTTCTCCGGAATAAACAAAATAGTGCTCCAGTACGTTTATACTGCGCTATCTGTTATCTGTATGATAATTTCATTCAAAGCCTTGATGACTGGGTATTTCATTCATAGCCTTGATGACTGGCAATTTGGCTACCGGCTATATGGATTTATCTTCAGTCTATGCATTCACTAAATACTTCATTGAACTTGGTACATGAGATGATATCCCTAAAGATTGTGACAGTGATTATGTATTTTTCATGTCTAATATCCGTGACAATAAAAATAAAAGATTGGCGATTTGAGTTCTGCAGATCAGATGATTATTTTGTGTATATGAAGGTCTTACAGACCCTATGATAGTGGGGATTATATGAATGGCAATAGATAGCTGTTGTTTGCACCAAGAGCTACATTATTATCAACCTTCTTTTTAGGAAAGAAATTGTCTGTGCCACTGCACTTCATTGCATAGAATGAATGGAAATCGCGGCGACCTGAACTTCCCCTTTACAGCGTTTATTTTATTTTTCTTGTAGAACATATAGCATTCAGGTTGCCCTCTCGCTACTGTCTCCCATTCTGATTGTTGTTTAAATACTTTTCATAAATTAGGTGATGTGTACCAAATGCAGTAATATCTCAAACCAGTTTGAAAACATGATGGATTTAACTGTTGAAATCCATGGAGATGCCACTTCTTTGGAGGAATGCCTTGATCAATTCACAGCGAAGGAATGGCTTCAGGATGACAACATGTACAAATGTGACAGGTATGGTTAATTGTTCATTTCCTCAACACAAAGTAGTGGGATTATTCAAGTATACGTTTAACTAGATTGAAGGTCGGAGCTCTTCTAATTTTTCGCTGGGCAATGCTTGTCCATATGATAATTGATGGATGAAGCTGAACCAACTGTGACCTCATCTAAGGTCGACAACTACATTCATTCTCTGGTAGAGTGGGCAAAAGCCTGTTTTATACACTGAATCCCTTAGCAGGTTTTCCATGATGCATCACTTCCAAAATGAATAAATGAATTGCTTTGGCCTGCCAGATATACCTGCAGATTACAAGTAGCATCAGTTCAATAGATGGGAAACAATAGCTATCTTAATGAAACTCTGATATCTTTCATGCTTGTGTTATCTGAATGTTGATGTTTTATTTCTCCTTACAGTTGCAACGACTATGTCAAGGCATGGAAGCGTCTTACTATTCGAAAAGCTCCAAATATTCTTACAATCGCTTTGAAAAGATTTCAGGTTTGAGCTGAACTGATTCTTGTATCTAGTTATCATAACACAACACGTAGTACTTAATGCCTACTGTTTGCTTGATGACATTTTGCAGAGTGGAAGATTCGGAAAACTTAATAAGAGGATAAATTTTCCCGAGACGTTAGATCTTAGCCCGTACGTGAGTGAAGGAGATGGCAGCGATGTGTACAAGCTATATGCTGTCGTTGTACACATAGATATGCTAAATGCATCATTTTTTGGCCATTACATTTGCTATATCAAGAATTTACAGGGAGACTGGTTCAGATTTGATGACTGCAAGGTAAATATTTGTCTTTGATTGTGTACTTGTGTGCATATAACAGCCATAATTTGAATCCTCTGCCCCTCTGCACATTGAGTGCTTAATTTCCTTTCTCGGATTTTTTTGAAGTGTTGCATATAACATATTTGACTTGTATGCCGTGTCTTGAATATGTTGTGGGGTTGCTGTTTATTGGTCAGGTTACACATGTGGAGTTGGCCGAGGTACTATCCCAAGGAGCTTACATGCTTTTATATAGCAGGTACGGATGTGTTTTTTCGCCTATTATATTTTCTTTGCCCTTTTCTGCTGGACATGAAAAATGGTTGAGTAGTTTACTTGCAATTCGTATATTTAACTACCTAACTTGCTCATGGAGTGCGTTTGTATAATTGACCACATGTCATTTAGTTCAGCTCTATCAACTTCTCTAAAAGCTGTGAGGGGATCAATTTGAATTTCTTGATTATTTTTGTGCTATTAGTACTATCCATATTCTTGGGTTTCTTTTGAAAGGGTTCTACTCTAGTTGGCCACATGTTATTCTTGGGTATGCTTATGAAAACTAATATGATTTACTTGATTTTTATGCAGAGTTTCTGCTCGACCATCGTGTCTTAGAACTAGCACACCTTCAAAGAAGGACCGGGCGCAAGATACTGGGAAACAAGTGAACTCTCTTATGATCGAAAATGGTGAGAGTTGTGCACCAGTAGAGCTGATGGTGAATGAGCCAACCACTTCTGTATCACCTCAATCCGAGAGAAGTTTCGAAGTTGTGAATGGGGTTAAGGAGGAAGATGCTCCAATTTTCCATTCAAGCTCCCCACTTCCAGAAGTTAGGCTTCCCCACGAACCGAGTTCATATTCTTCAGATGACCTGGAAACAGCTGGAACTATTGCCATTAAAGTTGGTGACCTGGAAACAGCTGGAAAACAAGTGAACTCTCGTATGATCGAAAATGGTGAGAGTTGTGCACCAGTAGAGCTGATGGTGAATGAGCCAGCCACTTCTGTTTCCCCTCAATCCGAGAGAAGTTTCGAAGTTGCAAATGGGGTTACGGAGGAAGATGTTCCAATTTTCCATTCAAGCTCCCCACTTCCAGAAGTTAGGCTTCCCCACGAACCGAGTTCATCTTCTTCAGATGACCTGGAAACAGCTGGAACTATTGCCATTAAAGATGGTGACCCTGAAACAGCTGGAACTATTACCATTAAAGATGCACCATCGTCTGCCTTCGATAATATCCCTGCAGCAGCAGAAGAAGATGCAACGGATTCTGATTCATCTGTTTCCGTGGAAGGTTATGGAAATCCTTCGACGACTACAACTGCCATAGAAGAACGAGAAGGTTCGAGATATGGAATGGAGGTCAATGTTGACGACGACCACGACATCCAGCTTAATGACGAATTGCATCCACTCTCGGAAAAACATCATTGTCGGGAACACGAGCTCCACGATTCAGATGACGACGACAGAACTGGAACGACAAGATCAGCAGCAGCAGGGGTAACAGAGTGTTGTTGACAGTATCAAGGGCGCGCATCCCTCTCTCACTAATTTTGATTGTTGTTCATATGATTCTTGTGACATTTCCCGTCTTAACGAGAGATAGCAGCAGCGACAAAGGCAGGAAACCCGGTAGAGATGGGGGATTAGATTGTTGGTGTCTGGGATTTCACTATTTGCAGAGAATCTCAGGTGTTAGTGTTGACTGTTACAACATAAGAGGGCTGATGTGACAATGTTAGTAGGAACTGAAAATTCTTTTGAGAAGCTGCTTCTAATGTTTGAATTTCTCTGGCTTTGTTACTTCCACCGGATTACAATACTTTCTTCGGCAGTCATCCTTTTGCTTATAGCATTATATTGTTGTTTTTGGGCGGAGGTTTCTTTATAATTGCTTAGGAAAAATATTGTTTCCCATTTTGTGGTGGACGAATAGAGACATTACAACTACTCATTCAGAAAGTGTTTTAATAATGTGTGTTTTGGGGAACCAAAACAGAGCCTTGATTAATAAATAATAATGGGTTTCTATCTTGCAGCCTAGTTGTTATTAAACAAAAGGAACCGACCAAGGAAACAAAGATCAAACGCACATGTGTACCTCATACTAAGAAAAAAATAAAATTGTACAAAGTCAGTAGTAGTGTAAGCAGAAATTAGTTCTGGACATGTGACATAAAAAAATAATTATTGTAAAATATCACAAAAACATAATGAATTACCAAAAGTCAGAGAAATTAAATAGTAATTAGTCTGTTCGTGATGGTGGCTTCTTTTGCATCTCGAGTAAGTATAGAGTCGAGATATCACATATTTTTAGTAAAAAAAATTCTAATTAACCTTACCAAGAGGCAACCATATAAAAAGTATCCTCAAATTTACTCATTGAATCGGGTTTTTGGAGAAGAAAACAAGGTAGTGAATTTTATATTTGTATTGTAGTAAACTCTGTTGGTGAGAGTCTGAGAGAGGAGGGCACATGAACGTAGAGAAAAAGGCAGTGTTGGTGGTGAATTTCTGGGGATTTGCAAATATATGCACACACGTGTCACTCATGCACGCGTTCTTTGTTTTCCCACAAAGTAACAAAAGACGTGTTTCTTGTTTGCATGAGTCCACGCCAAGGTTGTCAATCCGCGGGTTGACCCGAACCCGGTTGAGGTAGTGGGTCAAGGGTTAATGAATCACTCGTTTTAGCCCGGAAATATGAAAAGCGTCATTATATTGTACTTATCCTGATAAATTATATCAAATTTCATCTAACATATGAGTTATAACATATAATATTACACCAAAATAACATTTCGTACTTAGATTCAACATATAGTGAAAATTCACACACACTTATATAACATTAATATTCAAATGTTCAACTTAGGATTCCAAAGATTGAGTTAGGCGAAAAGAAAAATCGGAAAATAGGCGCATTTCGCAAAACAAAGAAAAAAATGACACAATTTGACCTCCAACCCGGTACCTTGTGGCGGTCGACCCGGCGGGTGCGTGCGGCCCGTTTTTCTCACCGGGCCAGGGTCAAAATGGGTCAACCCGCGGGTCGACCCGCGGGTTGACAACCTTGGTCCACACGTTATATATATATTTTTTATGTTTTTTTTTACTTCGAACTCAATAGATACAGTAAAAAAGAGATGGAGAGTGCCACATTTGAAAAAAGATGGAGAGGATTGGATCATAAACTGACGAGCTCTTAAACGAATACCTAAAATTAATAATTTACAAGTATTATACTAGTTCTGAATCAAGAGAAGGATGCCTCCCCTGATCACTGCCCAGCCATCCTTTAAGTACAAAGCTAGTATCACAAATGAGAACTGCGCTTGTTTCTGGTCCAACCCTCTTCTCCTCTTTTGATCTAATACTGTACTATGTCCTGAATTCGTAAGCTTGGACTCAATTGAAGCAAGCCATAGAGGCTCATAGCTAGACAGGCTGCAAATGAGCCGAGTCGAGTCGAATTTTACCCCAGCTTGAGTTCGACTCGTTAATAAACGAGTCGAACTCGAGCTCAGCTCGTTTGTTAACGAGCCGAGTCGAGTTGAGCTCGAACTAGCTTGTTTATTAAAATCTTAACTTTCATTTGGTACTTCATTTTGTATATCATGATACATATGATTAATTTTGTTAGTTAATCTCATCTTATACTTTATACTTTGTTGGTATCATATATCGATTAGTTAATAAATTTTAACTACACCAAATCATGTTATTTCATTGTATCGACGCAATCTATGATGCATAATTTCTTTTTAAAGTAGAAAATAAGATATATTTGCTCACATACTCAACGTCAAAACTTTATATATGGTGAGATATATAAATTAACAACCATATGAATTAAAATCATAAGATATAGATTGATTCGTCCATAAGTTGGTAATGGAGTTGGCTCTCTAGCCACATGTTAAGACATATCATGAGCTCTAAACGAGGCAGCTCACGAGTTTAGCTCAACAAGCCACCGAGTCGAGCTAGTTTGCGAGCTTCACGAGCTGAACAAAGGTGAGCTCGTGTTCGACTCGTTTCTCAACAAGCCGAGTTTCGAACGAGTTTTTCTCGAATCGAACGCCGAGCCGCTCGCGAGCAGCTCGACTCATTTGCAGCCCTAAGCCTAACCAATAATAATAACAACAATAATAATAAGCAAATTGTGGCTGCTGCCAGCATGGATTGTCCAATTGGACGCCAGACCTGAAAATGAGGTAGTGGTGGGCCAGGCGGGCTAGGCTGGCACAAAAAGCCCATCCTAATTAGCGGCGTCGTGGCTTGACCATGCCCGAAGTTAATAATAAACAACAACAACAAAAAAAACAGCCCAAAAGTTTTGGCAATAATTACGTGATGGGCTGAATAATAACAGAGAATCTACAGAAGAGAAGAGTTCCTTTTCATCAGTCAGTGAGTTTGCATGTGCTTAACCAGCATCGGTTTCCTCACTCTCTGTCAATTGCAGTGTTATTAAAGCCGAGCGGCTCGACCCGACCGGTAAAACCGCCACCCGATCACAAAACCGGCTCGGAACAGTTTAAAAGTCGCTCCGGTTTTATGTAGCGGTTGAAGAGCGGCCGAGGCGGTTAACCATTCGAGCCGATTGAGCCGCTCGTCCGGTTTTTGCCACTCAGCCACTAAATTTAATTAAAAAAAATTGCAGAAAATTGAAAATTGAAATAAACCAAAAACGTCGGCCTCTTAAACTGGATCCTTATTTCCATTTCACAATTTCGAAGGAAAGAGATGAGCTCTGATTAAGAATCCACTATTTATACTGATAACGTTTATTAGGTACCGGTTCTTTAACGGTTTTTAAAGGGTCTAATGCCGGTTGAACCACTAACGTGCGAGCCGTTCGCATTACCGGGTCATGCTCCGATTCGGTTCTGACAACATTGGTCAATTGTTAACCCCCCAGCGCGTCTCCACCACGCTCCGCCACCAGCCATGGCGGGGAATTTAAAAAGAAAAAGAAAGAAAGAAAGAAACAGACTTGACAGAATATTAGAAGGAAAACAGATTAGATTAATTAAAATATGAACGGAAATTCTACGTTAAATCTCTGAAATCTGTGTGTTTATAATCTGCATGTCTGGGAAACTCATGGATACCCAACTGGAAATTATAACGATTGATGTTTTTAGGCTGAACAAGTTTATCTGAATAAGTTGAGTTGTGTATGCCAACATTAAGTCGATAACCTGTTCATCCCTAACAGCTTAAATTGGTAAGAAAATACTATCATTGCATCTTGTAAAATATCAAAGATGCCCGAGTTTGCGGTTATGGATTTTGTTAGTACGAGGTATAAGATTTATTATTGAACATCTCTCATCAAATCGAATAACAATAATATTAGAGTCTAATGCCCGAGTAGCTTTTTGATTGAATTCCGATGAAACCCATTGGTAAGCACACGATATATGAACCCTACAAATTTCAAGTCCATATAAGTGATCTTTAATACGAGAAATCAAAATCTAACAACTCACGAGTTATTGGCATCAAACAAATTCCTAGCTCTGTTCTTCCTATTCGCCTGTGAATGAAGTAACCCCCAACTACAATGAGGTGGGGGGAAGAGGAAGACAAGACAGCAACATAAACAGATGAGAAATTATAAGAGAGAGAAAGTAGGAAAAGGGAGTGAGAGAGAGAGATAGAGCGGGGAACAAACAGAGTAATGCATTCTTGCTTTCTGTGTATAAACAAGCAGTGTACAGATCGTAATGTATATAATATAGGAGGGGGACTAGAAGAAGAGAGTTGAGTCCTCCCCTGTTTCTCTCTCTCTCTCTACATTTCTCGCACACACAATCACATGGGCAGAAGAGGAGGAGGGAAATACTCTAATGTTTTTGACCTCCAAATCGCACATGGCTTCTTCTCCTTCTCCTTGAGCTTTCTTCCCCAACTCTCTCCCATTTGGACATTTTTATTGTTCTCTCTCTCTCTCTCTCTCTGCCTCTGTTTCTTTCTCTGCTCACATGCATCCCCCTTCGCCCTTCTCTCTTTCTGTGCTGTGCGTCAACCAACAACAATTAGCCCTCCATTTTCATTTCTTTAACCTCCTTTCTCCAACACCTCGTTTTGTTCTTTTCTTAATCTGTCATTCATCCTGTGGTCACAGATTGAAATGCCATTAACCCTCTTCCCTTTACGAGATTCCTCAGATCTACAGTGCTCAAAGCTTTACGCCGCCCACTACCCATTTCCCCCCTCCTCCTTCCTTTCTGCCAACTCTACTCTGTCTCCTTTCCTTCCTCTCTGTCTGCTTTCTGGGTTCTCAGACTGTCGTCGCCAATCCCATCCCCAGGTTAGTCCTTCTTTAACCCTCCCGCCATTCTTCTTCTTCTCATGCTTCATGAATTCTGGCTTCCAGAAAGCTTGCCTGCAATTGGGCTTTTTCCTTCCTTTCCAGAGCTTGGAACCTTCGGCTGGATCAAGCGTAGGAGACCATTTATTTGTTTATGATTCTTCTCACATTGGAATTGCAATCGAAACCCCACTGAAAAAGGTTCTGATGGTGACAGAACAGTGTTGTTGAGTGGGACTTATGATTGCCTTTGCCCATCCCCTGTTTTCTTCCTTTTTCACCCCTCCTTCTATCCCCATGGAAAGTTCTTTTAGTTCGCAGCTGATGTAATGCAAATTGCAGTTGGCATTTTGCTGTCCATCTTTCAATGCCTTAGACAGTTGGATAAAAAAAAAAGTCAAAGTCTTTCCTCGCCAAATTGAGCTGAAGTGAACGATTCCTTTTTCCAGGTTTACGGAATCCAGATTATAATTACCTTCAGCTTGATAGCTTGCCGTAAAGGTGGATCATCGATCAGGGCAGCTGGGATTTGAACCAAGAAATTTCGGGTCGAAAGCCGACTGCTTTCTGCTTCGACCAATTATTCATCATAACTTCAGATGCTAAGAGGGTCGCTTCCCATCCCCTGGTTGATAAAAAACGAATCATTAGCGTAGTAACAGTAATCAAGGGATAACAAATCGAATATTTGGAAAACAGAGTGGATGATTAGTGAAATGGAGATCAACAATAGCAGCAGCAGCAGCGAAGGAATCGAAGAAATGGAGGAGATGGAGATGGAGATTGAGGTCCTCCCATCCATGTGGCCGGAGGACATCGACAGCGAGAAGCCATACAACGTCGAGAGGCCAGCCGGGGACGGCGAGCAAGACATGCTTGAAGAAGTCACAATCAGGGCGGCAGCCTCCGCCGTCGACTTCCACCACCTCAAGGCTCTCACAAGCTACACCGATCGCGGGTCGCACCAGATGTCCCACCTGATGAGACACTGGGAGCACCAGCAGGCCAACGCCGTGCGGCTCCTGAGGGAAGAGCTCGACATTCTCAGCAGGCAGAGGGAGGAAGTGGAGCTCAAGAAGTTGGAGATATTGGAACACTTCCAGTTCGAGGAAGACAACTGCAAGCGGCCCATCTCGATACTTGACAAGCACGTCGAACTCTACGGCGATGGGGTTCCCCGGAAGAAGTTCGTCGATTTCGTTGTTCGGAGTGACAGGAGGGTCGAGCTGGCTGCAGAATCTGATACCGTGGCATATTGGAAGGCTCGTGCCGCGAATTTGGAGAAGCTGCTGGAGGCTAGCGTGCACCGGGAGCAGATACTTGTGGAGAAGCTTGAGGAGAATATGAAGGAATTGGAAGGGCAGGGTTCCCCTGTTGAGGAACTGTCTCAGATTCTGAAGCGGGCTGACAATTTCTTGCATTTTGTACTTCAGAACGCCCCAGTTGTCATCGGCCACCAGGTTAGCGGTTCGGATTCTTCACTGCAGTTGACAACAATGAGAATTAGTTCATCCCAGTAATTTGATTTGCCGGAAAGAGATGCAAGAATGGATCTTCATTCCATTCACATACATAGTCCACACTGTAGTTAGTAACTGATCAATGGTGGTTCTGGTGGTTTCCTTGCAGGACAAGGAGTTGAAGTATCGGTTTATATATAACCAATATCCAAGCTTGAATGAGCAGGACATACTGGGGAAGACGGATGTGGAGATATTTAAAGGGGCAGGTGTGAGGGAATCTCAGGATTTCAAGAAGGAAGTTCTTGAGAAGGGGGTGCCAGCAAAGAGAGAGATCGCATTCGAGACGGAGCTATTCGGGTTGAAGACGTTTCTGATATATGTTGAACCCGTGTTCAGCAAGTCAGGAGAGACGATTGGTGTTAACTACATGGGAATGGATGTCACTGATCAGGTGAGGAAAAGAGAGAAAATGGCGAAGATCCGAGAGGAGATTGCTGTGCAGAAAGCAAAGGAAACTGAACTGAACAAGACGATCCACATAACAGGTTTCATTAATATGTCTATCTGTATCAAGTATGGTAATTGGAAGTGTGGAGTTTATTACTGAGATTTGAGTTTTACTCACTTACTTTTGCAGAGGAAACCATGCGAGCCAAACAGATGCTAGCAACAATGTCTCACGAGATAAGATCGCCACTATCTGGCGTTGTGAGCATGGCAGAGATTCTGTCCAACACGAACCTTGATCGAGAACAGAGGAATCTTCTGAACGTCATGATATCTTCAGGAGACTTGGTGCTTCAGCTCATAAACGACATACTCGACTTGTCCAAGGTTGAGTCAGGTGTTATGAAGTTGGAAGCCACCAAATTCCGGCCCAGAGAAGTGGTCAAGCATGTCTTGCAGACTGCTGCTGCTTCATTGCAGAAAGTTCTAACCCTGGAAGGACGCATAGCAGATGATGTTCCAATCGAGGTGAGAACTTGATTTGACAGTGTTTGCAACTCCAGATGAGAAAATTTTCAGCTACCAAAACTAATATGCTAAAAGCCTTATTTTCTACTTGAAATTTTCTAGGTCACTGGAGATGTTCTAAGGATTAGACAGATACTCACCAACCTGATCAGGTACTCTCTTGACTTGGAACTTCTTTTGCAAGTGAAAGTGTTCCTATATCCTGAATTCTTTTGCTATTTTTCACTGTAGCAATGCGATTAAGTTCACACATGACGGGAAGGTGGGAATAGACCTTTATATAGTATCAGACCCAGGCTGCGGAAGAGCAGAAGAAAACCACAAGAAGTTAATGCTTGATCAAGCAACCGCAAATGGACGAAAGGAAGAGCAATGTACATCGACATCACAAAGTTGCAATGGGCATCAAAATGGTTATCATAATGATAACAAACATGTAGATGGTGCTTCTCATAACCATAAGCTAAATGACAATAAGCCTAGAACGCCAGTGAAGAATGAAAATACAAGAGACAGAGGAGGAGAAGAAGAAGAGGAAGATGAGTGCCACGTACAAGAAACAACAGTCTGGCTACGATGTGATGTTTATGACACTGGGATAGGAATCCCAGGTACTACTTTCTTCAATGCCCTGGATTTTGCTAGGGATCTAGGTTTCATATGCATTCTCGATTAGCTAATGACAAATGGTTTTTTTTTTCCTGCCACAGAGAATGCTTTGCCAAATCTCTTCAAAAAGTATATGCAAGCCAGCACAGATCATGCTCGAAAATATGGTGGCACCGGTCTTGGTCTTGCAATATGCAAACAGCTGGTGAAGTTCTGGCCCCAACCAAATTCTTTATGCTAAATTCTTCACAGCTCACTACCTGACAGTTTCTATGTGTACTGTGATTAGGTTGAACTGATGGGAGGGCAGCTAACTGTGACAAGCAGAGTGAACCATGGCTCCACATTCACCTTTGTGCTACCGTACAAAGTATCACCAGCTTGTGATTCATCCTCAGATGATCAAGATGAGCTAAGTGATATGACTGATCATACCAATGCCTCTGTCTCTGATCAGGATGAAACTGCTGGTTTCTTCCAATTCCAACCACGTCTTTTGGGCTCCCTATTTTCATCGTCCAATGGTCCCATCAGGACCCCAAAATTGGTACCTAATAGCTTTGGTAATACTAATTCTCCCCCGCTCAATGGGTTCCTAGAAGATGGAAACAGCTCATTTCCTTCCTCCGGCATCGGATCAAAAGAGACAACAACTTCATTTGAGGACGCCTACTCCACTGTTGAATCTATAGGGACAACATCTGAACCAGGAACTTTATTCGGTAGTGTAAGCAAGGAATGCCAGAATGGTGAATTGAGAAGCACAGAGTCAAGTAGAAGAACGAACTCAGAAGAGAGCACTAGCGGTTCCCAAGGATCATGTCTTTCAACGGAGAATCCTGACAGAAGTTCTCAGCAATGTTCATCTAGTGGCAACAACACATCACATGCAGAAGCAGACAAAGTAAAACCGATGCCTAGGATCCTACTAGTCGAAGACAACAAGATCAATGTGATGGTGACTCAATCCATGATGAAGCAGTTAGGCCATAGCATAGAGGTAGTGAACAACGGAATTGAAGCAGTGAAGGCAATACAACGGCACTACTATGATCTCGTTCTAATGGTAAACTCTTCTTCTAATGTCTGTCAAACCGAACCCCCCTTACGGTTACTACTCGCAGACTCCAAAACCAAAAAGGGATGGTTTTTATGCAGGATGTACACATGCCAGTCATGGATGGTCTTCAAGCTACAAGGATTATACGGTCTTTCGAGGACAGTGGAAGTTGGGATGAAGCTGCCAAGGCAGGAATAGAGCTCCCAGCAGCTTCTTCAGAACCTTCAACAAATGGGCATAACTCTCATCCCAATTCCAGAGATCGGATCCCTATCATCGCTGTAAGCTGGATACATACCCTTCTTTTACATCATCCCTCCATCTACTTGTTTTCTGCTAAGTTGTAACTAACCAAGTCTGTTTCATGTTTGATGTGACGCAGATGACAGCAAATGCACTATCCGAAAGTGCAGAGGAATGCTATGCGAATGGGATGGACTCTTTCGTTTCGAAACCCGTAACCTTCCAAAAGCTCAAAGCATGTATGGACGAATACTTGCCTTGATAGTGCTCTTCCTCACCCCTCCACTCATGTATGTATATTCTTTATGTGGTGATTTGTGTATACAAGTGAACAGCAGAATGAATGATAGGGAAATTTTTGTAATCGGTATATCAATGTTTTCCGAAGAAAAGAGTAGCGAAATACTAATAGAAGCTGTATATTCTCCATTCCCAGCAAAAAAAAAAAAATCCAACCTACAACCCTAATCCTCTAGTCAGGTAGCTAAGCAGCAATTTGTTCACCTCCGATTAACCCTAATTGTGACAGTATTGAAGCAGAGGAAAGAAATCAAACCTTGTCTCTTTGCCGGTATTCCAGCATAATAGTGGTTTACCGGCGAAGGGCGGTGCCGTCTGGCTGTGAACTCCGGCAATCGCCATTGCTCGCCACGAATTGTTTGACGCCCAGTTGACTCGCCATGATTAAGGCTGAATCATAGGAAAATCGAATTCGACTCCGCTTAATTTTGCAGCAACGGGTGGCTGTGTGGACTCTGGCCACTGGTTCCGATCGCATGACCTTCGAAGGAAGATAAAGAGGAAGGAGTAGAAGCGATATGATTCTGGAGATACACGTCAGCTGCGTTAATTTTCCCGCTAAAATAAATGTTTTTTTAAAGAGAAATAAATGCCCTAATAAGCGGGAAGTTTGATATTTTGGATGAAAATAATAAAATAGTCCTCTTTATTAGAAAAAAAGAACAAAATAGTGCACAACTCAAATATTGGGGGAAAAAATACTGAGACGCAAGAATCAAGATGATTAATTTATCATGGATTAGAGATGATAATAAGTTGGGTTGAGAGGATTTTTTTTAGATTTAAACTCAATTTCATTGATGAGTGACACCCCGTAAAATACCCATGGAATTTTAGAAGAGAAAACGGCAGTTTAATTCCATGGATACCTAATAATGCATGGATGCACATGGATTCACGAATACAAAAGTGAATAATTGCTTCAAACACTCAAAATCATTATAATATAATTTTTTTCTCTAAAACTATATTGCCTAAATAATAATAACATTTATAAGCTATCCATATTATTAAAAATGTATTGTCATGAGTAGGGATAAAAAGATAACTTAATTTTTTGGTTGTTGTATGCATCGAACAACTTCGTTCTAATAGTATTTGAATAAATGTAAACCGAATAACAATAATAATAGAAAAATTCCTAGTGCATTGATTCATCAAAAATCCACCAAAAACATACTCCAATTTGGATTAACCCCCTTGTTTCGTGAATTGGGTTGAGCCCAATGATAATGGACTAAAGCCTCAAGCTATTTAACCAGTGGCGGATCCAGGGGGTGGCCACCCCGGGCCCTGGCCCAGCCCTCCTCTGGATCCATAGTTAGTATAAGCCTTATGAATTTTTCGATTTTAAATATTTGGGTCGTTGTTATTTTAAAATAAGATTGGGTATAATTAGAAAAATAATTTAGATGAACATATTCAAAATCACTACTCTAAATTTAGCTTATAAATTCTAACCCCAAAGGTTATTCGTCTAAAAAACAATGAAACCTAAAAATTCAAAAAGTTTAAAACGTAAAAGACTAAAACATATATGAGGTTTGTTACCTTGGAAAATTTACTACTGGTGGATATAGGGATGGAAACACAATGCAAATTGATTAATAGATTGATTTGTCTAGTGTTGATGCTCCTCGTTTCAACAGCTAATACGAATAAAACCTTTTCAACAACGAAACATGTGAAAATTGATTTGCACAACAAAATGAGGAATGGATTTCTAGTCGATTGCTCAAGTATTTTATTTGAAACAGTGTATATTATTGGTATGAATGTGGACTCCATTATTAATGCATTCGCTAAATTAAAATACCGTCGTGTACAATTTACATTATAAAAAATTATAATCATTATATTTTTTTACTATTATAATTTTCTAATAAAATGCGGCCCAGTACACTTCTGTGTTCTGGATCCGCCGCTGTATTTAACAAGAAGTTTAAAAAAAACAGTACTGCAAGTGGAATTAAATATGCAAGGAAGACATATTCACAAGAGAATCAAGAAAACTTGCTCTCCAAGTTCTTCGTTTCTCATAAAATACTATCTGAATTACACAACACCGATTCATTTTGGTAGCCGTCACGTCACTCTAATCATATATAAATCTAATTAATACTTGTCACCCTTTCATGGAATATCTAATTTCAAATGGACATGTCACAAATCACAATAATTTGAAGTTTTTTTTTTTTTTCTATTCATATCTCCGTAGTTACCCAGACTACAGATTGCAATAAGGATATGAAAAACAAAGAGTTCTTCGATATAAAGTTAACAAACCCTTTGATATTGCGATATTACTTTAATGTAATCAGACTGATTAAAATTAATTTGTACAATCTATATAAAAAATTTAATAATTCACCATAGTTTGAACATTTCACGCTCATATATAATCTGTCAAGTATTCACGAGATGAAAACAATGTCAAATGTAAATATCGTTAGTAAACCTAACTATATGGAGTAGCATGCAAAATAAAATAAAAATAAAATTTAAATCTTGGTCTATACGGCGACAACTGACAGATGGATTGCCGTTTACCTTGACCAAATCAAACGAATCGAGGCATCTATCTCATTTGACTTAATTGCCTCATGCCCACCGAGCTTTCATGGGATTCAATTAAGATCAATAAGTACGAATCAATGTAACACATACGGATCTTCGAAGAACCCAAAAACAAATGTAATAAAATTGATCTAATTAAATTACAATAGGAACAATATAATAAAGTTGGAAACTCCATTACAATCTTTAGTATTAGCACTTCGCTAGGTGGCTTGCAAGTTACCGTGATTTGAAAACAACGGATCGATTACTTCGAAACGAATGGTCGGATGATACTCAGCTTATTGCGCACGCGAGACTGCACAATTACAAAGGAAAATAACGATCAGCCAGCCAGTTGGTCATTGTCTTATGAGTCATGAGTATCGGAACAAAATTCCACCACTAAAAAAAATGTTTCAGTATTACAATAATGAGACTCCGCCATTAATACCACCATGCAACCAAAAAGAACGAGATGAGTGAGAGAAAGAGAGACCAAGGGACTCCATGAAAACGACATGTTGAATTTTATTTTTTATTTACGAATTGAGTTTTACCTCGTTTTATATTTGAGTTATTTTTGGGAGATTGTAAAGTGTTTTTATTCGGACATTTTCGACCTACACAAAATGGCGATCGATCGAAACAAACACTAGGTACGTTGATTGGCGTGTAGGTGATCGCGACGAGTATGTGAAGACTACAGTCGCCCGATATAGCAAAACTCTATTGGTGTGTATAGGTTGTCTCTAATCCGATCAATATGTAGATCAAGGGTCAGTCACTTCAGCAAAATGATCGAGCGTTCGCTTCTCCAGTCAACCGACCTCAATATGCTATGTAATATAAAGCAGAATAGCTCCATCGACTGCTACATTCTTTTATAACGGTCTTTTTCCCCAAATACACATAAAATTAAAAAAAATTCCTAAACTACAGTACTTATAAAAAAAATCCCAAAATATCTAAGTCTGGAGTGGTTCGAGTATGAGGAACTCGAACTACTAACTAGTTCGAGTCTAAGGGACTCAATCTAAACATAGATCGATGATGTAAATCTCGAATCATGTAGGGCTTATACTCTTTTGAAATTTCCAACAACCTTAACTTTGTGCTCGATTATCCAATCGTAGCAAAGTTTTTTTTTTTCATTTCACATAACTTTTTGAGAACTACAACTTTCATCATAGAAATATTTTCAGAATATATATGGAAATATGAAAATTAAAGGTAAAGTTATTCCCAAAACTCGATCTACGTTTAGATCGAGTCTCTTAGACTCGAACCAGTCAGTAGTTCGAGTTCCTCAAACTCGAATTCTTTAAATATGTATTTAGAGAATTGTTTCTTTTATAACAGATGGCTCAACTTGCGACAATGTAAAGTGTCCCATTTATCTGAAATGATCAATAGTTTGTCACGCATGCTGATACGTGGGCAGAAAATCTAAACGGAGTCCGATTAGTTGTCAACTACATCAAGGCCCGATGGCGACGTCGGGGTTGATTAATTACCAGCTTAATTTTTAAACCGCTTCAACGCCTTGGCGAAACTTCCATGAAATTGCCAAGCTTAGCTTAGTTATATAGCTATAGCTCAAGTTCTCATGACGCCGACTCCTTCAATCTTCATCTATATATATAGTGGCGTATTCGGTGCACCCACTTTTTCGGGTGCACTCAGTGCACCCGCCTCATAATTGTCATTCTGATCATGTGATTCATGTCAAAATGGTATCAATTGTTGCTTATGATATTATAAACAAGAAGCACATGAATTTGAAAAAAATTTATTCAAAATTAACTTTAATTCGAAGGATTTAGGATTTAGGGATTTAGGGTTAGGGTTTCGGTTTACAATTTGGGATTTTGGATTGGGATTCAAAATTGAAGGTTAAGGGGGTTAGGGTAATGAATTGATTTGTTATGATTCTATCTCATATCATCATATTAGATTGAGAGTACTAATTAAAGTTCAAAATTTGATGTATTATGGACGCTTTTAGAGTTAGGTGCACTGAGTGCACCCAAAAAAGTGAGTGTACCGAAGTAGCCACCATATATATTCCTCTCCGTTGAAATAAACAATGGCTTCCGTAACCAGCAGGCCGGCAGCAGCTGCTACCTAACCTACTCCAGTTATTTTCTTAGCCATATATAACAAGGTAGCTGGTGGCTCTCCTCCTGCTCTCAACTCGTTTCCAAATAATATAACAAACCGATCATTCGTCTTTCTAAACAAAACAAATCCAAAAAAAAAAACTCAGTATTAGTTTCGCTCCCTTGTTCCCTGGCAAATTAAAGCGAATGACGCCGGAAATTGGCGGGCGCCGTCCACCGAATCCGGTCCGGTGGCTCCGATTCCTCGACGTCGCGATCTTGTTCGCTGCTGTAATCGGAAATGTGACGGCGGCGGTGGGGCAGAGTGGTAACGCGACGGCGACAGCGGTGAATGTCGGGGTGATTCTGGACTTGAACAGGAGGACGGATGTGGCGCAGGTGGGGCTGAGCTGCGTGGAAATGGCGGTTTCGGAATTCTACGCTGCGCACCCCAACTACACCACCCGCATCGTCATCGCCACTAGGGATTCCGGCGGAGACGTTGTTCAAGCTGCTGCTTCGGGTAAGTGATCATCAACTCGATCTCGCTAGCTAGCTCCATTGCATTTACATTTCTTCTTCTTGCTGCGGTGGTCACTTTTTTGTTGTTGTTGTTGTTGCGCTATAGCGCGCGCTCTAGGTGTTTGTTGTTATTCCTCAATGAGGAACTCGATCCCCAGAATCCGGTCGATTTCGGACCTTCCTCTTCAGCGGCGGATCCAGAACACAGAAGTGCACTGGGCCGCATTTTATTAGAAAATTAGAATAGTAAAAAATATAATGATTATAATTTTTTTACAATGTAAATTGTACACGACGGTATTTTAATTTAGCGAATGCATTAATAATGGAGTCCACATTCATACCAATAGTATACACTGTTTCAAATAAAATACTTGAGCAATCGACTAGAAATTCATAGCTCATTTTGTTGCACAAATCAATTTTCACATGTTTCGTTGTTGAAAAGGTTCTATTCGTATTAGCTGTTGAAACGAGGAGCATCAACACTAGACAAATCAATCTACTAATCAATTTGCATTGTGTTTCCATCCCTATATCCACCAGCTGCTCTAGTAAATTTTCCAAGGTAACAAACCTCATATATGTTTTAGTCTTTTACGTTATAAACTTTTTGAATTTTTAGGTTTCATTGTTTTTTAGACGAAAAACCTTTGGGGTTAGAATTTATAAGCTAAATTTAGAGTAGTGATTTTGAATATGTTCATCTAAATTATTTTTCTAATTATACCCAATCTTATTTTAAAATAACAACGACCCGAATATCTAAAATCGAAAAATTCATAAGGCCTATACTAACTATGGATCCAGAGGAGGACTGCGCCGAGGCCCGGGGTGGCCACCCCCTGGATCCGCCACTGTTCCTCTTTGCATTCAGTTGGTTGACTTTGGCCATAAATTTCATTGACTAATTCCACTGTCATATAATAAGCAACCGATTGATGAAGGTCTGAATTTGCCCTTTTTTTTTTTTAATCTTCTTTGAAAATGTCACGTCTTGGCGTTGATAATATGCGGTGTGAAAATTGATCTCCTTACCTGCCGGATAACCTAATTATAATTATTGATAAATAATATAGTAAACTGGCTTTTGTTATTTATAAATAATATATTAAACTTTTATAAACTTAGACTCTGCGCATCTAACTGCAATAAACCACGGCCTTCTGGTCGTGGTTAGCTGCATGCAGCATGCTGCACTCCATCGATTCAGTTTGGGTAGAGGATGCTTGCTTGACTTATTCTCTTCTTCGTTCGCGTCAAATCTGGGAGCAATGAGGATTTGACTTTTGACTTATTCAAATGTTGGGTCGTACGTGTCGTTGGCATTTCATATTTGCTTGTGCTTGCTGGCTGCCAGTTCATGATCCGTTGTTGTTCCCAATGGTCAGCCTCACCTTTATTTCTCACCAAATTGTACTGATGTTCGTGACAGTCGGGTGGGGACTATTCTGGAGGAACTGGTTCAGATTTTCAGGGATAATCCGGGTTTTATTTTACGATTTGTGGGTCGGGGTGGCAATAGGGTAGTCCATATTGTAGCTAAAAATGCCCTTTCTTTGTTCCCGACTACTTGTCGTTATTTTGATTTCCAGGCCTGGCTGGCTTCTAGGATGTAACTATCGATTTGTTTCTATAAATATATGATTATCTTTTGTAAAAAAAAAAAAAAAAATCTAAAGACAAAACAAAATAAACCTATATGACTCTTATAAAAAAAATCCTTCTAAGTGCTTGGTCTTGACGGTTGAAATCCATGGAGATTCCACTTCATAAATTACATAGATTATAAAATGCATAATATGATATATTAAAATGGGATTAGTTCGAGGGTATATATATGGTTTTAATTAAACAGCAAGAGTGACACCTTTACCGTCAACTGCTGCTCTCTATATGCTGAATAATAATAACAATAACAATAACGCCAACCTAACTAAATTAGTATAGGTTGTTGGAGAACTTCATTTTCATCTGATTGAATGATGAACATATTAATTAAGTTAGGTTTGATAAACTTAATTAAGTTATAAGTTTGGTAGAATAACAAATATCCTAATCTTTCTTGCGTTATTTTATTTTATTTTATTTTATTTTTTTTAACATAAAATTTCCTCTACTTCTAGTCTTCTACTGATGTATTCACTAAAACATTATTACTCTTTGTAACTACGTGGCAGCTCTGGATTTGATAAACAACGTGCAAGTCCAAGCCATCCTCGGCCCAGAAACATCGATGCAGGCCAACTTCCTCATCCCGCTCGGAGAAAAAGCCCAAATCCCAGTAATCTCATTCTCCGCATCCAGCCCAACCCTCGCCTCCATCCGCAGCCCATACTTCTTCCGCGCCACGCAGAAGGACTCCACCCAAGTCAACGCTATCGCCGCCATAGTCAAAGCTTTCAGCTGGCGGCAGGTCGTCCCCATCTACGTCGACAACGCCTACGGCGAAGGCATCATCCCTTCCCTCGTCGACTCCCTCGAAGCTGTCGACGCCCGCGTCCCTTACCGCAGCGCCATCTCCGCCTCCGCCACCGACGACCAGATCGGGCAAGAGCTCTACAAGCTCATGACCATGCAGACCCGCGTCTTCGTGGTCCATATGGCTCCCAATCTCGGCGCCAGGTATTCTTTTTTTAACTCTCTTGACAACTCGAGTTATTGGAACCAATTGGTTTTTGAAAGTGATAGTGTGTTACTCTAATACCAGGTTATTCGCCAAGGCCAAAGAAGTTGAAATGATGTCACCAGGTTACGTGTGGATAGTAACCGACGGGATCACCGGTTTCTTGAATTCCATCGACAGTTCAGTCCTCGAGTCCATGCAGGGCGTTTTGGGCGTCAAACCGCACGTGCCGAGGACCAAAGAGGTCCTCGAGTTCAGGTCTCGCTGGAAGCGAAAGTTCCAGCGAGACCACCCGGAGATCCTCGACCCGGATCTCAACAGCTACGGGCTGTGGGCGTACGACGCCACCGTGGCGCTAGCCACGGCCGTCGAGAAGGCGGGACAAGCCACAAACTTCACCTTTTTAAACAACAACAGCAGCAGTAACGTCGGAAACGGTACTAACTCGACCGACCTGGACAGGATCCGGGCCTCGAGCAGCGGCCCGAACCTCGCTCTCGAGCTGTCGAGAACGAGGTTCGCCGGCCTCTCGGGAGAGTTCGCCATCGAGCCCGACGGGCAGCTGAAGGGCTCGGCTTACGAGGTGGTGAACGTGAACGGGAACGGAGGGAGAGTCGTCGGGTTCTGGACACGTGGCGGAGGGCTGGCCAGAGAGTTGACGAACGAGTCAACGGCGGGGCGAAGGCCGTTGAGGGAGAGCCTGATGAGGACGGTGATATGGCCGGGGGATGCGGCGGCGGTGCCCAAAGGGTTTCAGATGCCGACGAGCGGGAAGAAGCTGAGGATCGGAGTCCCCGTGAAGGACGGATTCAGCGAGTTTGTTTCTGTTAGTACGGATCCCGGAACCAACAAGACGAGCGTGACGGGATATTGCATTGATATCTTCGAAGCCGTCGTCCAAACGCTGCCGTATGCGCTTCCCTTTGAGTACGTGCCCTTCGCCGACGCTAATGGGGATAGCGCCGGGACGTACAACGACCTTGTTTATCAGGTCTTTTTAGGGGTAAGTAAGTAATTATTGAACTAATCCATGCGGAGACTTATGGATGGTATGAGTAGTAGTATGTTATACTACGATTATTGTTATATAAGTTCATAGAGTTACATTTCTTATAAGGGTCGTAGGGCTAATACGTAAATTACTTAGCTAACTTTTGCGACTCTAATTAGGAATATAATTATGAGGTGGTTTGGATGAGGAATTCTAACGAATCAATTTGGCCAGATTGTCTCATTTGGCAGCACGAAATTCAGATGAAGAAATTATGCATGAGGAATTTTCAAATTGACTCATTTTGAGACAATTACAATTGTCTGGGATGAGGGCAGACAATTCGAATTGACTCGTTTTGTAAAACGGGACAATTAGTTAAATTGGCTTGTTTATAAATTGATCCATCCAAACGTTCCAATATGTTAAATTACATAGCAATATTCATAGTATAGCATAATACTGCTCGTACAACTCATACTCTGATACTCTTCCATGTCGGACTAATTACCGTATTTTTGTTGCGTGCATGGTAATGCAGAACTTCGACGCGGTGGTCGGAGACACCACGATCATCGCCAACAGGTCGAACTACGTCGACTTCACGCTGCCGTACACGGAGTCCGGGGTGTCGATGGTGGTGCCGGTGAGGCCCGACGGGAGCAAGAACGCGTGGCTGTTCTTGAAGCCGCTGACGTGGGATCTGTGGATGACGACGTTCTTGTTCTTCCTGTTCATTGGGTTCGTGGTGTGGGTATTGGAGCACAGGATCAGTAAGGATTTCAGAGGCCCGCCTTCGCATCAGGCCGGAACCAGCCTCTGGTTCTCCTTCTCCACCATGGTCTTCGCCCACAGTAAGTAACATATATATATAGAACTTAATTACAGTTCCACCGACGGTCACTATAGTATATCACTTGCCCCAAGGGCGTATTGTCAAACCGGTTTATACTGTTATGGTCGAATTGGGTACAACCAGTTTGTACATCTTTTGACAAAACATAAGAGATCTCCCGCCGGTGGAATGCAGATCGGTTGAACTTGGTTCAAACGGTGTCGGTTATAAAACCGCGTGAATACCACCAGTATGATCGGCAAGATTAATTTTTGGCCTGAAAACAAAATGACATTGGTTTGGTGTATTCAATTAATAAAAAAAAATTAATTTTGATTTATTTCAAGAATTTAAATGTTTTAAATGCTGACGTTGTTTGTTGGATTCAAGTATAAAAATTTGGGTATCGACGTTAAATATTATATTTAAATACGAGTATTTGTTAACTTTTTTTTTTTGAATGTTGTATTTTATTTAAATATGAATATGGATTGTAAATAAAAATTGTATGCTTAAGTTCATTAGAAATTAATGATTTTGTATATTCTTACAAAGTTTATTAAACTGGCATGGACTCGACACACAAACAACTTGTACCACCGTTCAAATCAAACACTAACTGAATCAGCACAACGACATAAACAAGTTTGACAACCTTACATCCAGCCGGTTTTTATCAAATACCCCAGTTGAATCTGATTCTACCGACCAACATACTAGTGGTTTGACAACCATAGTTACTTACCATTGCACCATATATATGTTGCTTGTTGCAGGAGAGAACGTGGTGAGCAACCTGGCGAGAACGGTGGTGATAATCTGGTGCTTCGTCGTCCTGATCATAACCCAGAGCTACACGGCGAGCTTCACGAGCCTCCTGACGGTGCAGCGGCTGCAGCCGACGGTGACGGACATCAACGAGCTGCTGAGGAAGGGCGAGTTCGTCGGGTACCAGGACGGCTCGTTCGTCGTCGGCCTGCTGAAGCGGATAGGGTTTCGTGATGACAGGCTGGTGCCGTACAACAACTCCGACCACTGCGACACTCTTTTCGGGCAAGGGAGGATCGCTGCTGCGTTCGATGAGATTCCCTACATCAAGCTGTTCTTGGCGAGGCACTGCTCCAAGTACATGATGACTGATCCTTCGTACAAAACCGACGGCTTTGGATTTGTAAGTTCTGCTCTCTCCTTCTTCATGGTGTAATCTTGGTGTTTTAGTAGATGTGAATTATTAGAGAAAATGTGATTATAGAGGGCAATGAGTGGACTTATTGGGTAATTTGACCTAATTTGCATGATTCGTTCAGGGTATTGGGTCGGATTCAAATGAACTAGTATGTATTTTAAATAGTTTTGGGATAGGGTTGGTATTGAATTTTTGGTCTAAGTTGGGGTGAGATCAAAATGGGTCTAATTGAGTTTAGATGATTGTGTATAAAAAAAAACAATATATCAATCATTTTATAACTGTCTTTAACCCAATTATACACCCTTAATGTAAGTGTATATGCCTTTTTGTTTGTTATGAAAACAAACAAAAGAGATAAAAATCGCATTATAATTGAGTACCCATTTTCTTTTGGACTTCCAATAGCGTGTGGATCCAATTTAGGCACGAACTAATAAACTGGTTATGAGTATATGCCAAAAACAAAATTACCCAAACTTGATTCCTTATAAGTTGGGTTTGTGCTTTTGGGTAATTCTTTCAATTTCTAAATATGATATGCTGATGTGACATGAATCGGACTATTTGGTGTTATACGATTGGACGTCACGGTAGTCTCATTGTAAACCACTAAACCGTATCTCCTCACAATTGACTCTCTCCTGCTCGTGGACTAGCTAACACATAAATCGTGTGTCGCGTGTGTTCTATGCGTTCTTGCTTTCCTTTTTTCTTGCTTTCGCAGAAAAACAATCATGATAATTTCTGGATGATGTGTCCTGCAGGTCTTCCCCAAAGGCTCCGTCCTCGTACCCGACATTTCCAGAGCTGTCCTGAACGTGACAGAGGGAGACAAGATGACCAAAATCGAAGAAGCATGGTTCGGCAAGAACAGCAGGTGCCCTGAATCCAGCACCTCTGTTTCTCCAGGCGGACAGCTCGGGCTCAACAGCTTCTGGAGCCTGTTTCTCATAGCTGGTGTCGCCGCAGTTTCGGCACTCATAATTTTCGCGGCCACGTTCGTTTACCAGCACAGGCAGATTCTGTTGCAGCAACAAGAAGGCGAAGATAATTCGCAACCGAAACCTTCGTTTTGGAGGAGGATTATGAACCTGTTGAGGACGTTCGACAAGAAGGATCTCAAGTGTCATACTTTCAGAGACGACAACAGGGTTGGCAATAACGAGGTTAATTTGGTTAGTCTGAATGTGATGAGCCCTTCTGCTTATTCGGTCCAGACGGAGTTTCCTGTGGATTCGTCGACGGTGGCGGCTACTCCTCCGCTTATAGATTCTTCGATGGAGTTGCAGGACAACGAGACAATGGCTCGGGGAGTGGAGATAAGCATTGATTTGCATCAGAATTTCAATGGAGGAGGAGAGATTGATAATGCTAATGTTAATGATGAAATTACGAGACATTGAGACGGGACTATATGTAGTTTATTAACTTAGTTTGTTGTGTGTGTGTGTATATAGTAAGTTGATGGTAGGTTATTGTAGCTAATATTATAATAACCAAAATTGAATCTCGAATGGCATACTTTCTCAGAGACTGACATAATTGGTAACGAGGTTCATCTTGCCAATACGAATGTGATTCGCTGTCCTTCCGCTTTTTCTGTTCAGAGGGAGTCTCTTTTGGATTCGCTCCAATCACCTGCTCCGCTGAGTGAATCTTTGTGGATTCTACCCAAAGAAGACCTACTTCGCTGATAGAATCTTCACCAGAGTTGCTCGACGACACGATATAGCTCATGAAGGTGTGATGGTGAACGTTGATTCGCATCCAATTTCTAGTAGTGAAGAACCCATTGTTGATGCTAACATTAATGATGATTAGAAGCAAGATTATGGAAATATGGTATGGACGAGAAATCAATTGATTGGAGGAGCATGACATGTAGTTTATTCACAATGTTTCACCGAGCAAATCATTGGAGGAGAAATAAATGGGTGTAGAAATGACGAAATGAAACAAATGGGTTGGTGGGAGCCTCAAACTTGCTCCCTGATTGGCCGGGAAACTGGATCGGAGGTGTCTGGTATGAACAGAGATCCGATCACCAGAATCGGGTTTAGATACATAATATCAAAGTCTAATAGAGAAATAGTTCTTGTTATTACATCATCAAGACGTGGCGATGACGATGGGTTGATTAATTAGCAGCTTAATTATATTTGCTTCAACGCATTTGTGAAACTTCCACGAAACTGCTATAGCTCGATCGTATCTAAATTCTAAAGTCTTCCATTTCAAACTACGCATTTCATCCATCGACTTTTCTCTTTCGTGGTTATAAATAAACTAGCATTTTGCCTGGCCAGTTGGCCGGATTGTAGTTATTCGATTTATAGGCTATATCCCGTTTTAGTGCCCTTTTGCCCATTTTTGTTTGTTCGGAAATGTCGGGTCAAATTGGTCAATGATCAAGTTGTGGTTATTCCATCTATGAGATATATCCCGCTTTTGTGTCCTTTATTTTGACATGTTTTATTTTTTATAAAAAAAATTCGTGAATTCATTTTATTATATAAATTGTATTTTAAGTGGTGTTAGGGGTGTATATGGTTCACCTACTGGAATGCAATCGTTCCATCTCATTGATTGCCCAATTTGCCCATATTAGTTTTAGTCACAATGCTGATAGGTGCAATGTAAGCAAGGTCGTCATATTGATTTAAATTGTCAAGCAAATTAAATAAGCGATTTAAGATGCGATTGTCAAATTGAGATCCAACCTATTTGACGTGCATTAGACATATTCTAAAAAGATATATCTATAAGGTACAAAATTAAATTCTAATAATAAAATAATATATAGTCATATATATATATGAGATAATAACTGGTATACTCCAGAAGTATAGCATGCTCCAGGTAATCTGAATGTTGGATGCACTTTGATGAGCTCCGACCAATCTCAATAATCAATTATTAATTTTACTAAATTCAATATCTAACAAACTTAAAAACTCACCCAACCACTTCATATCATCTCATTGTCCCTCCCCGTTCATGTATCTCTCTCTCTCCCCCCCACCCTTTATCTCTCAGTCAATGTGGTTGACGTGGCCGGTTTTATATGTACGATTAACTTGCCTAGTAAAGCAAAATACACGTATGCATTTTATATGTAATTATCCATATCGTATTTTACTAACTATGATTAAGATCATTTTTGGTTTTCATGTAATTCATAGCCATTATATTTTAAAGCCAAATTCAGTAGCGTTGGACCTGTGAGCCCATGATATATACTTCAAGTATTCCGACCAATATGTAATAATTATATTTAACTACTCATACAGTATTCTACTAATTATGATTGAAAGCCTCTTTGTTTTTCATGTAATTTATATATTTTTATGCTTTCATGTAATTCATATTGCTGGTCTCGGCTTGTGAAATTAGCATATATAGGTATACTTTTAATTTACCATAAATCTGTTTTAGCAGGCCTAATTATTATTAACCTGCCCTTTCATAGCTCCCGTTTATTTTTTTAGCGGGTCTCAATTTAACAGGCCCAAGAAATTACTGCTTTGGCACAAATGCCCCTCCGCCAATTAAGGGCTGCCTTGCGGTAGCTGATGTGGCACAAATCTCATATGTACTCCTCTCTATATATTTGTGTTGACAACTCATCTTTCTGAAAACAAACAAAAGAAAAAATAGAACTCCGGCGAAGCTCTGCTCCCTTGGTTCCCTCGCAAATTAGATCGCCGGTTCCCAAAAACGATGACGCCGGGAATCAGCTACCGCCTTCCGCGGAATCCGGGGTGGTCACGATTCTTCGTCACGACGTTGTTCGCCACTGCTTATTATGCGGCGATTAGTAATATTGCGGCGGTGGCGGGGCAGAGCAGTAGCAATAACGCGACGGCGGCGATGAACGTAGGGTCGAGTTCCGATTCCGACGGTTCGCGCCCAAACTACACTTCCAGCAGAGACGGCGCTGTTGAAGCTGCTGATTCAGGTATGAACGGACGAAATTTTTCGTTCTTTTTTCTTTCGTTCTTTGGCGCTCTAGGTGTTTGTGGTTATTCCTCAATGAAACTCTCGTAGTTGACCGGGAAAGTAAGAACGGTTTGTTGAAAAACTAAAACTTACGCCTTTTGACTTTGTAACTTCTGCCCTAAACGTACATTTCTTGTGCTTGCAGGTCTTCCCAAAAGGCTCCCCACTGGTTGAAGACATTTCAGGAGCAGCCGTGAAGGTAGTTGAGGGAGATAAGAAGATCAAAACAGAAGAAGCAAGGATTGGCAAGAACAACAGGAGGTACAAGGAGTCTAGTACCTCGGTTTCTTCTTCAGAGAACAAGATTTGGTTGAACAGCTTCTGGAGCCTGTTTCTGATTGCTGGCACGGCTACAGTTTTCGCAATCTGTATTTTTGTCGTCGTGCTCGTTTACAAGCACGGGGAGCTCGTGTTGCCCCAAGAAGAAGATTCACAATGGAAACCTTCGTTCTGGAGAAGAAGTCGGGATCTGTTCAGGACGTTCGACACGAAAGATCTCAAATGCCGTACTATCAGGGACGACAGAGTTTGTGGCAACGTTCATCTTGCCAATGTGAATGTACTGAGCCCCTCCACGTATTCCGTTCGCTTGGAGTTTCCTGCGGATTCACCAGAAACACCTACTCTGATGATGGAATCTTTGTGGATGCAACCCGAAGACCTACTCCGCTGATAGAATCTTCAATCTTCGTTGGAGTTACACGACGGCACAGTAGCTCAGGAAGGTGTGATAAACATTGGTTAACATCCAAATTCCAATACAGAATGGCCCCATTGCTTATTATGTTAACACTAATGATGAAATTAAGAGACATCAAGAAAAGATAATGAGATATGGTATGATGAAGAAACCGTAGTATGACTACATGTAGTTTATTGACAAAGTTTCTTGTGTATAGTTGGTTCATGGTAAGTTATTAAACCTAGTATTACCACATCCCCGGTACATAATTCTTCTGCTCATCTTTGTTATTTTAGGAATGACGTAAACTTTTATTTTATCATTAGGTTCTATTTAGGGATTCTAACATGGAACATAATGGTAACTGTATCCATACTAATTCTCAACGAACTTACTCAACTTTCTCCCAACAATTTAAGGAATTCTCTGGTTACTGGCCTGTAAGGGATAAAGGGTTCCTCGGCCAGCAGCTCTACAGCTTCAACTGTTCACAAAAGGAAGCAGGTTAACTAAGAATGAAAAGGAACAAGGAGTTGAGAGCTACCATTTCTATCTTCACATTTATTTATTGCCTGTAACGCTGGATCCCATCAACATCTATGATCCCGGGTGGGAAAACCGGATCAGTTGCTGCCCTCAGTGCCACCCTGGCCACCGCATTCACATCCACCGGAGGTGTGAACAGAGGTCCGATTACTGGAAGTTGGTTTAGCGGCTTTGCCCGTTGAAGAACCTGAGGCGCAGGACAGATGTAGTCACTCATTACCATTCAGAAATCCAGTGTGCAAAACGAATGCAAGTGTACTAAAACCAGAGTTCATGTTAGTTGGCAGGATATATAGACTGGATGTTTGGTTTCTAAGATAACCGAAAATCAGACATATGAATCCTATGGAAGCATAAACAAGTTACCATTTCCATAGGAGAACCAATGACACCAAGAGGCAGCTTCAGACTTCCAACACCACGAGTCCCGTAGATAAAGCCTGGTCTCAGAATTATTCCTGTAAAAGAAATTGGAAAAGTTCATTTGTTCAGAGAACCAAAAGAAAAATTCTTCAAAAGGTGGAGATGCAGATGATGATCTTCTGATCCAGACACAAAATTTACTAAACAATAATGAGATGCAAATCAGAAGTTTACCTCCGTATGGAAACTTCGCCTGTAATTCTGCTTCGGCAGCTCTCTGTATCAAGGGAGGCAACAACCAAGCATGTCAAGTTAGAAGAAAATAAAAGAAAACCTTACTCCCGAAAGAACAATTATCAACTATGAAATCATACTCTCCAAAATAAAGCTATGAAATCCTACCTTCCCCTCGTAATATCCTCGCAGTATGTAGTTAGCCAGGCCAAAATCCGCAGCAGAAATGTAAACAAATCTTTTCACGCCTACAAAAACAAATGCCAGGGGAAAGAAACACTCGGTTATAATACAGAGGGGTTTAGTGAAGCCAAGTGATGCGTAGCTGCTGGAAAGACTAATCCCTTTTACCTATCATGCTGCAATGGTGTCGCAGAAGGAGCATACAAAAGAAAGTGGGATGGTAGCTAAAGTATGAATACAACGTGGAGACCCATTTAAAACCATTTTACCTTTTTCCGAAGCAGCTCTAATAGCATTGATATTTGCAGTTCCATTGATCTTGTACATGTATGAATGTGAGCCAAAACCCCCAACACAGGAAATCTAGAATTTAGCAGAAGCAGAGTAAGTAACAACAGAGACCAGCAATATGTCATAACCGAATCCCCCACTAAAATAACTCCTTGCATTAAACTAAACTCATAAACAAATGCATACAAAAGTGATGTATCCGAGCATAACAGGTAACAGAGTGATTACTTACAACCGCAGAGACCCCATCTAGAGCATCCTTCAATGAATCAGGCGAAAGAAGATTCCCTGTAGAAGATAAGGGCAAATGAATCAAGCTAAACAAAATAAATCAACGCCTCTCACCAGTGCTAAATTGAATGAGGAAGAATCATCACTCAACAGCAAAGTAAAAAGTAAACCTTGATACCACGTGACATTGTTAGCCCATGAATCATGCAATGATGACTTCCCAGATCTGAACAGAAAAAAAGAGCAGATTCAAATGCCAACAAGAACCGGTTGAGTGCCAGTAGTCATGCAAAGCAAAACCCGGAAAATACTCGGAAGAACATTGAGACCAGCTCAAGTATAGTAGCAAGCTTCCCATAACAACCATTATTGAACCATAACTAAGAAGGCAAAGGGTTCAAACGCATAGCACGCAAGATCGCCTCAACTACTTCCAATCGAACTATTACCTAGAATTTGAATCTATGGAGTCCATTGTCTATAGCGGAGGCTAACTTCTAAAGTTCAAACCAAATGGCAATTATCCAATGGGAACAAGCCTGGAAACAGAAGTAGTGAAAAATGCATACCTGCTAAGGCTAGCAACAGATAAGCCCCGATCTAGAGCCTCCCTGAGAATATGAGAGCCAACGAAACCATTTCCACCTAACACCAGCAACTGAATCCAAACACATAACAGAATGCAAAAAATGTAAACCCCAAAAAGCCAACCAACAAGTTCCAATGCGACAGTGTATCAAAATGATTCACACCTTTTCTTGAGGCGGTGGAGGGACGTTCACAGTTTCTGCTTCCTCGACCTTGAAAGGCTCGTCGACCTTATTAGATTCAGTTGAGAAACATCTCCGCTCACCATACCCCGCCATTGCACTGCTCTCCGTCGGATTAAAGCAACCGGAAAACATAATCAGGAATTCTCGTGCAAAAACCTAGCTACACTAACACAAACATTCAACTGAACAAGGGAATGGGGAAGCAGATTGAATTACCACAATCTAGACAGGGAAGCTCTCGAGTCGATCAACCGCGACGCGACGGCCCTCATTTCGGTTGCAACTTCTCGCCTCCTTCGTCCCTCTCTAACTTTATCTCGCTCTTTCGAAACTCCGGTAACTCGGCGAAACGGTGATCGGAGAGTGGGGAAAATCGCGTTCCGGTGGAGGTTGGGGACGAGTTTCGAGCGACGATTCAGCGGAAAGACCCTTCTCGCGAGTCGCGAGAGAGTAAGAGAGACAGCTCGAGAGAGAGAGAGAGAGAGAGAGAGGGAGGGATGGACAGGTGGCGCGCAACGGAGACGACAGGTCGTGGCAATCAAGTGAGTGGGTAGATGTTACTGGTTAGCCGGGAAGGAGAGTCGGCCTCACGAGGCCCATAAATTAGTGGGCCCTGTCTGGTTATCTCAATTTAAATTGGAGAGAAAAAAACAATTGGGCTTTATTGATGGAACTGGACAGCATCTGCTTCTAGCCCGAAACTAAAGTACAAGTATTTGTGAAACCAATCGTCAATCTGAAGACAATTATGTAAATTATGATTTTCGATCTCTTTGAAAGAGAATGAACCTTGTAGTATTGGCTGATGCATCATTACCAGACTCTTCACCTGCAGGATCGTGCATAACTAAAAAGAATAGTGTGTGCGGGACCTTAGGTCGGACGATTTCTTGGACCGCGACCAAGTGAGGTGTAGACGTTAGGTGACCCGAAAGGCACGCGCAGTGATTTTCGGGAGCACGACGAAGGTACCTTGCCATTCGAGTCTTTTTCGTACTTTTTTTCACGGATATCTGAAGAAAGACAGGGGAAAAACATCATATTATCGTCAAATAATTTTATTGATATGAAACGACTTTTTCATCACAAAATATCCTACAATTAATTTATCCAATATAACCTCTGATAAATATTTTTTTTTTCTTTCTTGGGTAGAAACAACCAATGATCATTTTGTTTTGAGTGTTAATACATTTCTAAACGTCACACATCGTAGATTCCACTTAATAGTTTAGTGGGGAGAACAAGTGCCATGAAACCTTTTCTTTCGCCAGTGTTATGTGACGAATGATTCCAACACCACATTCGATTGGCCCTTTTTCAAAACTATATGTCCATTAACTTCACTTCATCAAACTTTATCCACTACAGAGATACCATCAGATTAATGTTTTCTAATTGCATTCATGTTATCATATTATTTGATATTCCAACATATTTAATATTCAGATATAGTACTATCATGGTGATTAAAATAAGGATTATCTGTCACAACAACAATTCCTATGATGGTTTATGTGGGGAAAGAGATATGATTCTCTTTAGCAAAAGACTAGTTGGATATTAGCCACCATAACACCTCATGTGAACCTCACTTGAAATTTATGCTTATTTGATTACAAAGTTAATGTGGAGCTCAACAGCTTTAACCCTTCTGTTTTCGAAGAGGTGATAAAATATTGTTTAAAATGAAAGGAAAAAAAGGATTGAACGAGAAGTAGCGAAATAAGTTGTTTACGAATATTTTTCTTGAAAGATTTAGAAAATGTTGTTTTAGTCTGAAAATATCTTATAGTTCAATGATGTCTTAGCAGATTATGGTTTTGAACGTTTGAGCGAAATTACATTTTCCCCCCTTTGTTTCGCCTATTAAACTTACTGAAATGTTTAGTTTGGAACAATTACATCTCAATGTGCAATAAGTCTCATCTTCGAAAGTAGGAGGACTAAATTTAACATTTTCCCGAGAGAGAAGCACCAATCGGTAAGTTATCAAAACAGTTGGGAAAACAGAGCAAAATCCGTGCCCTGCTTTCAAAAAGCAGAGCCTGATGAGTAAAGTTTCAGCGCGGCCGACGACGCCGCGTCTCTCTTTACCCACAACGGCCTATAAATACGACGCATCCCCCCGCCCTGCTTCTCCAACCCGACACTCCACTCCTCTCTGCCTCCACTTCACCCCAAAAACCTCCTGTGACATTTCAACAAACACCTTCCCTGCAAAACAATCCCGGAAAAAAATGAGATCACTCAGCGCATCCGAAGGCAGCAGCATGACCACTCCACCGTCCGCAATGTTGCCGCAGCCGGCGATCCGCTCCCCCTGGCACTCCCCGGTGCCGTACCTGTTCGGAGGCCTGGCGGCGATGCTGGCCCTGATCGCCTTCGCCTTGCTCATCCTGGCCTGCTCTTACTGGAGGCTTTCCACCCGCCGCCGTCGGCGGCAGGGCGGGGACGTCGAGAGCGGGGACGAGAAAGAAGGGAAGCCCGTCGAGAAGAAGGTTTTTGAAGAGAAGTTTCTGGTGATCATGGCGGGAGACAACCAGCCCACGTTCCTGGCTACCCCTGCTTCGAACAGAGTCAGTGTTTGTGGATGCGGTGACGCCATAGCCGTGGGTAAAGATGGAGGGGAGATGGGTAGTGAGGGGAAAGTGAAACAGGGTTTGTACGAACACGGAGAACCAACGACGGCAGCGGAAGGGGAAGAAGAAGAGGAGGAGGAGGAAGAAAACGGTAGCCGGGAAACGATGCAAAATTGATTTAGTAAGATATAAGAGGCAGAGAGGATCGGTGTGATTTGCAGAGACTCCTCGTCCCACCTGGGAATTTCCTTTCCCACCAATTTTGTTTCTTGTTCTCATTTCTGGGTTTTGGTTTTGGAGATTACTGTGGGTTTGATCCACTATGTCCCTCCGGCGGCCGGAAAATGTACAATTTTGAGTGTTAACTGATGAATGACACGAAATCGTCTTGTTCATTTCTCCTTTTGTCATTTGCTTTCTGGGTTCGATGTGGTTTTATCCAATCAAAGGAGAGCTGGAAATGATGAACCCCATTCCATGAACCGGACGCGCTTTAGTAGGCAAGCTTCTGCAAACAGGAAGTGAAAGAAAGGAAGGAAGAAAGGAATCGAAGCTTTTGAGCAGAAATGCAATTGTTAATATGTTGTAAGCGAGGGGGAAGAATAAAGGTAAGAAGTGGTAATGGCGTGAGTGAAGAGACAAGATGCTCTGTTCCGTTTCCCCTCCTCCGCCCTGACCCCTCATGTACATTCCTCCTTTCTTTATTTGCGCCACCGCGGTCAGTGATATTCCACCGGCGACGGTACTTGCAGCCGGCCGGCAGCAAGTGCGGTGAGGGGCCGGGAGGGCATTTATAAGTGGTAAGGTGGGGGGACACGAGAAAGTGGAAGAAGATGAGGTCACGGGCACATCAAGTTTGACAGTAAAAAAAAAAAAAAAAAAAAAAAAAAAGTCTTCAACTTCTTTCCCATCGAGATATGATAGTACTAATGTCTAAGGCCATTAGGGCTTAATATCTTCTGTCACAATTGTCATGTTATTGTAAAACCGTAATGAAGGTATTACTAGAGAAATCAACGATGATGTATTTTATGTTGAAATCGCGGTTCAATCATTTCTTATCGCATCAATCAATTTATCGATTTAGACTTTCGTTTGTACCTTCAAGCTCAGGACATGAACAATAATTGGTAGTTGTGTGGTCTTGGACTCGCGATTTGCTCGTTTGATCTCATCCACACAGCGGCAGATCCAGGGGGGCGCCCCCTGGTCACGGCTCAGCCCTCCTCTGGATATCGAGCTAGTATAGCACTTGTAATTTCCGATTTTTGGTATTCGTTTAAGTGTTTTTCACGTTAGGGCCCAGCCCTCTCCGCTTTTTTTTCAAATGTGGACCAGTGCTCTACCCTGTCTTGGATCCGCTACTGCATCTGCATGAAAGAAACTTGAAGGCACACGAGAATTTAGAGAGATAACCAAAAGTGTGGAGACGTTGAGCCCCTTTATTCGAAGACTTGAAAACCCTTATATAGTTGTAGCACGTGTCAATCGTCAAACTTTTTCGATTTTGACGGTAGATTCGATTTGGTCATTAGGCTACTTGAGTCGTGCTTCTCGATTAAACGTGACTGACTCGATTACGCGTCACTTCTCGGTTAGATGTCACTTTTAACACCACATATACAATACAATACAACTTTACAAAGAAGGTTGTGTACATGTACATTCAAATATCTGATGATTACCTCATCAATATCATTAACATGTTAGAATGTTCTCATCTCCAAGGATGTCACTTCCCCTTTGGCTTCCTTTGGGATGCTGGGAAGATAGTGGGGGACAGGTGGTGGGCTCCGATTGGCCGGGTGGGGAGAGTGAGTGGGAAACGGACGTGGAACGCAACGGGGAGTAGTGGTGGGCGCCGCAGGAGGAAGCTATGCGCGCGGCGACGCGAAGCTGCGTCTTGAAACTGTGATCCTGCTTAGGGATGGCAATGGGTCAGGTTGGGTCGGGTTTTGCCAAATCCAAACCCAAAACCATGGGTTTGTCCATGAAAAAAATCCGGGGTAAAACTCACTGGGTTTGAAAAACTCAAACCCAACCCAACCCGCTGGGTATCCGCGGGTTCATGGGTACCCACGGGTTTTTGTCGTAAAAAATTTACAATAACATGTTCCTATCAAAATTAAAGTCAAATATCAATCTCTCAATACAAATTATCCACATTTAAAACACTATTCTAGAAAATTCAAGCAAATCACAAATTAACTATACAAATTGTTCAACGCAATCTAGAAAACTCAAGAAAATTGAAGTAAATCATAAATTATCCATAAATAACATATTAATTGAAGGCTTCTTCCTTTCAATTAAGTTTCTTCACTCTCCACTCGATAACACAAACTTCATTCTACACAATTAGAAAGAAAAAATTAGACATGTCTCCACAAACATAAATAAGATTAGTTGTTTACAATATTAAATATACCGAGAAAATTAATTATATGTGTGGGCGGGTACCCACGGGTCGGGTTTACCTAAACCCAAATCCAACCCAACCCGGTGAATAGTGAATGGGTTTAAACCCAACCCAAAACCCGTCAACACGGACTTTACCCGCGTTGACCGGGTTGGGTCGGGTGGGTACCCGTGGGTTCGGGTTTGGTTGCCATCCCTAATCCTGCTTTTGGTTTTTGCTTCGCCAGGAAAAGAAGAAGCGTACGTTGTTTTGGGTTCTGTTATGTGATATGATTAAATATTGATAGAATGAGTAATTATGAAGACGACGGCGATCGGGATCGGGAAAGGTGAAGCGGAAGCGGGGGCCAGCTGCTGCATCTGCTGCACTGCAGCTGATTTATGTTGGATGTGGGTTGGTGATAGGGGTGAAAGCTTGTCCCGGAAGACCCACTGACCCGTCGGGACGGGTCAGTTTGTCTACGGAGACAGATTAGGGACGGGTCATTTGTTGATCCTGTAAGGGTCGGGACGGGTCGGGACAACTTAGTTGATGATAACCGACGCCTAGTTAGAGTTAGAGGATACCTCGTTCCATTTGTCTACTCGAGATATGTCTCCAATAGTCATACACACATCCCCCCATATGTTGGCTCGAATAAACGCATATTTTATTGTTCGATTAGAGAGACATTTTATTGTTGCGACTAGTATCCTATTTTTTTTATAGTATCGAACCGATAAGCATACAATCAAACAATTATTACGTTTAATAATCTTGAATTCACTCTTTGTAAGCAGTGTGTATATTGTTAAAACGATACAAGATGTTATCGACAATCAGTAAATGCACATTCTCCATTATGAAACTCCGTATTTTCTATCTTTACTAATTCCAAATTGCACAACTTGTGTGTCATCCGATCGGCTACCTGATTGCTCTATCTACCTCAAAATCTTTGGTAATAGGTTTTGCCCTGCCGAAGTTCTCTATCACTTTTTTATCTATGTAGTTTGCACATTCTACGTCAATCTTCAGGAGAAATCTTTCTTCTCCATCTTGTTTGGATTTTCAAGTTGATCGCCTGACAATCCATTTTTGTCCAATTGCAGCTCACAACTCGAGATCCTTGGTAAAACAGAAAAGCTACAACTATTGGGCTCAATTAGATCATCAAACTTCGGAGGATAAGCCTCCGGGAAGAGAAAAACTTAGGCCCAATAATAGCGCATTGGGCCAGCATGAAATGCCCAATATCCCAGCCCAACTACTCCATGTCAAGTTGTCAACTCATCATAACTGTCAGGCTGACCGACCCGGGATGGAAAAGGAAAACCGTTGGCGAAGAAACGACGGCGTTGCGCTGACCAGTAGCGTAAAAGGGACCTCAGCGTTTCAGAATTGGAAATTCAGATTGGAAAAATCGCCTTGGCCCTTCATCGGAATCTGTTTTTCGAGAAAAAATAAAATAAAATAATAAACGAGCTTGCTTCACTTCTTTGAAACTTCGCGTGGAGCGAATCTGAGTGAGATGAACGACGAACCCATTGGGCTATAGGAATTTCTGCAGAAGAAAACAGGAAAAAATAAAGTAAATAAGGAGAGGGCAGAGGGCGATCAATAGCCATGGGGATTCTCTTCACTCGGATGTTCTCTTCTGTATTCGGCAATAAGGAAGCTCGAATTCTCGTTCTTGGCCTCGACAATGCCGGGAAAACTACTATTCTCTGTAAAACTCTCTCTTCCCACCATCCCTTAGGGGTTTTACCTTGTGCTTTTTCCACAGTGAGCCTGATTTCCCAGTTGTTTGTTTCCCTTCGTAAATCTACTGAATGGTCTGTATTTTTCCTTTTGCGTGCCAGATCGGCTTCAAATGGGGGAGGTAGTCTCCACGATCCCAAGTAAGTGCATTGAGTTGCCAATCACATCTACGATGGTGCATGCGGCTTATTCTGATTCAGTCTGTAATTGAATTGTTCGGTTTCTGTACCAAATCTGACGCTCTTGTGCTTTTCCCCCTCTTTGAAGCTATTGGATTCAACGTGGAAACTGTACAGTATAACAACATTAAATTTCAGGTGTGGGATTTGGGTAAGTTGGAAATTCTTTTGAACCCTTCATTATATTTGTTTGTTCTGCTAAGAAAGATTGGGTATAGTCTCAGTTTGATCTAGCTATGCGATGCAACTAAGGTAATCGAAGATCATTCAGGGGTTGGCCTGATTGTTTTTTTGGGATGATCTCTGTGGTGCATTGTTAATTCGTTTAATGCATTTTGGGAGCTTTTGAATCTGATTGGCGATAAACCCCTTTGTCCCTGAATTGCAAATTTTGATAACCTGGCTAATTTTGTGTGAATTGGATGTCTGCTGCTGAAGTTCGAAATGCTGTTCTGCATCAGAGAGAGTAGCTCTTATCATTGAATAGTAATCTGATTTACTGGACCTAGATGCTGATGCATTTCTGGAACTCGATCCATTTCAGTCTCTATTAATAAGGGTTCATCTTAACCTATGAGGATACCTGGTACCATCATATTGCTTGACTTAGTCTAACTGCTCCAACTTCTGAAGTTTAAAGAAGCCATTATGTTGCTCAAAGTTGAATTGCTGAATCTTTATAGTCTGTATCTAGAATTAAAAACTGACATTTTCAATATGATTTTTGAACAGGTGGCCAGACAAGCATCAGGTAACGTTGGTTCTAAAAATTTCCTGCCCCCTCCCCCCCTTCTTACCATAAATTTTGTGTTTTGTTGAACAATGGGTTCTTCGTTGGAGATGCTCTGCTCATGCTTGACTAAAATCTTCGGTCCTTTTGTATCTGAAATCAAGTACATGGAGTATGTTTTTAGAAGCTGTTCTCTAACTATCCTTCCCCTCATCTCTCTCTCTTTCCCCTCTACAAGTAGAAATGCTTAGCGGCAAGCAAACATTTACGGCGAATAAAATCCTTTTAGCTTTGCCTTTGTCGTAGCTCATCTTACTGCAAAAGAATCTGATTAACTCCTACTGGCTTAGGTGTACCAGCTTCTCTCACAGCCCCATGCAAGTTCCTTCTTACTGATTTCTTAAGAACTCAATTATGCTACCTAGATGGCTACAAAAGATTGGCCTTTTGATATCAGGAGACATCCATAAAGGTTGTATTTGATTATCAATGGCGTTCAAATCATAGTAGATCATCTCATTTTCCAATCAGTATTGCAGTTAGATGATGCAAGTTAGTAGCAGTATTGGTGTCTTTAGCTGCTGATGTTGGCCCTTGGTGGATAGGATACAAAATGATTAGTTAGTTTGCTTCAATCATTATTTTCGTAACACTTCAGGAGGAGGCAGTAACTAACACCTGACAAGCAGATTTCACATTATCCTGTTTCCAGTTGATATAAAATAGCCCAAAGGAATGGATTTAGACATTTGTACCAACTTGTTGTGTAGATGTTTCAAATTGAAATAGGACAGAAATAGGTAAAGAAGGTCAAGGGTCTTGGTAAAGTTCACTGTCAGGTTTTCTTGAATCTCAAACTAGAAATCGCAGAAAGAAAACATTAGTAAGGGATAACTATGGAGTAGGCCACATAAGATGCTCTCTCTGTTCTAATTATATGTTCATATACTTCCTCCTGGAATGCTAATGTCAACAGCTCAATCCTTTCTGTCTCGTCGAGTGACTTGATCATTATTGCAGGCCTTATTGGAGATGCTATTTCCCAAATACTCAGGCTGTGATTTATGTGGTTGATTCAAGTGACACCGATAGAATTGGAATAGCCAAAGAGGAATTTCATGCAATTTTGGAGGTAAACTACAAGGACATTTTTTATATTAAATTTATTCAGCATATTGTTAATACATAGTACACTTGTAGGTGTAGGCATGTTGATGTTACTGTTGCCAACCAGTATTTCCTGAAGTCTTGTCTTGCATCTTGACAAATTTGCTCATGTAATTGTACCATTTCTTGTCTTGCATCTTGACAAACTTTCTCATGTAATTGTACCATTTTGCAGGAAGAAGAATTGAAAGGGGCCATTGTCCTCATTTTTGCAAACAAGCAGGTGAAACCATTTCTCTGTCATCTCTCAATACCATTTTATTTGGCTAGACTAAAGCTTGGATTTGCATCAGCTGTCCGATCTTGTTTCCTGATTTTACAGCCTATCGTCTTTGCTGATATTGCTACTCTCTGTGAGCAGGATCTCCCTGGCGCACTTGATGATGCTGCAGTCACCGAGGCTCTAGAGTTGCACAAGATTAAAAGCAGGCAATGGTCCATCTTCAAAACTTGTGCTGTTAAGGGCGAAGGCCTCTACGAGGGATTGGACTGGTGAGCATTTTCCAGCAGTTGATTGTCATTTATGGTCGCTCATCCAGACCTAGGGAACTCATTTACACGCTACCATAGATTAGGTGAATACTAGAAAGTAGATACAAACCTGATAAGAAGCTGGACTAACTACTAAGAAGGCCATCTCATAAGAACATTTCAGAGCAGAATCGGATGACTAATTTGCCAGCCTATTCAGGTAACAACGTAAATGACGGCATTGTTTGTTTGGCCTATTGAGTTTAGGGAGTTGGAACCTCAAGTGGAACTTAAGGAGTTGGAAGAGTTACTTCTACTACCCAATTTTCTGAATCTTACCTCTACTACCCATTGTGATCAAGATAGGAAGAGTTACCTTGACTCTTTGGATGAATCTCCTTATTACATCACTCTGATATTTTGAATTCTTGGTTACTTGCAGGTTGAGTAATACTCTCAAGTCAGGAGGTAGTTAAGCTTATTGTGAAAGTTGAGCTCAATGTTGTGTGGCAATGCAGAGGCCAAAGTGTTACAAAACTATCAGTAATTAATTTTACTCTTTTCTTGCCTTCCAATCTTCTGTTATACCTATTGTTGTATTCTTTTTAGTTTTGTTCCTGAAGAGTTCATGGCCTCCCCTCCCCCTTATTTCTTTAACTCCGACCTGTTATCCTTCAATTTTCTTAGAATAGAATCGTCGAGGTTTCGGTGAGCTTGTAATGTTATCAGATTAATACGAGTACTGTGGATAGGTTGCTGTTACATCCTCTAATCTGTGTCTTGCATTGCGGTTAGTGTTAACTGTTTAAAGATAGGCCGAGTGTCCGAAAGGAAAGGAATGAAACATACCCTCTAAAGTCTCTTAACATTACAGATTAATATAATGAACCTCTGTTCTCACTGTCGTCGGAGTTTTGTTGGGGATTCATTCATTTCACGGTCATTCGTTACAGCAAGCAAAACATGTCATTTTGATTTCTGCTGTGCATGCCAGCAACTCGAATCAAAGCGTCTTTGTCGACGACGATGAGCCGTATTTCTGCTGTCTCTGGTGAAATGCAGAGGGAAAGGCAATTTGGAATATTAGCAGACGATTGAATTCAAATATTCGAAACTAGGCAAAGTGGAGAGGAGGTGAAGAGAAGAAGGAAGGTCTTTCTTGTGACGGGACTTGGACTGGGCCTAGTATCCCGGGCTCCACACGTAAGCTACAAGCCTCTGGGCCTCTAAGTCCAAGAAAATCGAGCGCGGCCCAGTTGTGATTTAGACTTCCCCTGAATTGTTGCGTGTGTTACAGTGCATTAGTTTTGAAGCTCGATTCGGGTCGGACCGGGTCCAACCGGAGATTCAATAAGGGTTGTTTAACAACCTTCTCCGCAGATAAATTCCTGTCCTTTACTCGCCAACCCCGTGGCCCATCTCTTAGTTTTCTCCACGAGCCCAAACCTATCCCAAACCCGTAGGCCCACATCTCACGTGGCCACCGGGTCCCACACTTGAAAATATTTATAAAAAAAAAAACAAAAGATGGAAAAATCGAGTTTGTGGTATGGCTAAGCCCTGCGCAGAAGTGGCGATTTCTGATTGGTTGAGGCCCAGATCTCCCCTGGCCCACCAGATAGAAAACTGAAGCATATACTACTCTCTCTCCTCCCCTCCCCACTGTTTGAAGCTAACAGCTCAGCTTTTACTCACCACCACAAAGTCACAGCTCTGCTCCCCTTCTTCTTCACATAAAGGAAAGCAGAAAAAAAAAGAAGAAGAAGAAATACACATTAATGGCTTCCAAGCTCTGCGACTCCTGCAAGTCGGCGACGGCGGCTCTCTTCTGCCGCCCGGACTCGGCGTTCCTCTGCCTCAGCTGCGACTCCAAGATCCACGCGGCCAACAAGCTGGCGTCCCGCCACGCGCGCGTGTGGGTGTGCGAGGTCTGCGAGCAGGCCCCCGCTCACGTGACCTGCAAGGCCGACGCCGCCGCGCTCTGCGTCACCTGCGACCGGGACATCCACTCCGCCAACCCGCTCGCCCGCCGCCATGACCGCGTCCCCGTCGTCCCCTTCTACGACGCCGTCGACAAGTCATCCTCCGACGACGCAGCCGCAGCGGCGCCGCCCTGCGCGCTCAACTTCCTCGACGACCGCTACTTCGCCGACGACGCTGACGCGGACGATGACGTCAGCAGGGAGGAGGCCGAGGCCGCCTCCTGGCTCCTCCCCAACCCGCCGCCGGCGGGGGTGGGTAGCAACAAGGGCGCCATGGAGTCTCAGGATCTGAACACCGGCCAGTTCTTGTTCCCCGAAATGGACCCGTACCTGGATCTGGACTACGGGCCCGTGGATCCAAAAGTGGAGGCCCAGGAACAGAACAGCTCCGGGACCGACGGAGTCGTCCCCGTCGGAATTCATCATCAACCTCCGTTGATGAACGAGCACTGCTTCGACCTCGATTTCTCCGCCGCCGGATCCAAGGCTTTCTCCTACGGCTACGCAGCTCAGTGCTTGAGCCACAGCGTGCGTATTCCCCTCCCTCTGATTTCAATTTCGAATTTTCTTTTGCCTCTTAACTGAATCCCTAATTTTCCGGATGCCAGGTGTCATCGTCGTCGATGGACGTGGGAGTGGTCCCGGACGGCGGCAGCGGGACGGCGGACATATCGAACCCGTGCAGCAGAGTATGTGGAGGCGGAGGGATGAGCAACGGAGCCGAATCGGCGGCGGCGGTGCCGCTGTCGGCGGTGGACAGGGAGGCGAGGGTGCTGCGTTACAGGGAGAAGCGGAAGAATCGGAAGTTCGAGAAGACGATCCGGTACGCTTCGAGGAAAGCCTACGCGGAGACGAGGCCGCGGATCAAGGGAAGGTTCGCGAAGCGGACGGATATCGACGTGGAAGCCGACCGGAGTATGTACGGCTTCGGCGTCGTGCCGTCGTTCTGATACCCCCTTCCTCACGGAAAATTTTCAGTAATAAAGAAAGGAACTTAGTTTTGTTTTTCATCTTTTCCTAATTTTTGCAATTTCCGTTTTTTTTTAATATATGGTAGGGCGGGTAAAAGTTGTTTGTATGTAATAGCTGTTTGATCAACGGGAATAATTATAAATGACCGTTGATTTTGTTGGTTAATCAATTAATCTAAGATTAAGTCAGCCTAGTTTTTATTCAGATGGTTGTTAATTCCTACATAATTACTAGACCAAATGTCGTTAGCATGAATTTAAGTGGATTGAATAATTGGACATATCCTGTTTTCTTGGATGAGATTACTTGATATTCAATAGCTTGTGGGCCAATATCCAAAGATTGTTGTTGTTAGGCAACCTAAATGGTGGAGCTAAATTAAGCTTGGTTATGGTGTGTTGAACCTTGTAATTCGAAGTGAGTACACACGGTTTGACGGAACACAATTACGAACACGAGCGCTATTACGAAGAATAGAGATGAGATTTGTGGCGAGTTTAACAACTTCTCGGTTTGCACTCTCTCCCTCTCTTGAAGGACGACGAGTTTTTAGTAACATGGATGCGTGACTTAATAGCCCAAAGTCGTCGATCAACAATGTGAAAATGGTATTTTGTCGAGGATGCGTGACTTAGTAGCCCAAGTCGTCGGCAACCAATGTTAAAATGGTATTTTGTCGAAGTCGAAGAATGGTAGTGTAACAAAAAACATGGGGATCAGCATTTCTTTTCTTCATCCTCCCCACGTCCCATCACAGTTTCATTCTTCACTGTACTGAGAGTTGAAATAAAGATAAGAAGAGGGTGGTGAAGATTCGGCCGAGTTTTTATTCAGATGGGTTGTTAATTCTTACATTATCATTAGACCAACCGATATTAGCGTATTAACTTAAGTGGCCGGAGTTCCAATTTCTATTATGGCTTGTGGGTCAACCCAAAAACTGTTGTTGTTAGGCAACCTGATGGTGGAGCTGAATTAAGCTTGGTCATGGTATGTTGAGCCTTGTAATTCAAAGTGACAGTACACATTAGACGGACACAAAATTACAACTTACAAACGCGACCTATTACAAAGAATAGAGACGAGATTTGCAACGAGTTTATGGTTAGACTTCTCGGTTCGCACTCTTTCACTCGGAGGACGACTAGTTTTTGGTAACATAGATGCGTGACTTAGTAGCCCAAGTCGTCGGTCACCAATGATAAAATTGTATTTTGTCGAGGTCTATGAACGATCATGTAACAAAACCATAGCCAAGTGTTTGGGATCAGCCTTTCTTCTCGTCGTCCTCATCCTTCACGTCCCATCACAGTTTCGTTTTTCACTGTACAGTGAGATGAAATTGAGACGAGAAGAGAGGAAGACGGTGGTGAAGATTCTGATCGGGTCAAGTCGGCCGCCGCGATGTCGACAACGCCGATAAAAACAAAGAGAGAGAGCAGTGAGTAAGCTTCATTTCTGGTTTCTGAATCTTTATCTCTACTCCATTCTGCTAGTGACCACCGGGGTAGGGGCAAAGAAAGCAAGAAGACAACTCCGGCATCTTCTCCTTCATCCTCCACCACACATGTCACAGTCGGCGGTGACTCGGGCCGGATAAGAAAGCTGAAATACGGCTCACCGCATCGCTTTCCACCCAAACTACAGCTACAACAATGCCACCAGACTATCAACTTGCAGTGGCAAAGGAAGTACCAGGCCACCATTCACAGCCACACAGCTTACCTTTTTGTTAACACAGCCATCATCCCACCCACACATTCATTCAAGAAACCAAGGACGAAAACAACGATAATTAACAGGGGTCCTAGCCAACTACTCCCAACGACCCAGATCACAGTTTTCTTGTCTAGCAAGGTAAAAGGGAAAAAAAAGGAAAAGTACCTCCCATACACAGTTGCTGTTCTGTCTGTTCTAAATCCAGGAGGGTGAAGCATGCTGTAATACACATGATGAACACCTCCTAGAGAATAAGTTGACCGAGTTTCGCTTCTATCTCCTTTTTAACATTTTTTGGTCTGTATAAAGGGACCACTACGACTTATATATTTCACGGTTTCCACAAACCCTAGGCTACAACAACTTAACCTCGCCACTGAACTGAAACGATGCAGCCAGCGACTGCATTCCTTCGTCTGTGTCTGGGTCAGGGGTGTGAGTGCGAGCTGTTGCCGACTTGAGGGGGGTTGCTTCCTTGAGAGGTGGTACCACCACCGTGAGATACAGATGCGGCCAAGAAGCGAACAACGACGCATGTGATGTTGTCTGCACTGCCTCTCTGGTATGCCTCATGCAACAGCCTCTTTGACGCCTGCTCCGGGTCCTCGATGGGTTTCGTCATCTCAACAGCTTCCTGCAGTGACCATAAAAACCAAGCTTAAGATGCTAGTTTTGGGAAAGAAGAAACCCCTGTTTTGAGGGATATTAAGCAAACCTCATTAGTTACAACGTCCCACAATCCATCGCTTGCAAGGATGAGAAATTCAAGGGAGCTGTCAACTTTCTCTTCCTACAAAAGCCAAACCGCCCAAAGATTTTAAAGTCAAAAGTGTGTACCAGCAAGCTGACTATGACTGTAGGCAGCAATAAACATGTTACTCATGATGAACAAGGACTCCTCAGTAAATGAAGAAAGCCGTGTAATGACACCAACATCAGAAATGAGCAACCCTATGCCATAATGAGACCAAGACAAGAAAAACAAGAAGCAACTTAATAGCTCCACGAGTAAAAGGACAAGTGCTTCTACAGATCTTCATTAACATGTTACTCTTCCTATGTTCAGAAAAAGAGTTAAACTTCCGATACTAAGAAAATTTAGAGGAAAATTCCACTTTTTAATGACAAGACAAAAGGTTGAAAATCAAACCTGAATTTCTGGATCAGCAACAACATACTGCTTCAAGAGCCGATCCCCAAATGCCCGAGACACAGCAAGAACGCCCCCAACTCTCCAGGTGCCTGCAATTTTTGATTATAAAGCTATATCATAGCAAGATATTGATAAAACACAAAAGAAAGCATCTCAATGAAGTATAAGTAGCTACCTGCCCACATTACAAATCCTCCAGCATCTTCAATCCTTTGTCGTTCATCGGTTTGGTCAGGCTTGTGATCTCTAGAAACAGCAATAGCTGCACAAAATGATGACAACATTGGTTGCCTTAATAACCCTACGGCCATGGCTGAGAATAGAAGGAATAAAAGACATCTGAAATACAACAAAGGAAACCTCTCTTCAGCATTAATAGCTATATTTTCCAAAACGTCGAAATTCTACCGCTCGGAATTTGAGGACACCTCATATCAGCAGACAACATATCCTTACACCACCAGAAAAATCAGCAAACTTGTTGCCTAATTATCCACGGGCAAAAGGGAGCATGAAACAGGACATATAATTTCAGAAACCGTAGCACATATGCACTTGTTTCAAAGCTCTCAGTTATGACTGAGTCACTTGTTGCCTGATTATCCATACTCGTCTAATTATTAGTGCACAGAAACAAAACATACAGAACTCTAATGTGTACCTCAGGCATACATCCAACAACCCATGGGCCATGAAATAATAAGAAAAGTCCCGCCCAAGTCTTACCATTTCCACCCCGGCATATGACAGCTCTAGAGTCTCCGACGTTGGCAACAAGCAACCGGTCACCAACAAGGATAGCTGTGGAAGCAGTTGAACCAGCATCCCTATTCTGAGTAATTTCTGATTTCAGGAACTCCGAGTCAGTGTGGTTGTATGCATCAGCTGCAGGTGAAAGGGTCCATATTAAAAAAACAGATGTTAAGTTCTCGTAGCGACAACTAATATAAAAGAATGGAATTAGAGACTATCCTTCCCACTTCAGGTAGTCAAAGTACCTATAGCAGATTTGGTATCTGAAATGAACTTTGGGTGGTTGATCAGATTACTGAAAAGGTTTTGTTTCACATATTCAGCAGCTCGTGCTCCTCCATGACCTGAAAGGTGATCCAAAGAACTGATCATTTATAAAATGCCATGACCTACAGAAACATGAAACTTACAATAACCAGCGAAAAAACAAACAACCATAAAAATGGAAAATGTTAATATCCATGCAAAAAATTGAGGAAAATGTTAAGATAATAAGTAGAATCAACTTAAAGATACCAGAGTTTACTATATTCAACCCACAAGTGCCAACCAACAGCAGTTAAGGCATTACCACAAGGAAATGGGATTATTTTCAAAAGATATTCCAGCTATAAACTAACATTAAAAGGTATCCCAATCCAACATTGTGGTGACAGATAAAAATGGACAGGACAACAACAAAAGGACACATTTATAATCTAAATACGAAAATGAACACTGAGAAGAAAAAGAGGGAGCCAGACCATAAAATAATAGTATAAAAAGGATAATGAATTAATGATTGACCTGATTAGTGCCATTTCACACACATTAATACCCACCCCAGGAAAAATTACCCTAGATGGCAGTCTAAAGTTAGACTCACGAAATCGGACAAAAGGCTAAAATGGTAAAGTGCCAATGTACAAGCCATATTCTCAAACACATTACGTCAGCCAGAATAAAAAAGGGCCAAAGGATTATAAAAGAATCACCATCAAAAACTCCAAAAAGACCAACTATCTCCCCGTCAACGCCATCAATTCTTGTCTCGTAAAAGTCTTCCATGGAAGATCTTTTCCCTGGCGAGCTTGCATATCCATAGCTGAACTTCCCATTCTGACTGTCAAGGATGAAAAAGGAAGAAAAGGAGACAAACTTGGTAAGGTAGCTAATAAAATTTTGTGGAAAACATTTGATTCCATGCAACACCACCACAAAAGTGTTGCACCCAGCAACAAAGTCTAATATTATGTTATTGCTTTGCATTGCATTCAGCATCACTGCTAAAGGTGCTCGGAACATCTAGCCCTATTGCATCATCCCAGTATGACACAAATTATGATTGATGCTAGAACGTAAAATTAAAGCACAAGTACTAAGTAACTTTTAACTTGCCTATCCAGAAATCAGTAGCAACTGACAAAGGTGGTTGCTCCAGATAATAGAGCAATTCCCAGACCAATTATATTCACCAATGACAAAGGTGGGTTGCAATAAAATTTATATCGAGATATTTGCATCAGCAAATACCATTTCAGTTTCTCTCATCATTAAACAAGTGTCGAATAACAGAACATACGGATTGGGATATGCTCTACTGTTGGAAAAAATCAAAACAAAGCTTTCCAAAGGGACGCAAACCGACAAATGGTATGTACGTCATCGAAAAAATGACAGACATGCAGTGTGCATGAACGTCTTACTACAGTTCTTGATTCTATTTTTTTCAGGAGAACTAGATATCAAGACTTCTACCATATTAGGGCAAGCTTTCCTCTGTCCACCGTTCTTTATATATACTCTTTCCGTAGGTTCATTAAGACCCTTCTTAGTTAATGAACTATCACTAATAAGAAAGTCTTCAATAACACCTTGTAAGAACATGAAACCTAAGCAAACAGAAATCAAGGCGTGAATGAGCTTCTTAACAAAGACCACCTAAGTGAAAATTCTCTGCCCATCAAACTAGACCATTGATTCTTTCATACTCCTTCAGGGAGAACATGCCATGGCAAATGCACCTCCAAGAAAACACAAGAATCTATTTGCTTATGTAAGACCATGTCATTTCAAAAGCAACCCACACCAACAAATCGTTCTCTGGCTCCCTTAAAAGGAAGAAGAACCAGAACAGTAAGATCCCTCTATATGAAGAAATGGATCCTTAGCAAACGGCTCAGAATCGACTTATAAACAGCATCAAGACTCCCAAAACTGAACACAACATCAAGGAAAGCAACAACAAAACCACAACAACGTAAGATGATCTGAGAGAACATACAGCAGGTCAAACAAACCACTTGAGCAATAATACATGACAAGGTTTCAGCCCCAGGCGAGCACTACGACATAGATCTAAAGTCAATCATATCGTCATAATAAACAACTTCGAAATGGATTGTGGAATGAGGGGGAACAAACAAACCTGAGACCACCCCCGCTTACAGGACCATCCTCCGCATAAACCTGATTCGAAGACGAGAGCACCGAATTGAGATAACCCATATCGTCGTCAACCTACTCAGCAACAATCAACTTCCCCAGCAGCTATCCCCCTTGATTGACACGCGAAATAGAAGAAGAGAAAAAACAAACAACAGCAAAAGCAGCAGGCGGTTCTGAAAACGATAGCAGATTAGTAAAACCCCCCGTTAGATTCTATTCTTCTGTTGACATTTTCAATAAGCATCGTCGAGCTCCATCCTGCACCAGACAAGGACCCCCCAAAATGTCAAACAAACAATCACACGATAAAACCTGATCAGGGAACCAAATTCCATGAACGAATCGGCATTATTGACGAACTTTCAACAGATAAAAAGAATCAAGCATACATGATCATGCAGGGAGCGAATCTATGATGCATGATATGGGTTTTCGTTTTCCTTTCTGCCTCTTCAATCAATCAATCGGAGAAACAAACAGAAGGAGGAGGTGGAAGAGTGAGTTTGTGAGAGGGAGGAGGGATAGAAATGGGGGAAATGGCATAAGCGACAGCGAGGGAATTCAGGAGACTGCTAGAGAAACAACGGGGTGCGAGGGCGTAAGCAAAATTACCGAAAGAAACCCTCTTCCTCCGGCAGCCGAAAGAGGAGAAAAAAGGGAGAAAGGAGCAAAATTGATGATGGTGGTGGAGGTGGTGATTCTGTTTTTCAGTTTGGTTTTGGCTTGTCCTTTTCTTCTTCTTCTTCGTTCCATTTTATCATTTCATATAATTTTTATTTTTTATTTTCGTCTCGTGGTGATTACTGATTAGCGATAATTGATTAGTGATTAGGTAGGTGATTTGTTGGCACAATAACGCAAGAAATTAACAAACACCATGATATTAAAGTCCTATGATAACCTAACCGGTCAATCTACCACCATCTTAAATTCTAAATCATCTACATTAGCATTATGAATTATGATCAAAGCAGTAATAGTAAACACCACAATTATATTGAGTTCAACTTAGCTAAATAATATTTAGCTACTTTTCATACTCGACGAGGACAGAAAATTTTACTAGATTAGATCAAATATAAATGATATGACTTTTCATCGTTATATCAAATACGTGCACGCACTTATCAATATACATATAGTGCAGCTACTAACGACGAGAGAAATAAAGATCAACTTACTCCCCTCTGAGAATGAGTTAAGGTGGCAACTAAAAAAATGATTGTCACCGTGGCAACCTACATCTGTACCATTATTTTTAATCTAACCGTTATAATTAATTAGAGGTAGCTTTGGAAATAATAATATATCACACCTGATTATCCTATATATTGTAGGCAAACCCTACCGCTACTCCCTTCCCACCATCAGCCGTCCACCCCTCCCTTCTCTCTCTCCCTTCCCCTTCCCGCCGACCGCTCACCCTCCACCAGCCTCTCCCCTCCCTTCTATACGGCAGTGTAGTGACCATATTGTCGAGGATAGCCTGCATCGTCGTGGCCGCCGTCTCCTCGTTGACTCTGCCGTGCCCGTCCCGACAACCCCACTTGTACGGATCCTCCTCTTCGAAGGAGGCGATCGTCGCCATTGTCATCGTCAACAGAAGAAGAAAGATGGACAGTAGTAGTACTAGTGCCGCCATGGCTAATGTATTAGTGAATTGGTGATTGCTCTTTATGTTATATGAAGGGTTTGTGTAGATCTCTATTTAAATGCAGTGGAAGAGAGTTTGGAAATGATCAATTGACAGCCCCTTCTTCTTGTTCCTTCATCTTAGATGATATCGATAAAACACTACGCCATTTTGTTTGATTTGCATAGACAGAGGAGGACCAGGGTGCAAGTCTTCTCCAATCCATCTTCGATTGGTTCAGTTTTGATATGGTATTGGGTTTGTTTTTATTATGGTATTCATTTGTTTCTTGTAGTGGTTTTTATGTTGGTGTGGAATGGTATTTATTTGGTCTTCACAGTGGTGGTGATTTGATTTATGGAATGGTATTGTTTTGTTTTTATTGTAGTAGTTGTGCTTATTGATTTTGGTATTGGTTTGATTCTTATAATGGTATAGATTGTTTATATTGGTAGTTTTTGCCGTGTAATGGTACTATTTTTTCTGTAGTTGTATTGGTTAGTCTCGATCGGTTGTATTGGTATAGTTTTTTTTTATGTTTTGGCATTGATTTCTTGTTTTATTTCTATAATGATATTGGTATTTCTGGAAGTGGTCAAGCAACTCATTTTCAATATTGAATATCAATCCATCGAAACATATATACACTAATAACACAATGTAAACACTACCAATAAAATTTAGCATAACTACCAAAACAATAAGCATCAGAATACCATTCCTACCCAATGTAAACACTACCAATAAAATTTAGCATCACTACCAAAACAATAAGCACCAGAATACCATTCCTACCCTTAGTAGCCACGGTGATTACAAAAGTGGTACTCACCGTAACCGCTCCTCTCTGGGCTTGATTGTGCCACGTGTGCTTCTCGTGGACGTAGACTGCATGGACGAAACCCTATTTTACACTTTGTCATTTCCTTGTTGGCATTCATGACGTTACGATGGTGACTGAATGATTCGATAGCTTACATCTCTATATGTAAGTATGCTATGTTTATCGAGACGATTCTTGGATGACAGTGTCAAAGGTTTCCTCCTAGTATATATAGCATGGATAGTCACAAAATTTTCAGAAGGAACCGAGTATATCACTTTCGGTTCTGCATTTTCTGGTAATTATCCGTCGAAAACGGTCAATATATATATATATATATTTTTTTTTTTACAAAAGATAATCATTGTATTGATTCGAAGAAAAGATAGCTACATCCTGGAATTAAGCCAGACCATAAAATCAAAGAAGCGACTCATGGTCGGGTACAAAGTAATTAAGGGCCTTTATAGCCATCAAATTGGCTACCCTATTGCTATGCTGACCTACAAACCGCACAATAAACTCACTATTGATTAGGAAAATAATGCTCAACCTCCTTTAGAATGGCCCCCACGTCCGATTGTCGCGAGAATCCGCCCTAAGGATCTTATCAATCACCACCTTAGCATCACCTTCGAATCTTGTCACCGAAAAATCCAAGGCCGAGACACCGAAGAATGGCTTCGCGAAGAACAAGGAGCTCAACAAACCATAGGATCATCAATATCCGAAAACTGCACCCCTTTAGCCGAAAGAATTGCCCCCATCGTGATTCAACACAACAATTCCTTCCTGTCGAGTGTCTGAGATCCACTCTTCGTAGCCCCATCCCACATACAGACTATTGAATCTGGATGAGTATCACCCACTGATTTGGTGAGACCTATATATCTTAGGTCGTGGTAAGTTATTTGACCCTTCAAACTAGATGACTAATAATATTCTCTTGTTGGGTGTAATTAGTAGACTAATCTCAACTACAAATACATGAACCAAAATGACCCCAAAAAAAAAAAAAAAAAGACAGAGAGAAGAAGGAAGAGGTGAACCCGCCGGTTTCTAGGGCAAAAAAAATTAAGGCGAAGGTAGAAGTCAAATGGCATTTGCCCCTAACCCTATCTCTTCTGTGCCAAGTAAGCGTTGCGTGCGTGGAGCTTGCTTTCCACGAGGACACGTGGCACTCATGCACCACCACCATACGCCACTCCTAATAAAAGCCATACAACCAGCCTTGCGAGTCACGTTACGTTGTTGTGCCCATTTCATCATCATCCTCGAGATATTATTGTCCGTTTCGACAAGCCACGCAACTGAATTTGCTCCACCGGAGCTCCGGTGATCGGGCCGGCAGTACTAGGGGCCGGTGCAAGCAGCCCGGTGTAGCTGGACTTCGATCCTTTTTTATTATGTCGGTCGATACCATATCGATTTCCATCGTTAGATGAAACCTTTTAGTAGCATGCTACAAATACGATGTCGTACCGAATTTCATCACTAGACAGTGCTTTTTAGTAGCATGCTGCAAATTATAAGTCAATCCCAAAATTAAAGAAGGTTCAAAATGAATCTTATAGCACCTTCTTATCGTATTAAGAGACCCGATATGTACATTAATCCGGTATATAATAGATGAACAATCGATGTATAAGTACGTGGGGTAAGGTTGTTGCAAATTCCTCGAGTGTATACACAGATTCAGATTCCTAACCAGTGAAATCAGCTTAAAATATTCTGTGAGATCTCGAAAATGAAGCTTTGACAACGCCATAGGGGGATGGATGACTTGTGGCTCTGCTGCCGCTGCCGGCTGATTATTAAATCCGCAATTGCCACCGACCAAAACCAGAGGGTATTTATTTCGTTTTATTATTGATTCCTCAGCTTCATTTTATGGACCAAAACCAGGGTACTTGATGTTTGACAATTCATTTTCCGTACCACATGGCTTAATTACCAATTACTTCCCAACATATCAGCAGCTTTTGCAGCCTCAATTCGATACTAGGATATTCATGTAGTTGGGCTACTTACATTGCTACAACATTATGGGGATCAAGCTTCGAATAACTCGTAAATATCCGAACCTCCCTCCTTGTTGATTCAATCAACAACGAGGAGATGCACATATATCGATGTAGACAATGATCGGGGAATGTTGACCAGATATCCGACCCTCCCCCCTCGTTGATTCGATCAACGACGAGGAGATGCGCATATATCGACGTAGACAATGATCGGGGAATGTTGAACATTCCCCGCCTTCATCTGAATCAATTTCCCCCCATTCAGAGTGTTAGCGAAGTACCAGAATGCAGCCAGCCACATGTGATTTACATCTTGGTCAAAACTCTACCAAGTAAGATTTGAAGAACGCTACCTAACCGAAACTCTTGACTAAAGAAAACGCCTACCATTTGCCATTTTTGTGACTAGGAATCGAACCTCTATAGTTTCAGCTTGCTCATCATCTAACAGGGTCACTGTATCTGGATTTTGATCCCAGCTTATGCAGCAGTTTGGAAATACAGATGAAATGAGTCTCCGGAACTCTACGGCTAAAATGCATGACAAATGCTGATATCACGTCGGCCGAAAATTGGTGGAACTCGGGCTTCACCGCCATTCGTATAAGCATTGCTGTCCATACCTCGGGAGCCATCTTGATTGCCCGAGAGAGATATCGAAACCCATTCGCCACCCTCGTTACCATTTTGTGTTCCTGACATACAAGATGGCAAAATCTTCTTTTAAGAGAGGAAGGAAAATCGGAGAGAGGGTTGTCATGAGAATGTTTAAGGACAAGGAATACCTCGGATCCGGATGGTTGTGGTTGTAATTCAGGATGAGGGTTGTCGTCGAAGCTGTGGCCCACTACTTCATCTTGAATGAAAGCGTCAGCTGCCTTGATCATATCCCTAAGGAGGAAAACGCGCACCCTTGATCCTTTTTGTGATAGAACAAAGAGGAGAAGGTCCTCTGTTGCACTGACGACAGCACGCATATCAAACGATTTCCATCCCAGTGGATTTGGAGAACCGTCTTTCGAATTAGCAGCTTCTCCGGTAGCTGATCCTTGGGATATTGCTGCCATCTGACGAGTGAAAATAAGAACAAAGTGCCAACTCTCAAGTTGTTTCTCACAAAAGAGATGAATGGACAATACAGATTTCATCCAGAGGCATAACTGGTTAAAAATACATGAGTGGGACTAAAATCACATACCAGGCGTTCCAGTCTGTTCCATCTGATGGATCCATCATTGCAGATCAGTAGTTGCCTCAAGATTCTCCGCATGTCGGGACTTGGGTCAGCCAAGAGCCTGCCAATGACGAAAGGATATGCACTCTCCACAACTTTGAAGTTGGGATCTAGTGCCTTTGCTGTGCCTTCAAGTGATCCAAGGGCCCTTATCACGAGAGCATAGTCTGGAGGAAGGGAGAAGTTGAACTCGTACATAACATCGTATAGTTGGTTCATTATTCCCTGGAAAAAGAAAACACAAGCATTAAAGTGCAGTTTCATTTTCCAAATTCAGTAAAATCTCTAGATATGATGATGCAACCCAAATGCAGTTGTTGTAAAACTGGGGTGATCTCAACTTAATGAGAAAATCAGGAGAGGACTAATCAGTTAAGTTCTTTAAAATCGCCATATCTTCATCTTCTTCATAAAAAATGTGTGATAATAATACTAATACATCCACTTGTCCCGACCTCAAAGTCTCTTGATTGTCTTGAACCATCCCCAAAAGACGTTCGCAATGCATCAGCGACTGCTCTTATGTCAACCCCTTCAGGGATAAATCCCAGAGAAAGGAAGTCATTCGCCAAACCCAGAGAGTCACGGTTAACAAAGTGCACGAGCTGAAAGAAATACAAAACTGTCAACAAACACAATGCTTCAGTTCCAATGAGGAGCAGAAAACACTAGATCAGTTTCATAAGGGAAATGACGTTCAATCATTCATCGTCGCCACATCACAACCTAATCGATAAGTTTCTCTGTTATGAAGCAAAAGGGGGAAACTCTTTCCCAGCACACAAACATGTTAAAATTGACATAATCCCAAATAAACATACAAAGGTTGCATGCTAATTTCAGGGACATCTATGGGCAAAAAAGTGAGGATGAATACAAAAAAGAGTTCAGGAAATAGATATTCACAAGGATAACAGAAAACTATGCAAATAGATTGCGGAGCTACCATGACGCATTTGTAACAACATTTTGTCAACAGTCTTTAGTGAGAATGGTTTCCAAACCAGAAATAAAGCGAACACAGCCCACATGCGGTCATGCGGACCTTGACTAGGAGGCACCAAGCAAAACCATTTTATGGCAGGTCTAGTAAAGCAGTAGGTAAACTCTAGAGGTGGGAAAAGCAGAAGGTAGGTAGATTACTCGGGAAGGGAAAATAGAAGATTAAGTAGTAGGTACTAGGTGGATACCAAAAGGGAAGGTGCCATAGGAGAGGGTGTGCCTTCGTCATATATATAAAGAAAACTTCTAACCAGTAACCTATGCACTTGGCTTTATATTACTATTGATGATCAAACAACTCAATAATGCACAATAATTCCTATGAAGCTATCAAACTAGCAAAGTATAAAATGAAATCGGAAAAAGACGATAATTTTAAACAGCCAGTACCACTTGAATAAGTCCCACACGATAAGGCCGAGGAATATCTCCCATCATTCCAAAGTCAAAATAAGCAAGATGGCCGCTGTCTGTAGCAACAAGGTTTCCTGGATGGGGGTCAGCATGGAAAAATCCTACTTCAAGCAATTGCCTCAATGAGCAGTACAATCCCTGCAAAACATAATTTAATAGAAGAATTCCATTCACTGCCCAAACATATCCGAAGCAGAAAGAAAGAACTCGACTTGTTGACCCCTTTACCTGGTCAATCAGTTTTCTTCTGTCTAAGCAAGCTTTGCTTAGACGTGCTTCATTAGTAAGCTTGATCCCATCTATCCATTCCATTGTGAGCACAGCTTTGCGTGTGAGGTCCCAATATATTTTCGGAACTTTTACATAATTTTCATTCTCGTCCACAACTGTTGTAGCTGTAACAATTTGATATGACAAAACATCACATAGGGAAACATGACGATGCAATAATGATACAGTCACATAGTTCTTATCATGTTGAAGCAAGTGGAGGTCACCATTTGAGTACACAGTATTCTGCACATGTTCATAAAACTCCCTAAAAACTTAAAACGAAGCTAGTTGCCACCCTTCAACCAAGCAAAAATTGGAAGAGCACTAGAATTTGCAATTCCATTTGATATGTGCAGTCAACTGGACAAAAACATTGCAAAAGCCCAGAACCCAACCTCCCTCCTGCTCCAAAAGAAAAGGAAGAAGAAAAAAAAGAAGTCCGGCGAGTTTTGATAATACCGAAGAGCCAGACTAATTGTTTTCAGGAATTCCGGTAATACTAATTGAACAGACATAGTAACCACATTTATACGACCGGATCTAATGCCAGACTGTCGCCACAGTAGAGTTGAATGACAAATACGTTACATAATGAAAGTTCTTGTTATGTTTCTTCCTTGAGATTTGAAGAACTTACAGGCTTCACAACCATAAAGAGTAGCAAAACGTTCAGCATTTTTTGCCTCAAGGATGTAGTCAATCTCATCAAACATGTGCCTGACCTGATCAGCCAAAATAGACCTGAAGAAGTCCATAAGCATGTAGAATTATGATGTAAAGAAGACTAGAAAATAGTGATGCAAATGAGAGATGCAATCCAATAACGGACTCTAGAGCAGCTAAATGTGTCTCAATATATATATTGATGTGCCTATATGCAAGCTTCAGCACAGGATGCAACCATCTTGGTGTTCTAATAACTGGAGGATGGACATGTACATTTACTTTACTAAGTAGACCGGAACCAGCGATTCTGTGGGGTTGACTTGTTTTTGCTCTTTCAAGGTGAAACTATATACAAACTCCTTTAGAATATATAATTGTCACCAGATTTCTATAGTTGTAACAGTTCTCGAAATGTAAAGAGATAACAGCTATTAGTTCGGAAATAAACTAGCTACAAGGGAAGGTTGAGCATATTGCCAAACATTTCTAACTAATTGTAGACTAAAAATAGTAGTGCAAGTTACAAATCGGAATGCTCACCATCTCATTTACAGCCACCAGCAGATCCTTGCGAGCCTTAGCGAAGCGCTTCAACTGTCCCCCAATCATATTAAATAACAGGGCATCAAGGGTTAATGAATATGACATCCCAGGCCTCTGCACTTTGACAGCAACAAGCTCGCCAGAATGCAAATGAGCTGCAATACTTGAAACAATAATTCAAACATTTAACTCCTGCCAGACCCAACTGTTACTCATCTTATGACATGGGATAGGAGAGAGCACTTTAGATAAACATCCTGCCGTAACCACCAGGATAAGGACAATGAGCTGTTTTATTCAGTTAAGTTAACTACATCCATTTCATGCAGAATACTTATCTAACCTTTATACACTTGACCCAATGAAGCTGAAGCAACAGGTTCTGGACTGATGTCAGCAAAGATTTGTGTAATAGGTCGGCCCAACTGGGACTCGATAGATCTAATGGCAACTTTAGTAGGAAAGGGTGGTATTTGATCCTGGTACGATAAGGAAATAAATTGTGAGAATGAAATCTTAGACTGTAGCGAACCGTGATAATATCCTATATGCAGGAAGGATACATGAAGAAAGAGACATAGGTACCTGTAACTTAGCAAGCTCTTGGCAGTATATGGTTGGCAGTACATCTGGCCTGGTACTAAGAGCTTGCCCAAGCTGTAAATTTCAATGAGTAGTACCATTACCATGTGTCAAAACCGAGACCATATACTCTACAGAACAAATAAAATTTCTGAATACTGAAATAACTCTAGAAGGAATTTAGCATATGAAACAAGACCGGTAGCTTTCCATATCACAATTCACAACAACACTAGAGTTGGCAGACGAGCAATACAGATTGATTGAGTTTTTAACCTACAGCCAAGATAACGACCACTACCATCACTGCGAATGAGAGAGTAACAACAAGCCACTTGCCTTGATGTAGAAAGGCCCCAAGCTGACTAGAGTCTCACGAAACTGCAACAAATTGCATAAGTTCACATCAATTTCGGAAAGCCAACTCAAGAAAATATCCAACACAAGAGAATTGAAGTAGTTGGTGTCAGATGTCTCTGTAACTTAAACTTGAAATCTTTATGCAAGCACTTTCTGCAACTCTTTCCATTTGATAATGTAATTATCATCAGTCGTATATAGCAGGGCACATATGCTTAGGAAAAATGATCATCTCTGCCCAACCCGATCCATGCTCATGCAACAAATGTAAGTTCTACTACGAGACAGCTCTATGGCAAGGCTACACTATCATATAATGGTTGCCAGGTAGCTCATTTTATACAAAGAAAAGGATGGACTCATCCCTCATCTTCATTGAACTCTTGCGTGCATGGTTATTCCTTCAATTTTCATGAAACCTGTTTATTCTGGAATATGTTACTCAAGTAAATACAACTGAACAAGGGGAAATTCGATACAACCACCACAACCGCTGCAAACACAAGCTTTGACTCGACACTCGACAGGCATATAACTAAGATTAAGCATCTGAAACTAAAAAACAAGAAAGCATGTTCATACCACGATGGCACGTTTTTTCATATCCTCGACGAAAAGTTGCCAAATGGTTAACTTGAAGAGATGATATGAGATGATTGCAGCTCTATATATCGCCAGAAATGGACCAAATCGATAGATATGAGAAGCCTTGCTGGAGCTGTAGGTACCAAGAGCCTGCCCAAATTCACTTTCCAGTGACTCTTTCCTCAGTTTTGCATACTTCCCAGAAGGCTTCTCGCCATGAACACTCGTGAAGGCCGTGGAGAAGCTATACCAACAAAATTTGACGCTTAAAGATCCGAAGCTGGCACACTATCCAGATTTTCATATACTCTACCCAGATACAAAATTCAATAGTTTCCTACAGCTCAAGAAGGGAGTGTTACTCACAGCCTTTGCTGGAGGAAGCATGCCGGAAGCTTAATCTCCATGATTCCCCGGTATGCCAGACCCTTACTAGAATTGCCGAGAGGAGCCAATGCAGAACTCTCATGACGAACAACTGCAAGAAGAACACAATTCGCACACTGTAAGACAGTAAATTGAAAATTGGAACTCTCCTACTGAACAGGAAATTACAATTCGAGAACGAGAGATAGTAAGAAGCGAAAACCAAATTGCTTACTGCGGGAGGAAAGAAGCGTAATCCGGCGGTGACGCTTGAGAATTCCGACCACACTCCTCATTGGCGCTACGAGATCGAAACGAAGATACCAGTAGAAGAAGAATAGTATCTCGCGCTAACCGTCAACCGGCATCCTTTCGCACAACAACCGTTCGTGAAAATGCCCCAAAGAACAAACACTGCTCCCCCCGCGGGGAAAAAGCCACGCACAGAAGGATTGTGGGAGTATCTGTGAAGCGCCCGCCACTCAACTGTTTCTATCCATTAACAGACGAGCTCGCGCATGAAGAAGAAGGAAGAAGAACAGTGGTGCTTGCAGGATACGTATGGATCGCTGCTTTGTAATTTGAGAGTGCGCCAGAAAACCGCCACGTTACCCATATTCGGCGACACCTCGCAGCACTGCAATGTGTCGCTGAGCCAGCGACCGACGGGAACGGGATCACATTCCCCAGCGCCCGATAGGGGAACGTACTTTCACTTTGGGCCGAGTAAAGGCCCAACAACAATAAGCCCAAAATTACAACATACCCGGCCTTAATTTGAGCTCTATTGACCCGGCCCAGTACCCGACTCCGGCCACCGCCCACCAGAAGTCCAGAACTCTCTCTTTGCTCTCCATTTGCAACGTTGCACTGTCTTACTGTGGAAGCATCGAAGGAGGAAAGTCGTTTCCTTTTCTTGCAAAGGGAGCGATCGCCGATAAACCCTGATTTCTGAAGGGGTTAGCAGTTCCGTCGATTGTTCTTGCCGGAAGAAATGGCTAGGGACTCAATGCCGCGACCGTGGTTCCTCGATTTGGTGCCATTCATCGTGGTTGTGCTAATAGCAGCGCACGTCCTCGCTCTGGTAGTCTCTCGTTAACTGAGATTTCAATCGTTTTTTTGTGGGATTGGGTAAAGTTTGAGCTCGATCTTCTGATTCTTTGAACTTTCGTTTGGTATTAGGTGTACTGGATTTACAGAGTAGCAACTGAGAAAAATCCACTGAGGAGGAAGGCACATTGAGCGAGCGTCTTCCCAGGTTTGTTCGTTTCCCTCACTGCTTTCCCCTCCTCGTCACTAGTTGGCCGAAATTAGTGTTTCTTATAGGAAAGCATGAGAAGATGTAGCAATCGTTTCTACCGCTATGTTAGGAAATTTTGTTGGTGATTGTTGAATTGAGGATTCCTCTGTGGAGATCTGAGCTATTGTTGAGAATTTACAAGGAGGAATTGGACTTCTGATTGCTAATTATTAGTTGGGATTGAGATCTTGCAAGCATCATGATTGATGTGTCCATTTTGAAGCATCGTCTGTTCCTTCAATTCTGCTGATGGATTAAGTTGAGGCATTATTAAGTTGTCGGATGAGATACACGTCTTTCAGCCGTCATAAGTCATGGGAGAGATGAAGCAGATGATGAATGGTTATTGAGTTGGATCGTAGATATCGGGGAACTGAATGTTTGTGAGGAAGAGAGGTGCTGGCTTATGTTTACATCATGAACCTACAAATTTGCACTGATCTTGTTACCGTATTATTCCCTGAGTGAAATAATGATGTCTGATGGTGTTGTATCTGTTTCTCTGGGGTTGTTTTCTCCTTCTCTTCTATTTGGAGAGGAATTTGTAGTAAACTCCACAACTGTTCTTGGAGAGTTTTCTCCTTCTCTTCTATTACAAAGAATTTCAGCTTCTTAATCTATGTTGTATTGCAACACCTTCCTCATAAAAGTTATGCATAAGAGAAGTAGGAAACAAATAATCCAGATGAATGAGCAATGGCACTACTATTGTGAGAAATATTCAGAAGTATCTGCCTAAAGGTTATGCATTTGTGTGAAATCATTTGTTATTTTGGAGAGTCTGAATTGGGAATCAATTAGAAAGTACTTGAAATTTTGGAATCCCTTGACAAATTTCATCCTTGCAGTTGATGATTCGTACTTTTATTTAGTTAATCACTATCTGGCAAATCAAAGTTGAGCTAGTGGCAGAGTAGAGCCCTGTCGAAATATGTGTTTTGTAGGTGTTGGCATATTTTTACATCATGGAACCTACAAACAGGGCCTGATCTTGTTACTGTATATTATGCCCTGAGTGAAATAATGATGTCTGATGGTATTGTAGCTGTTTTCTCCGAGGTTTTTTCTCCTTCTATTCTACTTTTGAGAGGAATTTGTAGTAAACCCACAACTGTTCTTAGAAATACAAAGATTTTTTTCTTCTTAATCTATGTTGCATTGCATCACCTTCCACTTAAAAGTTAAGCATAAGAAAAGTAGGAAACAAATAAACCAGACGAATGAGCAATGGCACCAGTATTGTGAGAAATATTCAGAAGTTTGTGCCTAAAGATTATGCATTTGTGTGAAATCATTTGTTGTTTTGGAGAGTCTGAATTCGGAATCAATTAGAAAGTACTTGAACCTTTCTGAATCCTTTGACAAATTTCATCCTTGCAGTTAAGGATTGGCACTTTTATTTAGTTAGTCACCTATACTGTTCTTGATAGAAAGATCTTGTACATCTCTTGTAAACTTCTGCACCATCATCCCTTATTGTACTGTCGACCTAGTTATTTCACAAGATCAGTCCCTAGTTAATGTTGGTGAAAAGAATTTTGTTGAGGAAAGCGTTGTACTAGTGCTCATCTGAATGTCTGATATGTCATCTCCAAGTGGAAGTCTGCATTTTGGTTTCTGTAAAGAGATCATCTTTGCCTTGTACATTGTCATCTAGATTTATCTGTCTTGCATAACTCGAACTGAGATCAAAGGTCTTACTCTATTTGCAGGCAGTTGCTGGTTGGACTCGAACGGAGTTGAGTCTGGACACGAGAATATACACACGGTTGTACAATGCTGTGTACTTTTTCCACAAGCTGTAGCCTACTTTACCCCGGTTCGTCTGTTGATCTTCTTCTCTTTCGTGGTCTGTGGCTATTGGGGTTGTACATACTCACTCTCCTAGGGTACCTGTTTCAGACCTGTCACGATTGATCGATAAATTTGACGGGCTGATAACAATATCGTAAGTTCATTAACTCTCAATTGCTTCTATTTGTCAAGGTATCATTGTCATTATCAAATTAGGACTACCATTAGTCAGAACGCGAATCACATAGACGACGAGAAAGCAAAACTTTTACTACTACAGACACTAGCTAGATTGATTCAATTCTGGTAATTATTCATTGCTGCCGCCGGCGAGCCATTGACCGCTCGGCAATTCCTCCTGACCTCCCCCGGCTGACCGGACTGCAGATCCCCCAACTTGATCATCCCTTCCGCAAACGCCTGGAAAAACGCCTCCTCATCTCTGCTGAACTCCTCCACGTACGCCCTCGTCTCCGGCGAAGTGTACAACGTCTGGTCCGAATTCAAAACCCCTTTCCCGACAACCAAATCCTTGAAGTACAGGTTGTCGAACACCACCGGCGTCGAATCCAGCCCGCCCGTCACATTCTGGTATCCGTTGACCGGACAAAGCTGCATCAGCTTCTCCCTGAACCCTGGCTCGATCGCTGCTTCCGGCTGCCTCGCCCCTGCCTGGTCGTCGTACAGTCTGTGAGTGATCGAGAAGCACCGAGCTCTGCCTATCGAGTGCGACCCTGATAGGGCGACGAGATCTTTGACGGAAAGGTTGAGTTTGGCAAAGAGGTCGATCAGCGTCGTGGCGTTGGCTCTTGGGCTTGGCATTACGGCGTCTGAATCGGCTCGACTCGCCGTCAAGCCGTCCAGCCTTCCTAGCTTCACTTCCCACCGGGGACCTCCTGTCTGTATATTAACAGTTAGACTACACACACATACATACTCTGTTTTTGCAGAGGGAAAAACAGAGCATACCAGGGAAACGGCATCGCGGGCCGCCATGATGACGATGTCGGCACAGGAGACGACTCCAGGGCAGGACTGCTCAAGCTCCGCCTTGATTTTGTCGATTACTTCGAATGATCGGAGTGAATTGATGTTGGCGAGGGCGAGCTTCTCGCCCGCCATGGTTGGAGTGTCGTCGAGCAGCAGTGAACCGTCACACCCCTGGTTCAAATATGAAATTCGTTGAGAGTTTTCAGGAGACAGAAAAGTTTGATTATCATGATGATGATGAGTAAGTTATGTACATTGACGAAACAGTCATGGAACTGTAAGCGCAGGACGGAGGCGGCGCTGCGTGGTTCGGCGAGGAGGGACTGCTTCATGATTTGGGCGACGGTGGATTCGGCGGAAGGGCAGGTGGCGGAGTAGTATCGCCGGCGGAGGGTGGTTGTGGCCGCCGATGTGGGTGGTGGTAAGGTGGTGGTGGGTAGGATATACCACGTCGTCGCCGCCGCAGCTAGCAAGACCAGATATATGATTATATACAAGGTTTGTTGGTTGTTTGGATTTGAGAATGAGGATTTGGAGTTTTGTAAGCCTTGGAATTTACGATAGGTTTGTTGCATTATAGATGTGAGAGAGTTCATTGTTTGTGTGAGTAAATTTTGGTCATGACTCATGAATTGATGGCTCTTATATGAAAGTTTTGTAACTTTCAAGCAAATCTCAAATAAAAATGGTGGGATTTGGCTTCTATTTTTGACCCAACAAATAAGGGAGTTTAAATCCACCATGCTTGGAACTTGGATAGCAAATCTATCACCAACCAAAATCTAATAAACGAACCAATCTTTGATTCTGATAGTTAATGTATGCAATCGAAGTCTAGCTTCTAGGTTGAAGCAAATGATGGGTTGAAACTGAAGCGCAAAATTGTAACCTTTTACACCCCATATTATTGGAAATAAATTTTATTATTATAACTTGTATTTATATAAAAATATATAAACAAATAAGTGAATTAACTCATTGAAAAAATCACTCTCACACGCATAAACTAAATTGATAGGGTGGAGGAGAAGGAGCTTCAATGGTGGCACAATCACAAGGTGGAGTTGGAGTTGCCAGAATGGGGTGGGTTGTCATATCGAGTGCTGACGCCGAAATTTTGGGTATAAGGGGAGTCGTTAGAGAGGAAGTTGGACGCATCACTACGGAGACTGTGCATCGTTTAGTTGTTGTGGCACTAGTAAGACGCTAGAGATAGAGTCGTCGAGTCGGAGTTATCGTCAAAGTTACAAGTGCAATCGTAGTCATTCATGTTGCAGTTGTAGTACCATCAGTCATGGAAAAGAGAATTAGAAAGAGAAAAATATTTTATTTAAAAAAAACAATTAGCGGTTAATTCTAATTTTCTTTATGTAATCTTACCTCTTATCTCATTATGATTAGCATGATGCCAACTACTAACTTTAGCCGAGTATATGTTCTCGTCACGAAAATATGAGTATGTGTGTAAGGAGATAAGAGAAAATTATATTGTGAGTCACGTTCCAGCATATACGACTTAATTTCATATAATTAAGCATGTTACCGATATCATACATGAACCCAAATTTTATTTCATTTCTATCCATCATTCAAGTAAGAAATACAAAAGTTCCAACTAACAAACAACACCACAACTTATCATCATTGACTAGTCACATCCATGCTTGCTCCTTAGCAAACCAAGCTTATTGCAAGACCTTCCATGCATAATATCACACATCCAACCAGAACAGAGAAGCAAATCACCACCACACAAGAGAAAACGGAGAATTGCCCAACTGAGACTTAACCGCAACCATCATCAGTCGCAGTATCTATAGTTCTCGAACCTCATGAAACAGTCGGTGAGAGTGATTTGCGCCCCAACTCTATCGGGACAGCTAACGGACAACCCCTGCAGCGCATCTTCAAGGCAAGCTGCGCAATTGGGACTGTCGTGGAACTGACAAGACGCTGAACCATAAGCCGTGGCAAAAGATTTCTCACCTTCGTATGTATTCTCATAGCAGAAGATTTTCCCCGGGTCCGTTTTGAGGGTCGGGCCTGAATTCAGCAGATCCTGGGCAAGGTGGGCAATCGCGCCGGCGATCGGGTCCCCGTTCTTTATCTTATCGGGGCTGCACTTGTAAACGCCTTCTTCCTCCGCCGCCGACGTCGAAACCAACCAGATGCTGACGCATGATAGCAATACGGTACCAATCATCGTCATCAGGTGGCTAGTATTTAATTAAGTTGCCTGCTTTCTCTATTGTTCGTCTATTTATAGTGTGTTTGATTGAAACTGCAGGGGAGTCTCTGTTTGTGAAACAGAGTACTTTTTGTTTCCTTCTTGTTGCCTTTATGTTGCATCCTGCCGGATGTGATTTGTGGGGGATTACTAAAGGTACGTTTCGGCCGATGGAATTTGGGTGAGAAACAAAGGTGCCTTGAGTAAGCATCGAATAACAGCGTTCGGCAGGAAGGATGGGAATTTTCCGGCCGGCCCGTCACGGCAGGGCCTCCGGCGAGCCAACCTCAACAACCAATCCCAACCAATAGAAATATTTTCTTTTTCCGATCCTCATTCTTTTTTTTTATGAATCAATCCTCATATTAAGCATACTACTAGAAATCTCAAAACGGGTCACAAGTATCATCAAGTAAACCAGAATGCCCACAATGGAAATGAGAAATCTCATAAAACTAACTAGAAAATGTAGAAAAGATACCATAAAAGTTGGCCATAAGTTTTCTAAAGCAACCGAAAAAAAACTCGAAAAACATACCACAATTCCTATGAAACATACCAGAAAGATTAGAAACCAAAAAAAAAATCTCATGAGGCTAATCACAAATATCATGAAGAAGATGAGAAATACAACAAAAAAACACCATAAAAAATAAGGGTTCGATCTAGTGGTAATACCTCTAGCCTTGAACTTGGAGGTTTGAGGTTCGAATCATTTTAGTAGTACTGAAATTATAAATAAATTAAACTATTATCACCCTTATAAAAAAACGAGAAACACCATAAAACTCATAAAGTAGATTAGAGTTTTCAAAGAGGTGTGTCAGCCTACAAAAAATAATAAATAAATAAGAATCTAATTCATAGAGTACACAATCTCATTGTTTTTCATAGTGAGCAATAATTATTGTATACTATGAGAGGTTTGTGAAATACATGTATCGCTTGTTTTGCTCAAATAATTTTCATTGCATACAACCCCTCAAACATTGATAAATCGGTCATCTCACTGCTTGCAATTACAACAAATATGTCAATTACAACTTTTGAACGTGTGTCAGAGATTCTAGTTTCAAATTTTTATAATGACGAAACCTGAATTTTTCATCAAAACCTCGAGCCGCGACACACCTCCCCCTTATCCTAGGTCCGCTCTCGAGTGGTAGTACCCATGGTTTTGATACTGTACCAAACCGTTCGGCTGAACCAGAAACTCGAAAAACCTAAGTCCGTGTGAAACACTATAAGCTCACACTTCTATTTACCATATCGATCCGTTTTGATTCGTGAGTACGGTTTTTTTTAATCCTTGCTTTATTAGTGGATCCAAGAATAGCCCAAAATTCATATTCCATTCATCTTTCAAGTAACTTGCTCAATTTGCAAGTTATTGACCAGTACACACATGCTTCAAGTACATTACACCAAGCTTATTGTAACAACGGCGGACCCATAACATTACATATCCAAACCAGAACAGCAAAACCAGAAACAGGGGAACCAAATCATCAAGAGAAACAGAGCATCGATGAAACTGCTGCCAACCATCACCATCATCAATCGCAGTACCGATACGCCTCGTACCTCAAGAAGCATTCAGGCAGAGCGACTTGCGCCCCACGGCAGTCGAGACAGCCGTCAGAGACGGTATGGATTGCATAGGCTAAGCAGGCGTTGCAGGCGGCAGCATCCTTGACAGTACAAGCCACCGAGCCATAAGCCCAGGCATCGCCATTGGGACCGTGATCGTGTTGATCATAACATGAGATCGCCCCAGGATTACTCGCGAGCTTCGGCCCTGCTTCCACCAGATTCCACATCAGGTGCTCGATCGCGATGGCGAGCGGGTCCCCTGTCGACACCTTCTCGACGCTGCACAGAGGATAGACGTCTTCCGCCGTCGTCGTTCGAATCGCTCTGCTGCTGCAGAGCAACCAGATGCCGATCGCGACGAGTTTAAGACAACCAATTCCAACTGCCATCATCGTCATCAGCCTGCTAGCTAGCTAGTTATAGTAAGTTTGCCCTGTTTCGTACATTTGGCCATGGTGTTTTTATAAGCAAAACTTTGGGAGGGCATCTTCTCCTCGAAAGTACAGTACTTTTTTTTCCCCTTCTACTTTCTTATTTGCCATTATGCTACAAAAGGCACGTTCGGCAGAAGGAATTTGGGCTAATGAACAAAGCCTGCCTTGATAAATTCTCCTCGAATAACAGCATTCGGCAGTCAGGAAGCATGGGTTGGATTGCTAGTTTGCTATCATCTCCTTCCGAATGTAGTCGAAGGCGGACCAAGCACTCCGAGGGGACGATAACTCGAGTTATTGGGATCAATTCGTTCTCGACAACGTATCAGAGTGTCTTCTGTAACACCGAAAGATCCTCTGTGTTCGAATCCACACAATAATTAACGAACGCTGCAACTCTTGTGATCAGGCAATTGCACACATTGATGAGCTCGAGAAGAACGTAACTAACTCTATGATCAATAAAACACAAGCAAGATGGAATCACAACCTGTTCCTATGGAAATCGATGTATCGGCTTCGTGCCTCGAGTTTCCAGAGGGAAAGTAACATACATACATGTTAGAGAATGATATAAGATCCAACATAATCTTTTTTTCAACAACTCGAGTTATTGGGACCAACTGGTTTATGACATGTAATCAGAGTCTGGTTTGACCAAGTGGTCGTGTGTTCGAATCTCCACAACCCCTAATATTAACAGCTGATTAAAGCACAAGGTATGGTGGGTCTGTGCAAACTTCAAGCCCATAAGTTGACTTTCATTTGAGGGGGGCGTGTTAGAGAGTGATATAAAATCCATCATAATTTTCTCCCAACAACTCGAGTTACTGGGACGAAGGTGATAGTTAAAACCTGCCCATTCCTCAACATATGTGAGGTGAGTGACAGGCTGACAGCATCACGATTTGTGGCGATGAAGAGGCATCCAGGGTTTTCTCTTATCAGAGTTCCATAACTTTGATAAATCGGTCATTGATATGATTTCAAATATAATTATTGTTCATCAACTTCCTAGTAAACAAAAGTTATCTCGCTACTTGAAATCCCGACTAGCGACACACCTCTCCTTATCCTAGACCCGCCCTTGAGTAGTAGTACTCATGGTTTATGATACCGTGCCGAACCGGTTGGTTGAACCGAGAAAACCGAAAACCAAAGTCGGTCCGAAATGCTATGAGTTCAGGCGGTACCTTAATTTTGCCTACATGGTTTTTTAAGAAAAAATAATTATTTTTTTTAAAAAAATATTATTTTATCGGTACAAACTGTTGAACCACGATCGTACCACAGAATACCCTACGATCAACAAATCGGTATGACTTTCAATATGATTTCACTTTCACAAACCATGACCGTACCAGTAGACCATCCCTTGTCGACTAAGAATCCATACTTGTTGGCCAACTAATATCCTTCAAAAAAAAAATTTGTCGACAGCTTCTCCACTACCAATAACTCATGTTTAGTGCAAGGATTGAAAAACTGTACCGGAGATTGTAACATAGAAGTCAACATAGAATTTTATATTGATTTAACCGTGGTTCAACCTTTTTATACCGTCTACCATTATTCCGCTTCCAGTAGAATGTTTTCTAATCGAACTGTCTGTACGTTACGATTTCTTAACCCTTGGTTCAGTAGTGGATCCAAGTAACTTGCTCATTTTCGATACCAATTCTTGACTAGTTACACACATGCTTCAAACATAGTATACACACCAAAGCTTATTGCAACAAAAGTCGACCCATAACACTACATATCCAAACCAGAACAGCAAAACCAGAAACAGGGGGAACCAAATCATCATCATCACGACACAAGAGAAACAGAGCATCAACGAACTGCTGCAACCAGCCAGTCCACCACCCATCAATCGCAGTATCTATACGCCTCGTACCTCATGAAACAGCTCGGCAGGGTGACTTGCGCCCCACGGCAGTCGAGACAGCCGTTGGACAGGGCATGGAGTGCAGAGTCCAAGCAGGCCGTGCAGGCGCCAACATCCTGGACAGCACAGGACGCCGAGCCATAAGCCCAGGCATCGCCATTGCTACTTTCGTACAATTGATTGTAACAGGAGATCGCCCCAGGATTCCTCGCCACCTTCGGCCCTGCTTCCACCAGATTCCACATCAGGTGCTCGATCGCCAAGGCGAGCGGGTCCCCTGTCGGCACCTTGTCGACGCTGCACAGAGGATAGACGATGTCTTCCGCCGTCGTCGTCGTCGTCCGAATCGATCCGAGCAACAAGAGGCTGATCCATAGTAACAATGCTGACGAGGAGGACGACGACGTCGTGACTAGTTTACGACAACCAATTCCAGTTGCCATCGTCATCAGCAGCAAGTTATAGTAAGTTGAGTTGATTATTCGGGCAAGCATGGTGTTTTTTCTTTTTATAAGCAAAATTTTGGGAGGGCATCTCTTCCTTGTGAGTAGTGTGGTTTTGTTCCTTTTCTTAGTTGCCATTATGTTGCATCCGGCCGGATGCGGTTTGACGTTGGGAGATAATTGCAAAAAGTACGATTGGCTAATAGAACAAAGCCTGCCTGGACTAATCCTCCTGGAATAACTGCATTCGGCAGCAGGAAGGTTTATGCATGGTCCATGAAACCGTACCGGACATCATACAAGAAAAGTTAGCGGTAGGGTATTTTATGGCAAAACTGTGGTTTAACCGTAGTTAATCGTTAATACCGTTAAATACTGCTTACCGATTTAGCATCCGATACTGGTATTTTGTGGTTGAACCACCGGTACGATACGGTTTCATGGACCATGGGTTTATGGCAATGCAGTCGAAAGGCATACCAAGCCCTCTCAATGGAATGATAAACCGAGTTATTGGAACCAATTCGTTTCTAACATAATATCAGAGCCTTTTGTAAAAGAGAGATCTTCATCTCCTGTTCGAATCACGATCAAACGGATTGTGATTCCATCTTTGCTTGTGTTTGCTGATCATAGAGTTTACGTCACTCGAAGTTAGGGATGGCAATTTGAACCCGCCCCGCCGAGTATTACTCGACCTGATCCGCGATGAGGCGGGGGTATTACCCGACCCACAGTAGCGTGAGGCAGGACATGTGTAACTACTTCCAACTTGCCCTGACCCGCCTCGTTCTGGACCCATTTTATCTCGATTTCTTGCAATTCTATTCATATTTCTTCTATTTTGACTTTTCTTCAGCTAGTTAGACTTGATCTTTCAATTAGTTAGACTCAATTGCCTATTTATTATCACGATTGTCATCCATAAAGTGTCTTTCCTATTATTCTATCACAAAAAGTAACATTTTGCATTCATTTTTTTTTTTTTCAAATAACAACTAAGAATGGATCGACTCACCCCGAACCGTAGTAGCATGGGGCGGAGAGCATATATATTGAGGTACCTGCCCGTCCCGCCCCGCCCCATCGCTATCACTACTCGAAGTGGATTATGTGGGACACATCTCGACCACAAATAAACCTTACATGGGCCACGAGGCCCAATCGGAATGCATCAGATAAAAAAAAAGGTGGGATAGGAAGCCCATTGTCCCGTAGCATCATCTGATCTCAGCCCGCATGTAGATGGGCCCGGACGAATGGGCCATCGGCGAATCTCTTCACGCACGGGCGCCATCTCGGTTCTGTCTTCTTCCTTTTGCACGTATTATGGTTATGGCCGCTCGTGGGACGGATGGGATACCCTAATTATTTATTTTGGGCTGGCGTGCGTGTGTATTGAATTGGAATGGAATGGAGCTGCATATATATTTTTTTTATTCCCTCGTATTTTGTACGTACGTTAATTTCTATTATTTATATTAACATTATTATTATATGTAATGGATTAAATGGTGCCAACTGTAGTCGATCCTTTCTGAGTTGTCGAAATTCCATTTGTAAATCACCTATGGGAAGTCTCTAGTGGCCAGTGCCGCCTTAGGAAAGCTGTATAATGAATTTATGATCTCTTTTTTTCTTCTTCTTCTTCTGTATTTGTCGACATCCTTGTAAACAGAAACAAAAGATCCATTTGCTGGAAGAAGCCATGTCACGGAAGAGATCAACGTCAACCAAGTTTTGTTGAACATGGAATATGACGAATCGATGGTTGAACTTGTGTGTTAATTGGATACAAAGTCTTTGCCCTTAGTGAATGCTTATGTCGGAGTTGATATTATAGATTGTTTTTTTAGGTTACCTATGTATGTGTTAGACTCGCACGCGTTGCGTCGTATTTTATCAACCAAGTGATTAAAGTGAGTGAACCTACTCCTTTTTAGCACAGAATTTTAAGTTATGTTGGTGGTCTAACAATAGCAGAACAGTGTAATCGCCGCATGGGTTGAGTAATAGAACGATTGAATGTATCATTGCACTCCGTTTGATTTGAATGTATCATGAGAAGATCCTGTGATGGTAAAGGCACATTAAAAGTGGGTTCATGTTATGCAGGACGACTCTTTGCCAAAGTGATTACAGACCTAAAATATTTGACAAATGCCCATCCGATTGATTATCATTCAATCATTGTATCGATCGATACACCTTCATTTATGTTAATCATTTTTATTAACCGCTGCTACGAATTTACTCTTAGATGATTATACAGCATCAACAATGAATATAAGGATATAGAGAACAATCTAATTTATGAGTCATGAGTCACAATTCAACACAAGCACTTGCACTACTCATCCAAATAGTTGGACATTTATATTTACTTATTATAAACTAACTAATATAAATTAGCTGAAAACAAGCCGCAAAAACACAGAGGGCCAAAAGGAGTGAGCTGGAAATGGCGTTTCCGTAGTTTCCCACAACTCCAAGGGCTAATATTCCCCAAATATCCTATTAGATCCATCCCACCGTCGCCACTGTCACTTTGTCTCTCTTATACGGAAAGAGAGTCCTCCGCTCCCTCTCACCACCACCGCCACAGAAATAAACTACCAGAGAGACGCAGCAAGAAGAAGAAGAAGAAAATACCCCGCAATCGGAGAAACAAAAACCATGTCCCCAACCAAACAGAAGCACCGGAGCTCCGCCTCCACCTCGCCCAGATCCACCGTCGATGCCGCCACCGTACCCGACTGGATCTCGGAATCAATCAACGGCGGAACCCTCCGCCACGTCGACCTCGAGACCGGAACCAACGGCTGGGCCTCGCCACCGGGTAATCTCTTCTCCCTCCGCTCCAAAAACTACTTTACCAAAAAACAGAAATCCCCCGGCGGCGACTACCTCCTCTCCCCCGCCGGGATGGACTGGATCAAGGCCTCCACCAAGCTCGAGAACGTCATGGGCCGGCCCGACAACCGCGTCTCCCAGGCCCTCCGCCGGGCCCAATCGGAGGGGGAATCCCTCAAATCCTTCGTCCTCGCAGTGAACCTCCAGGTCCCCGGGAAAGACCCGCACAACGCGGTCTTCTACTTCGCGTCCCCAGATCCGCTCCCCGCGGGGAGCCTGCTGCACAAATTCGTCAACGGCGACGACGAGTACCGGAACCAGCGGTTCAAGATCGTGAATCGGATCGTGAAGGGGCCCTGGGTGGTGAAGAAGACGGTCGGGAATCACAGCGCGTGTCTGCTGGGGAAGGCGCTCACCTGCAATTACCACCGGGGGCCCAACTATTTGGAGATCGATGTCGATATCGCGAGCTCGGCAATCGCCACCGCGATTCTGCATCTGGCGCTGGGGTGCGTGACGAGCGTGACGATTGATATGGGGTTCCTGGTGGAGGCGCAGGAGGAGGAGGAGCTGCCGGAGAGATTGATTGGAGCGGTGAGGGTTTGTCAGATGGAGATGTCGTCGGCCGCGGTGGTGGAGTCGTCGTCGCCGACGGCGATGGCGACGGTGGTTGGGCGTGGGATAGGGTTGGCGAAGGTCAATCATCATGAGGACGAAGATTGATCGATTGAATTGATTGTGGTAAAGGACACAACTGTAATTGTTGACCAAAATGCGGGGTTTAGATTATTATTTTTTTGCGTTCGTTTTTGTAATTTTGTTCAATGAATGTAACGCTTCGGTTAAATGTTTTTATGTGTGGGGGTTAGCGGTGGACATTGTAGATAATAAAAGTGGAAACATGAGTAACGACCAATTTCTTCAAAAATAATTTTATCTCGAATGCGTGGAAGGATAGAAATCATGTTGCGGATTATCTAGTCTATTAACGACGTGACGATTTAGGTCTTTAGAGTTTGGCAGATATCAGTTTGTAACGTGTTCGTGTTGTTTATTCGATAAATCACGAGTAATTTCGCCTAAGCCAAAACTGAAATATGGCGGGAGTAAGCTAGAGTGTGAAATTGACCAATTAGCTACAAAGAATTGGGCTGCCAAATGTGTTAGGGCATTGTGGGTTGGTTGTGGATTTATAGAGAGGGATTTGTGGATGACAAATTACTACATAGGAGTGATTGTACTTGGTCTTGTTTTTCTCAGCGGAAACATGGGGTTAGTACAAAATTATGACGGTTTTGATCATTGTAGGTGGTTGGATGGGATAATATCAATATCATATTTTAGAATCGGTGCGCTGAAGGGGATCCTAACTCGATTGGATGCACCTTGACTATGGTGCTCATAGACATCAACGTAGTTAGAGCGAGTGCGAGCGATCTGTTAGCACGCTCTCACAAAGATCGTGCGTGCACAGTAGCAAAATCCGATTTGACATATGTGTAATTTGAGTGGATGACCCCATCTTCGAAGCCTCTTTCCCTTGGGATAGAAATGTTTTGTTCTCGTTCTTTTGCCGACCATGTGATCAGTCACACTAGTGGGCACCAATTATGGTCTTAGGAGCTTAATCAGTCATGCGATCATTCGATGTTTAATTAGACTAACATACTATAGAGATTATTAGTATGGTTACGCAGACATAATTAGGTTATCATTTTGACACGTCAATGATTGTTGGATTACACGTTTTCAATTTCATGATAGGATGTTCTAAGTTTCTAACCCTATTCAGCTTTTTCGAATACAAGCGGATTGAGAGTAGTAGTGTAGTACGCATTGTGGTGGTTAGGAATATATTCGCATTGCTGGTTTAGGATACATAGACGCGCATAATTAATTAGGGTTCTTCCGCCACCAACAACAACCTTCATTTCTTTCCTATAATAATAAAAAATAATACTAATATGCCATAAAAGAAAGATAACAGACACCATCAATCCAGTTGTGTTGCGGCTTTTAACCAATTAATAATGAAGAAAGATCATCTCCTTCTCTGCTAATCTCCATCCAATTTGTACTTAATTAATTTATAAATCATTTTCTTCCTCTCATCATTCATGCAAGCTTGATGGAGAAGGCTCAATTAGGTGACTGATTACTGATTAAGTATATAAAAATGGAGTGGTCACGGTTAAGTCCAACAGACCAACTGCTACCTGAAAAAACCCAGCTTTGCAAACCACCTGCTACCAGAACCGGGAGACTCTATTTATATGTGTCAAAACTCAAAAGCATGGTCGATGAAACCGTACTGGAGATCGTACCGGAAAAGTCAGTGATAGAGTATTTTATGACAAAATCGTGGTTTAACCGTAGTTCAACCGTTAGTACCGTTAAATACCGCCTATCGGTTTAGCCTCCGATACTGATATTTTGTGGTTGAACCGTCGGTACGGTACGGTTTAATGGACCATGGTCAAAAGCCACAATGATGACTAAACTATGTTTAATGTAACATAATAGTCATTGAAATTTCCAAATGTATTAAAGTGGTCGTTGCTCAAAATGGCAGCAAAATGATAATTTTTTCTAATTTCATTCAAGTGGATCGAATCAATAAGCGAAAAGAAGTGACATATGAGAGACGACACACCCTTGTTGGCACCTTATCAACGTACCCGATGCAAGAGGACCCAACCTAAAATTCCATGTTAGGCCAAACTAAACTGTACAGACCCCTTATATGGATAAAAAAAGATCGAGATGTTACATAAGGTTTCGATGATGTTGAAGTTATGTATCTTATAACTTATAAGGGATACTCATTATGCGGACTAAAGGAGACACAATAAAAAAAAAACTTCCATGAATGTGTCTGGGCAATTCTGATCCAGAGGTCGAGCTCACTCTACGATATATTTTAGAAGGACATTGATGAATCGTATTTGGTCTGGTAGTGTGAAGTAGCTAAATCGGTGGACGTTGGTCGACACATATAAATGATTCATATTCTTCTCCTCAAAGTACCAGAAAAGTCGCAATAGATAGAACACCAGTATTCGTAATTTTACAATCTTAAATTGAGTATACTACGTTAATACTTCCTTAATAAGATTTATTAGTAAAATACGGTACGGGAAAGTTACGTAAAAAACACGTACGGGTATTTTACGTCGTCTCTAAGCTAAAGGTACGTTTAATAGTACGTTAATAGTAATAAATATATAAAAATAAATTATTTTAAAAATAAATAAATATATAAATAATAGTAAATTTCACAATTTAATTCATTAAATACGGATATTAAACGTGTTATACGGGTTTTATACGTGTTTAGTACGGGAGCAATCCAATGAACGGAAAAAAATGAAACGACTTGACAATAATACGAAGACGGAAGTTTTAAACGGATAAAGTACGTACGGGTACATATACGTGTATTAAACGGAGTATTTACTAACTATATTATCAAGATTTGAATTTACAAAAAGGTTTTAAAGGAATCCGGACCCAACCTATAAAAAAAACAACTAGTTTCGTTCTGGTGAAAAACTTGTAATACGATGCCGTATACGACTGGCGACCTAAAGGGTTTTAGGCGGCAGCTTCGTTACACTCTCGGTTTGAGGTTCTTCTTCAGCACTCCCCCCATTCTCCGTAGCTCCGATATGGCTTCGATTTGCAGGTCCGCTGTAATGGCGGGCTCAAGGTCCTTAGCTGCGCGTTCCAGAACCTTAGCCCAGAAGTCCGCCTTCTCGTCCTCTCCTTTCACTTCTCCTTCCCCGACACGAATCGTCCGAAGCGCTTCCAGGTCTGAAAATTTGTCTTTGACTTCGAATCTCTACTCAATTTTTCTGTATTCATTTGATCAATTGAACCATTTTGGGCTTCTGGCTTGTTGTACGATTAGGGTTGTTTCAGCTATTGGGAGCGTAGATTCATTGTTACCTTTTCATAGTGCCACGGCGAATGCTCGGCTTATATCAAGCATTGCTGCGGATTCCTCTTGCTGGAGCATGCTTTCTGAAGGTGATCTCTTTTGTCTCTCAAGTTACCCAGTTGTAAATCTTATCTCAGTATTTCGTTTCTATTGTGCTTTATGATACGCCCATGGATGGAAGGAGGGATATGAATCTTGTGTGTCTAGTTGTCATATCAGTCATTCTGGATTGCAAGAACTTTGCCTTCTATCATAATGCTGACTTCCATACAACACAAGTTAGATGATAATGTGTTGTTACAGTAAGGTGAAAGTGATTTGCATTTTGCTCTGAACGTCATGTTGCCTTGGTCTGAAGTCTGAACATTTCCCTTTTCTTCAAAATGGGCATTGGCTGCTCCGTTGATTGTGTTTTTTTGGCTTGTTCAATAGTTATGTTGTTAAGTGTAACTCATTTGATCTGTTGACTCTGATGATTTGTTGTCTCTAATCTGTATCTTGGTTGCTTGCTCTAGGCCTTGCAACAACTTTATGACCGTCGTGCTGGTCTGTGCTGGATAATGAATGCCAAAAGGAGTTTGCAACGCCAGTATAGCCACATCGGAACTGAACTCTTAGGAAGGACAAACACTTACTTCAATTTTCCTTTTCTTTTGTAAGTCGTGTTCACTGACCTTGTCTTTTCAGTATGTATTTGGCTTTGCCACTCCATCCGTGAAGAGAGTTTCCATTCCTTTTGGATGATCAACGATTGTTCGTTGTGGTGTATGGAGTTTTGTAATAATGATGTTTCTTTCTCGTTGACTGGTTGAACAATGCCTCTACTAGGTATGCACTAGGCAGTTCTTTAGTTCGAAGCCGTGGTCTCCTGTGGTACCTCTGAAATGAAATCTTAGGTCCCATGATGAGTTACTCTGTTAAGTTTAGTATAATTCATCAATTTTTTTGCCTGATTGTCTTGGTGGTGATAAGTTCTAAATGCTAAACCATGAGTTGGATAAATCTGCAGGTGCTGTGATTCCTTGTAGTTTGGAATCTTTGAATATGGTTTTCAAGAACTCCATTCTGCAGTACTTATGTGTGCTAGAATGAACTCTTCTCTTGGCATATCTTCAGGGGCGTTTGCTCTTGAGAACTATATATGATGAATGAATCCAGTGGCATGGCCTTTTTCTTTGCTTAGTTTTGGACCAAGTTGTTGTAGTTCCTGCTCAACAATAGGTAGATTGAACTTGCGTTTTACTTGTGTTCTTCCTCTCTTAAAACACTTTTTCATAACATGCTTGTATCTTCTTGAATTGTTCCCCCTAAGTTCCATTCTTTGCTTTGATTTTGGCTAGCTACCAAGGTTTGATTCCCATTTGCGTTTGGCGTTTCGTGGACTTCGTCGTTCCTTGGTTGACGAGGAACTCATTGCTTAGATAGAACCTGAGATTGAGCTTACATCCTATGAATTCTTCTTCTTCTATCTCCATGTTCTCACTAGCCCTCGGCCGTCTCTCTTATAACTGCTGTTGTTTGGTTCATATCTCCTTACATGTGAAACCATAGTTTCTGCAAGTAACCCTTTTTCTTACCAAAAACTTACACTTTGCTACTATTGCCCACACTTGTATTCCTTTGGCCATTCTTTACAAATAACGGAAACGATGACAAGCTACTTCCATGACTATATGGTACTGAGTAGCTCGAGTTCCATTCCTGTTTATGCATATCCTTTTACCTTAAAACAGCTTTTGCCTATATTACTTACCGTGATACGGCACACGTTATTCAATTCCCATATTCTACTTCGAATCTTTATTCCCTTTTACCAAGTTCTTCACTAGGAGCTCGGGTCTCAGTTGCAGCCACCGCCGGCGAACCCGACCCTCCCTCGAACCCCGTCGTACACCACCTCCATCGTCCGCTGCTGCACGTTCCCGAAGACCGCCACGTCGCTCGCGTCGTCGTTGCCCTTGAACGCCAGGCACACCTGTGATATCGAGAAGCCGTACAGGATCCCGACAGCCCCGATCTCCACCTCGGCGCCGCCGGCGAAGAAGAACGAGATCACGGGCACGGACACAACGTCGTAGCTGCTGAAGTCGTAGCAGGTGTCGAGGATCGACCGCGGCTTCCCCAACGGGTAGCTCGACATCTGCTGCCGGAATGCCGACCGGAGGGCCGAGTAGGCCGCCGGCGGGAGGCGGCTGATGACGGCGCCGGAGTCGATGATGCCACCTGCGGTGGAGAAGACGGTGGCGGAGATGGGGAGCTTCTGGCCGCCGACGCTGATTGCCGTGATGTCGAGGCCGTAGAAGCTGGTCCCCGCCGAGCTGGCGGAGAGTGGAGTGAATTTCACTGACTTGGTGGTGGAAGCTCCGCCGAAGGTAAGGAATCCGATGTCGCTGGAGGTGGACGGGAGACAATAGGAGAAGCGCTTCCTGTACTTTCTGGCCGTTTGGGAGACGAATGAAACCTTGTCCCGTCCTAATCCCAGCAATCCGGCGGTTCCCCGGAAGAGTCCTTGGTTGTTTTGGCCGCACCCGAAGAAGAAGTTGTTGAAGACGCCGCCGGTTGACGTCGTCAACGTGATTTTCTCCGTGCCGTAGAATCCGACGGAGTACGACGAGTCGCCGTACTGGATCCCGTACACGCACGTCGACGACGAACACCCTGGCTTGATACCTGCCACCAAATAGATCAATTTGATGAGATTGTCTCAAATTGATCCGTTAAAGAAACCAACTTGATTAATCAATATTCCGATGATGGAATGGAACATACTTGTGGCGGAAGCGAGGGCAGAGCAGGAGGCGGAGGAGCAAGAAACGTTTCGGTACGAAGCGGAGGAGGACGGGTCGAAGATCTTCTCCTGCTGCTTGTAGCAAGACCGTACGCACGGCTGGCACTGCGTCCACGTCAGGTCGCTTCCGGTGTCGAATATGAGCGACTGCTGCTGCGCCGGCGTGCCGATGCCGACGGTGACGAAGTAGTTCGCGCCGCCGAGGGTGGCGCCGTCCTTCGCCGGGATGGCGATGGAGGAGTCCTTCGTCACGCTGACGTCGTCGGCGCCTGCGACCGCGTTTCTGTATCTGGACTGGATCGTCTTGACCCTGGACTCGTCCTGGCGAAGGGTCTCGTCCGCAGTGGGCTTGTGTTGTTGTTGTTGGGCCTGGGCCTGGGCGCACGGCCCATGTAAGTGGAGCACTCGCAGAATTGCTTCCTTGCTTTCTAAGCCATCTTTGCTGATTGAAGGAGAAGGAGAAGGGCGGCAGGTGTTTGAAGGAAACAGAGAGGGGAGCTGAACGGTGTGGAAATGAATCCCCGGCGGCCGCCATGGCGGCCGCGGCCGAGTTGCATTTCTGTTGGTAGTATCGGCATTGGTAGCCTTCGAAAGAAGAAGAAGAGGAAGAAAGCAGAAGAGAGCAAACAGGGTAGTAGTAGTGGTGGTAGTCATTATTTTCCAGAAGGAAGATGGGGGAATTGTGGAGTCATTTTTGGGTCCTTTCTTATAGCAGCAGCAGCAAATAGAATGTCTAGTGGGATTTGGAATTTTGGGACGCAGTGAGAGGGAGATTTTCTGCAGCAAGATGTCAAGAACCAGTTGATCCCAATAACTCGAGTTGTTGGGAGAAGTTCAATCGTGGATCATATACCACAACACTAACACGCCCCCTCAAACGAAAGCCACTCACAAGGGCTTGAACTTTGCACAGGTCTGAAGACAAGAATACCATGTGCTTAACAAATGGGGGTCACCGGGAATCGAACACAAGACCTTTCGGTCACAGAAGGCTCTGATACCATGTCAAGTTTCAGTTGATCCCAACAGCTCGAGTTATTGGGACCAACTGGTTCTTGAGAGTAGAAAGCCAGTCAATGTCTTTTGCTGTTTAACCCAATAACTGAATCAGTGATTCTTTCTTATAGGAAGATTTTTCCAATGAAAGAGATTATCACAGGGGAAAAAAACCTGATGTAGAATCTAGTTCCTTCAAAGAGTAATGGGAGCAACTTATTGTGTGGCTTGTTATCAGAATCCACTATATGTAAATTTCATTGCCTTGTTTTTTTTTTCCACCACTCACATTTTAGTGCTAGAGTTGGCTGCTCCCCATTTTCCTTTGAACGTTTCATAATTAGAAATTTCTCACATCGTTTTCCTTAGTTTGTGACTTGTGAGTGACTCAATTTGTCACATCTTCTTCAGTCCCTTTGTTATATTGATGTTCAGCAGTCATATTGCGTTAAGCTGCTTTGCAAGACGATCAAAAATCCACGGTATGTATCTAGTTTAAGGATTGAAATACCGTACCGGAGAAGTTAGTGGTAGGATATTTCATGTTAAAATCGTGGTTTAACGATGGTTCACCCGTATTATACCGCTAAATACCGCCTACAGGTTTTGCTTCTGGTAGAAGGTTTTTCAGGTCGAACCGCCGATACGGTACGGTATTTTAATTCTTATTTAATATGAAACCGTGTCAACTGCTTCAAAGGCATTGGTAATTAAAGCGTAATTCTTAGTCTTTGTTAAAATCACGTTGACTTTTCTTTTTTTTATATAGTTAAAACCTCGAGGGTGTATTTACTATGTTCTTTTCGCCACAATCACTTAGATCGGTGAAATGATCAGTTTGTTGGTATCATAAACCAAAGGAGGTAGAAAAAGAGAAAAAATATAGATGTAAGACAACCATAAATTCATATTCACATTTCTGCAAATCAACTAGGTACATGCGTAGTGCTATTGCACATTTTTCCTTTTGCTATTCATTCTTTCTTCCAAAGCAAGAAAATCCATGACTATATGGTAACGTATGAGTAAAGCTTTGAGGTCTTTTCCCCAATTGCTTTCCCCATTACCTTAATTTGCTTTCCCTATATACCATAATAACAAACATTCTTCAATTCCCCAAATTCTACTTCAATCGAGTCCAACACGACGTCGCATCGATTCCTCAGCTACACCCGCCGCTGGCGAACCCAACCCTCCCGCCGGCGCCGTCGTAAACCACCTCCAGCGTCTGCTGCTGCACGTTCCCCAGTATCCCAATATCACTCGCGTCCCCATTTCCGGCGAACGCCAGGCACACCTGCGACGGCGAGTTCGCGTACAGAATCCCCACCGCCTCGATGTCCACCTCCGTCCCGCCGGCGAACAAGAACCCGACCTTCGGCACCGATACGGTCTTGTACTTGCTCAAATCGTAGCACGTGTCCAGGATCGACAGCGCCTGCATGGTATCAGAAAATATTACAAATTATCGTCAAGACTCAAATCGACTATCATGAATGTCAAATTGGATCGACAAGATTTAGAGAAAATCTTCATTATTATCAATTGTATATAGTTTAATGTCAATGTTTAGTTTAGACTTTAGTTTGAATTTTTATGGTTTTATCTCTGTAGTCTCCAAATGCGAGTTTACTTACTGTACATGTTGTTTTGTAGTGTCAACCTTAAGTATTTAAACGAAAAATGATGAATGAGAAAATCCCAAGTGTTCTAGGATTCCATTTCACAACTCATCTTTGTTGTTACCTGGCCAAGTGGGTACCGCGACATCTGCTGCCGGAATGCCGACCGGAGCGCCGAGTACGCCGCAGGCGGGAGACGAGTAATCACGGTGCCGGAATCTATGATGGCGCCGGCAGTGGAGAACACGGTGGCGGATACTGACAACTTCCTCCCGCCGACGCTGATGGCGGTGATGTCGAGGCCGTAGAAGTTACTTCCGCCGGCGATGGACGAGATCGGAGTGTATTTTACCGATTTGGTGGCTGCGCCGCCGAAGGTGAGGAATCCGGTGCCGCTGGAGGAGGAAGGGAGGCAGTAGGAGAAGAGCTTGTTGTACTTTTGGGCCGTTTGGGAGACGAGGGAGAGCTTGTCACGGCCCAAGCCCAAAAGCCCGGCGGCGCCGCCGAAGTTTCCTTGGTTGTTTTGGCCGCAGCCGAAGAAGAAGTTGTCGAAGACGTCGGTGGATGTCAGTGTGAGCTTCTCCGTGCCGAAGAATCCGACGGAGAATGATGAGTCGCCGTATTGGATGCCGTACACGCAAGTCGAGGAAGAACAACCCGGCGTGTTCCCTGCATTTCATTCGAAATCGTACAAAAGTTATACAAAAAAAGTCAATGGTATATTCTGCACTACAATCGTACTTCAACTGTTTCGTACCATTAAAACCACCTATCGTAGTATCTCGTTTGAATTCTCAAACATTGGTTCCCTTACAAAAATTTACTACGATTAGATTTGTGGTTCAAAATCAAAATTGTCAAATCGAATTTATAGTGTTAATGTTTGTTTAGGAAGTCCCTTTCAAAATTAGAAACCACCATATTTTTTTAACAGTATGAACTCCGTTTCATACCTATTGTCTTGTCCAAAATACTTGTTGTTTTCAGTAATTACAGCAAATAAACGGAGAGAGACTAAAACGGGACGTACCGGTGGCGGAAGAGAGGGCGGAGCAGGAGGCGGCGGAGCAAGAAACGTTTCGGTACGAGGCGGAGGAGGACGGGTCGAAGATCTTCTCCTGCTGCTGGTAGCATGACCTCACGCACGGCTGGCACTGGGTCCAGGTGACGTCACTTCCCGTGTCGAATATGAGGGAGAGCTGCCTCGCCGGGGTGCCGAGCCCGACGGTGACGATGTAGTTCCCGGAGCCGACGGTGCTGCCGTCCTTGGCCGGGATGGTGGTGGAGTCCGTCACCATGACGTCACCGCCCGCGGCGGCTGCTGCCTTTCTGGACCTGGACTGGATCGTCTGGACCCTGGACTCGTCCTGGCGGAGGATTTCGTCTGCGGTGGGCTTGTGGTTGTTGGTGGATCTGGTGAGTTGTTGGGCCTGGGCACACGGCCCATGTTTGTGGAACACTGGCAACTTGTTCAGGTCTGCACAATAGGAAGCAAAAATGAAAAAAAGAAACCCTTCTACTTCACCAACTCCTTTTTTCTTAATAAAAATTCTCCAACTTGATTATTAAGAATTCTCCAACTTGTTCAGATTATTAAATTAATTTGATTCCTAACCCTCATTGATTTTGTGTCGGGCAAACCAAACCCATGAGATTGTCATTAGTGGAAGCTCAAATGATAAGTAATTATGTACAATAATGTATTTTCATGTTTTTTTTTCGAGGCCGCAGCCAAGCAGAAGAAAAGAAAGATTTCAATTTCTTTTATTAATATACTATTTAATGAGTTAGACAGTCCTAAATTATGAGCTATTACTATGTCTCAAAATTAAAGGAAAAAGGATGAATGATTGCCTGAAATTGGTTCAGGCTGGCAGCCATACAAATAGAAGCTTCCCAATCATGCATTTGGTAGGGTAAAGTCAAATTGGGGGGTCTCTGCTTTCTACTGCTGATAAACTAATCTATTTTATCAAATAAGATAGATTTTTAGCGGTATAAAATGGTTGAACAATTATAAATTAACTCATCGTTAATTTTTCGATAGAATTGAAAAACCGTACAGAAGGTTATGCCGGAAACGTCAGCGATAGAGTATTTTGTACTACAAATCGATTGTTCAATCATTTTACACCATGAAAGATCGCCTATTAGTTTAGATTCCGATAAAAGGTTTTCCCCAATAAGACCACTGATACAGTATGATTTAAAAAAAACACTGGATACAACCTTCGGTACGATATTACAATCCTTTTTTATAGACGACATCTAGCTAGCTCCAACTTGGTTGAAGAGAATTGAATTCAGTATGTAATTAATAGTTAATACCTCTATGCAACGAGGATTGATTTAGCTAGAATTAGAACACATATAACAGACAGAGAAGCAGAAAGAAAAGAGTTTAGCTTTTGAGTCAATCACCTTGGGTTTCAGAAGATGAAGGAGAAACGTCGCAGGAATCAGAAGGAAACAGAGACGAGAGCTGAACTGTATGGAAATGAAGCTGCTGCTGCTGAACCTTAATCACATCGCCATTAGCAGTCTTGAAAGAAAGCAGAAGAAAGAAGGTAAAGGAGAAGGAGAAAGCAGAAGAAGCAGGAGTAGTGGCCATTCTTCTTTTCTTAGAGAGAAGGACCAAAAGAAAATATGAAGAATTATGGTCTCTCTGTGTCGTTCATGGGCTCCTTTTTTATAACCCACCAGTATCTGTCGAAGGTCTCTAATGCGCTTTGGCCTTTTGGGAAGAGAGAGAGAGAGAGAGAGATCAACGTCAGTTATCTGTCTAAGGTCTAAAATGCGCTTAGTCATTCTATGCATTGTCTTTAGATCCATAAATTGGTCAGTTTTTCACTTCCTTTAATGTGATGCCATACCTTAATCATCAATGATGAAACTACGAGAAAGTAGTTCATAACTAACTATTTCCTTAGTACTCTTACTGAAAGAACAACATATAATAGGTTCGGAGAGTCGCCTAAAATTGATCATATGATAAAATTGGGTGAGACGCTTGTATCGTTTAACAAAGGAATGCATCGACTTATTTGGACTCGAGTCGTATGTCAACTGATTGCACGATAAAGCAAAGAAAAAAAAAGGCTATCTCTACGAATAAGCTTCTTCCATCACAATATGTTACGTATACGCCGCGTTCAAGGGGGGCTCGACGATGCGTATGTATCTTTGATCTTCAGACTTTTTAGAACAGATTGTTCGACACTCTCGAGTAGAAGCTCTTCTTGATGGTTGCGAACGGTTCGAAAATGAGTACGAGACTACTAAACAAATTACAAGAAGAAGAAACATATATTGACCTCAAACAATCTCAAAATAATAACGGTGCAAATAACTATAAATAAAGACACATAAATCTAAATTTTTTTCGAATTTCCACGTCGATTCGATCTCTCAACACAATCTCACTTGGTCATGGAAGATCCCCACTCAATCAAATAATACCAATACCTTCTTCATAAATAATAATAATAATAATAATAATAATAATAATAAGTTTCTAGATTGCCTGCTAGTAATGAATTAAATTTATCGAGAGCCAATTATTTCCACAAATCAAACATTACAAATAATAATATCGGCAGCGATATGATGTTGAAAGGCATGTTGGTGTGGCGACAAACAGGAACCATTCACCAGAAAAACAAACCCATCTGTGTCTCCGATCAGTTTGGATTATTGCAATGGATCGGGTCCACGGGGAATCCTTCTGTGTCCATTGTACATATATATATATATATATGGTGGCTACTTCGGTGCACTCACTTTTTTGGGTGCACTCAGTGCACCCAACTCTAAAAGCGTCCATAATACATCGATTTTGAACTTTAATTAGTACTCTCAATATAATATGATGATATGACATAGAATCATAACAAATCAATCCATTACCCTATCCCCTTAACCTTCAATTTTGAATCCCAACCCAAAATTCTTAATTGTAAACCTAAACCCTAACCCTAAATCCCTAATCCTAAATCCTTCGAATTAAAGTGAATTTGGAATGAATTTTTTTCAAATTTATGTGCTTCTTGTTCATAATATCATAAGGTACAATTGATACCGTTTTGATATGAATCGCATGCTCAGAATGATAATTATGAGGCGGGTGCACTGAGTGCACCCGAAAAAGTGGGTGCACCGAATACACCACCATATATATATATATATATATATATATATATATATATATATATATATTCATTACTAGTTTGAGTGCAAGCTTTGTTAATTGATACAAACATTATCACTTATCAGTATACTAATTAATTATACTACAAAGTCATGCGATGTATAAAGCCCTATTGATCTCCTAGGGAGTAACCAATTTCCAAGTCTTACCAACCCCACAAGCTATAGGTATAGTGCTATAGATGATATGGCATGGCGTTTCCGCTTGTGGAAACCTTACGACAACACCGATCTTCAAAGTATCGCAAAGGTACAATCTTCAAAAGTTTATTGGTATTCATGTCAGTTTGGATTTTAGTAGATAATTTGACAGGTACAATCAACCTACACGGTATGATATCAGAAAGTTCTTCAATAACAACATAACTACGATGACAATGAATAATTCCCGGGAAGGAGGGGGGGGGGGGGACAAAAAGAAGAAATCAATGTAAACGAAAAACAATGCTGCTTTTGCGAATTTGAAGGTAGATGCATGTGGTCGTGAAGAAACAATGCTACTTTCGCGAATTTGTGCGAACTTAGCCTCTCTTTCTCTAATTCTCTTGGGAAATTCAAAGTTTTTCTTTCATGTTATAATCTCTAGAGTTGGATGTTTTATTTAGATCGACTCGATCTCCAACCCCTAGGGTGTCACTTGGAAGTTGGTTTAAAAGCAATTAATCAAGAGCATGATAAAAGAGCTAGCTAAACCGAATTAACTCATCCAAGGGGAAAATGACAAGCAAGATAGGGTTGAACAGCTTGATTGGATTGGGATGTAGAGGGAAAGGGTCCTTAATCCTACCTAATCAAATCCTAATCTCTTTATAAACACCTAACTAATTTATTGGGTCTAGGTAAGGACCACTCAGAAAGAATCATAGAACCATATATCATTAACAAAGTGAAAGTGGGAAGTAACCTAATCATTCATAAAATGAGATTGAAGTTTCATGAATGAATAAATGGGAAGACTATCCTAACTTGACTCCAAAGAAGACCTCTTCCACCTAATTGTTCTAGTAATTGGATCTTTGATGTTTTCTCTTTGTTCACATTAAGACCTAAGTACAAAAGTCAAGCGAGTTAATGTGTGAATAATAGACGACAAACAATCATTTAAAGAATGTAAACGAGTTAGTGAGAAATCGTGATGAGGTGGGGGTAGATCAAACTCGACGCTTGGTGGATGCTAGATTTGAATCTCTTTAGTTTCGTCCCAAAAATAATTATTCAACATTTTTTTTTTATTTTCTCGGCCGAGCCCAGCATTCTACAAATTGGCTATGCCACTGGCCAGTCACATGAAGAAAAAAGCGAAAAATATCAATCCACTGTCACGAGGTTGAGAGTTTTAATAAAACTATAGTTTCCGTAGTTAAAATACTAGACATATATGAATGATTCTTGCGGTAACAATTGATGCTCTCGTCAGAACTCTCTAAAATCTGGGGGGGAATTTACTCTCTTATTCGAGAAGTCGAAACAAACACATACAAAAGAACCCCTAATCGAAACAATCACACTTCGAAGACCCAAACTCAATATCCATGTTGTAGTTCTAATTTTATCGGATGTTCCCGAAACGCCGGATACCTATTCCAGATATCAGATTCATTCGGAATCTGGGTTATTCGACATTGCCATGGCCCATGGGGCGGCTTGATTGATGGAGAACTGCCTTTCTTTCTTTCTTTCTTTCGTTGGGAATCCTGATAGGTGTGGAGTGGAGGAATATACTAATCGGCTGTGCTGTGTAGGCCACAGTTTTGGTGAGTGAGTGAGTGGTGGAAGCAAAGCTGGAATCTACAACACAGACAACTATGATTGCGCAGTTGACATTTCAGTTTTGGCCTTTCTGAGAATTGAGATCCCACAAAGGCCAATCAATTATCTGTTGCTAACTAATTACAACAGTACTACGTTAATCTCCTTTTGCTTCACCCTACTTTGGACAAGACATCCTTGCCATTTGCCCACAATGAGCTGGTGGATTGAGCTGGCAGGACGCGGTCAAGTGGCCAATGTAGTAGCTTGCTTCTGATAACGGATTACTGCGGTCGAACATGAAAACTCAAAACGGTTTATGACATGATATCAGAACTATTGAGACCAAGCAGGTCATCATCTTGACTCCACGTGAGAGGACGAAGAGCTTTAAACCATTGATTCGATAAAGCAGCACAATTCGTAGTGGCAAATTCACTGATAACTGTCAAGAGCTCAAGGCTTTGCCTCCGTCAATTACTTGACTAGTAGGCTTCGAAACATTCCACCTTCATTTTTTCTCGGTCCTTTCGTTTAGATTTCTAACTCAATATGAAGATATTGTAATTACAATTGAGACTTGATAAAAAGAGTTTCGTTCTATTTGTGAATTTAAACCTGCTCGAATCCGAATGGAATCAAACCAATAGTAGTGGATGGATAAGGAAATGGTTAAGATATCATGAATGGATGATAGGCAGAAAGAGGAAAAGGCAGGACAATTTGGAAGATGTGACTTCACTGCCTTGCCTTGTTTTTCTTAGCTGTGGGTGATTGGTTTCATACTCAATCAACCAACCTACATGGATGGCTGTCTTCGATTTAGATCCCGCTTTCACTTCTTACGATAAGATTTAGAACGCTTAGCACCGGCTGACATCATCATTCATCTAACAACTCGACACAGACGAAATTACAATTCTACAACGTCAGCACGCACTTAGTTCTTGCATGTTTGATACAAGTGACGATGATATGTACAAAGTGTAAAACTTGTGATAGAATATAAAAAGTATTATAATTGTCAAAACTTTTGCCTCTGCCAAGTACCAACTACTTGACTACTAGGCTTCGAAACATTCCACCTTCATTTCCTCGGTCCTTTCGTTTAGATTTCCGACTTAATATGAACATATTTTAACTAGATTTGATACTTGATAAAGAAGTTTCGTTCTAATTGTTAATTTAAGCCTGCTTGAATCCGAATGGAATCAAACCAATTGTAGAGGAAGGATAAAGAAATGGCTAACATATTCATGAATGCATGATAGGCAGAAAAGAGGAAAACGTAGGACAATTTGGAAGATGTGAATTCGTTTCATTACCTTGCCTTATTTTTCTTTGCTGCGGGTTATTGGTTTCATACTCAATCAACCAACCCACATGGATACCTGTTCTTCGATTTAGTCCCCACTCAGCACGAGCTAACATCGTTCAATCATTAATCTAACAACTCGAAACACGCAAAATTACAATCCTTCGACGTCAGCACGCGCTCCATCCCAGCACGTTCAATACAAGCAAGCTATGATATGTGCAAAAGTTACTAACTTTCAATTTTCCAGAACGAGAAAAACACCAGAAAACTGCACAATTTGAGGCTCTCTGCTTTTTCACACCACGCCATTGACAGCCGAACAGGAAGCTCGAACTTCCCCTTCTCCCTCCCCAGTCTTCACTCCAATCCCAGCGAGCTTCACAAAGGACCCGCTCCACGCCTCGAAAAACCTCTCCTGATCCCCCGCCATCTCCTCCACAATTCTCCTCGTCCTCTCGTCGTCCACCAGAACAGAATCCGACTGAAACAATCCCCTGCGCGCCACCAGATTCCGATAATACTGATTATCAAACAGATTCGACGTCTGGGGATCGTTAGCGACGGTGACTTTAGGGTTCGTATCTCCGCCGGCGGGACATTTCTTAATCAGATCGCTCGCGTAATTAGGATCGAGAGAGGCAGAATCAACGAGCTTCAGCTTCCCCTTGGAATCTGACTCGAACCGGTCGCTAAACGCGCCGCAGTGGGCCGACCCGATGGTATGGGCCCCCGAGAGAACAACGAGGTCGAGAAGAGACAGGCCCTTGGAGGAGAAGATCCGGCCCATTTGTGCCATCGTGAAGCTTGTATCCACTATATTGGGCCTGACGCTTTGGGCCGAGGAGGATTTGGAATCTCTCCTCCCCGTGGGGATTTGGGTCGCCGGCCCGCCGGAGAACGCGACGGCGTCTCTGGCGGCGAGGGCGAGGATGTCGGCGCAGGAGACGGTGGCCGGGCAGAAGATTTCGAGCACCGATTTGGCAGAGTCGATGACTTCGAACCCGCCGAGGGATTGGTTAGCTGGGTCGGTTCGTTCGGTTGAGTTGCCTTTGAGGAGGACGGATCCGTCGCAGCCGTCGACGAAGCAGTCGTGGAAGAGGAGGCGGAGGAGCTTGCCGGGGATGGATGGGTCTTGGGCGGAAGCTGATCGGACGGTGTTGGCGACGATTAATTCGGCGGCGGGGCAGGAGGCGGCGTAGAAGTCGAAAGAAAGAGGGGCAGAATGAGAGTTGGGAATGAGAATCTGCAGAAACAGGGGAAGCAGGGGAAGAAACAGGGGAAGGGTGGATTTGGATGCCATTTAGGGGAAAAGTTCTGTACAAGAGAGAACTTTGGATCTCTTTTTTCCGGTAGCTGCATTGCTGTATTTGAAATGGGAAGGTGAAAGGGTAAAGAGGAAATGCAAATGGGAAAGCTAGGTAGCTGCATTTATGGAACTGTCAGAAGAGTAGATGATGAGGGAGTGGAATGGGGCTTCTGTTCTTTACTTTTGGTGTTCTTCGCAAGAACTCTTATTCTCCCACACCCTTACTGTCACCACGCGCTTGTGATTGGAAAACCCAGGCGGCTAATTCTTTGTAGTAGCCCACTGCCCACAGTTACAGTTGAGCACGAAAATTCGTTGGGGAAACGAAACTAGCCATTACTGCTCTGTTAAGACCTTGGGATGGTGCTAGAAGGATGGATAACTGCATATTTATTACTGTTCATTCAAGGCAAATTATAATATGGCGAACATGAACTTATTAAATTTTGCACATACTCAAGTCATGTTATGATGTCATGACCATGTGCATTAGATGAACAGTTAAAATATTAAGTATAAATGATAATGTGTGATAAAGTAATTGATTTCAATAATTCGGGAAAAGAATAATTATTGAGAAAAGATAAATTATTAACTACCATTCTATTACTAGGAGCGAACATATAAATTCGGAGATCGGCCCAATTCGTCAACCCGAGCTGATCCAACTTGAGATTCGAGGGTTGCATAATATATGGGTGAATTAGGTTTTTAGTTATTGTTACCCGTTAAAGTTGGTGGGTGGATGTGGTTTTAGAGTTGACAAACCCGACCCATATCTTTTACCTATATAATTTTTGCACAACCGACTATATACATAATGAATATCATTCTGACTTTTGCTTAACCAATATTTAAGCACCGTCAAGAACCAGCTGATCCCAATAACTCGAGTTGTTGGGAGAGGTTCAATCGTGAATCATATACTGTTTACTAACACCCCCCTTCAAACTCAAGCCATTCAGATAGGCTTGGAGTTTGGACAGACACAGGTCCGGACACCGTGTGCTTAACAGAAACAGATAGGGGTCACCGGGAATCGAACAGAAGACCTCACGGTCACAGAAGGCTCTGATACCATGTCAAGAACCAGTTGATCTCAATAACTCGAGTTATTGGGATCAACTGGTTCTTGACAAGCACAACATATGTGTTGTTTAAGATGTTATAATGAAAGACATAGCTAATTACTCTCCAAGTTACATTGATCGACCCAAAGCCAACCACACCTCTAGAATTTTGTTTTTTCACGGTTGGGTTTGAGTCTTTTATCATCCACAGTTCCACACTGTAAATATGGATCGGTTGATTTAAAAACCGATCCACCCGACCCATACACCCCTGTTTAATAGGGTCCGGTGCGACTTGGTAAAAATGAAAGCTTTAACCTTGTAGAAAAAATGAGAATGGAGTACAAAAGTTGGCTTGATCCAGCTGTTGAGGGCCACTTAAATTTGAACACACCTGTCGTAGTAAATTCTTACGTGGAGTGAGTACATAAACATTATATCCACCCATGACCAGACCCACCCAGTTTCCTGCTGCAGACAGTCAAATTCAAAACCCTATTTAAGTTAGCAGCAGGAGCTTTTCCACAGTAAAATCAGGGCTGAAGTTTAGCCAGCTGTTCGAAAATGGGGGGAATACTACAGTAGATCCATAATGTGTTTCACCCAAAACTGCTGCTGACCTTTTCTTGTAGCCACTCCTTCTGGCTGCTCTACATCAATGAAGCTGCTGCTCGGTCTCATCACCTTCTGTTTCATCAATGCCGTCTATTGGTATTTCTTCAGTATCTTCAATATAAGGGCATATTGCAGGTGAGCCGATTGAACAATCAGTTTTGCTCATTGATAAACGATAACTAACAGGGGCAACATAAAGGGACTAGAATCCAGGAACGTGACATTCAAACAGCAGAAACAGGCAACTCGTGTTTACCTCGTTTGATGGATAGGCTAGGCATATCACAAGCAGCCGTCGCTGTTAGTGTGGTTCCTTGGTCTAGCAGATATGGAAGCTCCAAAAGCTGCAAAAAGGACTCTGTTTGAGGATTCCTAGGGCATTCTGCAATACATCGAAAGGAAATATTCCTAAGCAACCATAACGAACATGCTGTCTCTCGAAGTTGCTCGTGATTTAGACGCTTCAAGAAGCAAGTATATGTAGATCTGGTGATGCTGGAAATAACCAGTTCAAAACTATGATATTTATGTGCAAGATAACATGAGCATGGCTAAGAACAAATGATCATCAATTATTACCACCCCGCTGGTAGGAGCCCTTTGATTGAGATTGGTTGGGATCGTAAGCAGGAACAGTTCGTGCAAATTCAAAAGGTTTGGCTCCTCTAGCTTCTAGCTTGCTCCTGACCAATTCACGACAGTCTCGGATATCTGGGGTTGTATCCCTATAAACTCAACAGGACAAGCTTTAGTAACCAGAAAAGGAGGGGGTATACTTGAGAGGAAAATGAAGAGGGAAGTGGGCGTGGAGGGTGTAAACCTAAATAATAATAATAGACCTACCTGAAGTTTGCATTTTTGTTTGTCAATGGAAAGATAGAGTTAAACTTCCTGGTTATTGCTAGCCATTCTTCATCGTAGTGGAGCTCAAAAGGTCCGCATTCTGACTCTATTTCTAAAATCTGGAAAATGAATTGAACAGTATGGTTGAAAACATCGGCAGAGGAAAAAGAATCAACCATAGCAAAGTATAATGAATACCTGTAAGAACCTTCTCTGGGGCAGACATTTATCGAGCGCGAGAAATTTCGTCTTTCGGCCATCTTTCCCATGATCGACAAGGGCAGAAAATTTGCAGTGCAAGTGAGCTGAAAACCAATATGAGGGTTTCAACTTTTCAAGCAGTTCAGCAGCAGCTCTGTTTCCAAGGGTTCCTGCCTGAATCTGCAATTGTTTACAGACTTAAGTAAGGCAATAGTAAATGAAATAAGTACTGGTATGGTTCTCAGCATCTAGCACAATAAATACAAATGGATCACAGAAGAAACGTTTGAGGCATAAGAAGTACATCTTTTTCTAGGCCTGGTTTGAACCGAACAAGTTGCTGCCAGTTACCACAATCAGTGATGCCAAGAGGCCAATCATGCGAAAGGAAGATGTCAATGGGTTCTGCAACTTGCATGAGCTTGTGTACATCGTATTCACGAACATGATACACCGATCTTATAGTTTTTTCGTTATAAGGAGGTCTTTCATAATGCCCTATCCATCCCAATAACATATTAAATCAGATTCTAGTTGCTGGCTGCAACAAGGACCAAGAAAATCATACCACTACGGCAACTTTTGTTCTATCTTTTTTTCTCAACGCATTGGATCTGATAGATGAGAAATACCAACCTCGATGATAGTCTCCGGCATTGTAAATCCCAGAAAGCCCACCGATACGAATGTTACCGAACTTGACGACTCCAGCACATCCCAAGAAGAATATATTAGGAGCTGCCCATCCTCCATAATATCTGAAGAACAAATCCCAAAACCTATCATTCAACCAACCAGCTAAACCGATATCAATCAGCAATTGGAGAGAGCTAAGCAAACAATAGGCAGTACATACAGTTCCCACAAATAATTGGAAGCTTCATGATTGCCACCGATGAAAATGGTCGGAATGGGAGCAACCTCCTGGCCGGAATAGTACTTCCAGAAAGACTTCATTTCCTTGTATTTGGGCAGCACATTCAGGCTTTGCATATCCCTCTCGTTCCTAATTGCCTGGGGGAGAATACAACCCAAAAACCAAATCAATTCACCAGGAACCATCGAGGACATGCTGAAGGAAACTGATAAAAGCGAACCGCATTAACCTGGAAGTCGCCACAGCAGAGGAGAAGGTCGATTTTGATATCGTGCAACTTCTCCAGGTGCTGAATTGTCTGGTAGACTGTGTCCAGCTCACCATGCATACAACCTTCCACTGCTATCTTCATCTCTCTCTCTCTCTCTCTCTGAGGAATTCCTTTGAAGCAAAGTTAACAGTCAATTGGAAGCCACCATTATTATGAATCAAATAACAAATTCAACCCTAAAAATAGAAGCTTTTTAAGGTTTAGGATAAAACTTGTATGCAACCAATATAGAGAGAACCTAAGTTTGAACACCATTCCGTGTGAAAACAATCAAGAGCACATTGACTCCATTGATAAGAGTAAGGGCATCATCGAGCCATCTCTTAACGTCCGGAACGAAGAATGAATAAGGGAATCCAATAACCAGCAATGTCTACACAATGCGGGCATAGGCGCTACGCAGCCATCGAATCATAGTAAACTACAAAGGGATGGTGAAGACTAACCTAACCAGAGAGATAAGCTTGCTTGCAACGGAGGAAGGTTCCCGCCGACAGCTGCTAGAGAGTCTGACGGCAATCGTCGTTGAGCTGGCCGACGGTGAGAGTCGGAACGCGAGAGGCGAACGGCGAGCTTGCAGGCCGCGACTGAGGCGGCAAATCAACTACGAAGAAATAATAAAAATACAACTAAATTATTACTAATTACTTTTGCTTCTCAGAATAAAAACGTGGAGAGAACAACATATTTATAGGACTAATGCCATAAGCTCTTTCCTTTTAAAAAGGGAAATCCTAAACCAACAAGTAAATGATACCTTTCTCATATTAATTCTAAACATTTAGTAATACAAATATTTCAATAACCACAATAACCCAATAATTAATTAGTACGAATAGTAATACCACTAATGATAAATGGCGACGTTAAGAGCAGAAAGTGAGGAAAGTGGAGGGAAACAACAAGAAAAATCTTTCGTGGATCATTGCCGTTCTCAGAACAAATTGAGTGGTGGTGAACTGTCGAACGCTAAACCACTGTGGACGTGTCCCTCAAGCTCAACCCAAGACACAGAAGAAAAGTGCTTCCACCTCTCCATCACCAATCTTCACTCACTCCTTCTTCCACCCTTCCCTCCATTGCCAACTGCTGCTCCTAGCTGAGCTTAGCTTAGCTGATGGACGGCGCCATGGCGCTATCTTCATCCTCATCATCTCTTATCCACCCATTCCTCTCCCGCACCAGACCCACTACCACCAATCTCTCGCCTCCTCCTCCTCCAATGGCCGCCGCGATCGCCACCAACAACTCCGGCAAGTCCCACTTCCCCACCCAGCTCAACTTCCGCCGCAGCCGCCGTGGCAACTGCCATGCAGTCACCACCTCACATCCTTCTGCAATTGACCAAAATTCCGACGACGACGGAGTGCTATTCGGGGATCCGTCCATCGAAGAGAGACGGAGCGAGGAGAGAGTGGCGGTGGCGGATTACGACTGGACGGAGGAATGGTACCCGCTTTACCTCGCCGGGGAGGTCCCCGACGACGCTCCGTTGGGGCTCACTGTTTTCGATAAGCAGGTTGTGGTGTACAGAGACGGAGACGGCCAGTTCCGATGTTACGAAGATCGATGCCCACACAGGTCAGCTTTGCTGTTGTAATCTCTATTATGCTTTCCAACTGTTAGTCTCAGTGGGTCTTGATTGAGCTCCAATTTCAGATTGGCGAAGCTCTCAGAAGGGCAGATTACGGATGGGAAGCTGGAGTGTCTGTATCACGGATGGCAATTCGAAGGGGAAGAAGGCAAATGCGTGAAGATACCTCAGCTACCTGCAGAGAGCAAGATCCCCAAATCGGCCTGCGTCAGATCGTACGAGATCAGAGACTCCCAAGGGATCTTGTGGGTGTGGATGTCGACGAAAACGCCGCCGAACATGAAGAAGCTGCCTTGGTTCGAATCGGTGGCGAAACCAGGGTACGAGGCGATTTCGACAATCCACGAGCTTCCTTACGATCACTCCATTCTGCTGGAGAACTTGATGGACCCTGCCCATATCCCGATCTCCCATGACCGGACTGACACCTCTGCTAAAAGGGAGGAGGCTCAGCCGCTTCTGTTCGAGGTTACTGAGCGGTCTGATCGAGGGTTTGCAGGGCACTGGGGGAGGGAAGCAGATGGGCTGACGAGCTTCCTGCGGTTTCAAGCTCCTTGTGTCCTGTCAAATGTAAGAGAATTTACGGGTGAGAATGGGGAGAAACATTATGGAACTGGATTGTTTCTCTGTAGACCGGCGGGGCAAGGGAAGTCGATGGTCATCGTTCAGTTCGGCTCGACCAGAGGTTTGAAACTGGCGAAATGGATACCCAAATGGTTCATACACAAGGTCTCCTGCAAGATATTCGAACAGGACATGGGGTTTCTGTCGTCGCAGAATGAAGTTCTGATGAAGGAAAAAGTTCCCACCAAGAAGCTCTACATAAACTTGAGATCTTCGGATACATGGGTGCTCGAGTACCGGAAATGGATGGATAAAGTCGGGCATGGAATGCCTTACCATTTAGGGCACAGCACGATTTCTCTGCCGCAACTCCCTGCTGTTGTGGAACAAGCGCCAGCCGGCTTTGTAGCTGCCGCAGCTGCTTCTCCGCCGGCGAAGGGAGGGATCATGGAGATGCACGCACCGAACCTGACGAATCGGTACTTCAGGCATGTCGTCCACTGCAAGGAATGCTTGGGTGCTTTCAGGACTTTCAATGCTGCGAGGAATCTGCTCACTGGTGCAGCTCTTGCTCTAGTGGCGTTGGCTATTCTGGCGTCTCAACGGCAGTGGAAGGCCTTTCTGTTGGTGTCTGCAGGACTATGTTTGGCCGGAACGCACTTCACTTCCACAGTTATTGCTACCAAGACAACAAATTTCATTAGAGACCACAGGAGATAGTGACAGACTGATAGTGAGTTTTTGTGTTAATGCCACTTTTGAATTGAACATCATGTACGATAAATTTTCTGTCACATTTTGGGTAGAAGATATGTGAACCAAACAAAGCCATGTTTAAAACTTGAGCCACTTCTTCTCCTTCTCTTTGCTAACCACGGCATTGGTGGCTGAAGCATGAGTAGCCTCGGCATCTTCCAAAGCTTTCGAGCTTCCTTTTAACTTCCTCATGGCAGCTTCGTAGACTAACTTCTCCTTCTTGTTTCTAATCAGCCTTTCGACACAAATTCACAACTCCTTCACCTCATCTTCATAAGCTAACAGAGGTCCAGAGCCCGCCTGCCCACTTTCCTCTCGCCCGAACTGGTTTTTTGCTGCTTCTTGGCTGCCGACCCATCACTCACAGCTAGTTGGTCCTTGATGAAACTATACATATCTGGACGAGTTTCTTCATCTTCCTTAGTTCCTTTGCAGATTTGGCTGCTCTAACTGGCGCAGCAAACTTCTTATCACGTTTTCTCCTCCCACCTCTGCTCCGCTTTTTTGCTTGCTTTTCATTGCCGGCCTCTTCACGTTTCTGAGATTCCAGAACATGTTCATGTTCGAGAGATTGCTTATCTGGAAGGACCTTCACGGGCATTGGATTCACCATTCCCTGCCCTGATGCTTCTAAACCCAGTCCTTCACAATACCCCATATTTGCCATCATCTTGGAAGCTATGCCCCTAGTGTGATTCTCCCACTTGGCAAATATGGCGGTCTCGGTTTGAATGCCTCTTTGCTGGTTGATGCTTCCAAGAAATCCTAGACCTTCGGCGCTTTCTTCTTGTTCATAATCACTGGACTCCGATTGTTCTGCACTTGTATCATCACTATCTTCTTCCTAGCTCGCTAGTGCATACTGAAATAGGGATATAGCTTCAGGATCAAGCCTAGCAGAGCTCCCATCATCACACTATCTTCTTCCTCCTCCAGTGATTCCACTCCACCATCCGTAATGGCGTCAATGTCGATACGCTCTACATTGGAGCTCGGAAGTGCAGCTGCCACGTCCAATTCCTTCAACAACCGTGCGCGTTTCAGGTGAAGAAGCCCATCCTCCGCATCTTTGATCAACCGCACTATCTCCTCCTGAACCTGATCAAACCCCGAATGCAGAAACCGACTCAACCTCCATTCAAGAAGGGTATGATTGCAAAACACAGAGCCATATCTATCCGCCTGAAGCTCGACATGAAACCCTCAAACGATCGGATTGATTCGGGTTCTGCGATGGAAATCAGAACGGAAGGTAGGGTAGAGAAGAAGATTCTTACGGAGCGAAGTTCGGGATTGGAAGGATCAGAAGCAAGTGCTTCGTTGAGAGCGGCGACGGAGTCTCTCAGCTCTTTCTTCTTCGCTCGCCATCTCCTCTTTCTCCCAAATTCTCTGTTTCACTGACAAATAGTAACGAAACCGCTTATATATATAAAAACGCTGTCGTATCAGTTTCTGAGAAGAAACGGTTGGCGGCTGATCTCCACCGTCAATTTCACGTCAGAAGAAACAAATGGTGCCGATGTGGCGTCTCCAAAATAAAAACTTCAGAGAGATTGGCGGGTAAATTAATCCATCATTTCAAATTTCCCAATTTCGAGAAACGAGCTCCGAGCGGAAACCCTAGATTGAGGCGAAGGAGGAAGAAATGGGACGTGATCATCATCGTAACCAATCCGCTGACGGTCTGGTGATTCTGTTGATGAAAGCCCACCATGATCTCGCAGCGGTTCAGTTCAAGCTGGAGAAGGAGTTTCAACAGACTTACCCTGAGAATGTAAGTTGGCTGGTCTTCGAGGATTTCCTTTCTTCTACTCCATTCTTCTGGCGAAATCTTGCACCGTTTTCTGGTTCATTTTCGTGCTTCGTTCAGCGTAATGCTTCATCTGTTTGGGAGAATTGAGGAAATTCGATAGCAGTCGCTTTTAACTCTGTTTAAGTGTGTGTGTTTCTGAGTGCAGGCAAATCCCGTGAAGCTGGTGAATAGGATAAAGAAGATACAGGAGGAAGTTTCAGGGCTAAAGGAGCAGTGTCGTGAGCTTCTTGCTGCAAAACAGGTGCTTCTCCGCTTGGTTTCTGTCAATTTGGATTGTCCAGGATAGTCAAATAACCAAAATGCTTTCGGATTGGTTAGTAGTAGTGAATCAGTGATGGTGCACTTCTGAGTAATCAGATTCAGTTCTAACTCCACGGCTCTGAGATTCATTCTACTCATTGTCATGTTGCTGGAGTAAGTATGAAGCATGTTATTACGGTGTTGGAGCATGGAAATAGTTGTTTGATCTGATTTCGAGGCCAAGCACAAACCGGTCCGTGAAATTCCAGTAGGTGTGCTTTGAATTGCGACTCGTTTTCTAATAAGACCCCCCAGCGATGGTCCAAATCTAATAGTAAACCCTGCTTTCTGAATTCAGAAGTATTGCAACATTGGCTGTGTTCATAGTTGGCACCGTCTTTGCTGGATGTATATTCTCTTTGATGCTCTGGCTAGTTTGATTGGATATGAATTTATTTGGTGTTCTTTGGGCTCTTTCTGCAGGAATTGGTTGATAAAGCTCGGTCGATTCTGTTGGGGAACAACAATATAATACAAAGGATGCAAGTTTCAACTGGCATTTCTCCAACTACTGTTGATGATCCTGCATTTGCTGACTTCAATCAGGTATCTAGCGCGACAACTCAACACTCTTCTACAGCAAATGAAAAGAATTGTAACGTGGACTTTGTGGCTTACAGCAAAATGCCATGCTTCAAATGGTTGCATATTTTCCAAATGGTGCGTCAAGTGTTTGCGCCATTTGCCAGCAGGCAACCTACATTGAACAATCATTGAGGCTGTATACCAACTACAAGTACCCTGGGAGATGATTCTTGGGGTGCTTTTCTTTCAGTTTGAAAGCCCCTACAGGACCGTGTCAGGGCCAAATTTCAATTTTACAGTTCTTTGTTCTTTCATATCTGCGGTTTCGTCTGAATTATGTTTGTTCATGTGTAGATATCTCTCTTACATGAATTTCTGATCCATTTCACAATATTGTCCAGGTCATTGATGAGTGGAGCACACAAGTCAGATCAAGAACTGGTAAGAAATTTAAACTGTTTCCTCCATCTCTTCTAAACCTCCTTCCATTATCGACGATGGATAAGCTTATAAATTCGTCTTGCTAGAAAAGATCAGCAATTTTGAGCTGAAAAATTCCCCCCATTGAGCTCTACCCTGATGTCTCAACTTCAGGTTGTAGTTTTTCTTTAAGCATTGGGGATAAGAGTAGAAGGATGGTTTTAGAGGAACTGCTGTGGGTTGTTGACTTGTTGTAGCCCGCCTTCGTTTTTCTGAAGCTGGAAGGCACTTTGTATTGACGATGCAGGATATGAGGGAGAGGATTCGGAGGACCAGGACATAAACCAATTGCTCTTCTCAACTATTGTCCGAAGCAACGACTAACAACCACCTCAGGCTCAGTTTCAGAGAGCTGGATAGCCAAATATGCTGGTTTTGAAACACCCTCAGTGCCGGATCCTATCTACCAGTGCAGAATAGCCTGAGAACTAATTGCTTGACAAACACGTCATGTGTGAAGAAAACAACCGAGTAAGCCACAGCTTTTTTTCAGGGTACAAAACTTAATTACCAAAAAGGCGCGTGTTTGATTTGATGAGTTTGTAAATCAATGGTATTAATCTCAATGGTTTGATTGAGTGTATTTGTATAGGGAACTCTTACAAAGGGTGAAAAGATTTCTCAAATCCACTTCTCCCAGTCCCAGTTTCATCTTCTTCTGAACTGATGAGTCTACTATAGCTGTCTAGTGCAAGATCATTCTCCTTATAATTTATTGGGCTTAGTTGCTAAACTCTGTACCCATTAATGAAAGCAAGAATGATCTTGTTGGACCAGCGATAACTGTTTATCTTGTAAACCTCTATTTCTTGGTTTCGTACAACATTATTCGACTCGTTACTTCAAAAGATATCATCCCTACTTACTTCAAATCACTCGTACTATCTTCCAGCTAATATCATTATATAGTGGTATGCAAAAATTCGTGGTTACTGAAACAAATCTAATTTCAAGTGACAACATGTTACGGTCTGTTTCCCTTTCCACTATCTTACTTCTGTTTTTCTTGTTCTACTTTGTCACAAAGCTAATGGCTCCTTTCTTGGCAATCATAATGTAAATTTCAAACCCTAATTAGAAAACAATGTCATAATCATCCAGACTCCCTCCATTGCTCTCACCCGTCGACACGTGGACCTCCATTTGACCTCTTCACCATGTATTTCATGACTACTTTATTAGTTCATACACTACCATTGGGGGTGGTAGTTCGGTTATTTCGGTTATAACCGATAACCGATTGATCGGTTATCGGCTAATCGAAATAAACACCCCCTACCGAAAACTGACCGAAATAGGTTTCGGTTTCTCGGTTACTTCTGTTATCGGTTAACCAAACCACTTTTAAGACCAACAAATATTTTGGTCAGCTTCCGATAACCGACCAAAATTCGATTACTTTGGTTACCGGTTAGTGGATAACCGGCCGGTTAACCGATAACCGGTAACCGAACTGCCACCCCTAACTATCATAAATTATTGCTCATCACCAAGTCAAACCATGCCTGGTCGTCTTGTATTCAATTCCACATAATTAGCTTGCAAAAGGTCCAACCTTTTGTCACCACCCAAAAGTCCAACCCTAACACCGCCCCACTCCTATTTGCCCTGATTTTCTGCCAATCGAGTTCCCTCTTGTATCAGTCAAATAGGAAGTTGGGAAGAAGAAGAAGACTACATTCTGATTTCTGGAACCTAGTAACCTACCATCATTTGTCCCTTCAAATGTTCCCTCTGGAAAAGGTTGACTCTCCGCCTACTAAAAAAGGTGAGTCAAGAACATAAACAATTGGGTCACTTAATTTGGGGTTACCTGGCCAATCGGTCACTAAACTTTTTTATTTTTATTTTATGTATGACAAAGTTGTTTCTCAAGTGATTGTCTAACACATGTTGACGCGATGGAAGCGATGCATTCAATGGCGGAGGCTCTTCTGGAGGAAAGGTTGTACCTTTTTATGTGTTTTCTCGTTTCGTTCATGTTATTTTGCTCTTCTTAACTTTTCACAAAGTTGTGGTCAGTCTACCGACAAAATAGACTCTTTGAATAGATAATTCGTTTGTCTTCGAAATATCGTTTTATGTTGTTCAACGTGTTGTAAATTGTTCTTCTCCTTCTTCTTGGCTTATATATGGAAGAGTGTAATAAAGTTTTACACAACTTTGGAGCTACTAACCTATTATAGTCGTTAGTTCATATTTGTTAGGTTTCATATTCAAAATCTTCATATTGTTTTTTTTGTCCAATTCAATCAAATTAGTGACGGAAGAAAGTGATACATCTTAATCAACTAGCGTGAACAGTCTATTTTAAGTCATACTTGATCCAAATCAAACCTATTACCTAAACCTATTATAACTCGAGCGGCTCAGAATCAACCACTCAATTCATTTATTTCTCCCCCTAGTTCATAGCTAATTAGGGTATCGATAAGATCTTTCCATATTACTGATTTTAGTGAACCAATAAGCTTATATGGGCAATTCACACGAAAAAAATCTTACAAAGATTAGTGAATTAATTGATTGGAGTAGTCAGATTTCGATGACAAATGTGTAAGAAGCAAAACTTAACGACTGATTTATTAACGCTTACGAAATTTAACCACTTTTAATCAAATTACCCAAAAAATGGGGGTAAAAATCAAACAACAAAAATTCATCTTGACCATAAGGACCACCTTTATGTATGTACCCTCATTAGCACATCACAACAACCATTGGAATCATCTCAAGGTTGTCAACTCGCGGGTCGACCCACTTTGACCCTGACCCGGTGAGAAAAACGGGCATACGCACCCACCGGGCCGACCGCTACAAGGTACCGGGTTGGAGGTCAAATTATGTCATTTTTTTCTTTAGTTTGCGAAATGCGCCTATTTTCCGATTTTTCTTTTCGCCTAACTCAATCTTTGGAATCCTAAATTGGACATTTGAATATTTATTTTATATAAGTGTGTGTGAATTTTCACTATATGTTGGATCTAAGTATGATATGTTATTTTGGTGTAATATTATATGTTATAAGGCATATGCTAGATAAGATTTGATATAATTTATGAGGATAAGTACAATATAATGACTTTTTCTACATTTCCGGGCCAAACCGGACTAAAACGGTTGACCCATTAACCCTTGACCCACTAGCTCGACCGGGTCCGGGTCAACCCGCGGGTTGACAACCTTGAATCATCTCCAAGACCTTTCCCTCTCTTCTCCAATCTCACCCCTTCTTCTCACCCTTTTCGGCTTTTCCTCCCCTTATTATATAACTCTCTAAACCTCTCTCCACCTGAAGAAGAAACAATCAATCCACCTTCTCCTTCCTCTCATTCATTCATTCTTCAAACACTCTTACAAGCTAAGAGTGTAAAAGTTCACGGTACACATCCATGGAAACAGAGCGTCGGCGCCATGTGATGACCAATGTGAACAACGCCGCCGCATTACCCCCGACGTCGCCGGTTTCATCCACCACGTTCGTCCAAGCCGACGCGGCCACGTTCCGGGACCTCGTCCAGAAGCTCACCGGACTATCTCCCGACTCCGAGATCCGGCTTCCGGTCACTCTGCCTTCCAGAATCCACGCTCCAAAACAGGGCAACAACAACAACAACAGCGTAAATCATTCACCGCTCAATTCGCCCCGCCGGTCGCCGTACAAGCTCCAGGAGCGTCGCCACACGATCAGGAAGCTGGAGATCAAGCTGGGCCGAGCGTCTCTACGGAACAATGGCACGAGCCCCTGTTCCTCCCCCTGCTTTGTGGAGTCTCCGATCCGCAGCCCCGTCACGCCGCTGATGGGATCGCCGTTCTTTTCCAGCACCGAGACGTCGCCTTGCTCGGAGGAGGAGAGGGCCATCGCGGAGAAGAGGTTTTATCTCCATCCGTTGTCTCCGTTGAGCACGCCGCGGGGAGGGAGCGAGCCGCGGGAGCTGCTTCCCCTGTTTCCTCTGAGTTCTCCGACCGCGCTGAGGATTTGAATTGTATTGAAATCGGAGAGGTGTAGGAGAGAATTAATCAAATTGGGTTTGCAGAGATTGATTCAATGTGTGGTATAATTGATCCGGCGACCGGGAGGGTCGCTAATTCTTAAGGCCGGCGGAATATTTGTCTGGCCGGCCGGCCGGTTGGCACGGAGAGGGCAAATGAAAAGAAAGGGTAAATGCCTGATTCTATTTTGTGAATCTTGTTCGTCTGATTAGTTCCAATATTGGGCCTAATGCAATAAACTGGCAAAATTGCAATCAATTATGAGAGAAAATAGCTCATGACGAGTCGGATTAAGTGGGATAAATCAAAATTATCATCTTAAAATAACGAGGGAAAAAGATCTAACATCTCCTTTTATCAAATGACTTGGCAAGCAAAGTGCATAAATGTTACAATATAAAATTTGGGTAAATCCCACTAAATCATGTCATGTTTAGTCACTAGAAAAAATTAATATCAATTTTGGTCAATCGACTTACTGAAACATGTCACATTTAGTCACTCTCTCGTTAGTTTTTGTCCAACTCCATTAATGGAGTTGGACGGAGGCTAACGGAGAGTGACTAAATGTGACATGTTTCAGTAATTCAAGTGACATTTATAAATAAAAAGAAGTAATTCGAGTGACCGGAGTTGGACGGAGGCTAATGGGAGAGTGACTAAATGTGACCTGTTTTAGTAATTCGAGCGACCAAAATTGATATTAATTTTTTTTAGTGACTAAACATAACACGATTTAGTAACCCCAATGACCAAATGTGGCATTTACTCATATATATTACTTCAATCAAAATTTATATATATATATATATAAATTTTGATTGAAGTAATTTTGGATAAGAGTGAAAAAATGAAAATTGACCAGATCAATTACGGATAAGTCTACATGGGAAAATGACAATAGAACACTGCTCTATATCACGCGAGTTTAACGATATCCATCATCCACTACATGTCCAGAACAAATCAAGAGCGACAATACATGCAATTAACCGGAAGTTCGACTCCACAGCAAAATGTGGCATGCTTTAGAAGGGCGCAATTTGGACAACTGTGTTGTCCATGCATGGTAATTCTAGCTGCAACTTTTAGTTAGAAATATGACAATTATGTAATGTAATGGTTGTTTAATTTGTGTACTAAATAGGATTTTACAGATGATACTGTTGTCTTCGGGAAACCCTCTATGGATGAAGTTGAGCCTGTTATCCATATCATTGACAAGTACAAATCGCTAACAGGACAGGAAGTGAACATGGAAAAGTCTTCGGTCTTCTTCAGCAAGAACACTTCTTTGTCTTTGAGACTTTCCATCACCACTTTTCTCGGCTTTCCTTCTTCAATCTGTCATGATAAATACTTGGGAGTCCCCACCGAATGGGGAAGATCGAAGAAGGAAACTTTTTCATTCCTCCTTGAAAGAATGGAAAAAAGAGGCGATTCATGGAAGAGCCTCACGCTCTCGCATGGGGAAAGAAAACGTTGATCAAGGTTGTCCTTCAGGCGATCCCAACCTTCATAATGAGTGTTTTCCTTCTCCAGGCCACTCTTACCAAGAAGATGGACTCTCTTGTTCACAGGTTCTTCTGGTCAGGATCGATGAAAAAGCGTTTGATCCCGTGGAGAAAAGGAGATGTCCTGAATGACCCCAAAGGTGAGGGTGGGGTGGGATTCCGGAATTTTAACCTCTTTAATTTGTCTCTGCTTGCTAAATAGGGATGGAGGCTTCTTAATGACTCGGAGGCCCTCTGGGCTCGTTTGATGCGGGGACTTTATTTCCCCAACGGTCATTTCCTCTCAGCCAAGAAGGGAAATAGATCGTCATGGATTTGGGCAAGCTTGTGTGATTCAAGGAAAGCACTGGATTTGGGCACGATCCGTGTCATTGGTTCAGGAGAGGAATCATCCTTTCATAGAGATCCTTGGGTTCACACTCTTCAAAGCCACAAGATCTCGACTCAGATGTACCCTCCTTCTCGGGTGTGCGACTGGAAGAATGAAGACGGCTCGAAGTGGAACATGAACCTCATTCGACGTCACTGTTCACCAGAAGAAGCCGATGCTATCTCCCGCGTCCAGATTGGCCCTGAAGGTTCCCTGGACAAGTGGGCATGGAAATTCAAATCTTCAGGGGAATTTTCTGTGCGGACTTCCTACCATGGGATAAGGAAGCACTTTAAAGAACAGAATCAACCGCCGGTCAATGACATTAACTTGCTAGCTGATGACGACAAATGGAAATGGCTTTGGTCCTTGAAGCTTCCACCCAAGATCCGCTTCTTCATGTGGAGATGCTTACGGAATGTTCTCGCTACGAAGCTTAACCTTCACCGTCGACATTGTGCTCCTAACCCTTCATGTCAGCTTTGCAGTGGGCCTGAGGAAAATGCTCTTCACTGCCTTTTTTTGTGCCCACATGCTGCAGCAACCTGGCACAAGGTGTTCCCCTCCCTCGATGCTCCTCCTAATCTCTTACATTGGATCTTCTCCCTGAGGGAGGAGGATAACCTTGATTCGTGTCGAAAGAAGATCTTCTGCTTGTGGAATATTTGGAAAGCTCGTAACGAGTTCATCTTTAGAAGGGTCGTTCCAGTCCCATCTTTGACTGCCATTTGCGCCTTCAGAGATGCAGCTGGACCTTGTTACAATCCTCCTCCCGTTCCTTCCTTCACACAGCCTAGAAACATTCCACCACAATCATGCCCACCGCCATTGTATCCTCAGAAAAGGATTTTTTGTGATGGTTCTTTTGATCATGTGACACAGGAGGCGGCTTTTGGATTAGTTATTATTAACTCCAATGGACAGATTTGTGATGGAAAGGCTGGAAGGATCTCTTGTTCTTCCCCAATTGAAGCAGAGGCACATGCAATTCTTGAAGCTTGCCATTGTGCACTTGAAGACCCGACCCCCTCAGTTATCATGCCTGATTGCAAAGTTCTGGTGGACGCTCTCAACGGTCAGCCTGCTGATTGGCCTTGGCGATGTTACGCAGCTCTGTCCTCCGTTTCCAGAATCTTGCAACATTGGACAAGGATTCGTGTTTCTTTCACGAGTCGTCTAAACAACAAATGTGCTGATTGGGTGGCACGAAACTGTAGACTTAATGGCCTTCATCCTGAATGGCTTCATGTACTCAATGTTGTTTCTGTTTTGCTGTAACTTTGCTCTTTGGGGAATGAATGAATGAAACCTCTTTTCAAAAAGAATAATAGGATTTTAGCCTTTGTGTATATATTGGTTACCGTGCTATTCGTCGTCCTAGAATTCAAATGTTATCACCTTAAAAAGTAATAAATTGACATATTTATCCCTCAATACAATTTCAATTCTAAACCCTAACCAAACAATCCCTTTCCTCACCCCAACCCACATCCGCCGGATGGAAAGAAGATCAATCCCTAACCAAATAAACCCTAAGCAATAAATTGAAATTAATGTCAACTAAGAAAGATCAATCCAACAACATCTATGTATGCTGCATGAAAGTCAATTACTTCAGCCGGATGGAAAGAAGATTTTTTAAATCCTGCATTTCTCTACGACACTCGCTTCGTATCATCAACAACACCAATATATAATCTATCCTCGATCAAACAGCTCTCCAAAAACGCATGAGATCCAACAAACGTCCCAATGATGTCTGAATGAGAAGAGGGAATTCATCTGGAAGTCGAAGGGTAAAGTTTGTCATTCCTCTCATGACTGCGAATCGGCAATGTTGAAGGTACTAAACAATCTGGTTCAATACCAGTACAACCTCTTCTCGGTCACCAAGATCAATACTTATTACATGCTGAGGAATGAAAGACAAATAAATGAACTAAAGGTATTAAAGTAAATTTAACTTAGTTAGGACGAAGAATAAGAATTTTAGGACGAATAGCAATGCAATAACTTCAATTGCAAACTGGGAAAGTGAGCTCATAAAATATTTCAAAAAGAAAAAATGGGACCAACAACAAAACTCAGGTTGCTTTTGTTGGGAAGAAACCGCTCCTCTGACAACAAAACGTTTTTTTTCGATTTCAAGTTTCGAGACTTCTCTGTTGTCGCTATACCATTTGGAGTAACGGGGTCGAATAAACTTCTTGTCAATAACCACAAGTATTCTATTTCTGCAACAAATTATATTTGTCGCAATAACACCCTTGCAAATCTGTGACGAATACATCCGCAGTTGAACCCGAAAAGTTCGTAGCAAAATCCACAACCTCCTCCATTTTCCAAATAGCGACTATCAAGGAATAACCTTTGTCGATGAATCTTTTGTCGATATATGACTCTTTTTTTGTCGTGTTTGTCATGAAAAGTTTAATTTTCACCAATATCTCATAACAACACTATATTATGAGAACATACACTTATACGAGCACAATGAATTTCTCTACTAAGCGCTATTGTATATGCAAAAAAATCATATATTTCATATGGAAACATCATATATGTATGAAAAGAAATCATAACCTATGTGTGCATGGCAAGGTTTATGACCCAAATAAATTTCACAATCTATACATGTGCTTGGTAATTGATATGATGCTAACTTCAAAATTTAGTTCGGTTGTTCAACCTCATATGACCAATCTGTACATGATTGTTCAGCCATTCCATCATGAGCATGGCAGGTACCACCTTTGTTACATGTTATCCTTTTTTCTGGTGTAGCTAGAAGAGCACCTCCAGTATCTTCTTCCATCCCATGATCCCATCATCATCACTAGCCCTCTTGCTACCATAAGCCAAGAACTTGTAGCCAGCCAAGGACGTGAGTAATGGAATCAATACCACATACGGAGCAAACTGAACCACAACATGAATGAAAGCTACCAGCGAAACATTACCCCAGTTGACATCAATGAAGGCAAAGGACCTCTTGACGTCGTTCATATTTTTCTACTCTTTAGTGTTGTTGTTATGAATGTGCTGATAGAAGGTCAATTCCTACCAAGTTAATTGTGTTTCCATTGATACAATGGTTAATTACCCCAAAGCTTACTTGATCATGGTCTACATCAAGTCTTGTGGATCCATATGTGTGAAGCTCTATGAGTAAATGGCCGCTAAAAGAGTTCCATCATTCATGCTCTAGCAACAAGAGCAAGGCGATACACAGGCCGACAAAGATATTATAGAGTTAAGGAAGTTCTACACATGCAGAACAAAAGAGACGGGCCGACCAAATGCTCGAAACAGGACCATGTTAGTTAGCAGGTCTCGGATGGACTACATTTGAACATTTGTCGTTACATTTCCGCGGGAACAAGGATCTAGTTCATTCTCTTCTACTAGGATCCCTGCCTGCAGCTACAACTCTGCATCCCCTGAGAACTTGTCTGAAAGATTGGCTAAGATAAAACCTGCAAATACCTGGCAAAAATTTGTACAAAGACTCAAACTTTCATTCTTAAAACTCAAAACCATCCAGAGTAGAAAGGGTTTTGAGCATATTTTCCCTCTTAGTTTCCTTGCTATATTCAATCTACAATTGGAGAAAGAAGATATGTGAAAGCATAGAATGACGTGCCTGCAGGCAGCCGATGATGTAGATGGCAGAGTAGTGACGGCCATGAATCACCATGTCAGCCATCATGGCGAGAGGAATGGTCAAGGACATCCCCAGTGTGGCCACCAATGGCGTAGTCCAAATCACAGAAACAGCCCTGCTTGAAGGAAGGACACACCCAGCCCATCACAGTTCTTTCTTTTGCATATTGTGTATATCATCCAATTAAACGAAAATCAAGTACATTTATATGAATTCACAGCAACAACTCAACATACCAAAAGTAGTCTGCTAAAACGTTTCCCACGAGGCCATTTAGCACCACAATTTCATCAATTGATACCGAGTCGGGGAAGCTGAATCCGGGTTCTATTCCTAATGCACTGAGAGGCCATACTGCAAGCAAGAAACAAAAGAGACCCTCTTCAAATAACACTAGGGAAAGTGAACAATGTGCAAAGTGTTAATTGACTGCTTCATAACAGCTCCTTTTTCTGTTCTTTAATTGTCGTAATGTTCAATGTAATAGTATATGTGTTTCTCGTAAGAACAGAAGACTTTCAACTGGTTTTGAGTTTACTTACATAGCCACCAAAGGCCAACAAGAGTGAAAATGCCAATGAATCCTAGAATTTTTTGCATGTCAACCTTTTCATCTTGGGATCCTGCAGACCTCTTGAGCAGCACTGCAGATAACTTATCAGTAATCTTATAGAGCGAAACTAGTCTTTGGTATTGCACAAACATACTGGTCTTGTTCTTGGAACTTACCGGTGAACAAGGCATATGATATGGCTGAGAATAGACCTAGTATGTCCCCCTCAATTGAGTGTTTTCTTGTTCTTGAAAATCAAAGAGAGAACAGCCAGAAGGTTCTTGTCAAATGAGCAGCACCAACTTAGGAAGATAAGTAAGTAACAAGAGAGCGAATTTAACAAAAAAGGAAACAAGGCAATAACTTACTCATGTGGGGTCAACCCTTCATCTCTTGCCCAAGTCTTTCCAACTGTGGTCATGGCTACACCAGCCATGCTAATCAGTACAGCAACCACCTTAGCCGCATTTATCGAGTCCTGACCAAGAAGTGCCCCAAATGCAAGCGTGAAGAGCCCTGAGGTAGAACTGATGACAGTCGTATTGGCAACACTGGTGTATGCAAGGGCTGAGTTGGACAAGTACTGCAACAAATAGTACCAAGCAAATCATCCATTCAAACTTGAGAGCACAGACTGATCAAAGAAGGCATGAATGTAAAGTCAAATAGATTATAACACCTCTGATAGGAACCAAATTGGAGCAAGATACAAGCTAGATTTAGCAATTTCGCGCGAACCAAGTTGGGGATTCAGTTTATAGTGCAAGTGATGATGATCACCATGTTTGTTAACAACTTCCTTGTTGTAAATCAAAGGCCTTCCTTCTTCCCTCTCACTGAGATCCTTGTTAATCAAGTGACAGCTTCTTGTTGTTCTGTTAGTTTCAGAAGAATACTGGTGTGATTCACCATGCCGATCTACCACCTCAACTACTGAAGAAGAAGTGATGTTGGGATTCTGAATCTCCTCCTTAGTCCGTCCAAACAAGCTACACAGCCAATCTTTCAAGAATGCTATTGGTAGATGGAGCAACATCAGTGACACCCCGAGGTAAGTCAGAGCAAAAGGCTGTTCATACTTTTCGAAGATGCTCTGCAAAAAAATGGAGAGAATATTTCAAAGCCAGTTTCAAATACAAGACTTTCTTTCCTTTTCTCGAGAAACAAACAGAAAAAGAGACTCAAGAAACCAACCTGAGTGATCTCTGCAGAGGCAACCCAAATGAAAACAACCGTGCCAATCAGTCCCAACCCAGCTCTGTATCTCCAACCCATTCAGGAAAGCTTCGATCTTTTTTCGGAAACTCGAACTGGGTTTATGGTGGGTAATTGAAATTAACAATAACCAATCAAATCGCTATAACAAGACGTTCGGCTCCATTTTCTGAACAAGCTTACAATGCAGTAAACCAAAATTCTCAGTCAGGCAATCAGACGAACAGTTTTGTGCAACGAAACCAAAAAACAACCACCCGCATGGCTTGCCAGCAGAGATCGTATGCATAAAAAAAGCATTCTTGTGGATTACCTCTGACGTTACACAGCATTAAAGCTCTTTCCCATATTTAGGTGTTGGGAGAAGTGGGGGGGTTTCTTCTTGAATCTTGATCATGAAAATGCGATCACCACTCTTATTGTCATTTTCTGAAGCTGATGCATTACGGAAAAGAGAGAAAGGTTGGAACTTGGAAGAACGGAAATGCTTCTGATTCTGAAGTGTCAATTGTTTTCACGCTCAAAACGATGTGACACGTTGGAAGAGAAGGATGCCAAGTGCCCATGAGAACCGGTCCGGTTGGTTTGTATGGTCCAACCACAACCGAGTTGGGTCTGCTGTAACCGGTGATTACACTTCAATCGCCGTTAGTCCATTTAGGGACGCAGAGAAATTGGAAGAGTTGCGGTGGTTCGCGACTGTAAAGTATGAATCGTATTAGCTCCGACTGGCAAACCACAAGCCGCTGCCGCCGCTAATCGGAGGAAGAACTTGCTGCTGTTGGGTAACAAATTTCTAAAGTCGTCTACTTTTCCCCGATTGTTCAAATTTACAGCTGTTTGTGCTGAATCAGTTGAAGAAATATGTATATACTTCTTTCCCAGGAGTAGCAATCTGAGAAATTATGTGGCGAACCAGTAGAAGTTTTGCTAAATGTATTAGATTGGACTCGACCGAATTCCATTTTGGTCCATTCAACCAATTTGTTCAGAGAAGATGGGGGAAACCTGCAAATACTGCACAGACCCGCCTGGAGGATAGAACGAGGGACTCTAAGCTTGATAGGATAGCTGCTAACCTTAGGAAACTCAGAATCATCCTCAATCTCCATGAGCTGATGTCGAATCGAAAGCGTGGGCCTTTTGTTTCTGTACAACTGATGTCCAGGTGGAGAAACATTGTGGGGTTGAATGTAGGTGTAGGTGAGTTCATTCAGAAGTATCCTCACATATTCGAGGTTTTCATACACCCTATTCGGAGGAATATGTGTTGTAGAGTTACGTCGAAATGGGAGGACTTGATGGCTGAAGAGGCCGGGGTTATCAGAGAGAGTGAATCGAAGGAAGCCCTCTGGAGATTGAAGAAGCTGTTGATGATGTCCAAGAATGGAACTCTCCATGTTCATGCTTTGAGAATGATTAGGAAGGAACTGGGTTTGCCAGAAGATTTCCGGGACTCGATATTGAATGAGTATAAAAGTGATTTTGAGCTGGTTGATCTGGAAACAGTGAAAATGGTTAGTAGCAAAGATGATGAGAGATTGGGTGTGGCAGAGATCGAGAAATGGAGGGAGAAAGAGTACAAAGATAAATGGCTGAGTGAGCTCGAGACGAAGTATGCATTTCCTATTCAGTATCCCACAGGGTTCAAGATAAAGGGAGGGGTTAGAGAGAAGATGAGGAATTGGCAGAGGCTTCCTTACTTAAAGGCTTACGAAGAAGACAATGCAGGTGGCTTCAGCAGAAGTAGTAATGTGGTGGAGCGATATGAAAAACGTGCTGTTGCGATGATACACGAATTGTTGAGTCTGACGGTGGAGAAGATGGTCGATGTTCAGAGATTATCACATTTCAAGAAGGATTTTGGTATGGAAGTGAATGTGCGTGAGTTGCTGTTGAGCCACCCTGGAATTTTCTATATATCAACCAGGGGGAAGACTCAAGTTGTTTTCCTTAGGGAAGCATATGCAAAGGGGTGCCTGATTGAGCCAAACCCAATTCATGTTGTTCGGAAGAAGATGTTGGACCTTATATTGGTTGGTCGCCGGAACACAAGGGAACTGCAAACAGCTGAGGAATTACAAAGGCCGGAAAACAATTTGGTTTCGGAATAAAGAACTAGGATGGGAGTTTCAAATTCAGTTTCGATATAGTACAGAGATTTCCAGAGTTCACCGAACATTCTGCCTTTGGAGAACTGCCCTTGATGGCTCGACATGTGATTGGTAAGTGCAGTTTATGTGTTTATCTTTGTGCATGATCATTCATTGCGTAGTCCTTTATGAGCGAAGCTACCAAGTTACAATCTCTTCCTCAGAGAAAGGTTTATCTACCAAATTCACTATCTGATTTGCGAACTCCCTTTGTACATTGTGATGATTCAACTGGGCGTTCAGCGATTGGTGGCAGCATCAAACTTGACAAAAGCAGCAGCAATTGTACCTGAATGGACTGTCATCTGCGGCCGAAAGTTGCTCACTTTTTGCAGCAATTGTACTTGAATGAACTCTGGGGGAAACTAGTTGTCTGGCGCTGGCCCTCATGAGTTTTTATGGACGATCGCTCTAGGGAGCATACTGCCGGCTGCTCTTGTCAAGAAGAAACACATCCTATTGATAGAACAAGCTGAAATCATTCATCCCAAAACACAAGCTGAAGCAGGATGCAGTAGATGCATGAGGGGTATTGTTTGTCAAAATTAGTGGCGTCATCACCACAATACATCCTTCCTCCCATCTTGATAATCTGTTGCTGCACACTAATGGTTTGATACCACTTCACGATACATAGAACTATGATTGCTTAGTTATTCGATCTTCTCTAATTTAACAGACTATTCTCCTGTACTAGAGGAGCTCTCAAAGAAATAACGGATCACTTCATACGATAGGCTTAGTGAATCTTGTGTTGTGGATACTTCAGCCTCAATTTGTCCAATCTAGTAAAAGGAGACGCTTCTGATGACTCAATTAACGGCTTCATTCTGCTGAAGGGGAAGAGGTAATCTTTCCAAGGGTTTCCACTCTCCAACTAACAAGGACACATAAGTGGAAAACATCAAGGAAGCCAGTTCCAGAGTTAGATTGGGGATTATAATAAGGCTCCGGCAGCTGACAGGAAGCCTGTTCCAGAGTTGTCAGCAACTTAAAACCCAAAGAAGAAAGTGCAGGACTGGCATAGGTACAATCTTCTTAGCTTCAGAATCTTGAGTGACTCGTGATGATCACAAGCAATGATGGAAGCAGCTACGTTGCTAAATTTCCCACGATGTAGGGTAATGGACAAATGGTGAAGCTGGCCACCATTGGCGGCAGCAGAGCATTGCATGACACTATGAAACAGCCCTATACCAGGTCTTGTACAGAAATATCTTCCAAAATCAAAGGTGATGCTCCTCACAGCCACAAAATCGAATCTGATAGATAAAATACTTCTTCACATGTTCTATGAAACTTGAATTTTCGCGAACGGTTTCGATTGAAATTGAGGTTAGGAGTTGCTTTCCACAAATTTCTCCACCTCTTTTCATAGTAGGCTGGTCTGAACTGCAGATTTCGCGTCAAGGAACTAGAGAACGTGATCGATAATGTTGTATGGAAGATCGCTCAACCTGTTGATTTGTTCTTCGACATCGTGCCTCCTAATTTCGGGTTTCTTCTTGTCCATCTTAGAGTTCCCTGCCATATCCTCTTCCTCCTTACCATGAATCATATTGTTGCTGCAGACAAGAAATGTTCAAACTAAGGGAAGAACAAACAACAGTGTCACTTTGGTAAGAGGGAGAAAGGGAATAAAGAGAGACGACAAGGGCAATATTGTATTTTACTATCAATCGAATCCGAGTCAGCACATTTCTTCTCTTTTTCTTTTTCTATTCCAAAACAAGGGATAAAACGAATCCGTGTGCAGAAGCCGAAGCAATCGCCACTTTACTGATCCAGACATCCAGTGACTCTGTTTCAGCAACCACACCAACCACCAAACCAATCTTTCCGATGGAGTTCACGGCGGCGCAGCTGAGTCAGTTCGACGGCACCGACCCATCGAAGCCCATCTACGTGGCAATCAAGGGCCGGGTGTTCGACGTCAGCTCCGGCAATTCCTTCTACGGTCCTGGGGGATCCTACGCCATGTTCGCGGGGAAGGACGCGAGCAGAGCTCTGGCGAAGATGAGCAAGAACGACGAAGACGTCATCCCTTCGCTCGACGGCCTCTCCGACAAGGAGATCGGCGTGCTCGCCGATTGGGAGAAGAAGTTCGAGGCTAAGTACCCTGTTGTCGGCCGCGTCGTCTCTTAAAAACTCTGCCTTTCAAAACCCTAGCTCAAAAGAGTCCAAGATTGGATTTTTAATTGAAATATGTATTTGTGCTGTACTGTATTAACTCTCGATCTGACTCTCTCTGAATCTCTGTGTGATTGAATAAAGCCATGTGGGCTTTGTGTTGCTCTGGATTTTCTACAATGGGGAGGAATTGAATTCCTCTTAGCCTTTGATTGCCTTTGGAGTTGCAACTGATTGATGTAATGTAATAATAGCTCTCTGGCTTTGCTGGAACTTAGCTCCATTTTTGCTCTGTTCGTTTTTTGTGATCTTGATGGTGACTTGCTGCAGAGTTTCCCTCCCCAAAATGTTGTAGGCTTAGATCGAGTTCTTATGTTGCAGTAGCCAGTATGGACATGTTGAATTCTTGGTAACAACTCTTACAACTGCACTGTAGCTTTGTTGATTGAAATTGCTGTAATGGAGCAGCAGGGACTGTCAAAACCAGGATGGTTTGATCGGGTGATGAATCAGATTCATGAACGCGAGATCTGTATGCATCACAGTCGTTATCGGCATTCGTAGATTTTTCCTTCACTGATCTCCAATCTCTCTGGAGGAGAACCAATGTGGAAGAGATAAAAGGGAGATCTCCAATCTCTATATACGGGGAACCAATGTTGACGAGATAAAGAGGGAGAGTGGTTTGTTTTCAGAAGAAAGTATCTCCTTATTCACGATGGCACTCTCAAAGTCGACATTTTTTTTCATAGAAAGTCTAAAATTGGCTTAGAGACCAAATCAGTCTAATCTGTGGTGAAAATTTTCAACCCTCCAAAAATGATGTGTCTCCTCAAGTCAAATCTCTCTACCACATTTTCCTCTCTTGTGTTCTTATTTTCGGGTTCATTAGCATCAAATTTTAGCATCAAATTTCTCTTTATCAATTTGGCTAGATTATCGTTCCTCTGAATTCTTATTCCTGGATTCTGGTTGTCGTCGTTCATCCCTCCTTTCCACATTTGTAAGTTAACCCCCTCTATCTCCACATTTCTCATATGCAACAAAAAGAAGAGGAAAATGGCTTTTTTTCTTGGATTGGTTAGTGGCAAAATCGTTTATCCTAGATGTTCAAGCATGTAGAATTAAAGATCAATATTGTATCACACACCTCTAAATTTTTATTCTATCAAATTCAACATAGTGCACGTCTCCATATTCATTTGGTTGTTATTGGAGATGCTTGATGATAACACCGTTTTATATTTGATAATTTGAAACTGACAAAAAAAATGTAATTTTCATATCGTTCTTAATCATAAGAATGATACGGAAATATTGAGACGTAAAGTAACTGATTTTTCACCTAAAGGCTCCAAACATAAACCCTAATTATGAGCTAATCCATATTTCTTCCATGTCGACACCTTTATATTATATCCATTGTTTGTGCCTCGTATGCATAAATATGACAGCCAAGTTCTAACTAGCACCTCTCCTTGTCCAAACTTCAACCTTGTTTTTAGTCCAGAGTCGCACAAATCCAAGAAAAGAACCCAAGGCAAGACAGAAGTGGGAACCCACTACCCCAGCCAGATCCATTTGCACATACCAGGCCCCACTTGCCTGGGACCAACAGATTTCTGCCACGTCTCAGGCTCATCATATCAGTGGTTGGAGAAACCCAGATTGCCGACTCCAAGCTCCTAAACTTTGGCACCCAGTTGTAGCGTAGAATCGCAGTTTGCTATTGATCAGCAGCAGCGAAGAGATGTATGCAACTTGCCGCAGGGGATCCCAGCCCGTGAGGCAGAAATAAAGAAGAGAGAGCTATAGCTTCGAATACAAGGTGTGTTGCCTTACAGTTGGTCAACTACTGTAAACGTTTGACAATTCTTCTTCTCCACCAATGAACCTCTCCCGATCTACATTGAGAAAAAGTCCCCAGTTTGTTCGTTGGAAGTGGTAGCTCACAAGTTCTGATCTTTGCCTAAACTGGGAAAAGTTGTGAACTTTTGTCGTTTGCAATCCTTGGTGGGAGACACAGGTTGCTCCCACACATTTGGAAAGTGTTGAGCTTCAGAAAAGGGCAAATGCTTTGTTGATATCATCTTCCACATTGGATTGGTCGTACGCTTATCGTTTAAAGGAAAGTTCATTTCTTTCCTTAAACCCATTAGGAAGATTAGTAAATTGTCTTTTGGGGAGTGAGAAATTTCCGTCAGTTTCAAGGTGTTCCCATTTTCTGGGCAAGATTGATTTTTGCGGACTAGGTGTTCGTTGTATTGCCTCAACCGACTTGTGAGGAGGGGGCTGAGAGGCAGTGTGGGTTTTTGAGTATGGTGGAGGATGATGAGAATGTGGAAGCAGCATCTGGTGGTGAGGTGATGGAGGTAGGAAGGGATGGAGGAGGTAGATCTTGTTCTCGTGACTGCCTGTTGACTCCGCTGTACTGGTTCAAAATGCTCGCTAAGGAGACCCACTGGAGCTTCGTCTATGGTGTCCTGGTCGTTTATGGAATCAGCCAGGGTTTCGGAGGTGCTTTCTCTAAGGTGGGCACTGAGTACTACATGAAGGATGTTCAAAAGGTGCAGCCATCTGAGTCCCAGATCTACCAAGGACTCATCTCGATCCCTTGGCTTGTCAAGCCTATTTGGGGCCTCCTCACTGACGTCATCCCCATCTTAGGCTTTCGTAGACGCCCTTACTTCATTCTGGCAGGTAACCAACAAAACACTGAAGTTACTTGTATAGTTCCTCTTTCATCCTGTTCATATCTACATTTGGGATTGGCCTGATTTTTCAGAATCCTGGTATTTGTTATTTTCCAGGATTGCTTGGTGTGGCTTCAATGCTTCTATTGTCATTGGGTGGGAAGATGCACCTGTTTTTAGCTGTTCTGCTTTTGATTAGTGGAAGTGCTGGTGTGGCAATAGCAGATGTAACAGTAGATGCCTGTGTGGCACAGAACAGCAATGTCCATCATTCCCTTGCTGCTGATATGCAAAGTTTGTGTGCTTTAAGCTCATCCGTCGGGGCTTTGATTGGATTTGGTTTCAGTGGGATATTCGTTGATCTCCTTGGCCCTAAGGTTTGCTGTTCCCTGCCTCATTTTCTGCAGTTCTTTCTCAGTTTTAAAACCAAGGTGATTGATTATGTGTTCGAACTTGGTTATTCGTTTTAGGGGGTGTTTGGTTTGCTTGCAATCCCAGCCGCACTTGTATTGTCAGTAGGAGTTTTGCTGGAAGAGCCTTTGATGCCTAATTTCAGTTACAAACAGGTACTTAGATTCATTCTGTTGGCCTGTGGAAGTTCCTGACCTTGTTTACAAGTATCTAATAATTTTTGGGTCTCCTTTGCCCAGGTAAGCCATAGGTTCGTCGAAGCTGGGAAGGCCATGTGGATAACATTGAACTATCCAGAAGTGTGGAGACCATGCCTCTACATGTACTTATCTCTCACTTTGAGTGTCAACATTGATGAAGGCTTGTTCTATTGGTATACCGACTCGAAGGGCGGTCCCTCTTTTTCCCAGGTATTCTTCCCAAATGACGCTTAGTTTCTTATGATCCAAGAAAGATTTTGGTTCTTGACAGGGAAAAAATGGCTCTCGTCTTATGCAGGAAACTGTTGGTTTCATATTCTCAATTGGGTCAATTGGATCCTTATTGGGGGCACTACTATACCAAAATGTACTGAAAGACCATCCTTTCCGAAACTTGCTTTTCTGGACCCAACTGTTGTCTGGTCTGGCTGGGATGCTGGATTTGATTCTGGTGCTGAGATTGAACTTGAGATTTGGGATGCCTGACTACTTCTTCGCTGTGATCGACAACAGTGTGACTCAGTTGATTGGGAGGCTGAAATGGATGCCACTTCTTGTGCTGAGCTCCAAGCTTTGCCCTCCTGGGATTGAAGGCACTTTCTTTGCTCTCCTCATGTCCATTGATAATCTCGGCACTCTCTCGTCTTCCTGGGGAGGAGGAGTCCTCTTGCACATAATGAACGTAACCCGAACCAAGTTTGACAGTCTATGGCTGGTCATCTTGTTGCGGAACGTGTTGAGAATCACCCCACTTTTGTTGCTGTTCTTGATTCCTGCTGGTGATCCAAATGCTTCCATACTTCCAAGTGAGGCACTGGCTGAAGAAAAAGAAACTGGGACTCCAGCAGATGGAGACTTGGAGTTGGTGTCCCTGGTTAGTAGCGCCGACTATGTGGGCAAATAGAATCCCAAATTACTCATTCTATAGTTGAATTCTTTGAAGAGATTCATACTCTTGTGCCTGACAAAGCAATCCCAGAGAAGATCTGCCAATGAAGGGTGAAAGCTGATGAAACATGGCTGAGAAACTGCTTTGTTCAATGTACATTGTGTTGTATTATTTCCAGATATTGCCTGAGTGAGCAACCAAGAAGAGAAAGGAAGATCAAAACTAGAGGGAAGAAGAAGACAGGATCATCTTTGTTAGAACTTAGAAGCTAGGGAGTTTCGCTATACGATGTATTGTTTGAAAAAATCCTGTTGTATACCAAAGGTGGTGAGATAGATGTATAGGGAAATTCTCAATTTTGGGTATTGCCTATTCTGCTGCAATGCATCAGTCAGTTTGTTCTAATCCTGAAACCCATTCAGTTTCTGTCAATGGCCTGTAGGCCTCTTCTCAGACTGTTGAACAGCTGAAATATCAAGGAGGCAGCCATTGAATATCAAGTTTGATTCTTCAGGTAAAAAATTGTAAGAGAAACAATTTCTATGGTTCAGAAGGCAATTTGCCAGGAATGAGCATTTGACTAGTGAGGCACAAAAGTGGGTATTTAGCCCACTTGTCCTGTGGGCCGTTTAAAAGCCCAAAAAGGTAAGACGGAGAAACGTCTAAAAGAAAGCGGCGGAGAGAGTTAGCGACTAGCGAGCAACTCCGCCTCCGCCGTCTGCCATTTCCCGATTGTCAGATATCATCAGCTCACCGCCGCATTCGCTCCACCGTCACCGCCGCTATCTCGCGCCGTTGTCAGCTGTACTGTTGCGACTCTTTATAGAGAGCGATAAAGAGAGAGTCTGTGATCGAAAGTCTGATTAAACATTTTCGCTGCGACTACCGCCGGTTTTATCACTGGCTGCCGTCGGCAATTGTTTGTTGGCCGTAGCTCCTCGACAAGGAGTTTCATGAACAAAGGTGATTGCTTCTCGCAGTCCTTTGCTGATTGCAATTGTTTGGTGTTTAATATTATTGATGAAAATCGTCAATTTCGAACTGTTACGGTTGTAGCTCGGTAGTTTTTGCTTCTGGTATGAGAAGTACGGCTCTTTGTTTAAACGCTTGGTCAAGAGAATGGCAGGATTTGTTTCATTTGCTTTCTTTCTGGTTTACATCCTCAACAGTGCAAATATGGTAGTTGATGGTCATTAACATCAGTGCAGGTCCTACTGCCTGCAGGTTCCATAGTGATGATCCATTTGAGAAAGGAAAGAAACTGGTTTTCATTCAGTGAGTTTTGTCTGCTGCTTTGATTTCTTAGGAGCAGTGTGAAATTCTTAGCAGTCTGAAGTCTGAACAATCGAAGGAGTTGCGTCTGCAGTATTTGGGGTGGCATTTATCTGTTGATATGGGACGGTTTGGGGTTTTTTCATCCTTTCTTATGTAACGAGAGTGCACATCTTGATCCATTTAGCTTGTTTTTCTCAGTGAATCATTATGCCAGCTGATCCAAATAGCTATGTATCATTCGGATATTAAAGGTTTCTAGCTGGAGTTGGAACACGTTGGTAATTGAAGATGCTTAGTAGACTTCCGAAGTGTTGCTTCTGTACTTCTGCAACAGCAAGCCCGTGGCTCTTTGTGGGTCTAGGCAATCCGGGCGAGAAATTCAAAGGAACTCGTCACAATGTGTGTAGCTCCAAGGGCTCGGATTCTGGATGCTTCCACCTCATGTCTTTGTCTTAGTGTTTTGTTTTCTAAAATTATGGTAGTAACTCTCATTTCACTGGAGCAGGTAGGTTTTCAGATGATCGATGCATTTGCTGAGTCGCAAGAACTTCCAATGAACACAGTGCAATGCAAAGCTTTGTTTGGAGAAGGTTTGATTGACCCCTCTCTTTTTGAGCCGGAAACATTGGGAGGGTGCTTGTTGAGTTCAAGCTCATGGAGTTGCGCTGTTGTTTGTAGGTTATGTTGGGGATGCACCTGTTCTCCTTGCAAAGCCTCAAACTTATATGAACCTGAGTGGTGAATCGGTAAGTGGCTTGTAGTATGTGCTGAAGCTGCAGTCTCTATTGATGAACTTTTTTATTTCAGGTTTATCAACTCCGGAACAACTGATTTATCCTTGGGTTGCATCTTAATCCATATTAGATGAAGTGAAGATCTTGATTAATGTCTTGTCAATTTCAGGTTGGACCTCTTGCAGCTTATTACAAACTGCCTCTTAACAAAGTTGTCGTGGTATTGTTGATCTCCACTTCGTGACTCGTGTTGACCAACCTCTTTTACTCCATAGTTCATGGGGAACTTGATGTGAATATAGTTGCAGGTATATGATGACATGGACTTGCCTTGTGGAGTGCTTCGACTTCAACCAAAGGGAGGTCATTTTAGCCACAACGGGTATGGATGACAGTAGTCTACTGTTGTGCTTAATTATGGTAGAGCTATAGAGATATTGCTTGTTGGCTGTTTATGCTTTTCCTCCCTTCTCTGTCTCGTTGTGTTGTGCTTGATTGTTATCCATTTGCTTTTGCTGTAGTTTGAAGAGTGTGATTTATCATTTTCGAGGGAACAGAGAATTTGCTCGGCTCAGAATTGGTCAGTGTAAATGTATCCACTTAATTCCTTGCATCTTAGGATGCTCTCTAAATTTGTGATGCGTGAATATCTCTCTGTCCCCAGGAATTGGAAGGCCCCCTGGCCAAATGGACCCAAAGGCTTTCTTGCTACAGAGGTTCAATGCCACAGCTCAAGGGCGAGTAAGTATGCCAGTGAGAAGCAGAATCTTCTCTTCTCTTTTTCGTTATTAGATTCGCCTGGCTTCCAAGAAACTATTCTTGGAGTACAAGGTTTGAGCAATCAGTTGTGGTTTGATTGGATCCTGAATGTCCTTGAAGAATAACAGCATAAAACCATTATTTTTCATTTCCCCCCTAAAACCTTGTGTTGCTTTTGCTTCTGTTTTTGTTCAAAGATCGATGCAGCTTTGCCGGAAGGAGTTGCTGCATTGAAGTCCATCTTATCAAAAGGTTTAACAGAGACTGCAAGATGGTTCAACCAGCAACAAAAGTACAAGCACATTAGAGTGCAAACCCTCCCAACATGACAAGCTCCTCCCCTTATAGTACCATTCAAAAGGACATCGCATGTGTTCTTTTTCCTCTGTGTAAAAGGAAAGTTGGTAAACAACCGTGTTGAAGCTGTGAATTGGTTTTAGCACTTTCTTTTGCGCCTGTAAATCTGCCTTCATATTTGTCGATCAAACAATCGAAGGGACTCATAAATGCAAGTATGATTGATCAAATAATCATACGACTAACTTGACGACCAATGTCAAACCTATCCAACGAACCAAATGCTTCAGACTTGAATACGGATGACTTCTACTCGATCCATCCTATAAATGGAAGGAACTGATTGGACACTCCTTTACTTTTGGAATTTTCAGGGGTGTTTTGGTATAGTTTGTGATTTTTGCATATCAAGTTCAAAACTGTGTTTGCTAAAATCGTACTACACCGGTGCTTCTATCGAAAAATCCAACCAACGGAGTTCAAGGTAGTATAAGATTTTACTAGAGCTGTGACGACTATATGCAAATGACATTATCTCATATTGTTGACAAATTTTCCAAAATGGTACATACCACACTCAATAACTACTATACACCTGATGAAGGGTTCACAACTCAATAACTTAGTGTAAAAATTATGCTACTAATGTGTAGGGTTCACTTTTCATTACCCCTCATACAAACACTCAAAAAGTATTTATAAAAAAAAAAAACATTTGACATTGGCATAGCATGTCGGCCTGTTTGGTCACTCCTTTTGATCGGTTGTATCATTGTACGATATATCTATGGAGGAGAAAGGAGCTAAATGTGCTTATGGTTGATATTGGCTTGGAAAGACGCCAACCTCACTTCTTCTTCCTTAGGCGCAAAAAACCCTCCCTGGCAGAAACAGACAAATACAGGAACCCGAGAATAATGGGACTATCTTCCTGGTTTTGCAGACTCTAAAAACAAGTTGACGAATTGAAACTTAGACTGAACCAAACCTGGTGCTTTTGATTCCTTTTTCTATCCAATGCTCATACAAGAACCAGACTACTACCAATGTGTAAGATGGAATGATAAGAATACCATCTGCATCACTTGATTCATTTGGAACTTTATGGAAATAACAAAATTACATCTCTGATTGCATTTTCATGGTGGCATTAACAAGCAGTCACACTCACTTTCGTCTCTCGGTTACATTCAATCCCCCTTTTGATCCATTGCCATGGATGGAACAAACATTCAATTTTCCCCATTCTGCAACTTTTGATGAACCATAAATAAAAGAGCACTACTATTTTAAGCGTCTCCTCTCTCTGTCCCTGTCTCTGCTGTTGCTTCTATTATCTCTGTCATGATCATCACGTTCTCTGCTTCCACTCTTCTCGCGCTGACTCCTTTCGTTCTCTGCCTTGTGACCACCTCTATTATCTCTATCTCTGTCCACCCTGTGGTGCCTTTCACGCTCTCTCTCCACCTCATTCTCTCTCTCCCTCCCTGTAGGTGGTCTCCGACGAGGACTCATACTTCCACTTAGGCTCCTCTGTCGTTTTCTCGATGATGATTCATTGTTGTTGGTACTGCTCTCCCGTCTCTCCCTCCTTTCCAAAGACCCTCTCTCTGCTACAGAATTCCACATTTAGAGATTATTTCCTGTATCAAGTCCAAATATTGCACAAGAAATCCAACTTTGCAGCTACTTAGCGACAAAAGTATGAATACTAGCAGTGAGAAACTAAAACCAATATGAACTCTGCTTATGAACAATTAAACTTACTGTTCTCAGTTGCATCTTCATTCCTACTCAACAGGCCGTATTCAGCTTCGAGCCTCTTCCGTTGGATCGCTACCTTTCTCTCGATTTCCTCTGAACTCTTTATTCCTCTTTCCTCGAGGGATTCACGATATTCTATCAAAGCAACCTCCAGACGCCTCAACTTCTGTCTGCAACATCGGAAAAGGAAATACTCTCCGTTAAACAAATGCTATGATCAAATAACCTGAGGTCACAAAACCTATGTAGAATTATAAACGAACCAATGTAGTGGAAGTCAGAAGAACCATGACAAGTAACTAACCTCTGTTCATCATTTATTCCACTGTCGGGTTGTCCTGAAACACTTCCATCCATCGCAAACTCCTCATCGTCACCCTTGCCTGGATCATCACCAGCAACTTCACTTCCAGAAGATGAGTAACTCAACCCAATCCCCTTAGTAGAATTTCTCTTCTGTTCATCGTCACTTCCATCATCATCATCATCATCACGAGCCCATTTCGATGCAGTTAAAACATGATCTGTCTTCTCTCTCTTTGTGAAGGGTTTTGATGCAGCAGGTTGAGGAGTTACAAGTGTCGAAACCAAATGTGTAGAGTCACTTCCAGAGAATCCCCCGGTGGGCTGAGGAGGGTCAATAAATCCAGTTTCTCTGTAAACGCCACTTGTTGTAACCCTACTACCAGAGGTTGAAGACTGACTTTTCTGAGATAACTTCAAGTCATCGTCCAACTCATAACCTCTCTGCTTTTCTGCCTCTTCAAGGCTCAGCAACCGTGCAACCATCATCTCTCTACCACCAACAAGGGATAACCCATTATGTCTGCAACGCCTTTCCAGCTCAGGAAGTGGAAGACTCATCAGCTCCCTTGTTGCTGCTCCTTTCCCCATTGCCAGCGCAGCATCTTGGTTGGCAACCTTGGACCCATCACCGCCAGCTTTATCTGAGCCAGCACTCTTCTTCTTCTCTATTTCTGGAGTATCACCGCATAATGAATGGAAAGAGACCACACCCGAGTTACTGGACCGAAGAAATGTTGCTCGAAGTCCATTAACATATGCATCTGAGAACAGGAACCAATCAGACCATACTTGTAAGACTTTAAGGACTCGCTCCTGTTGAACAAAAGAAACAAACCACGATGAAAAACATATTATATTCAAGGGGTGGACCATGAGAAGTTGAGCATGTCTTAAAACAAACCTTGAGTGCCTCAGCAGTGATCCTTCCAGTTATGCTGCAGTACAAATCATTAAAGCTCTCCATGATATCAGGTAGACTAGCTTCAAACTTGGTCCGGTATGCAGAAGCATTCTTAACAGGAGCACTACTATTGTGAAGGATGTCAGATACAAGCATGAGTCTTGCAACTTTCGTAGGAATAGGAGTTTCCTTGAGGGTCAATGATTCCGTCAGGACCTCCACTATCTGCAGAAAGGAATTTTTCAAGTAAGATACATAGGCTTCCTAACAGTATTCAGATCAGCAAACTGTAAATCCTTCAGAGATAGTTCCTTGTACTATAGCTAATATAGACAACAAACTCAGTCATTTGTGGAGTAGGCAATTCCAACACCTGAAACCTATGCACTAAAACACATTTGAGGTGCATTTCAAACTGTGATGAAATCAGGACCTCTCCAGCAGCATCAGCATTGTCCAAGGCAAAACCCATGGCATCTTTTATCTGACTTCTTTCTAGTGTCAAAGCACGTAGCATATCCTCAAATTCATCCCTCTGTGGGTCAGTGAGAGTTCGTTCTGGATCAAGCCGCTGCACAAATGGATAAATGGTTAAAACTCAATGGCTAGTAATTCATAGACAGTAGAACATTGCTCCGGGAAGAATGCAAGTATATATACCCTGCTTTTTCCTGCAGCATAGGTAGTTCCAGCATCCTTTTCATGCTCTGGACTTTTAACAGTTGGCAGCGGTGGTGGCATCCATCTAGACAGTGAGATATTAAAAAGAAAAAATTAAGCAGAGGTATAAGAGAAGCACCTAAGCAAATCTTGAGAAGTAACTGTATAACTGAATTCATAAAAAATTACCTTCCACTTCCGGTTATCATGATAAAGGGCTCTGTTCTCCACCTTTGAAGAGTATCACCCTGCAGGACAGAAAAATCAATATCCAAACAGATTGGATAGTAACTCTTTGGACAATGTATATTCTGTAACACTAATAAGTGTGTATAATTATCACAATGAGACCTGCTTTTAATAGTCAATCTCATTGTAATGTGACATCTCCAGAAGTGCATAAGACCAAGTACCTGTGCAAAGGAATACAGCCGCCAGACATAGTATGTGTGCTCCTTAGAGCCAAGCTCGAAGAGGAAATTGAATAGGGAATTCCCACGGCCCCTCTCCATGATAGCTTGTTCAAAAGCACATCCTCCATCTAGCACATATAGAGCCATTGTATCGATTACATGGCGTAGGTGATCATCATCAGGTGGAACAACTGTTATATCAGGAACATTTGGAGTAAGAACCTGCACAAAAGAATGAAATTATCAAATAAAATCTTCGTAAGTTGAAAGTGACTTATCAAATGAAAGAGATATTCGACATTTCAACCAAATACACAAAGTCACATATTAAATAGAACAACCAAACCAGCATCATCAAGATGGTGGCTTCCAATGTAAAAGCACCATGTACCCAAACAAGAACCATACAACAAGATAGGAAGATCAAACGACCCCAGATTTATATCTTGTCCTGATTTGGTTAAAATGCCAGCACGACAAAGTAGCATAAAGCAAACTTCATTAAACTTACCAGTTCAGAGTTCTGATTTGGACCGGAGGAAACAGGTGCACCAGAAGGACCAGATGGACCAGAGAGAATAACAGTGGCGCCCTGCAAGACAGAAAGTGCGCATCAAGGATCAAATCATACTAAGAAAAAAAAGTACACCAATTAACGAAGACACCTACCCCTACCTAAATGACAAAAAGCCAAGAGAGACCTTTTAGAAGAAATGAAAAATCAATAGACCACCATTTACAAGAGGTAATAAATGCTTTGAAACCACAATCGCACATACATTGCCAGACATCACACAGAAAAATATGTACATGATTCTCACACATATTCAGAATGCCTCGTTTCATTATTAAGAATAGGATGTAGCATATCTCCTAAACAAGAAAGAAGACCAGACCTCCTTGCTCCTGATGGCCATGTGACCTGGAGGAGGAGCAGGCAGAGCCTGAGAAGGAAGAGCCACAGATTTACCCCATCCAATTTTCAACTCGTACTCGTAAACAACAACTCCTGCACATAGAAACAATTCCATAAGAAGATTGATATAATATAGAGTGCACCATAAGTCGATCTTAATATCAGTAAGTGAACAAACCAGATTCACTAGAAAATAAATCACTGGTACTTGAATATCGCATCACAGATCATGACTCTGGATGAACATATTGAGTGCATACTACCTTCATTCTAACTCTTGTACAATGAAATGGACGGGCCTGTTATGTGACAAGGTGCAATTATATCCACATATGTAAGACACAAGCAGTATGGATCTTGATAAACAACTGATAGGGCTTAATATAAAACAAATCAACTAGTGTCTACAGATCAAGAATCTTTCCTCACTGAAGACTGATCATTTCTCAGGACCACTTATTCTAGACAGATAAATGCTCAACAGTTGAGATAAGACCTACGTCTGTACATACATGAAAGAACTAGGCTCTCGAGGTTTGAAGCATTTGCTAGATGAATACCAGACCCAAAATCCATGATTTCAGCCAATGAAATACTATTGCTATGAACCAGCGCAATATGTAGACAAAATAGGCATACAAAACATACAACAGATGACTTGAGAAATGCTTTATTTCCATCCATCCTGAGAGATATATGGAGAAGCCTCCAGAATATATTTAACTCTCAGCCCAAGGTCCCAGAATGCATATGCCATAGATACCATGGAATATATCAGCAACAACAGTAAACGTTGACCTTAAAACCTTGTGAGGAAGAATTGAAGTTCAGAGCTTAACCTTGCATTTCATCTTTCGCTGCTTGCGCGTCAGCTCTGTACATGAATGCTACAAATCCACAATTTCTTTGTCGCCTACGCTCCTCATCTGTTCTAGGCCACATTATCTTTACACTAGCAATAGGCCCGAATCTTCCAAAAGTGCGCAATAGAAAATTCTCATCAACCTAGATTAATGAAAGCGACAGATATTAGTAACTCTGTTGTCAATCAACCATGTAAGCTGATAATAACACCAGAAGCAATTCAGTCAAAGATTCACCTGAGGCGCAAGATTCCCCACATAAAGATTGGTTGTCTGTGGATCACCATCATCAAATGATCCTGGAAGCCTTCCACTTGGATCAAAGTCATCAGGCAGTTCATCGAACCGCGTACTAGATGACTGAAACATAGCTATATTATACTTGTGCAGATATTTCTGAGAGCTATAGAAGATGCAAGGAGCAAGGATATGGTTTTCTCCTACTGGGAAAAAAAAACAAGTAAAAAGGAAATACTTACTAGAGAAGTATCACTAGGACGTCCATCGCGCCAACGCTCGCGTTCCTGATTCCTTTTCTCCCTCAATTCATGTTCATGCTTCAGCTCTTCCATGAAATGATCAATATTTCTGGTCTTCCCTTTTTCCCTGTCCTTTGACCTCTCCTCCTCCCTCTGTAACATATATTAAACATTTAGAGCCATGTAGACAAAGAAGGAATCAACATAAAAATTAGCATTTTCAGATACAGACCTTCTTATCAGATTCCTTTCCCTTGGATGCCATGGGAGGTGGTAAAAAGGATGGGACATACCTGCAGAGGTGATATGAAGGATAAACTTCCATGCCATAGGACAAGTACGAACTTGCCCGGGTAGACTTAGTACACGTCAGTATCTTATAAATGCTTTGATCATGCTGAACTTTATGTTGAGTGTTGGTTTTCGACAGACAAATAAATTCTTGAAGATACACAGGTGAAATTTTCTAGTGTGCATAGCATTCACTCGACTACCATAGTGAGCCCTGCTGGGATTGATACAACTAAGGACAAATGGATTGTCACAATCACGTACAAAAGAAGACAACTTGTCTTCTCTTAGTCGACGCATTGATTACATTATACACATCAACCAAACCTAGGCGACCAGAATAACTGAGTGCAAAGATGTAGAAGACGGCAATTCTTGGTTTATAAATTCTAAAGACTCTAGCTACGTGGATGAACCATCACTGCACAGAGCTCTACCATAATGCCTTTAAAGTAGCACCTCAACATGGTTGATCAATCAAAAGCATCAATTTACCTACTTCCCTTCTTTGGAACAGATACCCCATCTTTGGACTTTTCACCTGCCATCCGGGAATGAATAAAAAAGGCCCATACTTTTATTAATGTGATCCCATCAAAGAAGAAAAACACTCCATGCATCCAAATTGTCAGATGGGCATGAGACAGGACATAACAATGGAAATAAACTTCTACGAAGGATAGAGATCTATTACAGACTAACCTTCAGATTCATCCTTCACTTTGTCATTGGGATTGATCAGTCCACCCCTGACAAAAGTCTTCGAGCCAGGAGCTGTATCCCCTTGGAAAGACTCCACAAACTCAGCATATAATCGAGCAGTTTCATCCTCAGCCCTCTGTGCAAAGTAACAAGAGATAGAGAATACAACAACTCTTCGTGAATATAGCTTGAATTTCTCCCTAAACAGAAAGCAAGCCTCCCCAAGCTTAAACGCGACAACGAACACTTACCTTTTTCTTTGCCTCCTCTTCCTCTCTATGTTTCTGGAAGGGGGTCTTCTTGCGAGTAATGGAGAAGGAACTCATTTTTCATCAACTTTCTAATCAGACAATTTCAAAGAACTCATCAAAATCAAATATTCCAAAATCCACAGACACTCTGAAAAAAGGCAAAAGATACACACTAAACATATACATAAATTACCAGGACAATAACAGCCAGAATCAACCAATCCTAACTGAACTGAATCTAATTAGCCAACTGGTATATCCTATTCCTATACTGTGTATAGACAGTTGTAGCAATCATGGGCTTAAGCCTTTCCACGAGAGACCTTGGCCACTTCAAAAGATGATCAAGGAATCATTTGCACCTAGAGAAGAATATAATCAAAAGGATAGAAATTGGGTCGTGAGACTTGCTCTTCCTTCTTGAAAAGAAGCAATTTTTAAAGCAACTTGTCTCTGAATCAATTCTCCTCCCCTTTCTTCCCCAGGAGTTTAGTCAGAGGCTAAGCAAAAGTCTATCTCTTCAGAAGGTTGCACTGACGCTTCATATAAACCCGTACGCTGCCAAGTCGGTACTTACCGCAGGGCGCAGACTTTCCAACAGCAACAAAAAAACAGAAGCAAAGAAACAACAAGTGGGAAGGCAGACACTAAAATGCGATCAATAGTTAAAAGAACCCGAATGGCAAGCAAACCAGAGCAGATCTAAATTGCACAAAGAAAACCAATGAATCAACATCAAATGCAACACACAGAATCAAACCTAAACTTAGGATACAAAACCAAAGGGTTCGTAATGAAAGGAGTCGAGTGAACAGAAGAAGAAGAAGAAGAAGAAGAAGAAGAAAAATTGGACCTTTGGACGGGAGAAATTACAGAAGAATTCGTCCCCCTTTGCCTGCAAACGCAAACGGGCAGCAGAACTCGAGGGGCGGTAGAAACCAGTGAAGACCGTGCGGCAGCTGAGGAAACGAGGAGCTGCCGAGGAATTTTTGAATGAACCACCCGCACCCGCAGCGAGAAATTAGAAGTAGTGCGAGACGATTAACGCGGCCGGTGAACTCGGATGTGGCCGCCGGCCACCGTGAAGAGGAATAGGAAGGAGTTGGAGAAGAGGATACAGGCAGACCCCCGGACTGGTGGGGCGAATTTCGGTTTTTGCTTAGTATCTCTCGAATGGCGGCCGTCGATATTCGCTAATCAATCCAGGTCGGGGCTTTTCTTTTTTCTAATCGAAGGGGCTTTTCTCTTTTTATTTTTATTTTTGGTGAACAATGGGCTTTTCTTTCTTTAATGAATCCGTGGCAGATTTTCATTTTCAGTATCTTCCAATGTAGAACTCAATTTGTCACTATATATTTCCAGCAAGTTGTGCATAAGCATAAACATCAAAACAGGACTTGTCATGTCACCATACAGACAACCTTACTTTTCGACGGCAAAATGTAAGAGCGAATGATATAGCTCGATCGTAGCTCCTCGTACGTTAAAGAGGATCGCATTCGCATCCACGAATTTTATTAGGTGATATAATTCAAGCAACCAAGTGGGTATGACACGATTGGTATGCCACTCATCGTGCTCGCCCCTCACTCCGCGCAGCATCACGAAAGAGGGAACGGACAACTACATCAGAACTAACCCACAAGCGCGCCTCTACAGTAGCATCATCACAAGTACAACCACAACAGCATAATCTGCAGAGGAGAACTGCCAAATTCGTCTAGATCAAATTCTATATGCACAATGAGAGGTCACAGCCAGGGTATTACAGTCGGGCAAGCATTGGTAGAATAGAGTTCTCAAACTCTAAACACGCAACTTTTTGAGTTTGTGGCAAAGTGCAGAAAAGTATACACTCAATGTGCACTCCGAAAACGCAGTTACTGAATCGGACCGCTAGAGCAGATTACATAAAAATAATATCACCAGTAGACAAGATGCAGCAGAGTATTGTCTGCAATCAATGTGCCAACTTCTTGAGGTGTTGAAATATCTTCTGTTTGACCCACTGCCTGTCATATGGCAGATAAGCCTGAATTGTGTGATCATAGCTGCGACAAAAGAAATCGAAAACACTCCAATCAGAATCAGGCAATCACGAGGGGTGCACACTACTTAAGATGTTTAACGCAGAAACACCACGTTTAGCTTAGGGAAATATCTCAGAGTGAGCAGTCCAGAGTGGCTTTTAAATTCAGGGAATATGATGTGCATAAAACTGTGGAAGCATAATTATTAGCTTCCTGGTGTTCAAGCAAAGAGCATGATAACCTGGATGACGGATTTCAGGTGGAAGCATCGCATACTCTGGTTCATGCGATTCACAAAGAAACAAAACCTTTAAAGTTTCTTCTTATCACAACCAACAACGGGAAAGAAACAAGAAAATATGTCATTTGGATGTGTTTAAACTAGCCTTGACTACTGAAGATTGACATGAGATGTACTTATATAACACGTTCGAATCAGAACAGGAAACTGTGCACACGCAAACACTAGCAGGGGAAGACAAAAGGAGACAAGAGAAGAAGAAAGTACACTAATGCGCTCAAGTCTGCAAGGCCATCAATAAAATTGTAGAGATCCGCAATGTCATAACTGAGGTTTCTCAATGCTGGATTGATTTCCTTAAGCTTTCTCTCATATAGTCCACATATGCCTGCAATTCCAAGAAAGGGACCAACAATGAGATAAGTAATGTCTATTCCACTGATACGGAACAGTAACACGTATATCTGACTCCACCGTAACAGATGAAAATGGTAATACGAGCCACCGAGAAGGGCTTAGATACAAGTCACTAGGAAAAAGGGTCAGAATTAGGAAGTATCGTGTGTACAGCAATGCTCGTAAAGGTACTTGTGAAACAGAACTCATCAGTTTCCATTAACAGCAATAACAATTGGACCAATGTAGTGCAGAAGAAAATCAACTAACATGGAGAAACCAAATAGAAAGGCAAGCAAGCAGCATACCTTCCATGGCCTGAGATATAGACCCGAAATCCATGAAAGTTCTGGTTGCTCTATTGGGGGAAGCCTGCATCAGAATTATGGTGTGCCTATTCGCCTGCATTAAGGAAAATTTGAAGTGCAAAATGTCAAGAGAAGAACCTTGCAATCAACCCAAATCAAAATTGTAATTGAATCAAAATCAGAGCCCCATGCTACGAACCAGAGAGACTCGTCAATCTTAATCCTAATTAAGAAAAACCAAAAGCTAAACTTTTCCAGAAAGAAAAAAAAAAACAGGGAAATAAAAACAGTGATGAAGCTATCCCAAAAATGGGGACTTGGGAACTCCGGCCACTAAGCATACGAACGTTTATCCAACATAGGAAATCGGGATTTCAGTTGATGAACCGAACAAAAATCGGCGAGGGATGACATAGGGGAAGCGAAACCCTAGCCTTTTCCCGCGATTTCAGAGGAGGGCGTTGATGAATTGTCAGGGAACTGCAAATGAGAAGATGAGTGGAAAATATGACAAAATGATTAGGTACCATGGGGAACGCGAAGTCGAGGTTTTTCCCGGCGCAATGTGTTAGCGGCGGCGGGGGTCGAACTTGAATAGCCGGAGGGCTTCAATGGAGGATCGTCGTAGCGTAGCTTCCGGTCGTTGTGTTTACTGCTGCTTCTCGAGAGTTTGCCAAAGCAGCGTTTCCATTATCCCGCGACCGGTTTTCAAGTTGGTCTAATTTGTCAGGTTCATTGGTTTAATTGGGTTGGTCCGGTTCAAACTACATTGGTTTCGAGGTTTCGTTATCTAACGCTTCATTTGTTTGTCGAGTCATTAGTGTGATGATATTTGCTGAAGATCATTGTTAAAATCATAGGGCCCTAAAGTTAGCATTACAAACGACGATAATGCTTTGCATACCTCCAAATTTTGATATGTACAATCGAAACGAGACCTAGTATCGTATACAACCTTATTAAGCAACTTCTGAAACACAGGCTCGTCGTTGCTAATGCGAGTACAAAAACCTAGCGATATGGATACAGAGTATATACACAAACTTTCATGTTTTGATTTGTGACAAGAAACAGGAGTGCACCAATACTACAGTAACAGTCTCGAGTGAGAAATTGAAAGAACAAGAGAAGGAACTATATCATTATGCAGAAGGTGTCCGATGCTGCTGCAGGAAGGACGCCGTGCAATATCAGATGTAATCAAAGCCGTGGCCAGGCTGCTCAATGTCTGGATCAACGCCCCTTCCCCTTCCAGGCCTCGCTGGATCTCTGCATCATTATACACCAATGTCAATTCCCTTTTCTCAATGTGAAAAGCTTCGGTACAGTAGCATTCTCGCAGAAACACAAGACCAAGGGTACTAGCTAGTAGCTACCAAGCAAATACACCAGACATCCCACCATCATCAGGCACCAATGCCGATCCCTTTGTCTCAATGAGACAAGCTTCCGTACAAATTTCTCGCAGAAACAGAAGACCAAGGGTGCTAACTACCAAGCAATTACACTAGGCATTCTATATTTGCTGGACTGTAGGCCGGGTGTGGGAGGCTAAATAACGAAGTTACTGCTCAGTTGCAAATGGCAGGCAGACTTGTATGTTTTATCATCACAGAACTCATCTCCCATCTTTTGGAAAATAACATGACACAGGAGTTCAGGATTTGTTAATGATGCGGACATTTGAAGAGTACATGCAGCATGGGTTTTCACACCTCAACCCAGTGGAAGGACTTAACCAGAGACTAATTTTCACGGTATTATGATAAAGCCATGACCTACTACTTAACAGCAGCACAATTTCGATGGAAAGGAACATAACAAGTCTACAAAGCTCAGAGAGAGAGAGAGAGAGAGCAAGATAGAGACACACACCTAAACCGGTTAGGTTCGAAACCTGGAATTCCGGGTGGGCCATAAGGATCAAAACGGGCACCAGGAGGAACACCTCTGCAGATACAATAATAAATCATCAGTTCCGTGAAAAAGGCTTGTATCATGGGGAAAAGAGGTGAAATGGAAAGGGGTTGTGTGTGAGAGATCTCACGGTTGTGCTCCAGGGAAACCAAGCCCTTCATTATCCCCGCCAAACCATCTAGGGTCATTAGGCCCTAGAAGCATGCCACCATCACCACCAAAACCACCCCTTTTCACAATAGAAAAAACAGAGGTCAGGCTTCAACCAAAGTATCTAAACCAATCGGCACCCATAGACATCATTAAAATCAACCATGTTTATACCTTCTAGGGTACATTCCAGCACCAGCCCCAGGAACAAGATCATCCATGCCAAAGGGAGGAACAGGAGGGACTATGACTCTGCAGAGAAAAAGGCAAGGTGTTAGCCTATTTCCCATACTTAGGAACTGAATTACAGTCCTTCTGTAGCAAGGTGCTCAAGCCAATTCAAGTTGAAGAGGAAAGGTTCAACTCATCAACTCCACCACTGTAAAAGCTAAAACAAAAACCCACCAGATTCAACAAATTAATTTAACTGAGAGCTAAAGAGCATGTCTAGAAAAGAAATATACCCAGAAGGATGAGGGCTAGGGTTGGGCGATGGATTGCGTGGTTCATTCCCAGCATGCCTTGATGTATCACTTGCTTGACTGCAAAGATGTTCCATCACAGCACGAAGAGCAACCAAAGTAAGCAGATTAGAGGACATACTCCAACATTTTTTAGCATACCATCAAGCAGCAACTCTAAAGACCTTGATAAATAAAGTAAGAATCAAGTTCAAACTGGCTCAACAGGTAGATGGAGGAAACTCACATTCAAGGCACCATTCAGTTAAATAAACCCAAAGACAGAAACAAGCAAAAGAAAAGAGAAATCATCTTGACGTTCCCTTTCGGTTCCCAAATCTAATCTCTAAAGAAGCAGTTCCATTCACAAAACCGTAATGCACACAGCTACTCTACAACATTGATAAAAAGTACCTCCGTGATTCACTTGACGAGCCAGAATGGGAAGAGCCACCCAATTTAGACAAGACCTCGGTGTTGATACTGGAAATCAGCTTATCTAACTTCTTGAACTGCTCAGAGTAATTCGAGGCCCCATTCTCGCCAACATAGTCGTTAACACTAAGGACAATCACCAACACAATCTAAATAAACTAGCTTAATTCGAAGGGAAGAGAACAAACAAACACATATCAAACGAAGACCAAACCTAATTTCCATATGAACAGGGTCTGCCCCGGAATTGGAACCCGCATCAACAAGCAAAGCACTAACCACCAGCTGGTCGTTCATCGCCAAACATTTAACCAGAACCCTCTTCCCTAAATTCTCAGGGTTCACATACACGAACCCATACTCGCCATCAACCTCGTTCCAGTTATCAATCCCAACCTCGTCTACAACCCACACACACACACACACACACAAAACCATTCAATTGCAATTCACGGACCAAAACCTAAGGGGGATAGCAACAGTGCAAATTCAAAGTGGGGAAACCCCTAATAAGTACCTGAGGAGGTAGAAGAGAGAGCGGATTCCGACAAGGCGGGAATCCCCGTCGCGGTGAGCAAGTAACCAGCGGCGTGGAAGGAAGCGTGAACAACGAATGCGATCTTGTCCTGATTATTCCTAAACGTCGGCCTCGCTGCCCTGATCACTCCCACCACAGACTTTTCGGTAGCCATGCTTATTCTTTGCTGTAATGGATCGTCGGTTCTGCTTCCGGTGTGGAACTTCGGGAGAGCGGTGAGAGACGAGTGTTCGAACTTCGAAGACCTTCGAGCGAATGCAAAGAAGAAGAGTATTTGGGTTTCTTTGCAAACAAGTCAGACAACTTGGTAATTATAGCCTTTATAGGTCGGTCCGGTTAAAACTAAACACGTAATTTTCAAACGGAGTGATTTTATTCGAGAGTTGATACTTGATACACAGCATGGCCCCTGAACTATCACTTATTTTCTATTAAGCCCTTAAACTATATTGTTTCCTACTGAAGTCCCTTAGGTTTCTTATTTTTTTCACTTGAGCCCGTGTCGTTACTCGCTGTTAAACAAACTTAAATACAATCTAAATAGACAAAAGTACCCTCACTAGATTGGGAAAATGTATAGCCTAATTTTAATTTACTCGATCAGTGGCCACAAGAAACAACTCCATTTTAACTACCTTATCGTAGTCAAAATCATCAGCGACTACCCTCATCTTGTCGTCTTCATCCAACTAATGTTGTTTTTCACTCTCAGTTCTGGACTTGGAGACGAGCCATATCATTCTAAGTCGTTCTTTATTCCCTCTCAACGTCGCCCTTCCTATATCCCGCATATTGTCGCCGTTCATTGCTTCGTTTGGACACAGTAGAAAGAACTTCCTCTACTGTGCTCAAAAGGGGGCCACATTGTACATTGACTCTATTACTCCAATACTAATAAGTAATAAGACCATAAAAGAAACTTTGCTCTAGTGAAAAGTGTTAGAATGCCAAATCCCTCTTTTGCACTTTTTATTATAATCTAATTTAATGTAGATTTCATTATATTAATTAGATAATTTGTTTATTATATTTATATATGTAGTATTAATTATTACGAATATTTTGATGTAATTTTTTTAAACTTAGATATAAAAATTTGCTAATTATGACGTCATCAATGTCGAAAATACAATAATTGGTTGAGATATCCATAAATTCATCACGTGTTTGAGAGCATGAATTGTGTCAACATATGCTTAGGGATGGCAATTTTGACCTGACCCGTTTTACCCGACCTGTTTGACCTATTTTTGGGGGGGGTCCGACCCGTCCCGTAGGCGGGGCGGGGCGGGCATGGGTACTCTCATCGGCCCGACCTGTCCCGACCCGCCCCATTCTTGACCCGTTCTTGCCTAAATTACACGTAATTTTAGTCAAATTACTTAAGATTTCTCTTTTGTTACATCAAATCTTAGCTATAATAAAGACATAAATTAGTGAAAACCTCAATTTCTCCAATAATTTAACTATATTTCTCATAATATTGTTTGTTTCCTTGGTCTTATAATAAAAACAACGAATATTTCTAATATTTTTCATATAAATTGCATACCCATTGGGTCGACCTGCCCCGACCCGTGACCCGTGATAAATTACCCGACCTGCCACGGGGCAGGTCTGGGTACCAAAAAACCCGCCCCGGACCTGCCCCATTGCCATTCCTACATATGCTCATCTAACTTTGAATATAATGGTTTTAATAAAAACCTTGAATAATATGAGCTATGTCTATTCATCCAATTTTGATTAGAATGAGTTATATCATCAACTGTTCATCCAACTTTTGATCATATCATTGCAAAAGAAATCTTTTAAACGTTTATATAAATGAACCCTCAAACTTGGTCATTGTGCTCATCCACCGTGAACTTTTTTATCAATTTCACCCCAGACCAATACACGTGCCTTCAACAAAACATCATCAGTGTTCTGATAGGCAACTCTGATAGGCTCAACATATACGATGGAAATGAAGGAGAACGGCGACAATTCTTATCATCAAGAAACCAATGCTTCTACTCCATCAATAAATTAATTCCCCCTAAAATTGCTATTCTTAAAAACCTCGAAGAGCAATCATCAAAGCGGGTAGGGCGACTCGTTTGAACATGAACTTGACAAAAGAATTTCGTTCAAGATATTGGTCTAGGTAGATGAAACACGACTCGAAACTTCACTCTTTGCACAAGCTCATCTATCTATGCCAGTTGCATCATAGTACCAATAGCTCTTTTGTGTTTTCTAAGACTAATGATAGTGATACCACTTTGTTGAGCTTGTGTTTTGATTGCAGGTTAAGAACTCGCAGAACAGAGCAACCTGAGCTTGCTGCTGCTGGGGTTCGGTTCATCCCAGGATTGTTGGCGTTGCAGCCCGTTAATGGCTTCTGGATTTACTTAAACACACCCAACTCTCCCTTTTTGGACTGTTACCTTATGCAATTAACAAAAGTACCGTCCCTTCAAACTACAAAAATCATCGAAGTGTACAGAGGTCTGAGAGTACACAGAGCACTATTAGTATTACTAACACCGAAAGGCTTAAGACATGTATATACGTGATGTCTGTATGCAGACGTGTACAAACAAATGTGTTACTTAAGTATACATGATCGATCCGTTCAATGTGATTTGGGGAGGCTGGGTATTTACGCGGCGAGCAGCTTCTGGATATCCTTCTGCAGCAAACACAGAGGAACATGACTTGAGAACTAAGATTAGTGGACAAAGAACTAATCTTTCAGTAAACCAATAGCATCTACAATAGCTCGTACTGTTTACTCATATATCTCATCAACACAAGATAAGAACGAAGCAAGTTGTCTGTGGAACCGAACGTCTTTCAGAAATGGAGGAAAAAAGGGAAGATGACAGGTACCTCGATCTGGAAAGGCGATGTTGTTGGCGGGTAACGTTCAACAACCTTCCCGTCCTTGTCCACCAAGAACTTCTCAAAGTTCCATTTGATCAAATCGCCTAAGAAGCCCCCAGCACTAGACTTGAGAAACTTGTACACAGGGGCTGTGCTCGGTCCATTTACATCAACCTGCATCCCATCACCGAAAACTATTTAAATTCAAGCTCTGTCCAAATGGTTCCAGATGAAAGAAAGGATTGGAATCTGCCTGGAAATACCTTATCGAATATTGGGAATTCAGCTTTGAATCGAGTACAAGCGAATTGCTTGATCTCAGGATTCGATCCTGGTTCTTGGCCTCCAAACTGGTTGCAAGGGAAGGCTAGGATTTCAAGTCCTACATACAAACACAAACCGTGTTTTTCTTTCTTAATACCATACTTAATACTGAACCAGTAGTGGGCAATCACCGACTACTTCCACAATATGAACAAACAACTCCTAGTAGATAATAACAGCAAAGTAAGGTGCATTTGGCCGATGAGATTTCCTTTTATTTTTCTTCTTCGTTTCTTCTTATTTGTTCGTTTTAGAAAGTTGTTGGTATAGGGGTTACCTTGTGCCTTGTACTTCTCATAAATGTGCGACAATTCCGAATAGTTCGAAGATGTCAAACCGCTGCAAATTAAGAAAGCAAATTAAGCATTACCCCTGTAAAGAAAGATCTTTGGATATCAATTCTCAGGATTAAGTATGGATTGGTTACAGTCAAGACAGCCCTACCATCTCGAAGCAACATTGACAATTAGCAGAACTTTGCCCTTGAATTTGCTTAGAGACACATCGTTACCATCAATGTCCTGCAGAAAACAAGAGGGAACTAATCATATGTTCCGTTTACATCTAACCCCTGAAGTTTAGGTTCTACCAACAATCATTTCCCCACCTAAAATTTATAACCTTTAGGCTCAAACAAAAGCATCTCCCTTTCAAACATTTCAAACAGCAGCAATAGCAGAAACTGGTTACACTCCCTTTTTCAATTTCCCCAAATGCTGCTCACAGAAACCCTAATTCAAACTAAGGCAACCTTAAATTAAGCTCCACGGACCCATGAAATGGGAGAGGAAAGGGACAAAGTAGGTCAATTCAGAACTCACAAACTTCATTGGAGGAAAAAACGGATAAGGTATTTGGATGCTTGCAGCTTATCAGTTTCCCTGGAAGGAAGAAGAGGAAAAAAAACGTACCTTGACAGTGAAGTCATGAATAGATTTCTCAGTGGCAGCTGTGGCGAAAACGCCAAAAGAACGAGTCTTTGGAGCAACCCCGACTAGTTTCTGGGACTGCAAAGAGAACCCATGTTGCAGAAACCCTGATCTGGAAGAGGCGAGCGGGGATAACCTGAATGATGCGAGGGAAACGCCCAGCGACTGCAAGGTAGGAGAATAAGACCTTGCCTTTTCAGCGATACTCTGCAATGGCGAGGAAGAGAAAGTTGCGGCGAACGGCATCGAAGCAGAAGCCATGTCAGTAGTGCGTCGCAGTCTGAAGGGGAATCACGGTAGGAACTCTGTTTTTCCTTCTTTTTTGTTTCCTCTGTTATGCGTCAAATGTGGAAACGTGGATACGTTCTTGGTTATTCTTCCCTTGTTTATATACTTGTGTGTCGGTTTATGTTTTTTTTGTTTTTGTTTGGAGTAGCTCGAGATAACGGGGAGTGGAGGAATGGGACGGCAAGTGGCTTCTTTCTTCCATTGGATTGGAATGAATCAACATGATCAATGTCACCATTTGCATTTGCAAGAAGAAGTAAAAGCAAACATTTCCATGTTCTCTTGATGGGGGTGTGTAAACTTATGTTGGAGGTTGTACATGTGAAATGAGTAATTGTGGATGTGGAAAAGGTAAGATATGGAAAATCAATGAATCATTTAAATCAGCTATGAAAAAACAAATTGAGTAACCTTAAGAGGACTTAATCCTCTAGGTTTGACCTTTTGATAGTTAAAATGATCGGTGTGAATCACTAAATGTAATTTATTTTCAAGTTAATCTAATTGAACTTCAACTTCTTACTAGTCGGGTAATATGTATGATAGTGCCCACATTCAAAATCTACTATTAATGACACATATGGATATGGTTAATAAATTCGTTAATCTAAACATCACAACACTTGCAAGTCTTACATAGTCTCCACTCTCCAACAAAGAGCATATGAACTTGTCTTTGCTACAAGGAATAAGAGCAAATGTGTAGCAGTTTCTCACATACCCACAATTGACACGATGCCAGATGGCATTGGTGTCTCCGAGATGTCAATAGCTGGCGAACTATTCGGAGGCATTCCTTGGGAACTTGGTTGCATTTGGGAGTGCCGATTTCAAGATCGTGAAGGAAGCTTTGATGTAGGTAGAGGTTTTCGGGCAACCCATCTTTGACTATGTCACGCAGACTATAAATGCTAGCCCGACATAGCAAAAAGTCTTGTCGTGTCAAAGTGTTGGTGTTCATGCGAAAGTTCGCTCTCGTAGTTACAATTCCTGTCAAATTGATCATATCTCTTGACTGTGAGAACATGAAAATCCATATTTGTAGCATCCATTTCTTCTCCCCAAAACTTTGTTATTTTTTCCCTCTCTTTTCATCTCAATTGAGTTTGTAAACAATTGCGCAGAATACTTCTTTGGAAGGAAAAATTATTGCGTAGAAGGGGGCTGGTCGAGTTGGGAGTTTAGTAAATCTGGAGATTCTTTTTATTAGTCATTTGTCTCTTAATAGTTAATAGTGATATGATATTAGCAGAGCTCTGGACAATTAATCTATGGGAGTATGTTCTTTAAAGAGATTGTTTACGAAATCATTTGGCCCTAAACTTGACATCTTTATGTATTTTGTCTTTCGTTTATAGTTATCTGCCCCCTAAACAAACCAATCCAATTATCAAGTTGGACACTAACTTAACATTGTTTACAAAATTGAATATGATATGATAAAGAACATTATCGTATGGCCCTAAAGTTGGCATCTTTACGTATTTTGTGCTTTCATTTTACATTCAGCCATCGAACATGACGACGACATTATTCATAATTGAGATGCTCTGTACATAAGTCGACATCATACATTTCAGCCTCCCACCAAACTGGCACTTTCTTGCGCTGGCCGGCCGAGTCGACACGCGCAGAAGAAGCCACACCGATTCCCCAAACCCAGCCTTTTCAGTCTTCGCCCTCTTTCATTTCATCAGCAAATGCCTCCAAAAAGTCCAAACTGAACGCCCACTTTACATTCTGAATACAAGACAAAGATCGATCAAGTATTCAAGTTGTATCCACCAACGCCCACAGTTTCTTTTTTTCATTACCAAGAATCGTCAACAACAACAAAACAGTTATCCACTTGCTTAACCCTTTCTCTCTCCCGATCGACTCGGATAAACAACTGCGGGAAACAACAGTCGATTCTGGAGATCATATCATTCATTATTTCATTCCCCCTTATCTTTTCCTTTTAACTTTCCATCCTTTTCTACTTTTTAAATCAAGTGAGAAAGAGAAAGAATACTCAAGTCTATTTGTCTTCCATCAGGTGTAGAACCCTTTTCTTATTTAAGAATTCATTCCCACCAGTCGCTCTGTAGTCGTCTTCTTTCCTTTTCTCTTCCCTTTCCCTCCGTCGCTCCCTTTTCTTCATTCTTTCTCTTTCCCTCGTGAAATTTCGAGGGCGGTTTTGTCACTGTCTAAACGTATCTGATCCCGCTGGCTACGAGATTTCGTCTCCACTGATTGATTGGCATCCACTTGCTGTAGGGGTTCTGATTTCTTCTCTACTTGGCTCGTCTAAGTAGGGCAGGTGAGTGTTTGCTGTTGCCCCTCGTTTCTGTTCTATGATTAATTTAGTTTCGAATTTAGCATCTGGGTTTTCGCTGTGTTTGTGCTTAGTTGTGATCTTGAATGGAAGTTTTTGACTCTGAACAGTTGGTAGGGCTGAAAGTTGTTGCCTTTATTAGGTAGGTTTCCCTTTTCTGGAAGGGTTGGACTGAATAACGTTGTTTTCAGCATCTGGGTATTGCTATTTCATCTGTGTTTTTGGTATCTGATCTGAATCTTGTGCCACTCAGTTGGTTTTTTGTTTGTTTGAGAACCAGTTGCTGTTGCTCTTAAAGTTGCAAGATAATCCTGTTTTTTTTTTATCCCAATTAGCTGCTTCAAGTTAGTACAGTTCGCTCTGTTTTGTTGGTAATAAAAAGCCTTAGTGTTGTAGGATGATTGATTTGGCTGGGAAATTCGGAAGTGTTTGTTGAAATTATGTAGGGTAGTCTGTGTTTTTTCCTCTTTTAATGAAGCAATATCATGAATGCAGTTGTATAATATCTACTCTTTTATTGAAGCAATATCATGAATGAAGTTGTATAATATCTACTCTTTTATTTCTGTCCTCTGCTGGTGAACACAGAGATGGGTATATACCTCAGCTCTCCCAAAACAGAGAAATTCTCTGAGGATGGAGAAAATGGTAAGCTCAGATATGGCTTATCATCCATGCAAGGCTGGCGTGCAACCATGGAAGATGCGGTTAGTGATTTCTTCTTGAAATTGCGATGTTCAACATACTGAAGTGAGAATAGGAGTGGGCAGAGCAAAAGTTTCAAAATTGATAATCTGTTATGTGAGATTTGTTTGCTTCTTGTTTTGGTTGTGGATCCCGTTTGAAACTTATCTGGCAGTGATAATAAATGCATCCATGTATGTTCTGCGCAATTTATTTGATTTTATTCTTCTTATTACATAATCTGATTATTTTCGGAATGGTACTGCTCTCTCTTCCAATGTTCAGCATGCTGCTTTGCCTGATTTGGATGGTTCTACTTCATTCTTTGGTGTGTATGATGGTCATGGAGGTAAGTGTGGAGTTTTGGAATCTTTTACTCTTAAATGTATGCTGTAAAACTTTCCATCTAGTGCTTGAGGTTGAGCAGTCCTATGGTTCTTTTGGTGGCTTGCAGGTAAAGTGGTTGCAAAATTTTGTGCCAAATTTCTTCATCAACAGGTTCTAAAGCACGAGGCATACATAGCTGGTGATATAGGAAGTTCTCTCCAGAAATCATTTTTCAGGTTATTGATATTTTCCTTTGATATCGACATATTGTCATATATCTAGCACTGTGTTAGACTAGTTGGAACTTGGAAGCTACTCTTGCATTCTCAGTTTGACACTTCTATCCCATCGTTACATCAAGATATGACATATGAGCAGCCGTTAAGTGTAGTCCATCATAAGCACAATGCCCTCAGGCATATTGTCAAAACATATGCACCATATGCACCATATGTGGATGTTGAATTCTGCAATCTTATCCATTTACAATGCTTGTGGATGCAGAAATCTTTAATCTCATTCATGCATTTTTACATTTTGATTTTTATGACAGTGGAGGTTATAACTGTACTAAAGAAACCATTTTTACCCTTTTGAGGGGGTGTTATCTATTCATTTTTGTTTGGAACTTGTGTGGGGTTGTAAAACTTATATATTTGCAAGAACTTAGGAGTTCTATTGGGATAACTTGTTTTTAGGTTGTTGCTATTTTTCTTTCTGTTCAAAACGTTTATTCTATTTTTTCTACTGCTTTTTGAACATTGGATACCAGAGTTAATTGCCTGGTATTCCTGATTTTGCTTGAAACTGTGTCCTGTGACATTATTTCTGTTTTGTGTGCTACATGACCCTTGATAGCTCTTAAACACCTTAGTTACGTTGTTTCTCGGCAGAATGGATGAGATGATGCGGGGACAGAGAGGGTGGAGAGAGTTAGCTGTTTTGGGTGATAAGATAAACAAGTTCACTGGCATGATTGAAGGGTTGATATGGTCTCCAAGGGCTGGTGAGAATAGTGAGCAACATGATGATTGGGCTTTTGAAGAGGTGTAGTATTTATTCAGGGGATTGCCCTTTTGAATTGATGTCATCGCATTCCAGCTTATCATGTAGCGTATGGTATATTATTGTTCTGCCATTGTTGATATTGGAATCTGGAACTTTAGCCCATTGATATGCTTGCCATGGTTTTGCCATGAAATTTCCTATTGTACATGTGTGCCATTGAGCTTCATGATTTTGTTCACTTAACTAGCTTCATTACGCGAGCATCAATTATTGCTTATGGATTCGCTGTACCAACTGCAAAGAGTTGTTCGTGGGTCTTGGATTCCCTGCTTAATTTTGCTGGAAATTTGAGATGTTCTAATCAGAAAATGATTTCATTTGAATTTGTACAGGGGCCTCATTCTGATTTTTCTGGACCTACTTCTGGCAGCACGGCTTGTGTTGCAGTTATAAGAGACAAACATCTTGTTGTTGCAAATGCTGGTGATTCTCGATGCGTGATATCACGAAAGGGACAGGTATTTTTTAGTTAACTTGCTGTTGATGGACTTGAATAAATATTTGACACTAAAGCTTCAACAGCCTGTGAAATGGCTGATCACGTGCTGCTTTGCTATTATCCTCTGTCTTTTCTCCAAATGCTTTTGACCTCGGGATAGTGGAATACGAACTTCACACTTGTTTGTTCAGGCATACAATCTGTCCAGAGATCACAAACCTGATCTTGAGGCTGAGAAAGAGAGGATTTTGAAAGCTGGTGGCTTCATACATGCAGGACGTATCAATGGCAGCTTGAATCTTGCAAGAGCAATTGGTACTTCATACTTGCAACTTCCCTTTTCTTTTTGGCTCTTGGCTATTTCTGTGACAGCATTCTTGAATGCAAATAAACATCTAGGGATTCATTTAGCAAGGAGATATGGGTAGAACAGTTATTGAAGTATTCTAGTTTCTTCAATTGCTCCTTTTTGCTTATGCAGGTGACATGGAATTCAAGCAGAACAAGTTCTTACCTGCAGAAAAGCAAATTGTGACAGCCAATCCGGATATTAACACTGTATGAAATACTCTATGGAATACCATCTCAAGCTTATATAAACTAAGGTTTACATTTTGATTGTTTGCACCTCCATTTGTCATCTCTATACTCACATTCGATCATTCTTTTGACCAGGTTGAGCTTTGCGAGGATGATGATTTTATTGTTCTAGCATGTGATGGAATATGGTAAGAGTCTCTACTATGTTTCTCTTGTCTGCCTTCCGTGGTCTTTTGCTATTCTTGTCCTAATTCTTGGATTTGATTTGGAGATTTTACTACTTCCCAGAGCTAGCCATGTTTAGTCAATTTGCGGTTTGAGTACAAATGCCGTGCCTCAGTCAAAAGGAGCAATTGGCCTTGTGGTCTGAGTTCTGTTTTTTTTTTTTCCCGTCCTCGACCTAAGCGATAATCTATATAGGTCAATGATTCACATGAGGTCGTGCTTCATCTTCTTGAATGGATTCAGTAGTAAACATGCTCCTTGCCCTTGGGAAACTGCAACAATTAGGCTTCTATATCTGGGCATATATCCTGTTGTGTGTGGATAAATAACAGATTGACACTGAATTTAGCATCCACTGTTCATAAAGTATGAAGGTTGTCGTATTAATTTGAAAGCAGCTATTGCTAAGCATTTTCGAATGCACAAAAGAACTGAAAATGATGGCTTGTTATTTGTATTTAATTTCTTACAGGGACTGCTTGTCCAGCCAGCAATTAGTGGACTTCATTCATGAACAACTGAAGTCGGTGAGTACTTCTAGCCCCTGTACTGGGTCCTATAGTTTTGGGATCACTCTTTGAATGGATATTAATTCCCTCTCGTTCCTATGATTTTGCCTATAAACAATGTTTTAGCCCTTTTTCTTACTGATATTTGGCTAACGGGACTCTGGAAATTTTCGGCAGGAAACAAAGCTTTCAACAGTCTGCGAGAGGGTACTTGACAGGTGTTTAGCACCATCCACATTAGGGGGTGAGGGATGTGACAATATGACAATGATCTTGGTTCAGTTTAAGAAATCAGTCGAGCCAAGTAGTAGCTCAGCTGACGCAGATGGACAAACCTCTCAAGCCGAAGTTGCTGCTGTTAACCCTTCTGAGCCGATTGTACCTACTAGACCAGAGGGAGCTGAATGAAGAAGGGTATCAAGCAGATATAGTCTGCTGTTTGTTCGGTAATATTAAATTCTCTCGTCGACAATCTGTTCCTGAGGTCTGCCCTTTGCTTCCCTTTGTAAAAAAGCAGAGGACTTTGCTTTTTAATCCATGGTACTCTGCTTGAAGAGTGTGTGCTTTTTCCTCAACCACATCATCTCATTTTAGAAACTCTGTACAGGTCTTGCTGCTGACAAACGTTGATATATTGGTATATTTTGGAGTTGCTTCATGTCTCTTATTATTATCTTTTCAACAGGAACTCATTAGATTTCGAGTCGAAATGGCCAAAACCTGCTCAATCTGTTTGTTTGATCATCTTTTTTTCATGTCGGAATGAGGATATCCATATCTATTCCATATGTATGTCAAGTAAGAGCTATTTCCTGCTGAGTTTGTCTGTTTGAGGATCTTTTTGCATGTTGGAGTGAAGAAGTCTATGCAGCTATTCCAGATCCAGATGCAAAAGCTACTGTGAAATTCTGTTACACGAAAACGGGCAGAAAACAAGGAAAGAATCCTCGTTTTCAACGAGAAAGTTTGAGCATTTGTTTCCTTCATTAGAAGGACAGCAGCTCATGAGTTGCCATGAAATAGTCGTGTCACGTGTGCTGTCTTCTGCTGCTGCTTCTTATGACCTCTTTTACTAGTTGAATAATCAACTGGCTCGGATTTGTGGCGGTGGCGACCAAAGTCTCCCTTGCTGCTGTTGCTCCTGCTCTTGTTCAACAGATTGTATCTTCAGCAGATGTGTGTGCCTCCGTCTTAGAAACTTGATGAACATAAAGAGGATTCGAAATGAATGCAGAAAAGAATCTGTATCTTAAGCAGATGTGTGTGCTCCGTCTTATACTCACTGTACTTCATCCTTAAGCGTCTGCTTCCTCTGCTTGGCAGTCTCAAGCTTCTTCTGCTTTGAAACAAATTCCTGAAAGAGACAGGAAGCAAGTTTAAGATTCACAACCAAACGGGACCAATGTAGTGGCAGGAGGGAATATTCGTGGTTTTACTGGATGAAATAGACTTATTAGACTAATAACCAAACCAAGAACATTCTGCAAGTTCAAGAACTCTTGAAAGAGTACTTTCTGTCTCTCTATTCTCTAATTCCACTAAAATACCTTACAAAATAGTCTTTCTCTTTGTGGTTATTGTAATTTCCATATTATAATGAAAAAGTCTAGCCAAATTTATTTCATTAAAAATTAAGATCGATCATCGGCGAAATTGAAGTTAAGATTTATTTTAGTGTAATGTTATCTGACAAAGCAATCGTGCCTGAATTTAGCCCAACCGATTGAATCATTTTGGTCCGGTCCGGTCCAGGATCATGCCATGCCTGTTCTGACATAAAACCGGCCTGTTTGATTGGACAACCTAGCTCCCCTTGAACCCTTCAAACGACATCGTTTCTCAGAAGTGTAGGGCAGAAGAAAGACCTGCCTGCAAACGATGGCGTTTTGTTGCAAGAGAAATGAACAAGTGAGCAAAATTGCAAAAAGAACTCTCTCTCTCTCTCTGGTCCCAACTCCCAAGTCTGCATTCCACAATCCCTAATTCCGTCGAGTCCTCTGTGCTCTTCCTCTACTCCCGCGCACTGAGGCTCTTCCAGTTCACTTCCCCGCCGCACGGACAGTCGGCCAAAGTCGACCCACGGCGACTCTGCTCTGCGCCTCTCAGTATCACCGTATGATTTCATACTCTTTTAACCTCTTTTCTTTTTATTCGACAGAAACAGATGGATGCAATGTTCAATGCTCTTTTTTTTTTTTTTTGGTAAAAATCTCTGATTTGCGATTTCTGCTTTGCAATCGGGACTAGGGTTTGAACTTTCGGAGGTCGAGCCATGGAGGAATCGCTATCGGCGAATGATAAGGACACCATGGTCACTTCTTTCCTCGAGATCGCCGTCGGCCAAACCGCTGACACTGCCCGACAGTTCTTGCAGGTACTTCCCGCAATACACTATGACCCTAACGAGTGCCTTAGTAATTTCTGTTGAATATATTAGTCGGCTGCCTTCTTCTTTTTTGGGTAGAAATCTGCTGTCTTTTAAGGCAAAACTAAGAGGAGCTTTTGCTGAAGGCAATATTAAAAGTTTTGCAAATAGACCTGTTGGGTTGGACTTTGGTATGTCATTCATTCTATGGGAATTGTTATATATACAAGCGGTGTCTGTTGTAATCAAGAGATTATTGCTTCCTCTTGGCATTGCTATTGATGTAATAGAGCTTAAGGGCTCGTAAAATAGAAACAAGATGTAGATTGTGTTTTAAGTGTCGAAGGTGTTGTTTCCTGGTAGTATGCAACCCAGTAATGAAATATTGTAATGAACTAGGCCACAAGTTGGAAGCTTGACGAGGCTATTCAACTCTTCTATGTTGGCAACGAAGGACAAGTGGCACCTGCTGCACGTTCACCACCTGTTGCAGATCAGTGGACTAATGAAAATCCAGGGTATGCGGTATCAGCTGTTGTCTCATCTTAATTATCACTTGTCATTCTCATCACAAGGTAATAGTGTTTTGAACAGTTGCTAGTTGTTGCTACTTTTTTCAGTTTGCTGAATGATATTGACAATGAAAGGGTTGGAGGAGATGTTGAAGATGTAGTGCGCGCTCCTTTACCTGTAATGAGGGATACACTTTATGATGCTGCTGCTTTGTATGGGTAAGTGGCATCCTCCTCCAGTAAACTATGTGAAATGCAACTGTGATGCAGCCTTGTTTCCGCTTAGATGCGTTATTTAGCTACATTTCAAAATGTCGTCAGTCTCCCCCCACTTACCCTCTCTACACTTTAAGTGCCAGCTTTTGTTCCAAAGTTTGTAATTGTTGCATGATAGCCCTGGTTGACTGGTAGATAGATCAATAGATTAGCATTGAAGTCTTACATTACATCCTTTTCTGGTACCTGTTAGTAGCTTTGCTCATGAATATGTGATTGCAATTTCTATATTGTTTCTTTGGCCTTTTGGTCATTCACTGGAAATGAGGGCATTGACATCTTCTCTTAACTTAGAGCATCAAGGACGGGATACTCATCCCGGGAACCCAGTTCACTTATGGCTTTCCGCAACTTTAATGAGGAAACAAAGCATCCTGCGGTTTGGGAATCAGAACAAGGTGCTACGTCCTCTGCAAATACCCCGCGTGATCTTGCTTCTTTATATCGGCCACCTTTCCATTTAATGTTTCAGGGGTCATTTGAAAAGGTATAGTTCACAGTTTTTTCTTTCTCTTCTATTAGTTGATACTTCATTCTAAATTACTGAATCTCTTTCCATTTAATGTTTCTGGATGACATCAAAATTCAATTTGCTACATCCTTGACAAATCTTCTCTCGCTTAAAGCTCTGTTTTTTTATTTATTTTGCTATTGTGAATCTGGATACAACTTCTCTTATCAATTATCCTTTCCTGTTCTGCGCTTGAGTTGAATTCCTTCCTAAGTTTCAAATATTACGTGGCTTGCAAAATCCAGGCAAAAGGTGCAGCATCTGTTCAGGACAAATGGCTTCTCATCAACTTACAGTCCACAAAGGAGTTTAGCTCACACATGGTATCTGTGCTCCCTTGGTTCACTTGACATCTGAAATGCCTTCAATCTATCTAACCATAAGCATTCCAAGTTTCTAACATTTTTTATTTTTGTGCTCTCACTACATCTACTTGTATAATGTTGTAGCTGAACAGGGATACATGGGCCAATGAAGCCGTCTCTCAGACCATTAGCACCAACTTCATATTTTGGCAGGTTGGTATAGTAGCAGTTTCACTTGATGGACTTGTTCCAAGATTCCTTAATATTTTAGTTTATTTTTCGAGAAAACTAAAAGACTCATTAACAATAGTATTTTCTACCATTAATGTACATTTCTGTATTTAACTTGCTAATTATCTGGTACCTTGCTCTTCTCTCCTTACCAAAAACTCTCACTTAAATCCATTTCCATTTGTTTTGAACTGTCTAATGAACACCCTATTTAGCCTTGTTCTGACATTTTACGCTGTTATTGAAGATCAAATTACGGGAAATGCGCCTTATATTTTTTGTTGTAGTGTTGATCTGTATTTTCAAATTTAGGTGTGCTTTCCCTGGGATTCCATTGAAGTCTGAGGGTTTCTCGTCTTTTGAAAGAGATTATTCAAAGACCATGTAAATAAGTACAATTTATGTGAGGCCACTTGTCTGATCTTGTCCACGTAAATAGGTATATGATGATACAAGTGAGGGTCAGAAAGTTTGTACGTATTACAAACTAGATTCTATTCCAGTGGTGCTAGTCATTGATCCAATCACCGGACAAAAAATGCGCTTATGGTGTGGTATGGTACAACCTGAAAGTCTACTCGAGGTATGTTTAATGCTTTTGACTTGACACTACTTCTCATTGGTATAGTTATTCCTGTAAATGTGTTCTTAATCAATCAGATGTTTCTTCAGGATCTGGTTTCATATTTGGATGGTGGCCCAAGGGACCACCATAAAAGTTTGTCTAACAAACGCCCCAGGGGAGGTTCTCTGACACCATCTAAGAACAAAGGTAATTATTACTCTTGGTGATCGCCAAGTTAGACACATTGGTGTAAGTTGGGGGACAGTGAGCATATGTTTTGGGCTTTGCTGGCGACTCCTTAAGTTTTGCAAACAATGTCATCTCCCTATGGGATTTATAACTCAAAGCCAAATGTAACATAATTATCGGATTCTACTGATTGATTGTTCCTGCCTAGTATCTGGAGAATATGCTTGAGTTTGATAATGTAATGAATATTCTGTTTCCTCCTAAGCACTTATCTTGCTTTTGTCTGTGTTATTTGTTAGAAGTAGAACTCTTTGCCTTTATAATTGGTAAGGGGTAACCTGTTATTTCGCTTTTGACTTGGTCCTAATGGGGGGGGGTGAAAGCATGTTTCTCTTTATCTATGCGCTTGTGCTTTGTCATGCTTTTGCTCATGGAACCTGGCGTCTTTATGCATTATAGATGAAATTAATGAAGAAGTTGAGCAAGTGCCACAAGCTGTATCTGCTGCGACAGAGACAATGGCAGACCCAGCTGTGGCGGTTTTGAACAATAACAGTGTTAGTGACACCAAGAAGATGGAAGAAGTGAGTTTGTGTTCGAAGACCGAGTATCCACCCTTGCCTGAAGAACCCAAGGGCGACAAGACCCTCATGTGTCGGGTTGGACTTCGACTTCCCGATGGGCGTAGGGTTCAGAGGAGTTTCCTGAAAACTGATCAAGTCCAGGTAAAGAAATCTTGGCTAGTTGTTATATTTAGTTTTCATATCCTAGTGACACATCTACATTTGAAAAATGGCGGTTGCATGCTGCACTGCAAGTATAGAGTAATTTCTGAACTGGAAACTTTCTACTCTCATCGTCCCAGACAACTGGTTCATTGTTTGTTCTGTGTGTGTTTCAGTTATTGTGGTCATTCTGCTGTGCGGAATTGAAGGAAGCTCAGACAAGACGATTTCGGCTCACACAAGCGATCCCAGGAGCCAAGTGTCTGGATTTCGAGGGAGGTCTGACCTTCGGGGAGTCGGGGCTGGACAACTCTATGATTCTGGTTGCGTGGGAATGACCGGCCGGGCCAGTGTGAAGCAGCATTCTTCTGTTGGAAAGGCTACCTACGGCTCCATCTCTTCCCAGCCGTGCAAAGACCAATTTGGCTTGCTTTTGTTCAGCTGTTTTTGTGTAAATACTCGCGAGACTGTTCTTCCTTACCAGTGGTACAGGGTTCTTTCGTGTATTGGGAGTGACACTGGTACATCGTTGTTAAGTTAAATCTGCCGTGGTGCCTTTGCCCTCCGCTTCTCATTTCCGTTATGTGTTATAAAAAATTCAAGGTAGCAAATGAATGGGATGGCAATGGAACGGGTTCTTTAAACCATCCATGTTCTTCTTTTCTGATATCCGTGGATAATATCTTTTTTTTTTGCCGATCGGAACCTGTAGGTGGATAATATCCATTATGTATATCCAATGTTACTATATTTATCATTTAACGTATAGATATTTATAATGATGAAGCCAACAAAAATACAAGTATGCAACTCTAGTTTAATACGAATTCAATGCACTCAGTCATAAAACATCCATAATCCATAAAAAAGTACAATATTATTCAAATCATTCATCTAGAACTTCACATTTTCTAATCCATAAATAAGTAACATAATCTTGTTAAAAAGGAGAAAGAATTGAATGAGTGAACAGCAAATTGGTTTGAGTGACCACACAATTACATTTCGGCTCTTTATTATTTTATGTTATTACCCTTCTTTTCATTGACATATTACAATGTGATCTCTCTATTTTATTCATATATAAAAAACTCACTTAGTGTGTATGAGTATTGTGCGGATCTAAAATTCATAACTATCCATTCCCATCAAACTTTTACGAATTTTACTCATACCTGTCTTATAAATCATACCCTACCAATGCATGATTTTCTGCATTACATAGTTGCTTATCATCCATACTATCAAATTATTTTGTCTAATAATATTTGTCATCTTAAAAATGAAATTCAGGTATCAAATTGAAAACATTAAAAACATTTCATCGAAAAAAGGAGGTTTGGGATTGTGATTTTCATCTAAAAAACGAAATTTAGGTATCAAATTATAAACGCGCGACCTCTGAGGCTGAACCTGGTTGCTGAAGCACGGTCGCCGTCACTTTGTACCCACAATGTTATCGGTCAAGGTACTCTTAACTTCCCGACTCGGCAATCGGTGTTTGATTCCGGTGGGAGCCTTTTCCGTTGCCCGGTTCTCTAAACTCGCCGGGAGTTCAACCAGTACAAGCTCTCCTTTAGTTGACTACCTGGTTTCAAATTTCCAGTTCCCTGAAACTCAAGCCCTCTCCATCGCGGCTCGATTCCACCATCGCCAGTCTTCCCAAAAGGCGCAAGGTTTGTTCACGTTCCTACGCGGCCTCGGTTTCTCTCAGGACCATATACGATCTACTGTCTGTGGGGCTCCTCAGATTCTGTTCGCTGGTGTTGACAATAACCTTAAACCCAAGATGGAGCTGTTTCAGAAACTGGGTTTCGAGGGTCCTGGTCTTGGTAAGTTTGTCTCTAAGAATGCTGGTGTTTTAACATCTAGTCTGGAGAAGAGGCTGCGTCCTCGAGTTCATTTTTTGCTAGGAAATTTTTATCAGAAGGATGTGCTTAAGGCTATAGAAAAATGCAGTTTGCTTATATTTAAGCACCCAGATTCTAGATTGCTGTCAAACGTAGCTTTGTTGCGAAGCTGTGACATTGTAGGGTCTCAGCTCTCCATGCTGTTGAGGATGCTGCCTAGGGTTTTTCTGAGGAAAGAATGTCAACTTAGAGGCATCGTTTCGAGGACTTTGGATTTCGGGTTCTCAATGAAATCAAGGATGTTTGTACATGGGTTGTGTACTGTTAGTTGCTATAGCAAGGCGACAATCGACCGGAAGTTTGCCGTGTTTGAGGGATTTGGGTTTTCGAGGGAAGAATGCATTGCAATGTTCAGAATAGCTCCGGCCGTGGTGAGGTGTTCTGATGTGAAGTTAACGTCTGGGGTTGATTTCTTTTTGAACACCATGAATCTGGCAAAGGAGGCGGTGGTTCGTAGTCCTGGACTGTTGATGTATAGCATGAAGGAAAGAATTATTCCTCGATATCGAGTTCTGGAGATTATGGAATCGAAGGGGCTGTTGAAGAAGAAGCCAAACTTTAGCACCGTTGTGTTATATACAAGTGAACAATTTCTGGAAAAGTTTGTATTCATGTACCGAGATCATGCAAAGGAACTATTAAGGGTTTACAATGGTCACAATGTGGATTCCTCTGAAGATGCAACTTGTTTGTAGGTGTCTGTAATTTGATTTCATCCAGTTACCTCACCTGGAGACCTTGTTGCAAATGCTTTTAATGCGAGGGTTCTAACTTCTAAAGGTAGGTTGTGGATTTGAACGTTGGCGAGGGTCCATGGTTCTTAGAATGGGAAGGAATTGCAGATGTTAAGTGACTTCATCTTGGACATTTTCTATTTCATCGAACCAAGAAAGTGTTGAGTTCCTGGGTACTTGTCAGTGATTATGGATCGGATGCGAGAAAGCAGAAACTAATTTGATCGTGTGGCGAAGATGAAGGCAAGAAACCTTTTTTCTAGGCCATCAATTTTGGTGATGCAATGATTTTATCAACAAGTTTTCTTACTCATATTGTTAAGATAATGAAGGGGAGTGGCTACTCCCGTATAATCTAGATTAGTCTCTTGAGAGAGAAAAATGTATTACCAGGTCAGTCGGCCACTTACCCTTGTCTATGTTTTCTTCTGCAAGGTTTTGCTGGTTAACTTGAAATATCATGCTGCAATTTCTGATGGTGTAAGAAACTTAAGTTTTTACAAGAATGTCTAATAGCCAAGATCCTGAAGGGCATTTCTCATATAGACATCACTCTTCCCTTGCCAGGGTTAAGACACCTTTGAATGTATGTCCTTGTTCAAGCAAGGAGACATGATTGCAGCTATGGCCATTTATGCCTGAATGTTCTTAAGCAGTTGGAGAACTATAAAAGTCCTCGATCATTTGATTTCAAGCAAGCTCTAGGTTTACTCAAACAATTGACTTGACTTCTAAAATGGCCTTGCAGGCCAGCTATCAAGCTTGTATTCAGCATGATAAGATGTTTGATGATCTTTGAAGCGTTTCTTAAGGATTGGTTAGCTTTGAAGTTGCAGTTTGAAACCAAGGGAATCTCAAGATCATTGCTTGAAAAGGAGCAGAGAACAAGAAAGATATGGACTTTCATTTAGTACAAATGAATCAAAAGAATAATAATTAACTTCCCTCCCACAAGAAACATGACATTCTGGGGCTGAAACTAAGAAACCATCACCCATCATTCCGAGAGGAATCAAAACAGGAAGCACTGGAGAAGCAGCAGTAGGGAACCCAAGCAAGCAACAAGACCGAAGCTGGACGAAGCTGCTGCTGCACCAGTCGTGGGCGCAACAGCAGGAGACATAACCTGCTGCGGCTGGTCTTCTTCTGCAGAACCAGGTGAAGGAGCAGGAGCAAAACCAGGAGACGCAGCAGCAGCAGCAGTTCTGGGAGACAAGACGACGATGATCACCTTCTGACCTTCCTTGCAATGTCCATCAGCTCCGCTGATGAAGTAGTGCGCGCCGGCTCTCTCCAGCTTCACCTTGGTGTTCCCGTCTTTGTACTCCGCGATGGGGTCGGTGACGTTGCAGGCGAGGTAAGCTTTCTTCGACACTTCCAGCACCGAATCCTTGGTCCCATCATACTTCCACACTGCAACCGCCAGAAAAAGGAGGAAAAACAGAGGATTAGTTAATTTAATCTTCATCAAGGCAGGGGAAATGATAGTTCAAAACGGACGGGGTTCGGAGGGATGAACGAACGAACCGAGAGAATCGCCGATGCGGAAGCGAGTGCGTTGAGCCCATTTGTTGAGGGAATCGGACTCGGAGGTTGGGATGGTCCAGCCGTCCGACTTGCCCCCGACTGTTATCTCTTTGGCTTCTGCGCAGAAGCAGAGGAGGCAGAGGAGCAGATATGAAGAAGAGAAGAAGAGAAGAGCTGTGCGAGAGGCGGCCATTGAGGTGGTGAAATAGAGACGAGCAGTGTAGCAAGTAAGTGCTGGCTGTTGCTTCTGAAAGGGAGAGTGTGCAGAGAGGGTTCCTGATTCTGGTGGAGTGGAGTGAAGTGCAAGCTTTGAAATTGGTAAGCATTTATAGGGAGAAAGAAGGAACGAGATTGAAGAAGAAGTAGCCGTTGTGAGAATGGTGGCCCAATTCTGGGTCTGGTCTGGCTCTGATTCTGGTGCATCAAAAGAATACAATCACAACGGCCATTTCTTTACAGAAAGAGGGCTCCTACAAATTTCTAGTCCTCTTTCTTTTTTCAGTTTACACATTTCATCCCCAATCTTCCTTTTCTGGCGTATTTAGGTTTGTCTATGACTTGAGAGTCGAGTGCGAATATAGTCTCGTATCGTCACGTTCAACGGTTCAACATTCATTTGTATACCAATCAAATGGCAGCCGCACCACAGAGGAGAACGAAGGTGAACAATGAAAAGGGCCATTACATCATAATCTCGACGGCATTGTCTCAATACAAAAATGAGCAACAAGAGTTTTACACCTGATAACAATTTTATCTACTAAATTGTGAATCTTACCCTGTTTGGCTTCAAAAGAAAGGAACGGGACCACAGAATGATCCCTCTGCAAACCCAGGAAAATTTATTGATTCAATCAATCAATCAATCTTCACGGATGAGTAGATGAGCCTCGTGAACCAGAAGCACGCATAGAAACCGATGGTGCCAGTCAGCACAAAGAACGCATACGAAGCGATCAGCATGTAGCCGAAGTACAACGCTCCAGAGACGAGCTTCGTGATTTCGAGCTTGGTGAAGAAGTAGAATGTGGCATACAGGAAAAGGTACACTGCAGAAGATCCTGAGGTGAGGTACGATCTCCACCACCACAGATAGTCCTCGCTGCAGAGCTGGAAGTAGCAGAGCACGACGGTGATCTCAGCACAGGTGATGATGAGGATGATGAACACCAAGAAGAGGAATCCGAAGATGTAGTAGAACTGGTTCAGCCATATAGAGGTGAGGATGAAGAACAGCTCGATGAAGACGGCTCCGAATGGGAGTATCCCACCGATCAGGATCGAGAAGGCGGGGTTCATGTACCAAGCTTGCTCCGGAATCTGTCTGGGGATCTTGTTGGTCTTCACAGGATCCTCCAAAGCTGTCTTCTTGAACCCGATGTAGCTCCCCACAAAGACTAGTGGGACCGAGATGCCGAACCACAAGAACACCAAGGCAAACATTGTGCCGAAGGGGACAGCTCCGGATGACTTCTGGCCCCATATGAGAGCATTCAAGACGAAGAAGATGGCAGAGACGATCCCAGGGAACATGATTGCTGTTCGGAGTGCAATCTTCTTCCATTCAGTGCCTTTGAATAGCTTGTATAGTCGGGAAGATGCGTACCCGGCAAACAGGCCCATGAAGACCCAGAGCAAAAGCATGGCTGTCATGAGGCCACCTCGGTTAGATGGGGAGAGGAAACCAAGAATGGCAAAGAGCATTGTGACAAGGATCATGCAGAAGAACTGGACACCAGTTCCCACATAGACGCAGAGTAGTTCCGAGCTCATTGGTGGCCTGAAAACATCACCATGGACGAGTTTCCATCCAGTTTCTTCTTGAGCCTCTTCTTGGGTCTCTAGTTCATTGTACTTGGAGATGTCACGGTAAAGTGTCCTCAGCATGATCATTGCTACCATGCCGGAGAGGAAGAGAACAATCATCAAGGAGTTGACGATTGAAAACCAGTGGATTTGATCATCACTCATCAGAAGATATGCATCCCATCTTGACGCCCACTTCACATCACTCTCCTATAAAGATGGATCATGAACAAGGATTAGAATGGATAGCATATGACTTACTATAGATAAACGAAACTACTACCCCCATGAGGTGATATCATCACGTTTTATGATGAAAAGCCATAGGAAACAAATCGCCAGGTCTAAACCATGACAACATAACAGACATGGATCGTTGGACTAAAGAGTTCACCTGGAAATCAACGTCATAAGTGAAAACAATCTCCTTTTTGTCATCCACTTCCTGGGGAGTGTTTGAATTGATAACAGTACGCTTAGTATGAGGATCACAGGTAGTTAAACGTGTCTTATCCTCAGCCCATTTCCCCTCATATTCGTGCTTGATACTGGATTGTACAAATACTCAGGTCAGGGCAGCAAACTAGAACGGTACAAGAGAAATGGGTATCGCAAACACCCAGAATGCAGTGGATTTGTCAAAGAAAGGAACCAACCCAGAGCAACTGACCTGTATGGCTTCACTTCAAAACCCACAATTCTTGCAGCGTCAGTTTGCAGATCCCTGTGAAACTTGACAGTGAATGCCAAGTGGTTGTGAATGAAATATTTTTCCTCTTTGCTCTGCATATGGTCAGACAACTGTAAGGAAAAGAAGAAATAACAAGACGACATAAAAGAACAAAGTTCTCAAATGCTGGTCACTTACCCCGCTATATTGGCCTTTGAATCCAACATGGTAACCAAGCTGAAAGATAGTAGGGGACTCCTGATCCAGCCTCCTTATTGCAACTACAAGAGGCAGATTATCGAGGATCCTGTTACACAGATGACAGAACAGTTAAGAATGAAACTTCAAAACAACAATGGAACAGTGACAATGTAGCCCTTGTGCGTTCTTGTACAAACCAAATCTTACATGTTGACCCTGTATTCATCATCGATCTTCTCCTTAAACTCCTTAGCAGTCTTGGTATCAAGATTAACCCGGCAAAGAACATTGCACATTTTGGGTTCCCTCATTTTAAACTGCAATGAATAAGCACAGTAAAATAAGTTGCTCTGCAAAAAGAAACATAAATCCAGACTCCAATTAATACTGACCACATAGGGAGAGTTCTCAATTCGATCCCCACGAAGAACTTCACCGAGATTCTCTGCACTGTCCACGATCTTTGCTGGCCGGCAGAAGGGCAGAGAATAGAAGGAGTAAGGAAGCTGCGTCTTTGTAGAGGTCAGCTTGTTCACCTTCACTCTCAACTCATCTCCCTGCACTCAGAGCAAACCAGTATGAGATCAGAATACAAGAATCCCACAACACTAAGAAAAAGGCTCGACGGTGGAAACATTACACCAGTTCTGCTCCCATAACAACCTCCACTATATCACACCAAAAGATCCAAGAGGAATTCCCGATTCAGCTAAAAACTCGGTATTCAGTATTCAGAATTGAAGCATCGACGAACAGAAGCGGCAATAACCTACAGTACTCTGTGTAATCTAGTAAAGCCAATCCTGGACCACATTCGGTGCCTTAAAACAGCCTAAATCTGGCAAATCCGAGATGAAATCTATACTAAACATGCACAGGGACAATGGCTGAGATTCAGTAACTGTAGGATTCGTTACTAAGCTCCTTTGCACCAAGACCGAATCTAACACAGAAGAACATAAATTGGAAAGCAGATCGGAGGATATGAAGTGCAGATCAATGGAGAGAGGGAGAACCTTGGTGAAATCCTCGGGAGCGACACCGGGGAGGTAGAAAGAGCGAGCGCCATGGACGAGAAGCAAGAGAAGGAGGAGAGTGGAGATCGGGGCGGCGAATGGAGAAGACGATCTTCTGCATCTTCCTCCTGCAGGCGCCATTGAAGAAGAGACGGAGAGCTCTCCCTTCGACGAGATTCAGAGAAGAAAGAGAGACGGTGGCGGGTTCGTAGATCTGGAGAGGCCGGGTGAGATATAGAGAGGGGGACGAGAGGGAGGAGTACGAGGGATTTGTTTTTCTGTTGTTATGGTGACTCGATAGTCGATAGCATACAATAAAAAAATATAAAAGACGGAGGATTAGAGAGAGACAAGAGGGTCAACTAACTACTAAGGAAGGAGATCGAAATAAAATTATTATTTTTTTTTGTAAAAAAGAAAATTAAGAGAGAAAAATTAATTAATTAAACCAGAACTTCTGGGACTGGATCCGGGGGAGGAGTGAGTGAGGAAGACGTTGCACCGTCTCTGCCTCTCTCTGCGTCTTTCGTTCTCTTCTGTCGGTGGGAAAGCAACGTTTGGCAATAGGTCGGGTTGGGTCAAACCCAAACCCAAACCCAAATTTATGGATTTATTCGTTAAAAAAAAATTGGGATAAAATTCACTGGGTTTGAAAAACTCAAATCCAACCCAACTCGCTGGGTACACATGGGTTTTTGTGATAAACAAATTTACAATAACAAGTTCCTATCAAAATAAAAGTCAAATATCAATATCTCAATACAAATTATCCATATGTAAAACACCATTCTAGAAACTTCAAGCAAATCACAAATTAACTATACAAATTGTTCAACACCAATCTAGAAAACTCAAGAAAATTGAAGCAAATCACAAATTATCCATAAACAACATGATTAATTGAAAACTTCTTACTCCTTGTCAATTAAGTTTCTTCACTCTCCACTTGATAATATCAACTTCATTCTACACAATTAGAAAGGAAAAACTAGACATTTCTCCACAAACATAAAGAAGATTAGTAGTTTAGAAAATGGCCTTTAGAATCCAAAGAAAATTACCTTCCAGTTATACATATTATAATGCATGTTTTATTTATAAGTAAGTTGAAGTTTAAGAACACGCTTTCTTTTAAGAAGTACTTTGCCTTCAAGAAGGTGAAACCGTTTTAAGAATTTTTAGTCGCTAGCGCTAGTTCGTTGCCATTTGAGATTTTCATATAGAGCAGCAGTTATGCTCTTGAGATATTTAAGTGAGCAGCAGTTATGCTCTTGAGATTTTTAAGATGAGCAACAATTATGCTCTTGAGAATCGTGGAAGAAGAGCCTTCCACGATAAGTTTAAGTTTAAGGAAAGCCTGGAGGGCTTCTCATACGTATGAGTTGGCAACCAGACTAGCTAGTGAGGGATCCCCGTGTCAGTCAAGAATTTTAAGTGGAGATTTGAGCTTTAAGGATACAGTTTTAAGAGTTAAGATTTTTAATAGTGGAAGTACAAAACAACTTCCACTAAGTGATCAAGTATTAATAAGATGTTAAACGTAAGGCCGTACACTGACCCCATCTCACTCACCAGTTTGAAGAGCTAGAGGAGCTAGAGGAGCAGTTAGTGAACAGCGAGTTCGAGGGTAGCCAGCTAGTGGAGAGCAGTATAAGCGTCACGGAGGATGCTTAGTCAAGGTTTCCAGTAGCAACAACATTAGAGTTATTAGTTATTTACATTTATGGTTATGAGTATAGACTAGAGATCATTTTGAGATTTTAAGTACTGAGTTTGCCCATGTCTTAGGGCGTTGCTTTGAACTACAAGTTTGTGTGTTCAGTATTTTATTTATGAAAAATTTTCCCGCTGCAATTTAAGATTTGAGTATTTTATTTATTGGGGGCATTTTAGTAAAAGTAGTCCATGCCGGGTTAGGGTGTTTCAAAATCTGTGATGGTACCCCTTTGCAATCTGCAAAAAATTGACACGGAATAAATCCGCCCAAATCAGTACTTAATGGGCTTAATCATCGTTGAAGAATAGTCTCGGGACGAATCCGTGATCTGTAGCCTTCAAAATCCAAAGAAAATGGCCTTTCGACGGCCACAAAATTACAAAAAATGGCATTCGAAAATTTTTTGGCCCAAATCGGTGCTTAATGGCCTTATCATCCATGGAGAATAGGATCAATAGACTTCATTAATGGTGGAGAATAGCCTGGGCCCGATTCCGTGATCTGTAGCATCCAGAATCGAAATAAAATGGCATTTCAGAAAAATCGCCCAAAATCTGTGATGGTACCCATTTGCAATATGCCAAAAATTGACCCAGAATAAATCCGCCCAAATCGGTGCTTAATGGACTTAATCATCATTGAAGAATAGTCTCAGGCCAAATCTGTGATCTGTAGCCTTCAAAATGCAAAGAAAATGGTCTTTCGACGCCTACAAAATTACGAAAATGCCATCCGAAAATAAATTGGCCCAAATTGGTGTTTAATGTACTTATCATCCGTGGAGAATATGATCAATAGACTTCATTATCGTTGGAGAATAGCCTCGGCCCGATTCTGTGATCTGTAGACTCTAGAATAGAAATAAAATGGCATTTAAGAAAATCGCCCAAAATCGCCCTTTGCAATCTTCCAAAAATTGACCCGGAATAATTCCGCTCAAATCTATGCTTAATGGACTTAATCATCGTTGAAGAATAGTCTCATGTCGAATCCGTGATCTGTAGCCTTCAAAATCCAAAGAAAATGGCCTTTCGACGCCCACAAAATTACGAAAAATGTCATCCGAAAATAAATTGGCCAAAATCGATGTTAAATTGGCCCAAATTGGTGTTTAATGTACTTATCATCCGTGGAGAATATGATCAATAGACTTCATTATCGTTGGAGAATAGCCTCGGCCCGATTCTGTGATATGTAGACTCTAGAATAGAAATAAAATGGCATTTAAGAAAATCGCCCGAAATCGCCCTTTGCAATCTTCCAAAAATTGACCCGGAATAATTCCGCTCAAATCTATGCTTAATGGACTTAATCATCGTTGAAGAATAGTCTCATGTCGAATCCGTGATCTGTAGCCTTCAAAATCCAAAGAAAATGGCCTTTCGACGCCCACAAAATTACGAAAAATGTCATCCGAAAACAAATTGGCCAAAATCGATGTTTAATGGACTTATCATCCATGGAGAATAGGATAAATAGACTTCATTATCGATGGAGAATAGCCTCGGCCTGTTTCCGTGATCTGTAGCCTCCAGAATCGAAAGAAAATGACATTTCTGAAAAATCGCCCAAAATCTTTGATGGTACGTACCCCTTTGCAATCCGCCAAAAATTGACCCGGAATAAATTCTCTCAAATCGGTGCTTAATGGACTTAATCATCATTGAAGAATAGTCTCAGGCCGAATACGTGATCTGTAGCCTTCAAAATGCAAAGAAAATGGCCTTTCGACGGCCACAAAATTACGAAAATGCCATTCAAAAATAAATTGGCCCAAATCGGTGCTTTATGGACTTATCATCCATGGAGAATAGGATCAATAGACTTCATTATTGGTGGAGAATAGCCTGGGCCCGATTCCGTGATCTGTAGCCTCCAGAATCGAAAGAAAATGGCATTTCGAAAAAATCGCCCAAAATTTGTGATGATATCCCTTTGCAATCTGCCAAAAATTGACCCTGAATAAATCCGCCCAAATCGGAGCTTAATGGACTTAATCATCGTTGAAGAATAGTCTCAGGCCGAATCCGTGCCCCTTAGCCTTCAAAATCCAAAGAAAATGATCTTTCGACGTCCACAAAATTACGAAAATGGCCTTTCGACGCCCACAAAATTACGAAAATACCATCCGAAAATAAATTGGCCAAAATCGGTGTTTAATGGACTTATCATCAATGGAGAATAGGATCAATAGACTTCATTATCGATGGAGAATAGCCTCGGCCTGATTCCGTGATCTGTAACCTCAAGAATCGAAAGAAAATGACATTTCGGAAAAATCGCCCAAAATCTTTGATGGTACCCCTTTGCAATCCGCCAAAAATTGATCGCAATAAATCCCCCAAATCGGTGCTTAATGGACTTAATCATCGTTGAAGAATAGTCTCAGGCCGAATCCGTGATATGTAGCCTTCAAAATCCAAATAAAATGGCCTTTCGACGCCCACAAAATTACAAAAATGCCATCCGAAAATAAATTGGCGCAAATCGGTGCTTAATGGACTTATCATCCGTGGAGAATAGGATTAGTAGACTTCATTATCGGTGGAGAATAGCCTCGGCCTGATTTCGTGATCTGTAGCCTCCAGAATCGAAAGAAAATGACATTTCGGAAAAATCGCCCATAATATGTGATGGTACCCCTTTGCAATCTGCCAAAAATTGACAAGGAATAAATCCGCCCAAATCGGTGCTTAATGGACTTAATCATCATTGAAGTATAGTCTCAGGGCGAATCCGTGATCTGTAGCCTTCAATATCCAAAGAAAATGGCTTTTCAACGCCCACAAAATTACGAAAACGCCATCCGAAAATAAATTGACCCAAATCGGTGCTTAATGGACTTATCATCCGTGGAGAATAGGATCACTAGATTTCATTATTGTTGGATAATACCCTAGGCCTGATTCCGTGATCTGTAGGCTCCAGAATCGAAAGAAAATGGCATTTCGGAAAAATCGCCTAAAATCAATGATGGTACCACTTTGCAATCTGCCGAAATTTGACCCGAAATAAATCCGCCCAAATCGGTGCTTAATGGACTTAGTGATCGTTGAAGAATAGTCTCAGGCCGAATCCGTGATCTGTAGCCTTCAACATCCAAAGAAAATGGCCTCTCGACGGCCACAAAATTACAAAAATGCCATCCGAAAATAAATTGGCCCAAATCGGTGTTTAATGGACTTATCATCCGTGTAGAATTGGATCAATAGACTTTATTATTGGTGGAGAATAGCCTCGGCCTGATTTCGTGATCTGTAGCCTCCAGAATCGAAAGAAAATGGCATTTCGGAAAAATCGACCAAAATCGGTGATGGTACCCCTTTGCAATCTGCCAAAAATTGACCAGGAATAAATCCGCCCAAATCGGTGCTTAATGGACTTAGTCATCGTTGAAGAATAGTCTCAGGCCAAATTCGTGATCTGTAGCCTTCAAAATCCAAAGAAAATGGCCTCTCGACGCCCACAAAAATACGAAAATGCCATCCGAAAATAAATTGGCCCAAATCGGCGTTTAATGGACTTATCATCCGTGGAGAATAGGATCAATAGACTTCATTATCGGTGGAGAATAGCCTCGGCCTGATTTCGTGATCTGTAGCCTCCAGAATCGAAAGAAAATGGCATTTCGGAAAAATCGCCCAAAATCGGTGATGGTACCCCTTTGCAATCTGCCAAAAATTGACCCGGAATAAATCCGCCCAAATTGGTGCTTAATGGACATAATCATCGTCGAGGAATAGTCTGACGCCGAATCTTTGATCTGTAGCCTTCAAAATCCAATGAAAATGGCCTCTCGACGCACACAAAATTACGAAAATGCCATCCGAAAATAACTTGGCCCAAATTGGTGTTTAATGGACTTATCATCCGTGGAGAATAGGATGAATAGACTTCATTAACTGTGTAGAATAGCCTCTTCCTGATTCCGTGATCTGTAGCCTCCAAAATCGAAAGAAAATGGATTTTCGGAAAAATCGCCCAAAATCTGTGATGGTTCCCCTTTGCAATTTGCCAAAAATTGACACGGAATAAATCCGCCAAAATCGGTGCTTAATGGACTTAATCCTCGTTGAAGAATATTCTCAGGCCGAATCCGTGATCAGCCTTCAAAATCCCCAAAAAATGGCCTTTCAACGCCCAGAAAATTACGAAAACGCCATCCGAAAATAAATTGGCCCAAATCGGTGCTTAATGGGCTTATCATCCGTGGAGAATAAGATCACTAGATTTCATTATTGTTGCAGAATAGCCTCGGCCTGATTCCGTGATCTGTAGGCTCCAGAATCGAACAAAAATGACATTTCGGAAAAATCGCACAAAATCTGTGATGGTACCCATTTGCAATCTGCCAAAAATTGTCCCGGAATAAATCCGTCCAAATCGGTGCTTAATGGACTTATTCATCGTTGAAGAATAGTCTCAGGCCGAATCCGTGATCTGTAGCCTTCAAAATTCAAAGAAAATGGACTTTCAAAGCCCACAAAATTACGTAAATGCCACTGAAATTAAATTGGCCCAAATCGGTGTTTGATGGACTTATCATCCGTGGAGAATAGGATCAATAGACTTCATTATTGGAGGAGAATAGCGTCGGCCTGATTCCGTGATCTGTAGTGTCCAGAATTGAAAGAAAATGGAATTTCGGAAAAATCGCCCAAAATCTGTGATGGTACTCCTTTGCAATCTGCCAGAAATTGAGCCGGAATAAATCCGCCCAAATCGGTGGTTAATGGACTTAATCATCATTGAATAATAGTCTCATGCTGAATCCGTGATCTGTAGCATTCAAAATCAAAAGAAAATGGCCTTTCGACCCCCACAAAATTACGAAAATGGCATCCGAAAATAATTTGGCCCAAATCGGTGTTTAATGGACTTATCATCTGTGGAGAATATGATCAATAGACTTCATTATCGGTGGAGAATATCCTCGGCCTGATTCCGTGATCTGTGGCCTCCAGAATCGAAAAAATGGCATTTCGGAAAAATGGCCCAAAATCTGTGATGGTACCCCTTTGCAATCTGCCAAAAATTGACCCGGAATAAATCCGCCCAAATCGGTGCTTAATGGACTAAGTCATCGTTGAAGATTAGTGTCAGGCCGAATCCGTGATCTGTAGCCTTCAAAATCCAAAGAAATTGGCCTCTCGACGCCCACAAAATTACGAAAATGCCATCCGAAAATAAATTGGCCCAAATCGGTGTTTAATGGACTTATCATCCGTGGAGAATAGGATCAATAGACTTCATTATCGGTGGAGAATAGCCTCAGCCTGATTTCGTGATTTGTAGCCTCCAGAATCGAAAGAAAATGGCATTTCGGAAAAATCGCCCAAAATCGGTGATGGTATACACCCCTTTGCAATCTGCTAAAAATTGACCCGGAATAAATCCGCCCAAATTGGTGCTTAATGGACTTAGTCATCATTGAAGAATAGTCTCAGGCCGAATCCGTGATCTGTAGTCTTCAAAATCCAAAGAAAATGGCCTCTCGACGCCCACAAAATTACGAAAATGCCATCCGAAAATAAATTGGCCCAAATCGGTGTTTAATTGACTTATCATCCGTGGAGAATTGGATCAATAGACTTTATTATCGGTGGAGAATAGCCTCGGCCTGATTTCGTGATCTGTAGCCTCCAGAATCGAAAGAAAATGGCATTTCGTAAAAATTGCCCAATATCGGTGATGGTACCCCTTTGCAATATGCCAAATATTGACCCGGAATAAATCCGCCCAAATCGGTGGTTAATGAACTTAGTCATCGTTGAAGAATAGTCTCAGGCCGAATCCGTGATCTGTAGCCTTCAAAATCCAAAGAAAATGGCCTCTCGACGCCCACAAAATTACGAAAATGCCATCCGAAAATAAATTGTCCCAAATCGATGTTTAATGGACTTATCATCCGTGGAGAATAGGATCAATAGACTTCATTATCGGTGGAGAATAGCCTCGGCCTGATTTCGTGATCTGTAGCCTCCAGAATCGAAAGAATATGGCATTTCGGAAAAATCGCCCAAAATCGGTGATGGTACCCCTTTGCAATCTGCCGAAAATTGACCCGGAATAAATCCTCCCAAATCGGTGGTTAATGAACTTAGTCATCGTTGAAGAATAGTCTCAGGCCGAATCCGTGATCTGTAGCCTTCAAAATCCAAAGAAAATGGCCTCTCGACGCCCACAAAATTACGAAAATGCCATCCGAAAATAAATTGTCCCAAATCGATGTTTAATGGACTTATCATCCGTGGAGAATAGGATCAATAGACTTCATTATCGGTGGAGAATAGCCTCGGCCTGATTTCGTGATCTGTAGCCTCCAGAATCGAAAGAATATGGCATTTCGGAAAAATCGCCCAAAATCGGTGATGGTACCCCTTTGCAATCTGCCGAAAATTGACCCGGAATAAATCCTCCCAAATCGGTGCTTAATGGACTTAGTCTTCGTTGAAGAATAGTCTCAGGCCGAATCCGTGATCTGTAGCCTTCAAAATCCAAAGAAAATGGCCTATCGACGCCCAAAAAATTACGAAAATGGCATCAGAAAATAAATTGGCCCAACTCGGTGTTTAACAGACTTATCATCCGTGGAGAATAGGATCAATAGACTTCATTATCGGTGGAGAATACCCTCGGTCTGATTTCGTGATCTGTAGCCTCCAGAATCGAAAGAAAATGGCATTTCGGAAAAATCGCCCAAAATCTGTAATGGTACCCCTTTGCAATCTGCCGAAAATTGACCCGGAATAAATCCGCCCAAATCGGTGCTTAATGGACTTAGTGATCGTTGAAGAATAGTCTCAAGCCGAATCCGTGATCTGTAGCCTTAAAAATCCAAAGAAAATGGCCTCTCGACGCCCACAAAATTACGAAAATGCCATCCTAAAATAAACTGGCCCAAATCGGTGTTTAATGGACTTATCATCCGTGGAGAATAGGATCAATAGAATTCATTATCGGTGGAGAATAGCCTCGGCCTGATTTCGTGATCTGTAGCCTCCAGAATCGAAAGAAAATGGCATTTCGGAAAAATCGCCCAAAATCTGTAATGGTACCCCTTTGCAATCTGCCGAAAATTGACCCGGAATAAATCCGCCCAAATCGGTGCTTAATGGACTTAGTGATCGTTGAAGAATAGTCTCAAGCCGAATCCGTGATCTGTAGCCTTCAAAATCCAAAGAAAATGGCCTCTCGACGCACACAAAGTTACGAAAATGCCATCCGAAAATAAATTGGCCCATATCGGTGTTTAATGGACTTATCATCCGTGGAGAATAGGATCAATAGACTTCATTATCGGTGGGGAATAGCCTCGGCCTGATTTCGTGATCTGTAGCCTCCAGAATCGAAATAAAATGGCATTTCGGAAAAATCGCCCAAAATCGGTGATGGTACCCCTTTGCAATCTGCCAAAAATTGACCCGGAATAAATCCGCCCAAATCGGTGCTTAATGGACTTAGTCATCGTTGAAGAATAGTCTCAGGCCGAATCCGTGATCTGTAGCCTTCAAAATCCAAAGAAAATGGCCTCTCGACGCCCACAAAATTACGAAAATGCCATCCGAAAATAATTTGGCACAAATCGGTGTTTAATGGACTTATCATCCGTGGAGAATAGGATCAATAGAATTCATTATCGGTGGAGAATAGCCTCGGCCTAATTTCGTGATCTGTAGCCTCCATAATCGAAGGAAAATGGCATTTCGGAAAAATCGCCCAAAATCGGTGATGGTACCCCTTTGCAATCTGCCAAAAATTGACCTGGAATAAATCCGCCCAAATCGGTGCTTAATGGACTTAGTCATCTTTGAAGAATAGTGTCAGGCTGAATCCGTGATCTGTAGCCTTCAAAATCCAAAGAAAATGGCCTCTCGACGCCCACAAAATTATGAAAATGCCATCCGAAAATAAATTGGCCCAAATCGGTGTTTAATGGACTTATCATCCGTGGAGAATAGGATCAATAGACTTCATTATCGGTGGAGAATAGCCTCAGCCTGATTTCGTGATCTGTAGAATCCAGAATCGAAAGAAAATGGCATTTCGGAAAAATCGCCCAAAATCGGTGATGGTATACACCCCTTTGCAATCTGCCAAAAATTGACCCGGAATAAATTCGCACAAATCGGTGCTTAATGGACTTAGTCATCGTTGAAGAATAGTCTCAGCCGAATCCGTGATCTGTAGCATTCAAAATCCAAAGAAAATGGCCTCTAGACGCCCACAAAATTACGAAAATGCCATCCGAAAATAAATTGGCCCATATCGGTGTTTAATGGACTTATCATCCGTGGAGAATAGGATCAATAGACTTCATTATCGGTGGGGAATAGCCTCGGCCTGATTTCGTGATCTGTAGCCTCCAGAATCGAAATAAAATGGCATTTCGGAAAAATCGCCCAAAATCGGTGATGGTACCCCTTTGCAATCTGCCAAAAATTGACCCGGAATAAATCCGCCCAAATCGGTGCTTAATGGACTTAGTCATCGTTGAAGAATAGTCTCAGGCCGAATCCGTGATCTGTAGCCTTCAAAATCCAAAGAAAATGGCCTCTCGACGCCCACAAAATTACGAAAATGCCATCCGAAAATAATTTGGCACAAATCGGTGTTTAATGGACTTATCATCCGTGGAGAATAGGATCAATAGAATTCATTATCGGTGGAGAATAGCCTCGGCCTAATTTCGTGATCTGTAGCCTCCATAATCGAAGGAAAATGGCATTTCGGAAAAATCGCCCAAAATCGGTGATGGTACCCCTTTGCAATCTGCCAAAAATTGACCCGGAATAAATCCGCCCAAATTGGTGCTTAATCGACTTAGTCATCGTTGAAGAATAGTGTCAGGCCGAATCCGTGATCTGTAGCCTTCAAAATCCAAAGAAAATGGCCTCTCGACGCCCACAAAATTACGAAAATGCCATCCGAAAATAAATTGGCCCAAATCCCCTGGTGTTGATTGTAGTCTCCGTCCATCCCGTGCTCTTCTTCAGAATCGCTACTCAGGTGGCCGTCTATGCGCTCTTCCGTAGCCAGTCTAGCTCGCTGTTGTCTCCTGAGCTGGCGACAGGTGCGATCAATCTCTGGATTCAACGACAGTAAACCTCCTGACTGGCTACGGGTCATGCACTACCTGCACACACTCAAGCAAGCAAACCCGTGAAGGCACAAGTGGGACAAAGCAAACAAAGCAAAAAGAAAAGCTAAATTAACAGAAATCACTTTTCTTCAACAACCTAGCCGTCCCCGGCAACGGCGCCAAAAACTTGACTCACTTCTACTGTCACCCTAGGAATTGGCCAAGTGAAACCACTTCCTAAAGCGTAGTATAGCGGGTTAGGTTTATATGTCAACCCGGGTCCTAGATCTGATGACTACTCAGTGAATTCTCGTTATCTAGCAATGAAACTGGAATGTAAGTCTAAACTATCAAACTAACAAAGCAAGTAAACTGTTGTATTCAGGTTAAGAGAGGTCACCCGGATATGGTTCCCCCTAGACTGCAGTTAAGCCGGATTGTAATTACCAAGTTCAATTTCTAGGATAGTTATACTGCGGAAGGTTCTTAAACAGCCTGAAGTCTCGACTAAAGGTCTTCAGACCCTCTCAATCTGAGTCTCTAGCGGGCGACTAACCTCCACCGGAGTAAACAGATTGAGGCCTTAACAAACAAAACCTCCACTACCGGAGTAAATCCGGTACAGAATAGTGAGTTGGCTCCTCGACTAAAGTCACCAACTCCCTACCTTCAATCAAGGATGCTCTATCAACCTAGGCAGATATTCTCATTCTAGGTCAAAGCAGAAACAACAGGAATTTGATCAGGATTCAAGTCATTCAATCATTCAAACCTCAATCGAATATAATCAAATCATAGAATCAGTACTTGGGTTCATACAATCAAACCTAACATACAAATCTAGGGTTCTCCATACCCAGATGAATGGGAGAACTACTCCATGGAGAAAGAAGCAAAAGCAGAATCAGACGCGGAATTCATACTGTGAAGGATGGATTCCTGCTCCTGGACGTTGATCGGCACTTCTCCAAGCTCAAGCTGGCCTCCAATGGTGTTGAAGATCAATCTAGGGCACTTGGAGACTCTTGTTCGTCGCTTTCTCTCTCTAGGAATCGTTCTCTCTCTCAAAAACTCGAATCCCCTTCTCTTTGGCTGAAAATATGCTTAAAAAGGCATCAGTGGCCAAAACACGGTCGAGGGCACGACCGTGTAATGCCTCAGCCCGCCCGTGTTTTGGCTAGGGTTAATTACACGGCCTGTGCATTGCGCGAAACACGGGCGTGTTTGGTGGTGGACACGGCCGTGCTTCTGCCCGTGTTTTTAGCCAATGTCTGCCCAACTTGAATTTGCTCTCGGCAGTAAAAACACGGCCACAGAACACGGCCGTGTTCTGTTTTAGGTCTGCCCGTGTTTTGGCTCCAGCTTGACGAAATGACCTCTGAATGCCCCGAAACTCGTGCTTAGCCTTTCCTTTGACGCCTAGGACCTGAAATATGACAAAATAGCACAACCCGGCGTAAAATAGGCCAAAATACACGACTATGCCTCTCAAACGGATAAGAGTTAGGGGTGCAAATACATGCAATTACATCGTTATCAAATTCCCCCACACTTAACCGTTTGCTTGTCCTCAAGCAAACCAAGTCAGACACAAAGTAAGCTCAAAACAACAAGGCATGATATATCGGCACAAAACACGTGGATCATACTGGCTTTCGATCAGTAAACATGGACAACTTCAATGACAACCTAGACAACCACCACAGATGACATTCGAGTGTAGTAAAATTGAGCAAAGGAAGAGTCTCCCTTCTGTTCACCAACCAACATAGACTTGACTCAACCACTTGTTCAAAACAGTCACATCATGCACAAAGTTCAAGATATCAGAATTAAGATCGAGCAATCTAGGTCCTCACCGGGATAAAGAGTATAGAGAATAAGAGAAAATGAATCGCTCACTCTCGACCAGTGGGGTCAGGACAATATGATGTTAAAAAGTCGCATGCTTAATCTCTCAATCCCTAACATCTATTCACCATGAATGCAGCCTCTAAGTGCTAGAGTTCACATATGGGGTGTCATCACTAACTAATCCGGAGGTCTTAGACACAGGTTCAGATGACTGGCTAGGGTCTTGGACATGGGGAAAAGGCCTTTTAGGTGGTGGAAGTATTCATACAGCACAAGGTTCCAAATTTCCAAACCCAACAGATTCACAATCAATCGAACCAATAGGATCAATAGACTTCATCCGTGGAGAATAGGATCAATAGACTTCATTATCGGTGGAGAATAGCCTCGGCCTGATTTCGTGATCTGTAGCCTCCAGAATCGAAAGAAAATGGCATTTCGGAAAAATCGCCCAAAATCGGTGATGGTACCCCTTTGCAATCTGCCAAAAATTGACCCGGAATAAATCCGCCCAAATCGGTGCTTAATGGACTTAGTCATCGTTGAAGAATAGTGTCAGGCCGAATCCGTGATCTGTAGCCTTCAAAATCCAAAGAAAATGGCCTCTCGGCGCCCACAAAATTTCGAAAATGCCATACGAAAATAAATTGGCCCAAATCGGTGTTTAATGGACTTATCATCCGTGGAGAATAGGATCAATAGACTTCATTATCGGTGGAGAATAGCCTCGGCCTGATTTCGTGAACTGTAGCCTCCAGAATCGAAAGAAAATGGCATTTCGGAAAAATCGCCCCAAATCGGTGATGGTACCGCTTTGCAATCTGCCAAAAATTGACCAGGAATAAATCCGCCCAAATCGGTGCTTAATGGACTTATTCATCGTTGAAGAATAGTGTCAGGCCGAATCCGTGATCTGTAGCCTTCAAAATCCAAAGAAAATGGCCTCTCGACGCCCACAAAATTACGAAAATGCCATCCGAAAATAAATTGGCCCAAATCGGTGTTTAATGGACTTATCATCCGTGGAGAATAGAATCAATAGACTTCATTATCGGTGGAGAATAGCCTCGGCCTGATTTCGTGATCTGTAGCCTCCAGAATGGAAAGAAAATGGCATTTCGGAAAAATCGCCCAAAATCGGGGATGGTACCCCTTTGCAATCTGCCAAAAATTGACCCGGAATAAATCCGCCCAAATCGGTGCTTAATGGACTTAGTCATCGTTGAAGAATAGTGTCAGGCCGAATCCGTGATCTGTAGCCTTCAAAATCCAAAGAAAATGGCCTCTCGACGCCCACAAAATTACGAAAATGTCATCCGAAAATAAATTGGCCCAAATCGGTGTTTAATGGACTTATCATCCGTGGAGAATAGGATCAATAGACTTCATTATCGGTGGAGAATAGCCTCGGCCTGATTTCGTAATCTGTAGCCTCAAGAATCGAAAGAAAATGGCATTTCGGAAAAATCGCCCAAAATCGGTGATGGTACCCCTTTGCAATCTGCCAAAAATTGACCCGGAATAAATCCGCCCAAATCGGTTCTTAATGGACATAGTCATCATTGAAGAATTGTGTCATGCTGAATCCGTGATCTGTAGCCTTCAAAATCCAAAGAAAATGGCCTCTCGACGCCCACAAAATTACCAAAATGCCATCCGAAAATAAATTGGCCCAAATCGGTGTTTAATGGACTTATCATCCGTGGAGAATAGGATCAATAGACTTCATTATCGGTGGAGAATAGCCTCGGCCTGATTTCGTGATCTGTAGCCTCCAGAATCGAAAGAAAATGGCATTTCGAAAAAATCGCCCAAAATCGAGGATGGTACCCCTTTCCAATCTGCCAAAAATAGACCCGGAATAAATCCGCCCAAATCGGTGCTTAATGGACTTAGTCATCGTTGAAGGATAGTCTCAGGCCGAATCCGTGATCTGTAGCCTTCAAAATCCAAAGAAAATGGCCTCTCGACGCACACAAAGTTACGAAAATGCCATCCGAAAATAAATTGGCCCAAATCTGTGTTTAATGGACTTATCATCCGTGGAGAATAGGATCAATAGACTTCATTATCGGTGGAGAATAGCCTCGGCCTGATTTCGTGATCTGTAACCTCCAGAATCGAAAGAAAATGGCATTTCGGAAAAATCGCCCAAAATCGGTGATGGTACCCCTTTGCAATTTGCCAAAAATTGACCCGGAATAAATCCGCCCAAATCGGTGCTTAATGGACTTAGTCATCGTTGAAGAATAGTCTCAGGCCGAATCCGTGATCTGTAGCCTTCAAAATCCAAAGAAAATGGCCTCTCGACGCCCACAAAATTACGAAAATGCCATCCGAAAATAAATTGGCCCAAATCGGTGTTTAATGGACTTATCATCCGTGGAGAATAGGATCAATAGACTTCATTATCGGTGGAGAATAGCCTCGGCCTGATTTCGTGATCTGTAACCTCCAGAATCGAAAGAAAATGGCATTTCGGAAAAATCGCCCAAAATCGGTGATGGTACCCCTTTGCAATCTGCCAAAAATTGAACCGGAATAAATCCACCCAAATCGGTGCTTAATGGACTTAGTCATCGTTGAAGAATATTGTCAGGCCGAATCCGTGATCCGTAGCCTTCAAAATCCAAAGAAAATGGCCTCTCGACGCCCACAAAATTACGAAAATGCCATCCGAAAATAAATTGGCCCAAATCGGTGTTTAATGGACTTATCATCCGTGAAGAATAGGATCAATAGACTTCATTATCGGTGGAGAATAGCCTCGGCCTGATTTAGTGAACTGTAGCCTCCAGAATCGAAAGAAAATGGCATTTCGGAAAAATCGCCCAAAATCGGTGATGGTACCGCTTTGCAATCTGCCAAAAATTGACCCGGAATAAATCCGCGCAAATCGGTGCTTAATGGACTTAGTCATCGTTGAAGAATAGTGTCAGGCCGAATCCGTGATCTGTAGCGTTCAAAATCCAAAGAAAATGGCCTCTCGACGCCCACAAAATTATGAAAATGCCATATGAAAATAAATTGTCCCAAATCGGTGTTTAATGGACTTATCATCCGTGGAGAATAGGATCAATAGACTTCATTATCGGTGGAGAATAGCCTCGGCCTGATTTCGTGATCTGTAGCCTCCAGAATCGAAAGAAAATGGCATTTCGGAAAACTCGCCCAAAATCGGTGATGGTACCCCTTTGCAATCTGCCAAAAATTGACCCGGAATAAATCCGCCCAAATCGGTGCTTAATGGACTTAGTCATCGTTGAAGAATAGTCTCAGACCGAATCCGTGATCTGTAGCCTTCAAAATCCAAAGAAAATGGCCTCTCGACGCCCACAAAATTACGAAAATGCCATCCGAAAAAAATTTGGCCCGAATCGGTGTTTAATGGACTTATCATCCGTGGAGAATAGGATCAATAGACTTCATTATCGGTGGAGAGTAGCCTCGGCCAGATTTCGTAATCTGTTGCCTCCAGAATCGAAAGAAAATGGCATTTCGGAAAAATCGCCCAAAATCGGTGAAGGTACCCTTTTGCAATCTGCCAAAAATTGACCCGGAATAAATCCGCCCAAATCGGTACTTAATGGACTTAGTCATCGTTGAAGAATAGTGTCATGCCGAATCCGTGATCTGTAGCCTTCAAAATCCAAAGAAAATGGCCTCTCCAAATCTGTAGCCTTCCAAATCGGTGTTTAATGGACTTATCATCCGTGGAGAATAGGATCAATAGACTTCATTATCGGTGGAGAATAGCCTCGGCCTGATTTCGGGATCTGTAGCCTCCAGAATCGAAAGAAAATGGCATTTCGGAAAAATTGCTAAAAATCGGTGATGGTACCCCTTTGCAATCTGCCAAAAATTGACCCGGAATAAATCCGCCCAAATCGGTGCTTAATGGACTTAGTCATCGTTGAAGAATAGTGTCAGGACAAATCCGTGATCTGTAGCGTTCAAAATCCAAAGAAAATGGCCTCTCGACGCCCACAAAATTATGAAAATGCCACATGAAAACAAATTGTCCCAAATCGGTGTTTAATGGACTTATCATCCGTGGAGAATAGGATCAATAGACTTCATTATCGGTGGAGAATAGCCTCGGCCTGATTTCGTGATCTGTAGCCTCCAGAATCGAAAGAAAATGGCATTTCAGAAAAATCGCCCAAAATCGGTGATGGTACCCCTTTGCAATCTGCCAAAAATTGACCCGGAATAAATCCGCCCAAATCGGTGCCTAATGGACTTAGTCATCGTTGAAGCATAGTGTCAGGCCGAATCCGTGATCTGTAGCCTTCAAAATCCAAAGAAAATGGCCTCTCGAAGCCCAAAAAATTACGAAAATGCCATCCGAAAATAAATTGGCCCAAATCGGTGTTTAATGGACTTATCATCCGTGGAGAATAGGATCAATAGACTTCATTATCGGTGGAGAATAACCTCGGCCTGATTTCGTGATCTGTCGACTCCAGAATCGAAAGAAAATGGCATTTCTGAGAAATCGTCCAAAATCGGTGATGGTACCCCTATGCAATCTGCCAAAAATTGACCCGGAATAAATCCGCCCAAATCGGTGCTTAATGGACTTACTCATCGTTGAAGAATAGTCTCAGGCCGAATCCGTGATCTGTAGCCTTCAAAATCCAAAGAAAATGGCCTCTCGACGCCCACAAAATTACGAAAATGCCATACGAAAATAAATTGGCCCAAATCGGTGTTTAATGGACTTATCATCCGTGGAGAATAGGATCAATAGACTTCATTAGCGGTGGAGAATAGCCTCGGCCTGATTTCGTGATCTGTAGCCTCCAGAATCGAAAGAAAATGGCATTTCGAAAAAATCGCCCAAAATCGAGGATGGTACCCCTTTCCAATCTGCCAAAAATAGACCCGGAATAAATCCGCCCAAATCGGTGCTTAATGGACTTAGTCATCGTTGAAGGATAGTCTCAGGCCGAATCCGTGATCTGTAGCCTTCAAAATCCAAAGAAAATGGCCTCTCGACGCACACAAAGTTACGAAAATGCCATCCGAAAATAAATTGGCCCAAATCGGTGTTTAATGGACTTATCATCCGTGGAGAATAGGATCAATAGACTTCATTATCGGTGGAGAATAGCCTCGGCCTGATTTCGTGATCTGTAACCTCCAGAATCGAAAGAAAATGGCATTTCGGAAAAATCGCCCAAAATCGGTGATGGTACCCCTTTGCAATCTGCCAAAAATTGACCCGGAATAAATCCGCCCAAATCGGTGCTTAATGGACTTAGTCATCGTTGAAGAATAGTCTCAGGCCTAATCCGTGATCTGTAGCCTTCAAAATCCAAAGAAAATGGCCTCTCGACGCCCACAAAATTACGAAAATGCCATCCGAAAATAAATTGGCCCAAATCGGTGTTTAATGGACTTATCATCCGTGGAGAATAGGATCAATAGACTTCATTATCGGTGGAGAATAGCCTCGGCCTGATTTCGTGATCTGTAACCTCCAGAATCGAAAGAAAATGGCATTTCGGAAAAATCGCCCAAAATCGGTGATGGTACCCCTTTGCAATCTGCCAAAAATTGACCCGGAATAAATCCGCCCAAATCGGTGCTTAATGGACTTAGTCATCGTTGAAGAATATTGTCAGGCCGAATCCGTGATCCGTAGCCTTCAAAATCCAAAGAAAATGGCCTCTCGACGCCCACAAAATTACGAAAATGCCATCCGAAAATAAATTGGCCCAAATCGGTGTTTAATGGACTTATCATCCGTGGAGAATAGGATCAATAGACTTCATTATCGGTGGAGAATAGCCTCGGCCTGATTTCGTGATCTGTAACCTCCAGAATCGAAAGAAAATGGCATTTCGGAAAAATCGCCCAAAATCGGTGATGGTACCCCTTTGCAATCTGCCAAAAATTGACCCGGAAGAAATCCGCCCAAATCGGTGCTTAATGGACTTAGTCATCGTTGAAGAATAGTCTCAGGCCGAATCTGTGATCTGTAGCCTTCAAAATCCAAATAAAAGTGCCTCTCGACGCCCACAAAATTACGAAAATGCCATCCGAAAATAAATTGGCCCAAATCAGTGTTTAATGGACTTATCATCCGTGGAGAATAGGATCAATAGACTTCATTATCGGTGGAGAATAGCCTCGGCCAGATTTCGTGATCTGTAGCCTCCAGAATCGAAAGAAAATGGCATTTCGGAAAACTCGCCCAAAATAGGTGATGGTACCCCTTTGCAATCTGCCAAAAATTGACCCGGAATAAATCCGCCCAAATCGGTGCTTAATGGACTTAGTCATCGTTGAAGAATAGTCTCAGGCCGAATCCGTGATCTGTAGCGTTCAAAATCCAAAGAAAATGGCCTCTCGACGCCCACAAAATTATGAAAATGCCATATGAAAATAAATTGTCCCAAATCGGTGTTTAATGGACTTATCATCCGTGGAGAATAGGATCAATAGACATCATTATCGGTGGAGAATAGGCTCGGATTGATTTCGTGATCTGTAGCCTCCAGAATCGAAAGAAAATGACATTTCGGAAAAATCGCCCAAAATCGGTGATGGCACCCCTTTGCAATCTGCCAAAAATTGACCCGGAATAAATCCGCCCAAATTGGTGCTTAATGGACTTAGTCATCGTTGAAGAATAGTGTCAGGCCGAATCCGTGATCTGTAGCCTTCAAAATCCAAAGAAAATGGCCTCTCGACCGCCACAAAATTACGAAAATGCCATCCAAAAAATATTTGGCCCGAATCGGTGTTTAATGGACTTATCATCCATGGAGAATAGGATCAATAGACTTCATTATCGGTGGAGAGTAGCCTCGGCCTGATTTCGTAATCTGTAGCCTCCAGAATCGAAAGAAAATGGCATTTCGGAAAAATCGCCCAAAATCGGTGAAGGTACCCTTTTGCAATCTGGCAAAAATTGACCCGGAATAAATCCGCCCAAATCGGTACTTAATGGACTTAGTCATCGTTGAAGAATAGTGTCATGCCGAATCCGTGATCTGTAGCCTTCAAAATCCAAAGAAAATGGCCTCTCCAAATCTGTAGCCTTCCAAATCGGTGTTTAATGGACTTATCATCTGTGGAGAATAGGATCAATAGACTTCTTTATCGGTGGAGAATAGCCTCGGCCTGATTTCGTGATCTGTAGCCTACAGAATCGAAAGAAAATGGCATTTCGGAAAAATTGCTCAAAATCGGTGATGGTACCCCTTTGCAATCTGCCAAAAATTGACCCGGAATAAATCCGCCCAAATCGGTGCTTAATGGACTTAGTCATCGTTGAAGAATAGCGTCAGGACAAATCCGTGATCTGTAGCGTTCAAAATCCAAAGAAAATGGCCTCTCGACGCCCACAAAATTATGAAAATGCCACATGAAAACAAATTGTCCCAAATCGGTGTTTAATGGACTTATCATCCGTGGAGAATAGGATCAATAGACTTCATTATCGGTGGAGAATAGCCTCGGCCTGATTTCGTGATCTGTAGCCTCCAGAATCGAAAGAAAATGGCATTTCGTAAAAATCGCCCAAAATCGGTGATGGTACCCCTTTGCAATCTGCCAAAAATTGACCCGGAATAAATCCGCCCAAATCGGTGCCTAATGGACTTAGTCATCGTTGAAGAATAGTGTCAGGCCGAATCCGTGATCTGTAGCCTTCAAAATCCAAAGAAAATGGCCTCTCGACGCACACAAAGTTACGAAAATGCCATCCGAAAATAAATTGGCCCAAATCGGTGTTTAATGGACTTATCATCCGTGGAGAATAGGATCAATAGACTTCATTATCGGTGGAGAATAGCCTCGGCCTGATTTCGTGATCTGTAACCTCCAGAATCTAAAGAAAATGGCATTTCGGAAAAATCGCCCAAAATCGGTGATGGTACCCCTTTGCAATCTGCCAAAAATTGACCAGGAATAAATCCGCCCAAATCGGTGCTTAATGGACTTAGTCATCTATGAAGAATATTGTCAGGCCGAATCCGTGATCCGTAGCCTTCAAAATCCAAAGAAAATGGCCTCTCGACGCCCACAAAATTACGAAAATGCCATCCGAAAATAAATTGGCCCAAATCGGTGTTTAATGGACTTATCATCCGTGGAGAATAGGATCAATAGACATCATTATCGGTGGAGAATAGGCTCGGATTGATTTCGTGATCTGTAGCCTCCAGAATCGAAAGAAAATGACATTTCGGAAAAATCGCCCAAAATCGGTGATGGCACCCCTTTGCAATCTGCCAAAAATTGACCCGGAATAAATCCGCCCAAATAGGTGCTTAATGGACTTAGTCATCGTTGAAGAATAGTGTCAGGCCGAATCCGTGATCTGTAGCCTTCAAAATCCAAAGAAAATGGCCTCTCGACGGCCACAAAATTACGAAAATGCCATCCAAAAAATATTTGGCCCGAATCGGTGTTTAATGGACTTATCATCCATGGAGAATAGGATCAATAGACTTCATTATCGGTGGAGAATAGCCTCGGCCTGATTTCGTGAACTGTAGCCTCCAGAATCGAAAGAAAATGGCATTTCGGAAAAATCGCCCAAAATCGGTGATGGTACCGCTTTGCAATCTGCCAAAAATTGACCCGGAATAAATCCGCACAAATCGGTGCTTAATGGACTTAGTCATCGTTGAAGAATAGTGTCAGGCCGAATCCGTGATCTGTAGCTTTCAAAATCCAAAGAAAATGGCTTCTCGACGCCCACAAAATTATGAAAATGCCATATCATAATAAATTGTCCCAAATCGGTGTTTAATGGACTTATCATCCGTGGAGAATAGGATCAATAGACTTCATTATCGGTGGAGAATAGCCTCGGCCTGATTTCGTGATCTGTAGCCTCCAGAATCGAAAGAAAATGGCATTTTGGAAAAATCGCCCAAAATCGGTGATGGTACCCCTTTGCAATCTGCCAAAAATTGACCCGGAATAAATCCGCCCAAATCGGTGCTTAATGGACTTAGTCATCGTTGAAGAATAGTCTCAGGCCGAATCCGTGATCTGTAGCCTTCAAAATCCAAAGAAAATGGCCTCTCGACGCCCACAAAATTACGAAAATGCCATCCGAAAATAAATTGGCCCAAATCTGTCTTTAATGGACTTATCATCCGTGGAGAATAGGATCAATAGACTTCATTATCGGTGGAGAATAGCCTCGGCCTGATTTCGTGATCCGTAGCCTCCAGAATCGAAAGAAAATGGCATTTCGGAAAAATCGCCCAAAATCGGTGATGGTACCCCTTTGCAATCTGCCAAAATTGACCCAGAATAAATCCGCCCAAATCGGTGCTTAATGGACTTAGTCATCGTTGAAGAATAGTCTCAGGCTGAATCCGTGCTATGTAGACTTCAAAATCCAAAGAAAATGGCCTCTCGACGCCCACAAAATTACGAAAATGCCATCCGAAAATAAATTGGCCCAAATCGATGTTTAATGGACTTATCATCCGTGGAGAATAGGATCAATAGACTTCATTATCGGTGGAGAATAGCCTCGGCCTGATTTCGTGATCTGTAGCCTCCAGAATCGAAAGAAAATAGCATTTCGGAAAAATCGCCCAAAATCGGTGATGGTACCCCTTTGCAATCTGCCAAAAATTGACCCGGAATAAATCCGCCCAAATCGGTGCTTAATGGACTTAGTCATCGTTGAAGAATAGTCTCAGGCCGAATCCGTGATCTGTAGCCTTCAAAATCCAAAGAAAAGTGCCTCTCGACGCCCACAAAATTATGAAAATGCCATCCGAAAATAAATTGGCCCAAATCGGTGTTTAATGGACTTATCATCCGTGGAGAATAGGATCAATAGACTTCATTATCGGTGGAGAATAGCCTCGGCCTGATTTCGTGATCTGTAGCCTCCAGAATCGAAAGAAAATGGCATTTCGGAAAAATCGCCCAAAATCGGTGATGGTACCCCTTTGCAATCTGCCAAAAATTGACCCGGAATATATCCGCCCAAATCGGTGCTTAATGGACTTAGTCATCGTTGAAGAATAGTCTCAGGCCGAATCCGTGATCTGCAGCCTTCAAAATCCAAAGAAAATGGCCTCTCGACGCCCACAAAATTACGAAAATGCCATCCGAAAATAAATTGGCCCAAATTGGTCTTTAATGGACTTATCATCCGTGGAGAATAGGATCAATAGACTTCATTATCGGTGGAGAATAGCCTCGGTCTGATTTCGTGATCTGTAGCCTCCAGAATCGAAAGAAAATGGCATTTCGGAAAAATCGCCCAAAATCAGTGATGGTACCCCTTTGCAATCTGCCAAAAATTGACCCGGAATAAATCCGCCCAAATCGGTGCTTAATGGACTTAGTCATCGTTGAAGAATAGTCTCAGGCCAAATCCGTGATCTGTAGCCTTAAAAATCCAAAGAAAAGTGCCTCTCGACGCCCACAAAATTACGAAAATGCCATCCGAAAATAAATTGGCCCAAATCGGTGTTTAATAGACTTATCATCCGTTGAGAATAGGATCAATAGACTTCATTATCGGTGGAGAATAGTCTCGGCCTGATTTCGTGATCTGAAGCCTCCAGAATCGAAAGAAAATGACATTTCGGAAAAATCGCCCAAAATCGGTGATGGTACCCCTTTGCAATCTGCCAAAAATTGACCCGGAATAAATC